TTGCCAAGAATGGCGAGGCATGTGTTGACGAGTTCTCGAGGTTATTGTAAGAGAACTCGGCCAACGGCAGCAGCTCGGCCCAGTCATCTTGCTGATACGACGTGTAACAGCGCAGGTATTGGTTGATGACCTGGTTGACCCTCTCAGTCTGTCCATCGGTCTGGGGATGGAAGGCCGTGGACAGACTGGTTTGGATCCCGAGCTGCGTGCAGAGTGCCTTCCAGAACCGAGAGGTGAACTGACTTCCTCGGTCTGAAACCACTGTGTCGGGGAGGCCATGGAGACGAAAGACATTGTCGAGGAACAGTGACGCAGTCTCCTCCGCCGACGGCAGTGAACGCCAGGACATAAAGTGTGCCATCTTTGTGAGGCTGCATACCACCACAAAGATGCAGGTGTGACCCTTGGACTTTGGCAGATCAGTGATAAAGTCCATGGTCAGTGTCCCCCAGGGTCGATCGGCTGTCTGGAGTGGCAACAGGAACCCAAACGGCTTGTGTCGCGGAGCTTTCGAGCGTGCACAGGTGTCGCACGTCGAGACGTACTCTTTGACATCTTTCCGATAGGTTTGCCACCAAAACTGTCGCGATACCAGAGCCAGAGTCCGTCGGATGCCTGGATGACCCACAGCGACTGGGTCATGGCACGACTTGAGCGCCGGAACTCGGCACGACTCTGGGACCACAATCCTGTTCTGGAAGGTGAGGTACTGGCCATTCCAGACGAACTTCGGGTCACGACGGTATTTGTCTAGACCGGGATCCCGAGCCTGCTCTTCGGCTATGAGCTGCAGCAAATCCACAGGGTCACTGCGACTTGCAACCGAAGAGCGGGCGTCTCTGCTTCGGAGCACGCGTATCACCGCGGCAGGATCGAGAAGCAGAGGCGGATCCCTCGACACGGAGGCCGACGAAGGGATGTAGTCCGAGCGACGAGACAGGGCATCGGCCTTGCCGTTCCTCGCACCAGGACGGTACTGGATGCGGATGTCGAACCGAGACAAGAACTGGGACCACCGTGCATGACGCTGGTTTAGGATGCGAGCCGTTGCCAGGTACTCCAAGTTCTTGTGATCGGTCAGAACGGCAACGGGATGCTGGGCGCCTTCGAGGTAGTGTCGCCACGCCTCGAAAGCCTCCTTGATCGCCAACAGCTCTTTCTCGTATATGCTGTAGTTACGTTCAGCATTCGAGAGTGTCCGCGAATGGAACGAGCAAGGATGAAGGCGATCATCAGCACCCCGCTGGGAGAGCACGCATCCAAGCGCAAAGTCCGACGCATCTGACTCTACGACGAACGGCTTGGATGGGTCCGGATGCACCAGAACGGGCTCCGAAACGAAGGCATCCTTCAAGGATCTGAATGCTTTATCGGCTTCGCGGGACCACTGGAAGCCATGCGTCTTCCGGAAGAGCCGAGTCATGGGCCCCGCGATCTTTGCGTATCCATCGATGAAGCGTCGATAGAAGTTCGCAAACCCGACAAAGGATCGAAGATCCGAGATGTTGCGCGGTATGGGCCAATCCAAGATCGCAGAGAGCTTGGATCGCTCCATACCGATGCCCTCGGGCGAGACCATGAAACCAAGGAACGAGACCGAGGTTTTGGAGAACTCGCACTTCTCCAGCTTGCAATACAGCTTTGCAGCTCGGAGCTTCGAGAGGACCTGCTTGACGTGCTCTACATGCTGCGACGGATCAGCACTGTAGATCAAGATATCGTCAAGATACGCAATTGCGAACTGGTCCAACTCGGTGCGCAGGACGTCGTTGATGAAGTGCTGGAACGTCGCTGGCGCGTTGGTGAGCCCAAAGGGCATCACCAAGTACTCGAAGTGCCCATATCGAGTACGGAAAGCTGTCTTCCACTCGTCCCCGGAGCGGATGCGCAGCAGATTGTAGGCTCCACGAAGGTCCAGCTTAGTGAACACCTTCGCGCCTCGAAGTCGGTCCAGCAGCTCGCCGATCAGCGGTAAAGGGTAACGGTTCTTTACCGTGATACCGTTCAGTGCGCGGTAGTCAACGCAAAGACGAAGTGAGCCGTCCTTCTTCTTGACGAAGAGGATTGGTGAGCCTGCTGGGGACGACGAAGGACGAACGAATCCCTTGGCAAGATTCTCGTCGAGATAGTCACGCAGAGCGTGAAGTTCGGGCTCGGACAGTGAGTACAGAGGCCCGAACTTTGGCGACTTGCCCGGCTCCAAGTCAATGGGGCAGTCATAAGGGCGATGCGGAGGCAAGGAGTCAGCTTCCTGTTTAGAGAAAACAGACAGGAAGTCCTTGTACTCCGCAGGCACTTCGACAGTCGCAGTGCTCGGCTCGTCAGTGGGCAGGACATGGACCTGAAAGATGGTCAGGGGTTGCGTTCCATGCCTGCATGCATCCAAAGACTCGCGCATCGAGCGGTAATCAATGCTGCAGACGCGGAGAGGAGCGTCCGAGCTGAGAGGAGGGGCGTGGACAAGGTCAGAATAATGTTCGACGGTTACTTTATTCTGAACAATGTCCGAAGAACAAACAACAGGAGGAGGTACATCAAGGAGGGAAAGAGAACTGACAACAGAAGAAGGGGTTTGGGAAGAGCGAAGGGGTTCGGGAGGAACAAGACAAGAAGGGGAAGACGAAGGTGGGAGCGTAGGAGAGGAGCTTAGATCAATCAAAGGAGTGGAATCATCAAGAAGGGGAGTGACATTGGAGGAAGTGGAGCAAGACGAAAGAGAAGTAGTGCATGGAGAGGGGTCGGAATCAACAGAAGGAGGGAGACAAAGAAGACCGCGAGACCAGACAATCTTGGGCTCGGCGGTGCGCAACCAAGGAAAGCCAAGGATAAGTGGTTGATGTGGAGACCTGATCACATCGAACCGAAGGCGTTGCGAGACGTCCCCGAGAATCACCTCGAGTGGAGCAGTCTCGCGGAGGATGGGGCCAGACGACAGCGGCTTACCATCCACGCCTTCCACTGCCAAGGGCGAAGCCTTGGAGCAGGTGGGGACAGAGTGTCGAGCAACAAAGTCCTCGTCGATAAAGTTGCCAGAGGCACCAGAATCGACAAGTCCTTCGCACGACAGAGAATCACCAGAAGGAAGACGAACAGCGACGGGAACAACCAACGAGCAACGACGAACAGACGAAACACAAGACTTTGGTTCGGTACCAGCTTCGGCACCAGGGTTGCGGCTAGCACAGACAGTTAACTTTGCCGAGGGTTGGCAGGACAGCTCAGGTATTTGCACCTGTGGATGAGGTGCAGTTCCCAGTGACACCAGAGGTGCCACGGGTACTATGCCAGAGCTGAGAGTGTCCGCCGGTCCAGAGGCAAGGCGAAGCTGTCCGCACATCACTGCTTCCCCAGTACTTACCAAAGGCACCTTACCAATGTCTTCACTTTCGGAAGGCGGTGGGCACGGCTCCGGTTCAAGGCCTTCACTTAGAACCGGGCCTGGTCGTTTCCCGAACTGAAGTCTTGCACTTCTCCATCTTCGTAAACGATGGTGCGGATGATCCTCGGGCCGGGAGGTCCAGGGGGCGGTCCGGTAGCTCTGGTAGATCCAAACTTGACGGGGCAGTTTCGTACCAAGTGGCCCTTCTTGCCACAGTACAGGCAGAGTCCAAAGCGGCGGCGGCGTTGTTTCTCCTCGGCGGTCAGGGGTCCAGAGACGGCAGAGTCCACTTGCATGGGCTCGGAAACAATGTAGGAGGGGTGCGGCGGAGCGAGGACGGGCGCGGGAGCGATGGCGGGAACGGCAGCGGAGGCGGAACCAAAGGCGAACTGGGAAGACCGGTAGCGGGCAGGCGTGCTTCGGCGCTCTTGACGGCGCTCGCGGATTCGTGCATCGAGCTCGTTACAAAGCTCGATGTACTCCTCCAGATCTCGTGGCAGAGGGCGAACTCGCGAAAGTTCGTCTCTGACATCATCCGACAAGCCAAGTCGGAAGAACGAGATCTTTGCACCGTCGTTCCAAGTCGTATCGGCGGCAATACGAAGGAACTCGGATGCATAGACTGCGCACGGGCGGTTGCCCTGAGACAGTGTGGTGATCACTGACTCGGCAGTCCTGGCCCGATCAGGGTCGTCAAACACTTTGGAAAAGCGTTCTAGGAAATCGCCAAAAGAGTTGAGTCGGGGATCACCCATCTCAAGCATCGGAGTCGCCCACTGGAGAGCCGGTCCAGTGAGCAGACTAATGACGAATCCGACCTTAATCGGGTCAGCAGGGAACCGGTGGGGCTGCATTCGTATATACAGTTTGCACTGATTTACGAATGCCCGGAACCCTTGCCGGTTACCGTCGTAACGGTCCGGCATCTGCACGCTGTACCCAGCGGCAGGAGCATCGCGAGCTGTCCGGAGCTCGGCGAGCTCGGCCTCCAAGGCACGGAGGCGGTCCACGAGGGCAGGATCCATGGCGGGACTGGGACTGGGACTGGGAAAAAAAAAAAAAAAAAAAGCGAGGAGGTTCAAGAACAGGAGAGCGAAGAGGGCTCAGACACAAGTGTGCTTGAGGTTCGGACAGGACTAGGAAAGGGGCGGGGCTAGGAGCGGAAGATACCAAGCAGGTGGTATCAGTAGAAGAGAGTTCGAACAAAGTGTAAGGAGTGAACAAGCGCAAGGACGAAGACCAAGTGCTTGGTATGAGCTTTATTAGCTTTTAGCCCCGAACACCAAAGAACAAGTTTTGTTCGAACTGGTGTTCAACATAGGCTCAGACATGCAGGGCTATTTATAGACCGGGAGAAGGTCGAGGGGCAAAAGTGGGCGAGAAGGGTGGAGCATCACAGAGAAGCGAGAAGGGGGTGCGAGAGTGGCTGGTGTGCAAGCGAGAGAGGCTTGGCACAGCCCGGGGACATGTGCCGAGCGGTGGGGGAGGCAGGAAACCAGTAGACGCGGGTGGCAACGGCGCGTGCTCATGCATGGGGGCAAACAAACACGTGGGGACTCATGATTGGTGCGGAGGGCGAGAGCATGCGGACAATCTCATTGGTCCGTTGTGATGCTGGTCATCACAGTCTAGCAGTGGAGGTGTTCTTGGGGACACCCTTGCCGCTGTAGTAGCAATCGCCGAGGTTGTTCTGAGCAGTTGCATTCCCCTGATTGGCGGCCTTGGTGAACCACTCGACAGCCTTGGCATAGTCCTGGGTGACACCATTACCGTACTGGTAACAGTTACCGAGGTTGTTCTGACCCCATGCATTCCCCTGATTGGCGGCCTTTGTGAACCACTCGACAGCCTTGGCATAGTCCTGGGTGACACCCTTGCCGTTGTAGTAGCAGTTGCCGAGGTTGTTCTGAGCATCTGCATTCCCCTGATTGGCGGCCTTGGTGTACCACTCGACAGCCTTGGCATAGTCCTGGGTGACACCCTTGCCGTCGTAGTAGCAGGTGCCGAGGCTGTTCTGAGCAGTTGCATTCCCCTGATTGGCGGCCTTTGTGAACCACTCGACAGCCTTGGCATAGTCCTGGGTGACACCCTTGCCGTTGTAGTAGCAGTTGCCGAGGTTGTTCTGAGCATCTGCATTCCCCTGATTGGCGGACTTGGTGAACCACTCGACAGCCTTGGCATAGTCCTGGGTGACACCCTTGCCGTCGTAGTAGCAGGTGCCGAGGCTGTTCTGAGCAGTTGCATTCCCCTGATTGGCGGCCTTTGTGAACCACTCGACAGCCTTGGCATAGTCCTGGGTGACGCCTTGGCCGTCGTAGTAGCAGTTGCCGAGGCAGTTCTGCGCAGTCGCCATTCCCCTCTCGGCAGCTTTGCGATACCACTCAGCGGCCTGAGTCATGTCATTCGGGACACCTTGACCTTTGGCGTAACGGAACCCAACATTCAGAATCGACCACAAGTGGCCTTGAGCTGCACCTCGGCGGTATAGCTGGAGGCATTTCCCATAATCCAGGGGAACGCCAAGACCCCCCAGGTAGCAATCCGCAAGCACGTAATGGCTGATGGCGTAGCCTTGGTCCGCAAGTACTTGCAGCAACCGCACGGCGAGCTGTTGGTTCTTGGTGGTTCCGAACCCGCCAATCAAGCAGCGCGCAACCAGGTGCTTGCAGAACCAGTCGTGACTCGATCCAAGCTGGCACAGTTGGAAGAATCTGGTGGCAGTCGAGGAGGAACATTGCGTTTCCTCTCCATGGATTGCGCTCTCGCCAAATGGAAATTCGGCAGTCCTACTCTCGCGAAGGAGTTGGTTGGCCCTGGGTTCGTCTTGCTGTGTTCCGCGGCCGAGGTAAGAACACCAGCCCATCATGAATGTTGCGATGGGCTTCATGATTGCGTCAGACGACTGGTTGTGGACCAGCTGCCAGTAGGCGAAGGCCTCAGTGTCACTCTTGGTGATGCCGATGCCAGCAAAGTGCAGCCAGCCGAGCTCGAAGGCAGCCTCGACACTCCCCTTATCGGCAGCTGCCTGATACAGCTCGGCGGCAGTTGTCCAGGCTGGATCGATGGCTGGCTTGTCATCGGAGATCTTGCAGGCAGTTGATAGAATCGCTTCAATCTCACCTCCCCGTATCCTTATGATCGCTGCCCGGGGGATGCCATAGTCGGTGCCGAGTTTCTCGGTCAAGCCTTTGCTATCCGACGACTGCAACGAGCCCAAGTTGCTCTGCTGCGAACTGGGTTGAGAATTATCGCGAAGCGGAGAAGCAAGAGGGGCGTTCTTGTATGCATCAAGAGAGACGATGATACTGCTGAAGGTGGGACGCATGGCGGGATCTTGATGCCAGCAAGCTTCGATGAGCGACCAGATCTGATCGGGGATGCCGTCGAATCGGGCAGGTCGACGGCCATTGCAAACCATCCGCTCGATCACTCGGCTTCTCAATGCTTGACCATCGGCGGAAACCCAAACCGGATCGGCGTTATTCAGGACCTCGTACATGGTGATGGCGAAAGCATAGACATCAGTCTTCATCGTGGTGCCAGATGGATTTTCGTCGTCGAGCATCTCGGGAGCCATATACCCCTCGGTACCTCCAGAGGGACCGTTGGTTCGATTGGGGTTCATCGAGGCTGAGGTGTGCTTGGTTCTGGATAAGCCAAAGTCGGTGACGACAGCCTGGAAGGATCTGTCCAAGAGGACGTTCGCTGCCTTGAGGTCGCCGTGGATGATTCTTCTGGCGTGCAGATAGGCCAGGGCCGACGCAACCTGGTACAGAAGACTGAGTTTCTCCTCGAGGGAAATGTTGCTATTGGCCACATAGTCACGAAGCGTGCCGTTTGGCATGAACGGAGAGACCATGAAAGGAGTGATCTTTTCGCCGGCGTCGCCCCTGTCGCAGGCTCCGAGGAGGGGGAGAACATGGGGGTGGCTGAGATTCTGCCAAACCCCAATCTCATGGTGGTAGCTGGCGAGCTCGCGGTCGTTTGGAGCGCCGAGAAGTTGCTTGATGGCGACTTGGGTGCCAAAGTAGTTGCCAGTGAACACCTCACCAAACCCACCACGGCCGATGGGGTTGGCTGAACGGTCGGTGATGTCGCTGGGAGAGATGTACCATGGCGGTCTGTCTTGGCGCTCGCGGATAAGGGGTTTGCTGCTCATGTTGAAGGAGATGGAGGAGCGAGAGCTGCAAGGAGGAGCGGCGGAAAGCGGGCATTTTCGTTTTGGTTCTGGAGGCGAAGCCTTTGTCAGAGTGACTCCTGCGCCAACGACAGAAAGCTCTGCCCCATTTGGCAGCGCGACTCTGAAACATGCGCGCACAGGAACGTGTTGTTTGTGCTGCGCATGATCACGTGGTAGAATGCGCAGCAGGTCCAAGCCACACCACGTGGGTGGCGGTCCAACTCAAACACAAGGCACACACAAATGATTGGGACAGCCCAAAGAAGCAGCCACCAACTTCCATCATGACAGCGCGCAACATGATCATCCTGTGCAGGGCGACAGGAATGTTGTCGAGGCGACCTCTTCGAATGGACATACAGCGTTTCCAAAATGAAATGGGACACCTCGTTTTGAGTCATGACTATGTTTTTTTCTGTGACCTGTATACACACACCCACCCACTCATTGCAATCAAGGCCAAACATAGCACCGTCGTCGTTTCGCACTGCGGCACTGCGATGCTTCACACCAATGGTTCCTGCGCTTGCTGCTTTCCCTTCTCTGGCCCACCCATCCAGTCGCGAATGACACCAAGTCGCTCGATGAACCCACGACCTGCCTCTTTCCACTGGCCATTCAGCACCGCGAGTTCTCTGTTGAGACCCTCCAGTTCCGCCACCCGTTCTGCCGTTGCCATAGGGCTGCCGGCCGGTGCCCCCATGCTGGTGGCGGTGGATGCATCTGCCAAGACCACCGGCTCATCTGTCATTGTTTCAGAGTCCGTTGTCGATGGCTTTTGCCGCTGCTCTGCACCCCCCCAGTTCCTCCACCAGTTGCTTGATCTTGTTGTCGCGGTCGAGTAGCTCTGCCTCCAACCCTCTCACTTTCGCTTCCAACGTCGCTTGCTGGTTCTGAAGCTCTTCCTCCAACTCCTTCACCCTTGCTTTCAGTGCACTCTGCTCATCCAAGAGAACTGCATGTTTCGCTTCATGTTCTTGCACCGCCGTGTCCATGTCGTTCTGGAGTCTCTCCTTCTCCTGGCTTTTGCCGTCGAGTTGCTCTTGGCACGCCTTTGACTGCTCCTCGAGTGTCTCGATCTGTGTGGTGTACCTCGTTGCTTGCTGAGTACATTCGTTAAGCTTTCCTACCAGTTCATCCACCTCTGCCATCTTCTCAGCTGTAGCAGCTGCGGCTTCCTCTGACGCAGCGCCGGCACTCTCCACATTGTCCTGGAGACTCGCGATTTGCTCCTTGAATCGTGCGATCTCGCCCTCGTACTCTTTCGCCCGGGTTTGGCTGTCCTAGAGCTCGCTCTGCGCATCACCCAACCTTTGGTTCAGCTCCGATAGCTCTTGTGCAAGCCTGGTGTTTTCTGCGTCAAGCTCCTGCTGCTTGGTTTCTGTCTCCGACTGACTCGCTTTGTGCTGCTCCGCCAACTCTTCCATGGCCTGGGCATTTTTCTTGATCTGCGCTTCCAAGGAATCGTTCTCAATCTCCAATGTCCCGATCATCATTTGGCACGTAGTGAGGGAGTCGCGCAGTTCTGCGGCCTGCTGCCGCGTGGCAATGTGCGTTTGGGTGAGGGTGTGCAGCTTGTCCTGAATGGCCTTGTGGGTCAGCGCACAGCCCGAGTGCGCTTCATTCAACTTTTGCAGTTCGTTGGCACTGGCTTCGTCGCGGGTTTGCTGCTCTGCATGGAGGGTCTCGATTTGCGCGGCGGTATCGGCCATCAGCTGCTCGTATGGTGCGTGCAGGTGAATCTTGTATTTCCGACGCCTATTGGTCCTGGAATAATATGCGCAGCCGCATTTTCTTTCGAACGGCGATGACCTTGTTAAACGACTCAGAATCGATCATGCTCTCGTTCGGCACGAAGCATTCCCTCATAACACATCATCCTGGTGAGATATTGGCGTTCAAAATGAGGTCATTTTAATAATGATGACTCAAAAACTGGCCGGTGCCGCGCACAATACACGCTTTCGGTCACACAATCCAAGCGCGTTAACGCGCGTCCCTCCTTGCTCACCTCCCTCCAACTCAGACCTCCTCGCCTCCTATATAGCCGGTGTCTCTCGTCGATCGCCCATCACCAACGCATCCTCATCATGGGACGAACATCCAGGAATAAAAAGCGATTTCAGAAGGCTAGAGAAACTGCCCTCCGAAATGCAGCTTTTCGGGCCGAGTTGAGGAGATCTAGTCACATTAACACAATCTCTCCTCGACGTCAGCACGCAACCAGCTCGCGAACTCCCGCCTCTCCAGGACAAGGATGCATCTGGCGCCTCCTTGGCGAGACCAGAGAATGCTCAACCAGACAGAAAAATCATAGTTTACGATCTGGATGCCGATGAAACCATGGATACTTCAGCTACGAGCTGGGCTCCCGCAGTCGATATCGATCATGATTGTTCTGTTCTCATCAACGGCACTGAACCTCAGCCACGCCCGGCTCCTCGTCAGTCAGAGCATCCGTTGCTCGCGTGGCCGATCCGTTTCCCGTCCTCCTTTCCCGAACCTCCTGTCAAAGATCGACGACGGCCTTATGTTGGAAATTCAGAAAGTAGTCAGCGACGAGCCAATGCCGAGTCGCGTTCCCGGGCTTTGCAGCACGGCACCTCCAAAACGATTCCCGAATACTTCGGTTCCCAATGTAAAGCGGCAGCCCAAACTTCCTTTGAAAGAACAATCGAGGACAGCAATTTGCAAGTCTTCGATATTGACGCTGACCATCCACCACCCAAATTCCCCTCCGATTACATCGTGGGCTTGGATGGCTGCTATCCAGTCCGGATGTGGGATGCTCAAGTCATTGACCTGGATGACGGTCATCAGGCGGCTGGAGTCTCCACTGGCATGAGAAATTACGAAAGAAACGAGCCGTCCGACGAGGCCCCTTCCAATGTGATATTCGAAATTGATGGTGATCAGGAGTCGGTGTCCTCAGACGACACGGAATCCACCGACTTTGAACAACAGATATCGATGGAAATCGACTCGGCCATCGGGCACCTCAGAAGTGAGACATGCGCACGATGTGCAAACACATCTCTTGGAAAGAAACCCAACTATAGAAAGACGGTTATGCACCATGCTATATACCTCTACCTTCGAGAGAAACGAAGAAACACGGAACTCACGGTCGCTAAGATCGGTGTCGAAGTCGCCCGTCAACTTGCTATGGGAAAGTCGTTGCCATACTTCAGTCGGATCATAAGGAAAGCAGCGACTGAGTATTTGACGACAGGATATATTCCTGATACATATACGTTGCTTCACCCAAGAGAGACATCCCTGTTGTCGGATAAAACAGTTGCGGAAATGTGCTTGGAATATCTGAGTGATAACAAGCAGCGCAGCCCGGTGAAGTTCGCCAAGTTTGTCAATAGAAAAATATTGAAAAAGCTCAAAACGGAGAGGAACCTTCGAAGATATCGGCTCAAACACGGCAAAATATCATACCGCACTGCCTTGCGTTGGATGAAGCACCTTGACTACAATAAGACCAGGGACAAGAAAGGGGTATATGTCGATGGCCACGAGCGTAGCGATGTTGTCGATTATCGCCGTGTATACCTCCAGAAGATGAAAATTTATAGACGACGTATGACTCGATACGTTGGGACGGATCTTCAAGAGGAACTTCCCCGAAATGTAAATCCCTGCCTCGCATCGTCCTCGTCACATATGACGAGAGCACTTTTTACACCAATGAATCAACCAACTACTCATGGCAACGGAAGGGCGAATGCAGACTGAAACCAAAAGGCCTGGGATCAAGCCTCATGGTCAGTGCATTTCTATGTGAATGTCATGATCTATTGAAGGTCGACGACACGAATGGCTCGACCAAGATCATCAAGCCTGGGCGTCAAAACTGGTGGACATGCCGAAATTTAACTGAACAACTCGAGGAAGCCATCCCTATATTTGAACGGATGCATCCCAATTGTGTTGCACTGTTTCAGTTCGACAACTCATCCAACCACCGGGCCTTCGCTGACGACGCTCTCAGAGCTGAGTCACTCTGGCCAGGAACAGGAAAGAAGTTTCGGCCTACATCCTTCGGGCCAGATAACATTCCTCAGGCGATGTGCTTTCCGGAACAAATGGACGGTGAAATGCACGAGGTAATGTGATTGATTCGATAAATGAATTGACAAAAACGGAGCCAATATGATCTAACCAACGATCCTCTTCACGACTCCCTCGAGCGACAATGGGCAGGGCAGCCCAAAGGACTTTACATCGGGCTAGAGGAACGAGGGCTCTGGGAAGATGGTCTGACACTGACGTGCAAGAGAACCTCCGAAGAAACCGAGAACTCTGATGGCCCAACACGCACCCCTTGTTGTGCCAGGCACCTGATGAAGGTCCAGCCAGACTTCCAGAAACAAGAGCCATGGATTGACGAGACCATTCACAGTCGAGGCCACAAGGTTATCTTTCTCCCCAAGTTCCACTGCGAGCTGAACTTCATCGAACGATTTTGGTGCGACGCCAAGCGATACACCAAAGATATGTGCTTCAACAGTTTCCAAAATCTCGTGAGGTTACTTCCAATAGCCCTGCGGAAAGTAGAAGATGTCAGACGAGTCCGAAGGCATGCAAGGACAACATGGAGGTACATGCGTGCTTACAGATGAGGCATTGCATTGACTGAGATCCAGGAATATGTAAGGAAAAGGTACACCTCCCACCGGAAAACCTATCATACTGTCGATGCCGCACTGAGCAGGGACGGTGCAGACGACACAGACTCTGAATGCGAACCGAATTGTGATGCTGAAAGTGACCGGGGATGGTGACAGAAGCGCGGGGGTGGGGAGCACAGAACTGCTATTGACACCTATGGCTCGAGCCGGTTCGAATATATGACTCATAGTGACAATTTTTACTCATATGGGCGAACTAAAATTTGGCCACTTCTGAGCGCCTGCAAACGCTACTTCAAATCTTCACCTTCTCGCACCATATGGCCCACACGACTGCGTGATGTTTGCGCTGGGTTACGACATCACAGGAATCGTCCACGTGACCACGGATCTGGTTGGATTCGATTCGATTCGAACCAACGGGAGAAGGGTGACCTTGCGCAGCACACCCCGAGCCAATCGGGATGCGAGATCCCTGCTCCTCGGTCGCGCGGAATATAGGCGATACAATGGTGATACAAGAAATCACGACCTCACAGTAACAATGACTCGCTCAGAACCAGCAGAATCCACCTGTACTACCATCGCCGAGTTTACCCGTTTACCCGCCAGGCAAGCCTTGCCAAGCCCACCCAAACCCATCTCGATTAGGCACCTGCTGCGCTCGTGTGTCGCGCATCTGAAACTGTGTCACCGTCAATGATACCGGGTGGCGTGGCTCGGGCCCTGCCTACTTTTTCTTCGCTCGTCCCCCGTTTTCCCCCTCATCCCTTGTCGTCCCCCACATTTCGCCAACACCCACCTTCTTCTCTCCTATCCGGCTGCCTCCCCTGCTCACCATGGCCAGCAGAGCCATCATCAGCCCCGCTCCCGAGCGTCCGTCCTGGTACATATCGCCCAGGGACATCACCAACCGCTCAGCCAACCCCATCGGCCGCGGTGGTTTTGGCGAGGTCTTCACTGGCACATACTTTGGCTCCAAGGTCGCCATCAAGCAGCTCCTTGGAAACTACAACAACCGGGAGCTTGCTGATTACAACTATGAAATCAGCATCTGGAAGCAGCTCAGCCACCCACACATCCTCCCCCTGCTCGGCGCTTGCGACAAGGACGATGACGGTAATCCGATTCCTCCCTTCATGGTCTCGCCCTTCATGCCCAACGGTACATTGCGCAACCATGTTGCCAACAACAATGTCCCACTCGAGGAGAAGCTCCGTCTCCTCTTCCAAGCTGCATCGGCTCTGGCATATCTCCATTCCCGGCGCATCATCCACGGCGATCTCAAAGCCCTGAACATCCTCCTGGACGGCTTGAACAACGCCGTCGTCACCGACTTTGGCATGTCCCGCACCAAGCACACCTCTGCCTCGCTGGATCGCAACCGATCCATGGGCCCGACCGGCGGTACCGATGGATATATTGCACCCGAGATGCTGGACGACGATGATCCCAGTGGCACCACCATGAAGACCGACGTCTATGCCTTCGCCATCACAATGTATGAAGTACTCAACGATGCCAAACCCGTCTGGGTCACCAACAACGGACAAGCCATGCTAGGCCGAGCTATCGAACGCATTTCATGCAACGGCAAGCGCCCCAAGCGTCTCGATGGCATCCCCGACGATATCTGGGCCCTCATCGAACGCTGCTGGGCCCAAGATCCCGCCGCCCGCCCTGCCTTCACCGAGATCCTTGCCGTCCTCCAGCCATACAACCGTGACGCCGTCCCTGCTCTCGCCATTCCCACTCCCGCCAAGTCCCCTTCCGTCGACCGGTTTGTCAGCCATTTCGCCACTCTCAGCGTGAACAACCGATCCCCGTCCCAGTCCAGTCGTCCCGCCAAGCTCAAGTTTGATGGCATTGACGATGTCGTCCACATCCATGGCTCCATCGTCTCCGACGCCAAGCAAGGTGATCCCGATGCTTGTCTTGAAGCCGCCAAGTTGGTCTCGGAGGGTCTCCCTGCACGCCACCAAGATTGGAAGCTCGCCGCCCAGCTCTACAAGGCCGCTGCCGACCGCGGCAAACTCGAAGCATCCTTCCAGCTGGCCTGGCTCGCGTTCCTCGGTGAGGGAGTGGCCAAGAACGACCGCAGCGCCTTCTGGTTCTGGCAGGAAGTGAGCACCAAGTCAGATGACAAGGTCCTCAAGCCCATCGCCACGCATATGGTCGGATGGATGCACTACCTCGGCAGGGGTACCCAGCAGGATAAACAGAAGGGCATCAAGATCATCCGAGATAACCAATCGGATGAGTTCAAGCTTGGGGAGAACGAATGTCTGGGAGGATATTTGAACGATATTTCGTCCGACGCACCCGCTGCCTGCAAGTTCTTCGAGTTATGCCAGCTCGGATCGGACCGTGACTGGCTTTGCAGGCATCTCATGGCTGTGTGTGTGTTCCTTGGATTCGGAACCACCGAGAACAGGACGAATGCGGCGGGCATCTTTGAGCAACTCGCCAACGATGGACACAGCGACAGTCAGTTGTGGATCGGAATTTGCTACTCCTTTGGCGGGGGAGTATCGAAGGACCACAAGAAGGCATTCGAGTGGTTCAGCAAGTCGGCCAACCAAGGCAACTCATATGGACAGTGGAGGGTTGGTTGGTGCTACTACCGGGGATACGGAATCACCAAGGATCGCACCAAGGCAGCCAAGTGGTATCGTAAATCGGCCGAACTGGGCCATCGATTCGGACAGAACTCGCTTGGCGACTGCTACAAGAATGGTGAAGGTGTCCCGCTGAACATCAACGCCGCCGTCTTCTGGTATCGCAAATCCGCCGAGCAGGGTTGCGATTGGGCCATCAGCGAACTCAATCAACTCGGCCTGTGGCCCTGATCCCGAATCCCTCCCTAGTACCACTCCCAAATAACCAAGTCGCAACACTGAACATGCAAGCAGCCAAGCAAACCGCACCGCCAACACCCATCCCAACCACCATGATTCCAAAGTGTGGATTCGCAATGTGGACCCGATGAAGCGGCAATGACCGAGTGATGTTGTATTTGACATTCAATACATCCAATACATAAACAGTGCTGTCCCATAATAATCGCTGATGTTGATCGATCGGCAGAACCATCCCATGACTCGACAACGACAACTCGACCACTACAATCAATACTCGTTCTGCAGCTATAGCTAGCGAGCACGATCCAGACCATTCCTCGCCACATGGTACCGAAGAAAGCAGACAACAAGCCACCAGCCTTCCCCGGCACCAAGACCATCCTGCCTCGATCCGACACCAGGCAGCGTGTCCTGATCAGCATCGATGGACCGACAAATGGATGGCAAAGGCGACGAATGGCCTGGATCCAATCGGGCATAGGTTCGCCTCTACAGCCGCCAAAGGAAAGAAAATGGCCACACTGCAGCTTTCTGGTCCACCCTCGATCCGACCCAGGGACGCCGGGGCACGCCAGCGTATGTGGTAAGACCATGCGAGGTTGAAACCAGTCCACTGCAGTGCAGCCTGGAGACTGAGAGAGGACTCTTTGGACCACGAATGACAAGAACCACTCCTCTCGATCCGCATCTTCCAGGACACGAGCGTGATCAAGAACGATGTCATCCGTATCGATGCCCACCTCAATACCGGTGCCCATGACTTGACCAGTTCATCGACATGGCCAATGCCACCATGGGCTATCTATTCGAGTTCCCCATGTGGAAGGAGCCACCACTCTCAAACATCCTTGGCCGCCTCCTTCGGGACGAAAACCTGGCATTTCCCAAAGCACTCAACGCCGCCAAGCACTTCTACCAGTCCCAAATCGATGCGATCCCATACAGCAATCGCTGCTGCCCAGATCAGCAAGATCCTGTGACGTGATCACCAAGTACGGTAGCGGACTCGCCAACCACCACTCGTCGTTCAAGACCGCCTTCGCCAAGGATACAAGGCCTTTGTGGGCACCCTGGACACATCGACGGACAGCGTTGTGTTCAGTGATGGCACTCTCATCAATCTCCTGGATGGCACACGGCGCATGGCCACGGCAGAGGACATGTTCACGGCGACGCTCGAGATCCGATACAACCATGCGGCACTGACTGCCGAACGCAACGGGGAAATGATCACGTTCCTTGTGGTTGACACCCAGAACGGCAAGTCAATGCTGCTCAATATCATCGAGGCCGTGCTTAGGGGTTTGTTTGTCGTTCGATGGCGACAAGCTCCGCGATATGAAAAGTGGCATGTGCTTACTTGATCTCGATATCCGCGGGATCATCAGGGAGAGAGCACACCAGAGAATGAACCGCACCCTGCCGACTGGCACACTGCCAGCGATGGTCGCCAAAGCGCAGAACAACAGAAACCTACCAAGGGGCCATCCAGCATCAGCCCTGGTCGGATCGAGGGCACACAGGGGCCCGAAATCCGACGCTTGGAACGAGAGCGGCGATGCCTGAGCAGAATGCTCGCCCAGACCCCCGAGTACGACACGGAAGAGTTGGACGACCTTCGCCGACAGCTTCGGTCCACGAGAAAGGCCATCACCCAGCTCAAGCGCAAGAACGGCATACGGTCATGGAAGGAATCCATGGCCACCATGGACACCCAGAAGTGCTCCGAGATGACCAAGACCATCGGAGCGATGCACACGAGGAAGGAGAGGGAAGGATCCCATCTCTTTGACAACTCGGATGCGACTCTCGAGAAACTCGTGGTGCACTTTGGCAAGGTATCCTCCGCCTCGCAGGACAGCGGGACAGAGTACGACAGAAGTATAACCCCGCCACCCCTGAGCACGGAGGCGACCCTCCTGCCGCCCGACAAGCGGCTCCCAGAAGTATCGCTGGAGCACATCCAAGAGACCATCGAGAAAGCTCCACGTTGCAAGGCAGCGGGGTCCGACAAGATCAAGAGCGAAATGCTCATACCAGTCGCACCAGTGATAGCCGAGTGGCTCCGCCTGATCATCATGGCGGCGCTCAAGGCCAGCGTGGTGCCAAGCGAATGGAACAGCGTGCTGATCCACCCAGTGTACAAGCAGAAGGGATCGACCCTGGACCCGACCATGTATCGCCCGATCGGTCTCACTCAGACTTGCAGGAAGATCGTGGAAAGGATCATGCTCCCCTTCCTGGCAGAACAGGCAGGAGACATGGACGTCGCCCAAGGCGGATTTCGAGCCAGACGAGGATCCCTTGATCAGATCGTCGCCCTGGACACCCTGATCAAGCACCACAAGATGAACGGTGAGGAGTACTCTCTGATCTTCCTCGACATCAAAGCCGCATATGACACCGTATGGCGCGAGCGACTGTGGACCAAGCTCAAGCAGCGAAGAATGAACGGCATCGCCCTCGGCTTCCTCAAAGCCATGTTTGACCGGGTATCCATCCAAATGGTCAGCAAGGGCCGAAGATCCAAGCCAGTATGGCTCCAGAAAGGACTGATCCAGGGATCGGTGCTGAGTTCACTCATGTTCAGCGCCTTCATCGACAATCTGCCAGGACCGAATGGTGACCAGGACAAGAGAAGCAGCATCCAACATGACCAAGATGGGTCTGACCTTTGGGAACCTCACGCCAAGACACTGACGATTGCATACCGCACGTTCCTGCGGCCGATGATGGAATACGGCCTCGCCCTCGACGCCATCCCAAAGAACGAACAGAAGTGGCTCCACCGGACACAAACATTCTGCCTGAACTTGCTGTTCCGCACAGCCCTCTCAACATCACACGGAGCACTGCACCTCAACTGCGGATTACCTACACAGAGTGGTGGACACACAACTTCCCACGACCAGCAGGAGAGACAACCCTCTCTTCGCACCAAACAGAATGCCAGGCAGATGGAGTGACTGGGACGCTGAGAGGCACTAGGCCACGACAGCGAGTCCCTGTGGGACCTCTTGGAGGATGTGTTCACCCGCATGGTCCGTCTTGTGGGCTGGAGAGTCGGCGAGAGTCGGCGAGAGCCACAACAGGGGTGTGTGAGCTTGCTTGGACATCCACTGCCGGGTACCGCATGGTGCTGATGGTATGTTGAATGTTCTTGAATATACAACCATCGTAAACAAAATCAAAATAACCATGGTTTTGGCTCTCTTTGCCGTGCTCGCCTAATAAGCCCACTTGTTACATGGGGCTTTCCGCCGTCCTCTCACCCATCATTTCCCGGCCACTGTGGTTTCGAGGGACCAAGCCTTATTTCCTCTATTACTACTCCGTGTGGTGTTCCACTCGATGTGGTGCCCTACTCCGTGAGGTGTCCTACTCCGTGTGGCGTCCTACGCTTGATGCAAGCATTGTCTTTCGGGCCCACTCTCTCACTCTTTGAGCATCATCCGCCAAGGCCCATTTTCAACCAGCCCATCGGCTTTTTAGTAGAAACAAACCTTTTCATTTCATCCTCACCCTATTTAAACTCATATCATTCCCCTCCCCCACAACGAGCCCAAGAACGAGAGCGAACAAAAATATGGATAAACTCAAACTTCCCCCCCCCGAGAGTGTGGATCACTACTGTTGTTTCCTTCCCCTCCCCCTCAGCCAGAAAATACATGCATACGGTGCTCGTTATGTTGAACTAACAGACCCAGTCTCGTTGGCATGTGCGCGCTATTACTCTATATCAGAAGGCGTCGAGGACACGGCGGTCGTTCTTGGAGAGGGATGGGACAGCAACTCCCTGCCATTGGTGCACGAGGCAGCAATCGTCCCTCGCCATCTTCAGGGCGTATTCAACGGCGGTGTATAATAACGACATAGGCTCACGACGGCGTATCAGGCAGAGAGACATAGTATTCATAGCTTTCACCAACAGCAGGAACATAGATTAGTACCGCGCATCGCGAGCAGCCAAGTCTTGGATGAGTAGGTTCACCGGTAGATAGTACTGATGGTCGAAGGGGCTGCGAAGGCACCATCACTCAGCGAGTGTATGCAGGCGGGTTGGGGTCGTACATCTCCAGCTTGGTCGGTCCTGATCCGCCGACGGGAGCATACGCCGAGCTGCCGCCGCCATAGCCCGAGTTGGCGGCGAGCGGTGCGCTGGAGTATCCGTCGTATGGCATGGAGGTGGCTGGGTTGTTAAAATCACCCTTGCCGGAGCTCGCCACCGTTGTGATGGTACGGGGATGGTGGGCGGCAGGAGCGCCGGTCACATGAGGCTGGTGAGGAACATAGGCGTCTACCGGAGGCTGAGGCATGCCGGAAGCAGACTGGACGGGCACGAGCGCAATGTCCTGCGATGGCACTGATGGAGGGGCTCCGTTTGGTGTATAGCTGTTGCTGTGGGCTGGGGCGTACATCGGAAGAGGGTTTGGGGATATCGGATTGGGCTGGAACGGGGCCGAGGTGTCATACTTGCCACTTGGCAGCCGGTTGGCGGACTGGTCAAAGGTCGGGTTGGCGGGTTGATAGGCGAACTGGTTACCGGGCTGGTTGCCGAACTGGTTGCCGAACTGGTTCGAGGGTGGGTTGGCGGACTCGTTGAGGATCGGTATGGGCTTGGATCGCCGAGAGCGGTAGACGAGGAAGCCGACAATGGCGATCACAGCCACGGCACCGGCGGCACCTCCCGCGATGGCGCCAATAGGCAAGCTGGAATCGCTGCTGTCGGAAGAGGAGGGAGACGAGGCCGGACCAGATGCAGGAGCCGAACCAGGAACAGGAGCAGGAACAGGAACATGACTCGATGTAGCAGTTGAACCAGGGGCGGGGACGACCCTAGATGTCGCAGTTGTGCCAGGGGCGGGGACAGGGCCAGCTGCAGTAGTTGACGGTGAAGCGACGCTGCACTGCGTAGGAGTCCAGGTGGACGGGAACGAGAAGGTGCAAAAGTTGCTGCTGTCGCCAAAGAACAGGTCGCGGCAGGAGACATAGGGCTGGCCGGCGACAACACCAACGACGCAGGCAAAGTTGTCGTCTGTCGTGGCGCACGGGCTGATGGCTTGGTCCGAGAAGCTGCATCCGTTGAAGTTGCAGCACATGCGGGCGAGCAGGCGATGCTGCGAGTCCGAGGCCATCAGACTCTGGGCGCTGGTGATGTATTGGGGGGACACGCCGATGCAGTTGCCGGCGGTGAGGGTGCTGGTGGGGATGGTGCAATCATAGAAGCCCGGCTGGCTGCCTTTGACGCAGATCTGATTGACGCAATAGGTCTGGCTCATGGCGGGCGGGACGATGGATGGAGCTGTCGTGTGGGAGCAGAGTCGACAGGATCGTCGGCTGGACGAGAGCCGAAACCTTGGAGAACCGAAGAAACAGCGGGGAGACTAAGTAACCTTCGAGTAGACGATGTATCATCGAGGAGATGAACAAACAGCGAGGGAGAAACGCTTCTCTGACAAAGCAAAGAAATGGCCAAAGCGCGGGGCGTTCATGCTGCCGGAGGCGAGGGAGGGAACAAAAACTGGGCAACAAGAGGGACAACTAATCCGGCGCCGTGCGCGCATGGTTTTTTCGTACATGGTTTTCGCCCGTGTGGTGAGGGCTTTGTCGCTGGAAGGTGGATCGTTTGTCCCACGGCTTGACTTGCAGTAACACGGCGACATGGGACATGTCCAACCCGGGAGAGCCACCGTCCAACCCGAGAAAACCACCGTCCAACCCGAGAAAGACATGTCCAGCGCCCAGGGGACATGCCTGACACTGAAGAAACATGCTCAACACTCAGGAGACAGTCCGGGGGCACTTTCTCTGTCCGTGACGAGACAACAGCGCACATCCAAGGTCATCGCCACCACGGCTTCAGCCCAGCCCCACAGCCCCCAGAGCCGCGCCCCGCACCGGATTTTCTTCTCTTTCTTTATTGTGCATTAGTCATCAGGGTCCCCGGCATCTCGTTTCTGGGGTCCCCGCACCGGATGTGTGTGCGCCTTTGATCCGTCGCCTGGGCTGTGCGGGGGTGTTGTCAACCAATCCCACGCGTTTCGCACACCCCGGCTTGTGATGCAGTTGTACCGGGCTGTTCCGCCTTCGCAGCACAACGGTGGCAACAAGCAGTGCGGCAACAGAGTGTCTGGTTGTGGGTGGTCTGGGTCCGGTCACACACACAGCGTTTGGTATCAGTCATCCCGGCAGAACATGACTACATCTCCAAACATATCCATACAGCCCCCTAAAAGTACACCTCGGAAACAGAAAAATATCCATACAGCTGCCTTCGCCTTGTCCCATGCGCTCAAAGCGGGCAAAGCCCAAGGCGGCGATGTACCTCGCCTCTGGGATTTAAATGCCACCACTTCCGCTCCCACCATCACAACCACCACTACCAACTTCCACCTCTTCGACCAGTACCACCAACATGCAGTTCAAGCTCTCCTGCCTCGTCGCCCTCGCTGCTGCCTCGGCCGTCCAGGTCCAGGCCCAGACTACCTCCGTTGGTGCCCAGCTCTGCACATCAATTGGAATGTGTATCAAGAGCACGACCACCGGCAACTACTGCTACGACGATATCGCGCAGAGTGCCCAGGCCCTGGCCACCACAACCGACCCAACCGCCGCTGCCAAGATCCTCTGCACCCAGTGCTACCACGATGTGATCGTCTGGTTCCAGAACAACCCCACCGCTGGCGGCACTTCCGCAAGCCAGTTCCAGGGCATCATTACTCAGGTCAACACGATCTGCGGCGCCAACTTCCTGAGCGGCAACTCGACTGCCTCCCCCACCACCGGCTCCGCTCCCACCGGCTCCGCTCCCACCGGCTCCGCTCCTGCCAGCTCCCCTACTGCCAAAAGCTCCCCTACTCCCAAAAGCTCGGCCGACACCTCCAAGCTCTCGCTCGGTGCTGTCCTTGTCGGCGGTGTTGCTCTTGCTGCCATGATGTTCTAATCGTCGATGAATATCGAGCCATCTGCCTCACCCTGTACATGTTCTATGATTGGCATCGTAAGCCCTCCTATATGTCCCATGTACTTTTATATATCTCCCTGTCAACACACACAGCAGCTATTGCTTGCCAATACATATGTTTGTTGTCAAGTCATCCGTTTGCAGCTTCTTGCCTTCGTCGCTCCCACGCGGCAAATCTTGTTGCATTCTCAAGTGGTGTGGCTCAGCCCGCCGCTGTACCCGAATCCTTTGGGTCCAAACTTCTTCCCATAACATGAGCGACAGAAGATGGCGCTGTCTCGTTCGGCCATCGACGACGAGTCCAACGTCCGGTTGCATTCGCTGTTGGCCGTCCCCCATCCCGTTGTGGCAAGGACATGACACCGCGAAACCAATACCGACAGCAAGATCCATTGGCAGTCAGCGCGAGCTCTGTCAGTGATTTCTGCTCGTGAGCGACAGCACTTCGCGGCCATAACTTGCAGATGCGAACGAGGGCACTCACGAGCGCAGGAAGCAAGACTTGTGGTACTTTGTGTTTCCAGGGCCAAGCGCCTGCTCGGCAAAGTATACGGCCTTTCCACAGCGAGGGCATATGTCGGTCGAGCCAAATTTGGGCTTGGTGCTTGGTGCAGCTGAAACAGAAGCTGCCATGGGTGCTGCTGTCGGTGGTGCTGCTGGTGGTGGTGCTGGTTCGGCAGAAGCAACGGTGCCCGTCCCTGGTTCGGCAGTGCCCTGGCCCTGGTTGGACTGGGGCTTGCCTTCACAGTGGAGAAAAGTACCACCACCGCAGCCGCCGTATCCTGGCCCCATCACACGAGACAACGACCGTCAAATATCAATGAAATGCTTGCCGACTCTTGCGCGGGCTTCTTCATTGAGTCTCCATGTCCGGCGAACCCCATCGGCCGAGCCAAAAACTCTCCCAGGCTTGATCTGACCCCATGCACCAGGCAATTGAATACCGTCACATGTCTCTCAAGACCCATCAGAGATCAGGACTGGATGTCTCGTCGCAGGTCCGATGGCCTCACCTTTGGGACCAAAGAGCTTGCCATAGCAGGACTTGCAGTAAATCTCTCCGGCACTTTCAGTCAAAGTGGTGGACTCGAGTCGTTTGCGGCATTCTTGGGCCCAGAGGCGGTGAGCACGACGAAGCAGTAACGGGAGCAGCACATCACAGAGCCCATCGGATTGAATTCGGTTCACGACGCCATCATCGGTCGACGGTATCTATCGCCGGAATCGCATCCCTCACACCCACCTTGCAGCTGAAGCAGCTCTTGTGCCAGGCCGAGCCTGCTCCGATAACCTGAATATCGTGCTCAAGCGCAAACCGCCACTCTTGGCTCCGGCTCGGCTGCTTTACCGTCAGGATGATCGGTGCGGATTGCTCCACTCTCCAAACATTGATTGCCAGTGTTTCATATCCGTACGTCCATCGACAATGCCAAGCACGATCGTCTACCAACGGCCTCACTCTTGAAAACTGAATGAGTACGCCTGTGTATTCATGGTCCAGGATAGGCCCGCAATCGCGTCTGAAATGAGGAACGATGAATAATACTGCACTCTCAGATCACAAGACCCCGGTTCCTGAGGTCCTCGAGGCCATGGCGCGCTTCGGAATAGCCCTGATCAGCAGATTGGCGATACCAGCTGGCGGCCTTCTCGATGTCCTTGGGCAGCCCGCGACCTTCCTCGTAGAAAACAGCAAGATTGTACTGCGCATACATGTTGCCCTGCTCTGCAGCCTTGCGATACCAACTGGCTGCGATGGCGAAATCAGCAGCGACACCATAGCCGTTTTCGTAGCACAGCCCCAGGTTGTTTTGGGCCGTGGCGCTTCCAAGCTCGACTGCCTTGCGATACCATTCCAGAGCTTTGGTATAGTCCCTGACAACACCCCAACCATTTTCGTAGCACCGGCCGACCATATTTTGTGCGTACGAGTTGCCCTGGTTGGCTGATCGACTGTACCACTGGTATTCAGCGGAGTGATCCATGGCCACGCCTCGGCCGCTTCCGTAGCATCGGCCAAGCCAGTACTGGCTTACATCCCGGTCCTGCGAAGCGAGCTTCTCAAAAATCGCAACCGATCGGATTTGGTCCTTTGTTACGCCGAAGCCTCCCATGTAGCAAACGGCCACGAGGTGGGCACATATCCAGTCCCTCTCCGAGCCGATCTCGCACAACCTAAAGAATTGACGGGCGGCAGGCGAGTCCGACGAAATTGGGGTACGCGAGCTGAGGCAGTCTTCCCCAAGGCCAAATGTGACCGTTCGGCTCTGGCGGATGAGCTCGATTGCTTTCGGCTTGTCTGTGGGGGTGCCGCGTCCGCAGTAATGGCACCACCCGAGCATCAATGTGGCGAGAGGTTTCAAGATCGGATCGGTTGATTTCGAAGAGACAAGCTGCCAGCAACTGATCGCCTGATCGTCGCGCTGGCCGACGCCTATTCCGCAAAAGTACAGCCAGGCAAGATGGAAGCTGGCGCCGAGATGCGGTTCGTCGGCAGCTCTTTCAAAAAGCTGTGCAGTCCGCGCCCAAACGGGATCGGCGGCGGGCTTCTCAAAGGACAAGATTTTCCCAATTTGGACATATGCATCCAAGTCGTCGGAGAGAGCCCGACGCATGACCAAGCTTGGGATTTCAGGGGCAGAGCCAAGTTCAGCCGCTAAGAGCTTCAGCACACCGGGATTCGAGAGGATGCCGTTGTCCGGGGAGTCGGGTGAGTTCCCAGTCCGATAATGCAGGTATTCGATCACGGCGCGGGCGATAGTGAGTTTATCTCCGTCTGAGGTCTGATACAGGGATGGAGATGAAGACGAGGACGGGGTCGGGGATGGAGGCGGCGGTGGCACATAGTCCCGATAGGGCTCAAGCGCTTTGAGGACGATGCTGAATGCCGGACGCTGGGCCGGATCCTGGTGCCAGCAGCACTCTATGATGGCCCAGACATCATCGGGGATCCCGTCGAAACGCTTGGGACGACTACCTCGGGAGATCTGCCGCTCAACGATGCGAGGACGCAGTGGGGTCCCGTCGTTTGCGATCCAGGTTGGCTTGCTATCATTCAGAAGCTCGTAAAGCAGAATGCCAAAGGCATAAACATCTGTCTTCTTTGTCGTGCCCGAGGGCTCGTCGCCGTCGAGCATTTCCGGAGCCAGGATTCCAAGATCTCCGGACATGGTGTCGGTGAGACGGACCTGCACAGACGACGACGACGTGTGCTTGGTGCGCGAGAGTCCAAAGTCCGAGATGACTGCGACAAAACTCTCATCGAGGAGTATGTTTCTGGTTGTCAGGTTGCCGTGGATGATGTTGCTTCCGTGCAGATAGGCCATGCCCGAAGCAACTTGGTGGGCCAAGTACAGCTTTTCGTTGAGGGGGCAGGCGGACTCGGGGTCCGAGACGTGTGTTCGGAGGGTACCGTTCGGCATGAACGGGGAGACCATGAAGGGCCTTTCGGCCGCATCGCAGGCGCCCACCAAAGTAAGGACGTTGGCGTGCCTGAGCTTGTGCCAGATATCAATCTCTCGACGGAACTCGGCAATCTCGCTCTCGGTGTAGCTGCACAAGAGCTCTTTGACAGCAACCTCGGATCCAAAGTAGCGTGCCGTATAGACCTCGCCAAAGCCGCCACGGGCAATCGGCTTTGCGGAGCGATCGGTGATTGTGTTGGCATCGATGCGCCACCGCTCATTCTTCATCGAGCGAGCAACCTGGGACTGGGACTGGAGCAAGTGCAGGAGTGGGGCAACGACTCGCTCGACGATAGGCTGCGGCGCCCCGTCCTCACCAGCCAGTCCAAGCAGGGCACTAGTTGCCTGGCGGATTCTCCAGGCTTGACTGTCGATCGCAATATCAAACTTGCTGAAGACGGCGGTGCTGTTTTGCTCGAGAAGCTGCACCGCCTCGTCGATGAAGGCTTGTTCCTGAGTCTCATCCGCACGCATGGCCACGAGCAAATGGGACTCGTCGAGCTTCAGGGCACTGGGGAGGGAGAGTGTATGCGCAATACTTTCCCAGTGCGAATCGAGCTCGCGATAAAACAGTTGAACGGCCTCGCGGGATTGGCTGGCCTTGATAACCCGCTCGACCTTGGGATGTTTGTGGTTCTCGGTGACGTAGTCACCAATACGTGCGTAGAGATTCTGCAGACGTGCGAGGTGCGGGGCAAGCGTTGGTGGTGCATCGATTTGAGCCTCGGCGAGGGTCTGAAGGACCTCGAGCGAATGGTTCGAGAGGCATGCCCACGATGTTTGGTTCTCTTGCACTTGCTTGGCGGCATCGAAGGCGAGCAGGGCGGCATTCAGGACAGGGCCCAGCGAATCGCCGCCGTGGCACTGAACAAGGACAGCAATGCTTGTCAAGGCAACAGCAACGTCGACAACCATACGTCCGGCGGGCAGGTCGAGGAGCAGATGGAAGGCTGAGGGGGGAGACACGGGCGACGCCCAAACCACAGACAAGAATGGACTCTGGCCAATCAGGGCTGGGTGGTGGGTGCGACCAGAGCCACCAAAAACGGATGCCGTGCGACTGTCGTGATTCCGAATGATATGCTGGCTGGGGCGAATGATGTGCCCGGAGCGAGGCTGTATCTGGCTCCATGGGGCAGTCATGCAAACATCATCAACTCTACTCCACAGTGCAAAGGCTATGCCACCAGTCCCGCTGAGATTCGTCCGGCGCTTCTATTAGTCCCACCACTATCACCACCAGACGAATAGATGCTTCAACCAAGCCGAACATGCCCCTCTCTTGCTCGACAATGACGTCTGGATATCTCTGCACGTTTTGAGGGACTATATGCATAGTATACGACGGACACACACACAGAGAGAGAGAGAGTCGCAGCCCGGTGAGGCTCCTGCTCAATCTCACACCTTCAACGACAGATTCGAGATGGGTGCGGTTAGGGTCGCGAGGAGGCAGCGAGTGGGAAATCGAGTCTTTACTCGGACTCAGTCTGACTGGTTGACGCAGGTTTGCTCGACGATGTTGGCCGGCTCGGCGATGCTGGCTGGGTGGACGCCGCTTTTGTGGACGGGCTCTGGGCTTCTGGTGCGGATTCCGGCGGGTGGTAGGTGGCAACGGAAGCTTTGGCGCCCTCGGGATTTGCTTCTGCAGGAGGCGCCCGGCTGGTGGTGGCCTGAGCAAGACTGCTCTTGTAAGACGGGCACCGCTCCAGCGTGGGATGCTGTGCGGATGGATCCGAGGCGTCGTGCGGAGCCAGTTTTCTCATTGGCACAAGACCATGCCTCTCTGTGGTGTCGTTGCGGGCCTGAAACAAAAGCAAAGATTGCAGCAATGAGTCGATGGCCCGAGCAAGCGAGATAAGGAAGCATTCTGTGCATATCTGGAGGCGAGCGGGACGAGTGCAAGAGCTCTCGCAGCATCTCCTCGACTCGTCTCTGAAACACCGTCAGCGCACACGCGCTAAGCTGTGAAGCCTCCACATCCTCTTCGCACACATAGGGGGCCTGCTTGCGGTTCCGGCCACGCTAATGCTGCGGATTCAGTCGCCCAGATGGGAGTGACACCGCCGCATCAGTCACAGCCTTGGGGCTAGGGCAGGCGAGACTGTACCTGTCCCCAGGTCTCGTTGACGAGGTAGAACACAGTGACCACGTCGCCGACATTCAGAGTCAGCTCCGGCGAGCCTTTCTGAGGGTCGTGCGATTCGATGACCCTGAAGGGTGGATATCCGGGGTTGGCGGCCGAATTGAAGGGCGGGTAGATGTAGTCCGAGTTCGAAGAGGCCATGTAGCTGTTGCGCGAGTATTCCGTTGAAGACTGGACCAGAGACTGCGGTCGGTACTGCAAAAAGCCGGGTGGATCGGCCACGGATGTATACGAGATCGGGCGGTCGCTCTCGGCACCGCTGCTGACGGCTTGGGACGTCCGGGGTTGGCCGTATGCATTAAGGATCGAGGCGGTTAGATCCACGTCGCGGTCAGAAGCGCCAGAGGGCAACGATGCCGAGGGAGGCTGGGCACCATCTTGATTAGCAAGCTCGAGAGTCTCGAGGATGGCAGGGGGTTTCTTCTGCAGAGCTTTTCGCCGCTTAGTGATCACGACGGCGGCAATGATTGCAGAGATCACGACTGTGGTGGGAAGCACACGAGCAGGTCAGCGATCCAGAGCATGCGAGCATGTCAGCAATTCTGCCAAGGGCACTCAATCAGCTGAAGAGACAGCCGAAGCCGGGAGGTGTGGGATGCACCCTGCCATTCGCACACATGCTGCAGGACTCACCGAGGCATCCAACAACAATGCCGGCAATGAGACCCGCGTTGCTTGGGGAAGAGACCGGGGCAGGAGCGGGCCCGACGGGCGAGCCGCCGCCAGGCTTGGTGCCGTTAGCAAAGGCCGTTGGGATGGCAGCCAGAACGGAAGGACCAACGGACCAGCCGACGAAGGACTGGCTGGTACTGTTGGGCGCAGGGTGGCTGCATGCGCTATTGATGCCGAGCTGAGCGGACGTCGGGCCAGCAAAGCACGAGGAGCAGCCCGAATCGAGGCAGCCATAGTTGGTCAGGACCGCATTGCTGTTTGCGTCGCTGGTTTTGACGGTGTAGACAAAGAGGTTGGAGTCGATTTGGGTGCAGCTACCGTAGACGGGCACACGGATCGCCCAGGCAGCCGGGGTGTTGCAGTTGGGATCGACGTAGTAAGTGCTGTAGGCAAACAGGGTGGTTTTGAAAGACGGGCTGAGGCTACTGTTGCAGCCCAAGGCAAGCAAGCGAGAGGGTTAATACGAAAAACCGCTGCGAGTGGCAGATGCAAGCGAGTCCGTATGCAAGCGAGTCCGTATGCAAGCGAGTCCGTATGCAAGCGAGTCCGTATGCAAGCGAGTCCGGATGCAAGCGAGTCCGGATGCGCATTCATGCATCTGTGGACGAATGGGCAGGTCCATGCAGATAGGGTATGTGCAAATAACCAAAAAAGCAAATGGAGCGGGGATGTCGCTTGGGGCCAAGCGATCTCGGCGGCCACAACTTACTCCTTGGATGTGTAGTCGCTCGGGGTGACGCCGTACCAGGACGACCCACAAACATCGGCATCAAGGGCTGGGGCCGTGGCGCTGTTGTAGAGCTTGCAGGTGGAGGCGTCGCATGTGGACGAAAGACAGGTATAAGTGGTGCGGGCCTGGGTGGTGGGATCGATCGAGTCGTATTCGAACTGGGTCGGATCGTAGCTGAAAAAGTGGCTGCAAAAGTTGGTGCGGAAGACAAAGTCGCCGAGGACGCTTGCTCGCTGGGCGACCGAGGAGATGAACCGGCTGCACTGCGGGAGAGAGTAGCTCTGGTTGACGCCGTAGAAGATCTCCCAGCCATTGAAGGAGCTGCTCGAGTTGATGGGGACGACGGCAGGGGTCGACATGGCCGCGGGCGGTGCGGGGAGAGTGCGGGAAAGGGTGGATGCTTGGGCTGCTGTTGGTCAGGAAAGGCAGAGCAAGAGGAAGCGGACAGGCGCTATGAGGAGCAAGCAAGACAAGACAAGACAAGACAAGACAAGACCAAAGCCGGACGAACAGCAGCGCGGCCCGAGTCCAGAGCGGGATGCAAAGGCAAGATGAGAAGGGGGGCTGGCGGGCGGCAGGACGGCCGTTCGGGAACGAAGGCGAGCGCAGAGGATGCACGCAGGAGCGGGTGGCTGGAGAAGCAAGGAACGACCGCGGAGTGGACGACGGGATGGTGGGATGATGGGACGGGGTGGAGGGTGTTTGCGGCCGATGCTTGCAGACGGTGTTCACAATTGATATTCGCACTTGATATTCGCACTTGATATTCACAATTGATATTCGCGACCAATGTCCGCGGTTGATGTTCGCAGACGATGCGTATCGTCGGTCGTTTGGCTCTCGAATGCAGTCGCGGAATAACGGGAGGCCACAGCCACTGTGTGTGTGCTCTGTCCAACTGCTTGCCAACTCTGTCGCGCTGTGTCGCACGGATGTGCCATCTCGTTCCTTCTGTGTCGCTGTATCCGCCCTGTGTCTCTGTATCCCACCCGGCTCAAAAGCGCCGCGGCTGTGTTTGCTTGTGTCCTGCATCGCCGCTGCACGCTCTGTGCGGCGTGTCCAGCCCGGCGCCACCCGGCCCGTGACTCACACCTTGCCCCACCCAACACGCCAACACCGACCCGCCACCCGCCAACACCGCCCCATCTCGTGCCCACACGCGCATCCCAGCGCCTCGGCAGATCCAAGCTTCTGGCCACAGCCACAGCCACAGCCACAGCCACATCCATATCCATATCCATCTCGATGACGGCACCGTTGCCTGTATTCATCCAAGGCCCCAACACACACGCGGCCTCGTCATGCATCAGTGCTTGTTGATTGCACAGCTGCTCAGGCTGGCAATGTCCGTGCTCGAGCACGCCAGTCCATGCACTTCCTTCTCGAGCCGCATGAGCGCCAGCATGAACCCAATGTTGGGGCACACACCGGGCCGCAGTTGCTTGACGTGCTCGTAGGCATCCTTCAGCAGCATCTTCTCGCCCTTGATGAGATATCCAATCACTGCCGTCGCCGATCGAGACCGACCGGCCTGGCAATGAACGAGTATCTTGGCATCCTTGTTGGCGGCCTTTGCATCCACTGAGTTGGTTGTCGAGTTGATTGTCGATTGCCAAAATGTAGACCACAGGGCTGCGTGAGTCCAAGTTTGCACCCACCGCACAGACAAGCCACGAACCAACTCAACTCTACTCTACTCCGTTTGTACATCAGTTCCTCCACAAACACACATCCAATGACAAACCGCAGTTCCCGCCCAGCGAGCGAGCTCCCAGCCCCTGCTCCGTGACTGATGGCCTGTCTCGTACCGATAAACTGTAAGGCCTCCTTCATCGGGGCCTCGGCGTCCTGTTCCGCGCTGTCGTGCATCTTGATGTGGTGGTAGTGCAGCGTCCGGCCGTGGGATAGCTCCTTGGCGACTTTGACCTCTGCCGCCATGTTGAGGACGTGCGTAACTCCAAACCTTTGCAGTTGCGTAACGCAGTCGTTCGACTGAGGCAGTGCGTCCGAGCCTAGAAACAAGAACGGCCGAATCTCTGTTATCGGCGGCATCGGCGCCGGTTGCTCCGATTCATCGGGGCTCGGCAACTCCGGCGGCGCCGCTCGTGTCGATGTGGCAAGGTCCGGCTCCGAGAGTACGTTGCCGGCTCGCAACGGCGTCCCCTTCTCCAATAGCGCACGGAGAGGGGTCGAGCCGAACGCTCTGTCCTTGGTTGGCGTTGTGTCGATCGAAAAGTTGGAAACCTTGCGGGTACTAGGGTGCCGTATCGGCGACGGCCGCGAGGCCGACACGGCACTCTTCACCAGCGGCGACACAGCATCCGTTCGAATCGACTCGGGCTTGCTCGCCGCCTTGACCTTGAGCTCCGTCGGAGCTGTGGCCGCAATGGCTCCAGAGGGGATTCGTATGTCCGTAGTTTGCACCCCGGCCAGGACCGAGTCGTGGACCACAAACGGATGGCTGCCCGCAAGCGTCACAAAGGCGTTGAAGCCGCCCTCGAGGTACACGAGCTGGACCACCTTCCCATTCGGAAGCACCATCTCCGAGCCCGGCCCCCGGCCCTGCGACAGCTGCACGAGGCTGATCTCCTTCTCCAGGATCGAGATGAGGCCCCAAGAGTCAGACGACTGATCACGGTTCATGTGGTCGTCGTACACTAGCATCCAGGGCTCGCTGCTCAGGGCACCTTCTTGACGCCACTTTTCGTAGTCTTTCCGCGACTGGTCCGAGCCAAGAAAGTTGGCCATCTGGAAGCTGGAGATTGACCCACGGCTGAATCGCTTGAGCATGATCGGCGGAAGATACAGGTTAACCGATCCGGAAATCCTCCGCTTCTCATACTCGGCTGATGGACGCATATCCACAAACAACACAGCCGCGTTGGCCGGGAACTCAAATCCATCGCCACTGTCGTCGCGGCTCGGCGAGCGACCGGGTGAGCGGGAGCTGTGCTGGTGACGATGGTGATGGTGGTGGTGATGGTGCTGGTGGTGCTGGTGCTGGTGCTGATGATCGCGGTGGTGTTCCTCTTGTGCGGACACTGGCGGTGCTGCTGGTGCTGCTGGTGCTGCTGGTGCTGCTGGTGCTGCTGGTGCTGCTGGTGCTGCTGGTGCTGCTGGTGCTGCTGGTGCTGCTGGTGCTTGCTGTAGGTCGAGTTCGTTAGATTTGTCACCCAAACGACTTTCGGAGCCATGCTGCCCGACCACCACTTCGGTTGGGTTGCCCCACACTTGGAGCGCTGCCGGATCGGTCCCAGAGCCCTTGGACTGACTGTGTCCCCTCACTCGGGTTGGTGAGTGCAGAAACTTCAAGACATTGGCGGCACTGATACGCTGGAGAGTGGCCGCGGGCTTCTTGGAATCGGATCCTCTCTCACGGCCCGAACCCCAGGACATGAGGCCTTCATTTCCCGGTGACCCCTCTGGTGTGGGCTCGTGACGGTCCTCTGGCTCTAGCAGATCATCGGATGACTGAATACTGGACGCCGACGCCTTCAGGTCCACAATCCGCTCTTTGCTCGTCAGGTTTCTATCTGTTTGAACCGATGCAGCACGGTGTTTCATCGAGAGTCCGGTTTCGATCATTAGCAATTTGTCGGCCACCACCATCACCCATAGCAAGAGACTCGGTGTGATAGCACAGCGGCAAATCAGGGGTGGCTGGGTGGGCGCAGGGTTGCTGTATAGCATTCTCTCAAACGATATGGCGCTACTTTCATCCCTAGTGCGAACCCAAGCTGCTCTTGCCTCCAACCGATTCCCAATAGAAGCATTCGGCAAGCTCAAATCGCATGTGTCCTCACCTAGGGACTTGCTGGGGGCCACACGCTCTTCTTCGGAGGCCGAGCTAGCTTTGGAGGATGAAGTGGGAGATCGGAATCGGCCCGGGAGATGCTCGCGCGAGCCACTATGCGCGAAATACTGATAAAAGTGCGGGGTGGGCTCCTTGACAGGCGATTCAGAGGCAATATCCTTGTTCTCCGAAGACTTGGAGCGGATCCGAAAGGACGACTGTGCGCCCGGTCCTGATGCTGATGCTGATGCTGATGCTGATGCTGATGCTGATGCTGATGCTGATGCTGATGCTGATGCCGATGCCGATGCCGATGCCAATCCTGATGCCGACTGTATGTGCAGCGTCTCGAGAGTTGCCGAGAGCAACTCAGCCGAGCGCGAGGCCAAGTCAGATGAATGCGACGACAGCCGCTTGACCTCATGCTCGCTGCCGCTCGGAACGAGCTTCTCCTTGCTGCTCGAGTGCGGAAATGGGCTCGGGGGAACTCCAGCGGTCGTCGCCGAGCCCAGGGCCGGTCGGTCTCGCATGGCTGCCTTGCACAGCACAGGTCACGTCTCACGGCAACTTCACGTCGACGGGGGTATGTACCCAAGTGCTCCACGACAGGAATGCAACAGCTATGGAAGTTGAGTCCGTTTGGAGGAGATTACGGATCAAGTTACCGGGTAGCGGTGCAGGGACAGTCCCAGTCGGTGGGTACGGCTCAATATCGGGAGCGAGCAAGTCGTGGGAACAGGAGGGACTCGGCTTGGTGCCAAAAGTTGATGCGCTCGCCAGGATACGAGTGCGCAACTGAAGATTGCTCAAGTATCTGGCAAAACAACTCAGCAGTGAGTGTCGGTGCTGATGGCAATGGCGCTGATGGCAATGGCGCTGATGGCAATGGCGCTGATGGCAATGGCGAAGCGGATGTGCACGGCAGTGGAGATGCAGTGTTGGGCGTCGTGAGAAACGCTGGGTGGCCGGTACAGGGGAAGTCAGCGCCGCAGATTACCTCCTTGGACGGCGTGTCGGGAGAGATAGTTGCAGTAAGGATTACTACCGGGTGCCCTGCGGTGCTCGCAAAGGCTCGCAAATGCTCGAAGGGCAGCCGAGGGAGGAAAAATGGAAGGCCGCCGAGCCAGGCGAGCTGACGAGTATGCTCGAATCAAGACTCAAGCAAAAGAATAGCCCGAACGCCTCCCCCACCGTTCCAAGAAAGCCTCCCTCGAATCATACACGATGCCCAGATCGCCTCTTGCACGCGCCAGGGATTGTCTACCAGCCCAGTTCTGTCTGCGAGCACCGGCGAGGAAATCTGGGTCGATCCACCGACCACCATATCGAGCTCACACGCCGGGTATTGATCATTTAGAGGCACGTGTGTGTGTGTGTTGTGGCCATTGGAATTGCAGTGCGACACCAATTCACTCAGACAGCATTTGTCGTTGTCGGATCATATCATGCAGCCAAATGGGTCGAGTCATCCTTGGGCGTCCCTCCCTCAGCGCCGCCCCAAGAGTCCAGTACGATCCCACAATCGAGCCTCTGCGGTCGGCATCTCATCGCCCAGGTCCACCACAACGGCGCGTGTGTCGATCACCGTCCAAGCCACACAAGCCACACGGGCAGTCCACGTGTTGAGGTGTCCCGTTTCGGAATGGCCGCCGATATCTGCCGCTGGGCGTGGCGGCATTCTTGGATCTCCCCTTCATTTCGCTGTCAACGGCATTTACAGTCAACATGGTAACGACCACACGATCGACGCATGGACGCATGGACGCATGGACGGACGGATAGATGGATAGATGGATGGATAGATACTTGCACAGATGGATGGATGGATGGATCGACGGATAGATGGATGGATAGATGGATGGATGCGCACGATACCACCCGCAGCGCTCTCGAAGCAACCCCGCTGACCGATCGTCTCGCTGCCCGTCCCAACAGTCCGCAGCCAGACCCGCCATCTCTGTCTACTCTGACGCCGGCAGCAACAAGGTCGTCGACACCGTCCCTCTGCCCGCTGTCTTCAAGGCCCCCATCCGTGCCGATGTCGTGAACTTTGTCCACACCAACCTGGCCAAGAACAAGCGTCAGGCTTACTCCGTCAACGTCGAGGCCGGCCACCAGACCTCGGCCATCTCGTGGGGTACCGGTCGTGCCGTTGCCCGTATTCCCCGTGTCTCTGGCGGTGGAACCCACCGTGCCGGCCAGGCTGCCTTTGGCAACATGTGCCGTGGCGGTCGCATGTTCGCTCCCACCAAGACCTGGCGCAAGTGGCACGTCAAGACCAACCAGAACCAGCGCCGCTACGCCACTGCTTCTGCTCTTGCCGCCACTGCCCTCCCCTCGCTCGTCCTCGCCCGTGGCCACAAGATCGAGCAGATCCACGAGATCCCCCTCGTCATCTCGGGTGGTGTCGAGTCCATCAAGAAGACCAAGGACGCCGTCAAGCTCCTGAAGGCCATCAACGCCTACTCTGACATCGAGAAGGTCATCAGCTCCAAGAAGCTCCGCGCCGGTGTTGGCAAGCTCCGCAACCGCCGCCACCGCCAGCGCCGCGGTCCCCTCGTCGTCTACAACACCGATGACGGCATCGTCCAGGCCTTCCGCAACATCCCCGGCATTGAGCTCGTCAACGTTGCCCGCCTCAACCTCCTCCAGCTCGCCCCCGGTGGCCACGTCGGTCGCTTCGTCATCTGGACCCAGGGCGCCTTTGAGCAGCTCGACTCGATCTTTGGCACCGAGACCGAGACCTCCCAGGTCAAGAAGGACTACATCCTCCCCCACTCGATCGTTGCCAACACCGATCTTGCCCGCATCATCAACTCTGATGAGATCCAGAGCGTCGTCCGTGCTGCCCACGAGAAGCACACCAAGCGTCCCTTCACCCAGCGCAAGAACCCCCTCAAGAACGTCGGTGTTCTCGTCCGCCTCAACCCCTACGCCCAGACTCTCCGCCGCCGCGAGATCCTCGCCGAGCAGGCCCGCAAGGAGGGCAAGGTCACCAAGGTTGCCAAGAAGAAGGTCGACAACAAGACCTTCAAGAAGATTCTCCTGGACAAGGCCCTCTAATTGCCTCTGCCACCGGATGGTGTAGCGTCAGAATAATAAATCAGATCGCGGTCGAAATGAATGGCCCAACTCTGGATCCTCTGGTGTCTGACATTGCGTGCTGTGGCGAATGGTGGATCTCTTTGAATGCGATCTGAGGGCGAGCGGCCTTCAAATAGTCTTGCATGCGAGTCATGGATGCCACCCCCCGATTCTGGATCAACAATAGCCCAGCTCCAGGCCCTGTACTGCTTTGCGTACATCGCATCTAAGAGTATATTCGATCAAGCTCGCCAACTACGCCATGTTCTGTTCCAATTGGTGGCTGGTTTTGGTTGCTAGAACGAAAGTTCATCCTGCGTGTGCTTCTCAGCAGAATCATACTCCACGTTCAGCGAGCCGATGCGGTGCACGGGCTTCGGATAGGGAATAGGGCCCTTCGGCCCTGTCGGTTGACAGGAGCCGCTGGTCGCAGGGAACAATGTGCCGTACTCTGCTGGCCGCTGGCCATGGCCCGCATCGGCATAGTAGGCGAGTGCGTTGCCGTTCACCATCGGCACAAGCATCGGGCTTTGTGAGGGGAAGCTTGCGGGCATCACTGGTACTGTCGGCTGCCAGCGGCCGGCCAAATCAGCAGGGGAACGCTGCAAGATGTGGGGTGGCGAGCCCTTCTTCTTGCGCAAGGCTTCTTCGGCCTGCTGATGGGCAAGCAGGGAGCCGTGTGTGAATGACGGCGGTGGCTTCAGACCGACTTCGACCATTGGTTGATACTGATACTGCATTGATGTCGCTGTCGTGCGGGAATACATCGACGCTTGATCCCAGCCCGATGTCGTCCCTGTCCGCACGGACATGGTGTCAATGTCGCTTGGGGCCACGCTCCGCTGCGACGACAGCATGAGGTAGTAGGCCTGTGGGTCGGTGTAGAATCCTCCAGTGAAGCCCTGGTGATGGATGTCCTGTGGTTTGGGCGAATAGCCGCCACGATAATGCCGCGGCGACGGTTGCGGCATCAGCGAGGCTGGTGATTTGGGCGGTCGTCGTTTGGATGACGAGTGGCTCCCAGCCTCTGAGCTGGCGTACGCAGTTGCGGCGCTGACGAGTCGGTGAGAAACAGAGCCTGGGAGGACGAGCGTTGGGGTCTGGAGTGGCAGTTTACTTGGCTTATCGACCGGTCCAGCGGCCGCACGCTGCATCGCCTGGTGCTGGTTGCGCTCCAAAATGAGCTGCAGCGGCACACTGGACTCTCGATGGCTTGAGATGCCCCCCAGATCAAGCGAGCTTCGGTTGAGTCTGGGTGCCTTTTTCTTCCTCCTTGCCTTGTCCTTTTTCACTTTCGGCTCCGCCGGAGTACCAATGCCTCCTCCTGTCCGCTCGGAAGGCACTTGCCCATCTGTATGTGTCGTTGCACCATCTCTTCCAGAGACAGCAGCTCGACCCAGCCGTGATACAGCCGGCAGTGTATCTTGAGCGACTGATCTCGACTCTTCTCGATCCTTCGGCATCACTGTCGCCTCGGCCGGCGTGTTCTGAGTTGCAGGACCGTGACCGAGCCGAGTCTCCAGCTGGACTTTGGATGCAGGTCCCACGACTTGATCGGCAGCAGACACATCTACCACGGTGGTGTGAATGGCGGTCGCCGGTGCAGCATGCGCTGAGCGATCGGTATCGTGCGGTGGTTCGCCCAGTGCTTCCAGCGCTTCGTCATTGAAGGCAATGCTCAGGGCGTGCCGCCGATTCTCAAATAGAATGTCGTCGTCGTAGTGCCTCCGCTTTGATTTTCTCGCACTCCCCTGGCGGGTGAGAGTATGTCGCCGCTCGAGCCGTCGGCCAATGTGCTGAAAGCGGTCGGATTTGAGCGCCGAATCTCGGTCTGCCAGCACGGTGCTGCGAACAATGGACACGATCGCAGATTTGTGCTCTTGCCCGTGATGCTCGGATGATCCACTCGGTTTCGGCCGCCGCTGGTCTCGATCGATTGTTGCAGCCGTCGGATCAGACATGGACCTCATCGGATCGGTGCTGGACAGCAACTTGGCATCGGGAGAAGGCTCGCTGCCATAGGCAAGAATATCTTTTCTCTGAGGCGACTTTGCAGGGCGATGCACTTGATCTACGGGGTTGTGCTCGCTTGGGCGATCACTTTCGGTTCTTGTAGCCCCGTCTGTGTCAGATCCACTTCGCCTTCTGACCATGTCTTCAGAACCAAGCTCATCAGGGTCGGCAGATACTCGGGCGTCGGTCACGGCAACCCAGCTTTGTAGGGGGCAGACCAACACAGACGGGGCGACCTGGTCTCGCAGCGTGAGGAGGTAAGGCTCCTTTTGCTTCAGAGAAGGCTCGATTGGCTGGCGGCCGTACAACGGATGGTCTTCTGTCGGAAATATCAGCCGCTCCACTGTGCCATATGTCGGTGTATCGAGAGCGGCAAGTTGGTGGGCCGGAGAGGGGACTTGCTTAGCTTGAGAGGCAAGTTGCTGGACTGGAGAAGCAAGCAAATCACAATGTTCATGCGAGGTATCCACCGACGAACTTGGGAAGGATTTCGCTGTCTGGGCTTGATGCAAGGCAGCGCCCGCGATAGGAGTGGCCGCCGGAAACTCAACAGACTTGTTCAAAGTCGATATCACCACGGCATGGTCCAGATCGGTCAAGGCAGCATGGACGGCTGGAGGAGGCTTTATGGTCGTGAGGCGATCCGGGACAAGGGTGTCGAGTGTTCTCTGTCCACTTGATGCAGTTTTGGTGCTGCTCGGCTGTGTGTGAAATGGCAGCGGCATGCTTGTTGGAATCGGAGACGGCTGCAGCGATCCGAGGGAGGCACTGCCCACTCCAAGTCGATTTTGATGCATCGATGGGCAGATGGAACTCTCGGACGCAGCGTCGCTCGTGACGCCGGCATCCAGTGCACTGTTGTGTGGTCGGTGTAACTGCTGCTCATGGAAAGGCAGTATGGGCAGATCCGAGTTGCTCATGCCCTGGCCTGTGCTCAAGCGAGCCGGAGTAGCGCGGTGGGAACCTGGAGGGCGGTGGCAACAGTTATTCGGACGGTACATGTGAGCTCACCAAACACCGAAAGCGCAAGGTCTTAGAGCAGACTACACGAGCTCTGCCGTCTCGACACATGTGGCCAGAGTTATGAAATTGCAGCTTCAGATCGGCAATGGAGCGTAATCCAGAGGGCAAGCGCTTCGAGCCGCCATCCACTCCTTCACTAACCTCGAAATGGGGGCCACGATGGTGATTTGAGGCCTGCTTGTCGTGCTCGCCTTTTGTAGATCCACGCCGAAAGCATCAGCAAGGCAACGGTGATGGCCGCGCCGAGGGCTATCCCGATAATGGCTCCAAGCCCAAGACTCGTCGATCCTGTCTGGCTTGCGAGCTGACTAGAGGCAACACAAAAGAGATTGCCGGAGCCGCTGTCGCAAGCGAGGCACTGATTCTGCGAGGAGCTGAAGGATGTTCCGCGTGGGCAGTTGTTCGCCGGGTCTGGGTCGATGGTGCCTGTGGTTATTGACTGGAAATTGCCGAGCAGAGCGTAGTTGACGTTAATCACCCGAAAGAGACCGTTGGCCTCTGCGAGGGTGGACAGCTGCGACGGAGGCTTTGTTTCTTGTGTAAGCAAGAACGTGGCGCTATTGGCAAACGTTGATGTCGAGAGACAGCGAAACGTAGTGGCAACAATCGCATTGGACGAAGGCAGATTATATGGAGAGGCAAGCGGGAAGACGGGCGAGGCTGCCACGGATCGATGCAAGTTCTGGTCGATGGCGAGATAGTATCGTGCGTCCGAGGCCAACGACGAGTTCTGAACCATGGCCAAGAGGCCCTGGAATGACGACGACGAGCTGTTGAACTGGGGGTTGTTGAGGCACGAGAGCCACAGGACGCTGTCGGTTGCCGGAATGACGTTGGCCCGAGAGGCCACAACGCTCAAGGATGAGGTATCAAACATGGCGACACTCAGCCCGGCACCAGTATCGGAAGCCACCAGCGAGAGATACAGGTATGGCCCACAAAGCTTGAGTGAGGATTCCGATGCGTTGGTGGCCGCAATGCTGCCAAAAGGAACCAGCGAGTTGCGAGGAAACGAATAGGTGTGGAGGACCTTGCTGGGTTGGATTGCACTGATCGCACGAAGAAAGTAACTGTCCGAGGACGAGCCGAGCAGGTAGATCGTTTGGGTTGAGACATCGACGGCCATGTCGAGAGCTTGCTCGCTGGTGTTCATCGAGAGGCTCTGTGAAGTACCGATGTGTACTGAACCCGCTGTCAGCAATATCGGAATCTCGGGAGAGACTGCGTCATTGGCAGCGGCGATGCCAACGACTCCGGGTGCAGCATCGGCCCATTCCAGGACCAATGACGGACTGAGAGTGGCGGAGCTGATGGGTGGACTCGAGGCACTGATATTGAAGAGATAGAGGTTCTTGGAGTCCGATCCTTGGAGGGTTTTGACGGAAAAGACAACAGTCGAGGTGGAAGAGTCTGCGGTGGCTGAAACAAAACTGGCGTCTTCGAGCTCATCTGGCGAGCAGAAAGGAATCTGAAAGTATGCGAGCCAGGGTTGCAAGGCAGCAGTGTAAGGTAAGTGATTAGCGCGGGTCGACATAGTGGGAAACGCAGTGAGAGGACAGAAACGGTGATCGGGGCATGCAGCCCATTTGCAACAAAACAACACAAGATACGACATGCTTCGCTAAGGCGAGAAAGTGATCCATCTGCTCCACCGCCGTGATTAGCGATCGAGAGGCCCCACCTTCCAAGCCATCGAGAGGGACTCGTTGCCAGCCAGGAGACCCGTTGAGTTTTGAAGCGACGGCGACGATGCGTCTGGCTTGGTGAATCCATAGACGACCACGCCAAGCTTGGTTGAGTTGGAGCAGACGACATCATCGGCAAAGACGAGGAGCGGCCCAGAATCAAGCGGAAGCGTCGATCGCACGGCTCCTGTGTAAATGGGATCAGATCCCGTGAGAGCTGACAGGGAAGATTGTGTGCGAGCGGTCGCTTTGATAAGCACGCCGGTACTGCGTCGGCTGTGGAGCAAGGCTGGGGATAGCTGTGATACTCACAAACGTTGGACATTTAGAGTTGCTCGAATGTTTGGCTTTGCAGAGAATCCAATATCTCGCGCGCTGAAACAGATCAAAGCCTATGCTTCAATCACGAGCGGGTTGCAGCCGAGCTGAGCGGTGGGGACCGAGAAGCCTTGAAGGCGGAACGAACGAGGAATATAGCTGGAGACGCAAGAAGGCTTTAATACATGTATCGGGGGCAAGACGAGATGCTGGATATGGCAGGTCCATGAGATTGGTCCATAAGGATCATGCGATCGGTCCACGATCGCGCGCCGACCGCGAGAGATTGGCCTACAAACCTGAACGACGTCGTCTGACAGTAACAGAGGATGGACAAGAGGGATGATCGGAGGGCGAGAGAGGGGAGAAACGGTAGAGGGCTGCGGATTGTCGTGCCGAGATGTATGCGCTCCTGCCCTTGAAATCTGTCTGCAGAGGCTCTTGACAGCTTGGACGAGCGACGGATTGTTGGAGGCGACCAAGACCAAGACGAAGCCGCCGACGCAGACGGGCAAGTCAGAGAAGACAAGGGAAAAGACCAAGGCGAGAGGGTGCCGTGCAAGGACCCGAAGCGGAGCGGAAGATGGGGGGAACGGAAGGGAGAGCGGATGGAGGAGCCAAGCGGACAGGGACGGGGCCCTGAAATGTGCCGGTGGGAGCGAGCGGGAGACCCAGGGTCGAGCAGCGGGCGAATAAGGGCCAGAAAGGGGGCAATGGTAGGGTCGATGCGAGCGAGGGAGCAGCAGCGGTGGTAATGTTAGCCCGTAGTGAATGACAGTGTTGGCTGTGATGGTTCGCAGTGATTGCGTTGGCGACGACGGTAAATGTGGCCGTGAAGGATCGATATTAACGGGGTAGTGGTCGTCCGAGGAGAGTCCATCGCAGGCGTGGTTCTGTTACCGCAATGCCCATCTGCGCTGTGAATGTCGTCGTTTCCCAGCACAGCAAGAGCCTTGACTGCACGGTGATTGCAATCTCTGGCGGCAATCTCACGCAGCAATCTCTCGCATCAATCTCACGCATCAATCTCACGCGGCAATCCCACCGCAACGCCGACCTCGCGTCCGTGTGCATGCATGTCCAGCACGATCCAACATGCGATTTTGCCGACCACCTGTCCCCGCGGCAACCACCCGTCCTCCGCCTCCTCCGCCTCCGCCGCCTCCGCCGCCGCGCCGTCCGACACCCCAGACAACGCGGCCCACAGCGACACACGCCGCCAGCAGCGGCTGGCTGCGCATTCCGACAGCCAGCTGTCTTGTTCCGTTGTTCGAAGCCATCGCTCGGCCTTGCTCTGATTCATGGCACATCCGCATCGGCCTTGTGGTTGGCCAGGATCGTCTGCTGCTGTTCGAGCCACGTCTATTTGCATCCTGCCTTGCCGGCCCATCCAGGAGATTCGATCTCGCTCATCAGCTGCACTCGCCACCGCATCATCCGAAGCTCGGCCATCCGGCGTTCTCGTCGGCGTTGTCCGCCAAGTCTTCGCCCGACCGACCTGCTGCCTTCGTGGACAAGCTGCGGCCGTGCCACCCCAAAGTGCCGTAGTCCGCGCTGGTACCCGGTGTTCATGCGGTCTCGGAACGCTCGTGTCGGGCTCTTCCGGAGCTGGCCCGGCCATGCCTTTACATCCAGAGCCGGCAGACTCTTCGTGTTGTCCATCGGCTTCTTCAGCGCCGGCTCCTGCTTGGGCTTGCCATCTGGTCTGAATCGGATCTCCACCTTGACTTCGGGATATCCACTGAACTTGGGCTCCTCTTTGACAATGGCGACGCTGCTCACTTGATCTTCCTTGGCAACGGCGACAGTATGCACAGGCTCTTCCTTGACCATGGCGGTGATGCACATGGGCTCTTCCTTGACGACGCGGGTGATGTACATGGGTTCCTCCTTGACCTTGACACCATAAAACTTGGGCTCCTCTTTCACCTTGATGTCGTCAACCGTGGGCTCCACTTTGATGTGCTTCTTGGGGCTCTCCAGCTTGATGACAACGCTTCTGCAGGCCATCAGCTCGTTGAGAATCGACCCGCCAGTTCGGCTGCCCCGATGATGTGCGCGGGGCTGTCGGTTGGCTGGTTTCATCCGCAGACGAACGCCCATGGTATCCAACTTCCGCGGGCGACCCAGCATCGATGGCCCGGCTGCCATCGTCCGTTTCGCTTTGACCGAATCTACCAATACAATCTCTGGCATTACCATCCCCGATATTGCGCCGATTTCGCCCCGCTGCGGTGCACTCAGCTCAAATCGTGATGCGCGTGGTTCTCTACCGCCTCCGCTGCGACTCTCCGATTCAGGCTCGAGCCGCACCCTCACTTACCTAATTGCGGTGATGAGAATCTGCGGCAGCCAACTTGGTCGAGTTTGGGAGTCCTTCGTTTCGTCCCGAGCCCAAGCCTTCGTGGGCGGGCTGGGCTACCTCTTGGACTGCCTCTTGGGCTGGCCAGACGACGTTCCACCGAGCCTCCATGGCTTCGGCGAGAATTGCTGGGCATTCGAAATACAGTAAACCAGAGGTGAGCATGGAGGGGCAGACATTGACTCAAGGAGCAACACAGCCGTCGACCTGATGCAAAACATGTCGCCAGACCAACCCGCTATTCTCATCGGCCGAGCGACCAGTGGGCGGCCAGTGGGCGGCCTGGCCCATAGACACGGTTCCCTCAGACTCCCCAGCCGCACCCTCGCACTGCACCCCTTCCCCTGCCATACCTTCGATTCACCAGCGGCGTTGCGCTGGCCATGCTGTCTGCCGGAGGATCCCCTGTAAGCGGGCAGCGTCCTCGCCCTGGCCCTGGCCCTTCCCGCACCGATTTGGGCAAATGGATCGGAGCGGAGATTGCGACTGTCACGTGGACATCCCACATGTGTGGCGCGATTCCTGCGCAGCCCTGGCACGTGGAGCACGATCCCACATTCGGTGCTGCAGCATGTTCAGTGCGAGTCGCTCAGCCCCCAGGCGCTGCGAGCACACTTGGCCGTGATAGGCAATAGAGGAATGGGTGTGTATTCGGGGCCCCAGGAACAGCGACAGCCCTGAACCGAACAGGGTGTCCTGTTTCGTTTTGAGCATGCTGGATGTCGTTACTTGTTCTTCAGCCACACCTCCCCCCATCGCACTCAAGATTGCACTGGTGCAGAGTCGGTGCACCATGTCGCGGCTGGTCAGAACGATAACGCCACAGAATCCAAGCCAAGTTCCTTGCCAATCTTTTCCAGACAGAGCTTGATCGCCGCCGTCACAGCCGCCTCTTCGGCGCTCTTCGAGGCCGATAGCACGCTCAGGCAGTCGCACAGGTCGTGGTAGATGCAAAACAAGTGCGCCGATCGCCCAGATAGGATATGCGACCGAATCGGCGACACCTTCAAGTCAACCACGGTCTTGATCAGGACCCCAGGGCGCACGTTCAGTGCCGCAAGGTGCTCCAGGAGGAACTGGGTTTCCTGCACAAAGGCCAGCTGGAGAGCGCCGTGGGCAGCACCCTCGGCAGTGCTTGATCGTGCCTGGAATGTCTTGAGCACCACCTTGGCCTTCTGGATCAGAGCCGGCACAGCGATTTCCGCCACCCGAGTGCGGGCTTCTTCCGTCTCTGTCGTCTTGAGACTGACCTCGGCGCAGAATCCAAAGAGTACCTCGAAACACTCGGTGGCAAACTTGGCTCGACGGACCGGCTCCAGTGCACTTGGCTGGCCATCCAGCGGTGCTGAAGCGTCTCCATCCAATCCAGCGGTGTTCTCCAGATAGCTGGCACCCCGAGTCGCAATCTGTATCAGAGTGGCCAGTACCTTGTCCGAGACGTGGGATTGGGCCATATGAGGAACCACAAACGTCTCGATCGTTTGCAGAACCGAAATGTCAAAGACCTCGTCGGTCGCCAAGTCGTCTGCGGTCGCTGTTGCCGGGGGTTTGCTGGGAGGAGGAGAAAGGAGATTCCGTGCGTAAGCGGCCCGCATGGCGTCCCGTTTGTCGCTGGATCTCATTCTCGGCCCGACTCGGTGGTTCTGCATCTGCCCGGTATCCCCCGAGCTTTTCCATCCATCTTTGCACATGCTCGTTGTGTCGCACCCACCTCTTTGGCAGCAAGACACCGTCAAAGTTGTCAATGACCTTGGCATACACTTCGTCGAGGACAGTCTGAGGCAGCCCTGTGAAGTCAAGTTTATCATGAAACGAAACACAGTGTCATCAGCACGCTCTCAAAGCCACTTCTCTGGACCCTCTCGTGCGGCTCCAAAAGGGCGCATACCTCCGACAAACCGCTTCTCGAGCTCGGGCATGCCTGTTTTTGCGATCGACAAGAAGGCGTTTGATGCGAGCTTCCAGAGCGCCACGGCCCCGTCCTTGTTTCCAACTGGGGGACACTGGTACTTGCACTTCATCAGCTCACCAAGGGACTCGACAATGACATCAAAGCAGCCCGTGGTGTAGATGGACGCACGCGCAGAATACTGGTCGTACACGATCTTGAGGAGCTCCATCGACCGTCGGCTGAGTGCAATGAATGTGTAGTTGGACTTGCTGGCGGGGTCGGTGCCGACAGTGGATGCCACGCCGCTCGGGTTGGCGCTCGGAGCGACGCTCTCTGGGCCTCCGCCCGCAGCGGCGCTCAGAGACGCATCCGACCCCAGTCTGGGAGCCGACCCAGACACTCGCACCAGCGGCATCAGGGCGAATGCGCACAGGGCCGTGATCGCGCACTCTGGGGCACCTTCAATCCGCTCGATTCGGATACGGGGCTTGCGTGTCCCTGCATCTGCGTCCGAGCTGTCTCCGAGCTCACCGACAAAGACCTCCAGAATGGCGGTCTGCACGGCTGTCAGGTTGTCGAGGTCGCTTGAGAAATCCAGGCGCATGCGGCTCGATGCCAGCGCCGGTAGCGGATTGGTGTGGTATCCAGCAAGCGACACCAGGATATAGGCCAGGCGTCGATAGTCGTTCAGCGTAAAGACGGTCGCAATGGATTCGTAAATGTCCCCGGACAGAGTCGCGTACGCTGCCAGTGCCTCCTGGGAAAACGTGCCGTGGTACAGACTGCCGCGGAGCACTTTGCTGCTTCCTGCCGTCTGCGAGAGGCTTTGGGCGGAGCTGCTGGGGCCCTCGTCAGTCGTTGCCGCCGCCGCCTTGGCTCTGGCTTCGTCTGTTGAGTCGATCACCCCGAGGCCGATTGCCTCCCAAATGTCCCAAGCCGTCTTCCACAAGGCAATGAGGCGGTTCTCTGTCGCGACATCGCTGCCAACGCCCTCGATCGCCTTGAAGCCTCCTTGCTCGATAGGGTATCGGACCAGCGAGCGGAACGCCTTGATGGCCGCCATCGAGACCTCGGGGCTGCTGCACAGGCACCAAGTCTTGATGTAGTCCAGGAGCAGGCTCCATGCTTCATCAAAGCGCTTGCCAAGCTTCAGGAGGAGCGGGAAAAAGTCGATCAGAGTTTTTGTCACGCCGCCCAGCGTCAGGACCTTGGTTTCGTCCCACTGCTTCGTCATGGTGTTGCGCGAGTGATGCTGACTCGCCCCCACAGCCGACAGGAGCGTCGTCGAGACTTGCTTCTTGGAGACCGAGACCCGTGTGAGGCTGCCCGAGATCGAGAGCGGCCGGTCGCGTGTGGGCAGCTCGATGCCCTCGCCAGTCAGTTCCTTCTGGTCCTGCTCGACACGGTCGCTTGTGAGCTTGACTCGCTCGAGGAGCGGGAACAGAATCTTCCAGATACACTCGCTCCAGGCCTCGAGCGTCAGTCGCGGTCCGTTCATTGTGATCGTGCGGAAGAGCGTCTGGTTGGACGAGTTGCGGACCTCCGGTCGCGTGTCAGCACACAGCTGCGACAGATGCGAGAGCAGGTACATCCACAGCAAATCGAGGCTCTGCACTGTGATGGGTCCGTCCAGGGTATCGGCCGTGATGGGCTCGGCAGTCAAATGCGGCGACGCCGATCCCTCGATCCCTTGCCGCTTGGTCAGGACAAAGTCTCCGACCGACCACAAGAGCCCGATTGCGGTCAAGCCAATGTTCAGGTCCTCGTTCTGCGAGCCGAATCCTCCAAGCGACTCGATACAGTCGTACAGGCATCGCAGCGACAGCAGCGACAAAAAGTCCGTACAGATGAGCTGCAGGATCGGAAAGGCGTTGCGGACCAGCAGGGCGTTCTTCAGAATGGCCGTCCCCGAGGGCAGGGCCTGCCCCGCGGAGGCCCCAATGCTGTCGACCGGGCTGATCACAGCAGGCTCATCCGCGACATCGGTCGAGTTGGCAAAGTTGCGAATCGACCCGGAGGGGGTCACGCTCTTGGCAAAGCGCTTCTTGGCCGAGCCCGCGCCCGTAACCAGGGGTGTCTGGACAATCTCAAACACCAGCTCCCATCCGTGCGACAGGTTCTGGCCGCTGGTTTGGAGGATCTTGAAGAGCGTCTCGAGGCCACATTTTTGAATGTCAAAGAACCAGCCGCTCTTCATGATGCGCTCGCGCTCCTCCATCGAATACACGGGCGCCGACGGCGTTGTGCCCAGCATCAGCTGCTTGACGGGCTCGAGGATCTTCATCTCGACGCTGGGATCCTTGAGATCCGATGCCTGGCACACACCCGTGAGCACCTCCGAGAACGTCTGGCAGACCTGCAGGCGGACCGACATCGGATAGTTGGGGGCGTGCGCAATCTGGATGAGCTCCGACATGATGATAGTCCAGGTGTCAGACTCGCGTTTGGCGCCGTCGGCCTCGCCGGCAACGACTGTCGACGTCATCAGTCGGGTGGCGTTGAGCATGGCCACCTGCTGCAGCTTGGCGATGGCAAACGACTTCTCCTCGGCGCCTTTCGTGTCCTTGCCGAGAGTGTCGCGCTCGCTGCCAGGACCGCCGTCTCTGGAGACCGTCGATCGGCAGAGCTGACACAGGGCCTTGATAAACTCGGCAAAGCTGCGCAGACCCATATCCTTGGACATGTCAAAGAGCTTCTTGATCAGCGTTTGGGTCAGGACGTACTGGTTTTCGATGGGCTGGGCGCCAGCAGCGCCGGCCTTGGCCAGGTCGTCGCGGGCAGCCTTTCCCCACTTGCCGGCAGCCAAGAGTCCGTCGGCTACTTCCAGCGTCTCCAGGATCAGATACCAGGCCTTGTCTTCGAGGATGGGCGTGAGCGTGTACGCGATTGTGAGGAGGGACCGGAGACACACCACATTGCGATCGGTGAGGACCCCGAGGTTGCCTGAGGGCTTGACAGACGGAGCCTGCATGATGTTGAAGAGGCTGAATCCGCTGACGTTTTGCAGATTTGGCATATCGGCGCTGATCACGGCGGAACTAGGAACGCAGACCTTGCACAGCGATCCAATGAAGGCGTCGCGGTGAGAGACGAGGCCGAGCAGTCCGATCACGCCCGTAAAGTTGGTAAACGACCGCGTGACGAGGCCAAAGAGATCGTCGTCGACCGAGCCGGTGATGAGAAAGTTCAGGGCCCCAAGGATGCCGCCCCACGAGGCCTTGGCCATTTCGATCGCAACGATGATGTCGTTCTTCTCGGTCTCGCTCGGAGTGGTGCTGGGGGAGCGGAGGATAGGCACCACCGTGGCTTGCGATTCGACCATGTTGGCGAGACACTGGATGGCCAGATTCAAGGGGTATGTGTCTGGGAACGACGGCGGGTCGGATTTGTCGAGCTGATCGATGCTGTGACGGAAGGAGTGTGTCAGGTGCTGGTTAGCAAAGGTCGAAGCTGCAGCAGGGGGGGGGAGCTTGACCGATTTGATCGCTTCGCACATGGCTTTGGAGTGGTCCTCAATCATTATCCAGACATATGGAGATTGCAAATGCGACCCGTTTCGATCCCACGTGGAAGACGCACGATCACAAGCACCGCACACTGTCGCTGAATCGCCGACCGAGTGGCTCCGATCACTTGCGAGTCAGTAGCAGAACGTCATCGCTCCACCTACCACGGAATCTTGATGGACGATCCAGCAAAGGTAACGGCATAGGACTCAGTGCTCCCGCCTGATCCCGTGAGGGCAGAGCCCAGGACACCGCCAGTGTTGGTGGGACTCTCGCCGGCCATCGACGACGAAGCCTGGAGCAGGTAGTGCTTCTCGGAAACGATTACCCGGCCAAAGCCAGCCGTGATCTCGTAAAAAATCTTGACAGAGTGGTCCTTGGCGTCGTACTGATTGAAGATGGCGCTGTATACACAGGGTTGGTGTGAGTCCGACGATAACGTCAGCCACCACTGCTGCAGTTGGACCAAGCTGTTTTGGTGATGCGTGGTGATGCGTGGTGCAGCGAGCCCCTTACCGCAGGAGATTGATGTCGTTGCAAATGCTCTTGTACACCTCGAGTACAAGCACACGATGCCACAGTGGGGCCTGATCGCCCGCCTCCAGCACCTTGATGAACATGGACATGAAGATCTCGCACTCCATGGACTAGTGCACACAACGATACGGATGTTACCAACAGCGCCAACGATGACAGCACGGATGGATGTGATTTGGAGTTAACGATATGCAAGGATATGCAAGGATATGCAAGGATGTGCAAGGATATGGAAGGAGGTGCAAGAATATGGAAGGATGTGCAAGGATATGCAAATAACAAGAGGCGAGCGACACCCGTAAGTCACACCTATGGGCCACACCTATGAGCCACACCCGTGAGTGCCTCACTGCCCAGATCCACCAAGAGAACGACAGGCATCTTCAGCACTCGCATCCGGCAGTGCACTAGCTCGGTCAGCAGCGTTGGGTCTTACCAGAACGCCGATAAACTGCTTGGTAACAGTGTGAGCCAGTCGCGTCAACCGGACGGTCATAGCAAAGTCGTTTTTGTCCGAGAACGATTTGATGACCATCGGGCAGATACGGTCCTTCAGCAAAGCCTTCAGCTCAGGGTGCTGTGTGGGTTGAATTGCCATATTCAATGTCAGCTCAGACGAAACTGCAATCACGTCATCGCTCCAAAGTGGGCATTCTGCGGACACGGACGGCCTGAGCACGGGCGCGGTGCTGACAGCCGACTGAAGCTCAGCTCGAGCGATGCATACTTGTTTGAAGAGACCCGGGTGGTTGTTCAAAATCGATTCGATCAGCTCAAGCCCAAATCCCTTGGAGATGCCCGAGATCTGCATGAAGCCGCCGGTTTCTCCCACAGTCATGAGACACAAGTCCTGAATGCATACGCATCCGCAAGCAACAATCGACGCGGGTGTGACCAGGGTTGCGGGTTTCATCAATGTTAGCACACGTGCACATGCATATCGCCATTCGAATGTTGTCGCAGCCTGGCCCTTGGCCCTCACGGACAGAACGAGGGCCACATGCAAAGCCAATTGCGGACTGCTCCACCACCACTACCGCGGGACGGTCGGACCAGCACCGTCATTGATGAAGCCGGTGGTACCGGTTGAGCACGCACGCTACTCCACAAGACGACATAGTGGCAGCGATAAATCAACGCCCATGTGTGCAAAGCAGAGTCACACCTGAAAGAACGAAAAGGCATCGCGGGCGCAGGGAAGCAGCGCGTTGAGGGCGTTGTGATTGACAGGCAGGTCGATTCGTTCTGTCTTGAGCGTGTTGCCTGGTGCGGGATGGAAGGAATAAAGCGGTGACGGATTGTGGTTTCGAGGCGTGCCAAACAGTGAATCAGCTTTGGCTGGTTCAGCGGAAAGGACGGCCATAAAAGTCGGTCGCATGTGAACATCACAGCGTATGCGTTTACGGCTCTCCACCGACCTGGGAAGCGCTCGTCTTCCTTTGATACTTTGTCAAAGATGTGGATCACCAACTGCCGAATGGTGGCTGCGGCAGTGTTGCTGACGACAGGACTCTTTGATTCTTGAAGCTTGAAACACAGAGCCAGACACTGAGTCCAGGGACGAAGCACGATGGGTCAGCGGTCGATTCTTGAGCACTTTCGATGCCAGGACCAACATCTGCCAATTGGGATGAAAGGGGCAGCGGCAGTCGCATACCTCCGCCAGCACTTCTCCGTGGACCGACTCGTAGTTGTTGAACAGCGGAAGAATAGTCTGCAAGACTTTGAGCTGCAGATCCATTGGCGTTGCGACAAGCTCGGAGAGTGCCTTGAGAACCGGAGAGACAGATTTCTGCACGAATTCCACCAAGCGACACGATTGCGTTGGTACAGGGGCACATCCACGTTTGCCCAGATCCATCACACACATACATCCACCCAGGGCCCCTCGGGCCGGTGAGAGGTGCCGGTGAGAGGATCCAAGGACCGATGTCTCCCTGAATTTGTTTGTTGGTTTGTTGCCAACGGCAGGGCCTCGTGCCGATACCGATCGTTCATTTGGGGCAAGGATGCTCTCGGGCGATATCGGGTTGGATCAAGCTCTCCGCACTGTGCAGCATCTCACCTCGGGAATGGCGCGGTGGGAGATCAGCTTGTACACATAGCCGACGGCTATGGTCACCAGCTTTGGATTCTTGGTCTGGCATGAGAGAAGGAACGGACGCAGCGGCTCATCGGTCTTGGAGAGCTCTGTATGGCAAAATGCAAATGACCAGATGAGATGAAGCCCGTCAGTCCGTCAGTCCGACAACCCATCAGCCCATCAGCCCGTCATGTCCAAGTGTATAATCGACCGGCCAGCGTCTGCCGCGAGATCCGTTGTCGAGGCGAACGCGTGGATATCAACAGAACATGCCGCAGGAAGAGAACAACGCCACCCCTCGACACCGTCACAAGCGGCCCCCAACCCATCATAAGGCCGCTATTTTCACGGGGGGGGGAAATCATGAACGTAGTCTTTGGTGGATGCGTGTACCTTGCGCAACAACATCGACGCCGGGAGGAGCACTGGAGCTGCTGGCTTTGTCTTTCAGTGCCCGGAGGATATAGAGCACACGCTCTGCTGCCTGTTGTTGGTGGCCGCCGAGTTCAAAAGACGCAGGTCACCGTAGAGAACAGAGCACCGACAGTCGCGTGAGTACAGGGCAAGGACGTTGCTGTGGACAAGCATGAAGCTCGAGGCGGCCGAGCAAACATGGGTCAGGGCAGCCGCGATGCAGCCCAGACGATGTGGATCCAGACACCCGTAACAGAGGCGATATCGCACGGCCACGGACGGCACGCCGAAATCAGCTGGGCGACTGGCGACGCAAGCATCCGCTGACATGCCACACGAGCATAGCAGCAGGAGTCGGGGCGATAGCAACGGCAACAGCCACGACAACAGCCGCGGCAGCATCAATAGCAGCAGCAGATGCACAAGCAGATGCACGGACAGCGCCATCGAGGCGATGCAGAATGGGGCCGCGGCCCAGCACGCACTTCTTTGATGTCATTGTTTTTCTTTTTGGATTCCTGCGAGAGGTTGACGAGCTCGTTCTGCAAAAACGCCGCGAGTCCGCTCATTCTGGGCCAGGACGGGGCATGCAGGCCGGTGCTGGGCTCCTGGAAGGCAGACGAGCAAGGGTTGTTGGGCAGGCGCGGGGGTCGGTTTTGTGTGTCCTTGCCTGGAAGCCCCGCCGGATCGAGCCGCGTCGGCTCCAGCCGGATCGAGCCGGCGCCGTGGCTTGAAAAAAAGCGAAAACGCAAAAACCGATTTGGGGTGTCTGCGACAGCCTTCGACACCACATCGGCCGACCCGACAGGCTCCCCGACAGGCTCCCCGACGACACTCTGGCGAAGGCATCCCTCGCTCTTGACCCTCCAGCCACGAAAGAGAGAGAAGGATACGAAAAATAGCCACACGAACCATGCTGCCCGTTCTGCGCTCGCTCCGATCTGCGGCCTCGCCCCGACTCCTGGTCTCGAGATACGCCTCGACCTCGGCAAAGGCCAGCGCTCCTCATGCCACCAGTCCGCTGAATGGCCACCACAAGGACGAACACCACGACGACCATCACCACGAGCCCGAGGGATACGAGCCTACCGGATATTTCCTTGGACGAGCTGTAAGCACTGGCTTCTGAATCTCTCCATCCCTGGCCTTGCATCACGAGGCACAGCCAGGCGACGACACACGCTTCCCCGCGGATCTCTGGACGATGGGCTTCCGGGATCTGTTGCATGGTGGAGCACCGAGGTCAATCCTGGCTGCACATGGCACAGAGTAGGCTGGCTCGACCTGTTGATTCGCCATGCGCCCTTCCTGAGGTCCATGCAACCAACGGGCCAATATCCGCGGCCATATCCAAGGCTGCAGCCACTAACACGCTCTCTGTATGGCTCAGCCCAACGACCGCACTAGATACGCTTGGGAGCCCGTCTGGTACTATGGATACTACGGCTCCATCGTCGCCTTTGTCATTGCCTACATCTACATGGACAAGCCCACGTAAAGTATCAATGTCTGCGCTCTGATGGGGATGCAACACGGCGTGGGTGGGCTCTGGAATGGAACATGCACACGGGACTTGCTCAGACGAAGGGCCCTCTCGCTGTGGGGTCAAGTGCATTCACGTTTGCGAAGCCGGTGTCGATGACTTCAAGCGGAATATGGGCTTTGGAATGGAGCCACCGCCAAAATCGATCATTTGGCGTATTGGTCGCGAGACCCTCTAACGGCACTGGACACTGCATCTGGATTGGAGGCGACGAGAAGGACACGATACTCGATCGAGAATGGCACGCTGGGGCATATTGGGGAGACCAGACCCGGACTCTGCGGTGTGGTATCTCGTTGGTGCGCCGCCGTTTGCTCCCAAGAGCGAGATTGCGGACTGGAGCCACTCGGAATCAAAGCGACGGACATGTCTCGAACGGAGACTAAGCTGGATGGTCATCAGAGGAGAGTTGGACGAACTGGTGAATCGATCCTGGTGCTGCAGCGATCCAGCAACAGAGAGCATCGTCAGTCCCCCGGAGCGAGCCAATGATGGCCTGGGGCGACCGGGTGCTGTTGGCGATGAAAACGTGTGCGGGCACCTGCATGTGTACTGACGGATGTGTCCTCTCATCTTCCCTCTGTCTTGGGCCTGTCCTGACTGGTTTGCACGAACCACCGTTGTGCCGACGGACGACGCAACCCAGTCTCCACGAGCAGTCGAAGCTTGAGGCTCACAAGCGCCTGGTTGAGCGCGGAGAGTCTCTGGACTGGCCCCTTCCTCCTTCATATGCCCTTGTCAAGAAAAGCGAATAATCGGGAACGACGTGGCTCGACTCGATACCACAATGCACCCGCCGGAGCCGGGGCTTGCCTTCTCGCTCATCGGGAACGAATGGGAGCGGAAGCGAGGCTGAGGCGAACGAACACAAATATACAGCAACATATGCGACCGAGACACATGGCGTGAGGTGTGAGGTGTGAGGTGTGAGGTGTGAGGTGTGAGATGTTGGATGCAGGTGTGAGCAGGCAGGCAGGCAGGCAGGCAGGCAGGCGGGCGGGCAGGCAGGCAGGCAGCCCAAAGAATGAGGGGCTGGTGATCCCAGCGACGAGCCAGGTTCGCTGCATTCCCATGGGGGCAAGCCACAGATGGATATGGCTGACATGGATCGATCGGTGGCAGACCACCCCTGCATTTGCGAGCAGCAAAGAGGTCCACCTCCTCCCGACTGCCAGCAGCCCTGCCGCCGCCTGGACGGCATGTGCCAGAGTGTGACTCGGTCGCTGAGCCGCTCCCCCTTCCCGTCATAGTGGGCCACCTGGCAGCGGTAACCCACGGTCCCTGGCTTGTGCTGGTGATCCAAAGGAGAAGAAAAAAAGAAAGAAAGCGGCGAGTCGGGCCCAGGAAGAGGAGAGCATCCCACAGCACCCACAAACCCAAAATGGGAAAGAATGGCCGGGCATGAAAGAAAGAAGCGCTTCCGGCATGTCGTCCCGAGGGCTGTGCCGAGGTGTGCAAGCCGGCCGCAAGTACTTTCCGTTTCCTTCCTTCCTTTGCCCCCCGCTGCCTCGCTATCGACAGGCGAGGAGCCACGGCAAGACGAGACAAGACAAATACAGGGCCCCCAAACCGCAAAGGAAAGGGAAAGGCGGAGAGAAGGAAAAGGCAAGGCCCGAAGCATGCGCGCTGCTGACCAAGCTGCTCTGGTCCTGGATGCCCGGCAGCGGGATGCACATGGGCGACGGCTGAATGGGGGCGGCGGCTCGCGTGAGAGCGCATGGCGGTTTTGATTATGGTGCAGACCGATGCGATGGTGCAGTCGACAGATGCGATCGACCGATGCGATCGATGGATATGTCGATGCATGCGATCGATGGATGTGGCGAGTGATGCGACCTGCGGCAGTACCGGGACTCTTGCATCTCGCCATTCCGTCGGCTTGGCCAGAGCGCACCAACACGGCAATCTCGAGAACCGGCAGAGCACGCTTGCTCCCGAGCAACGAGCCGCTGAAATGGGCCCATGCCACGCCCCCTCCCCTCGGCCAAGCCGAGATGTGGCGGCCGATAGCACAAGCCCAGAGCGGAAGCCTGCCAGAGGGGCTCGGACAGGGAAGCAGACGAGCGGTCCTTGGTCGGCAGGCTTGAGCAACATCGGGACAGCGGGCCTATGGACCCGGGCGTTTCCATGGAGCACAAATACAGAAAGGAGCCGGGGACCCCCATGGCGAGGCGACGATCCAAAGCTGCTGGGCTGAGCACGCACCAGCACGCACACCAATGCCGACCACCGGCAAGGACAACTTAATGCAGGCACTTCCGGCATGGATTGCGAGCCCCCCTTCGCTCCAGCAGCTGGCACCAGGGAGGGCGAGTGGATTGGCAGACCAGGCCTGTGCTCGGCCAGCAGCAAACCCAATCGGCGGCTGGGGGCCATTGGTGGCGTCTCGTCCACCGCACCACTCGGGCTGGTGGTGGCAGCTGGTCATGCCAGCGCCCACTCAGGGGGGGATTGTGCTGGGCCGATGCGATGCTGGAAGGGAGATGCAATGGCATTGGCTTGATCGACCAGTGCACTGGGGCTGATTGACCATTGCACTGGGGTTGATTGACAACCGTGCGACTGCCCGAATCGTTACCACTGCTATCAGCATCAACTGCCATCCCGGGAACTCTACCCCCTGCATCATCCCGCTCGCTCGTGCAGGACTGGGCTGGCAGCATCGGGACACAGGCCCATCTGCATCGCGCAAGCGGGTCTGCCACGGCATCTCGGCCTTGTCGACTGCATCGAGGAGGCCAAGCACGATGACCAAGAGATCGTCATTGGCCCAACCCGCCCGATGGACCAGAGGCGCCTGACCCAGCCATGTGCCCGGGAATCCCGTTGGCCGTCGCCTCTGGGGGGCTGCTGGCGGCGCCAAGCTGCCCATCGACAACCGGGGGATTCGCGGCGCTCTGCCGGGGGATTCCTCGTGATGGCGTGGGGGGGGGAAGGAGAGCAACCAACTTGGGCCAGGGCAATGGGGGGGAAGATGGAGCGAAGGAGCCGACGGAGAGGAGCCAACCCACCGCGGGTGCACCGGTGTCGCCGGAGCGCAACAAGCGCAACAAGCGCTGGCGAGAAGGTGGGACGAATCCAGACCATGCATCTGTCCAGCATGGGGCAGCTCTGTGAATATGGTGGCGTCGGCGCACAAGCCCACCCCGGCGCTTGCCCAAGATCCAGCGCACGACGACAGCAAAGGAAGACAACGACTGCATTAGCTCGGGCGAGAGAGGTAAGCAGCAAGGCGGCGAACAAGAGACGGGACAGGCGGCCGTTTGCCGGATACGGCGCAACGTGCGGGTACGAGAGCTCGTCGGCCAGCAAGGGACTGCAGGCCTGCAGCGGCAGCGGTGGACGATCTGCTGCCCCGCACGCAATTTCGTATCTCGCCGGCGACTCTGTTCGGCAATGCGGGGGGGGGGGAAGTGTGCAGTTGCACCGGCTTGCTGCTGCTGCCTCGCACAGACTGCGGCAAGCCCGATGTGTCGGCATGCAACAGGGGGAGTGAGTGAGTGAGGGAGTGAGTGATGAAGTGATGGAGGGAGTGATAGAGTGAGGGAGTGAGGTATCGATTAACAACAACCAGCAGCAGCAGCAACAACAGCAACAGCCAGCGCCTGTGCGCTCGATTACGCCGGTTTATCGCATCTCGGATCGCACGATCAGCACTATCTCGCGGCGATCAGGCGCTGTGTTTCGCTGGTGAAACGCCGGCCGTTGGTGCGACTGCGGTTCCACCAGCGAGGAAAGAAAGCGCCGTGGCACGCAGCGGGGACGGGCTGCAGCTGGGCTGTATATGCGAGGTGTTGTTAGCTGTTGAATATCAACTATCGATTGCTAAACAACAGCTATCGATGGCTAGATATCAATTGTCAATTGTCAATTGTCAGTTGTCAGTTGTTAGATGTCCGTCGCTGGATCTGGCTGTTCGCAGCCGGCCCAAGTCGATCCAGGCAGAAGCAGCCACATGCCCGGGCGTTACGAGCGACAGTGGTGGCATGGCGATAATGCATTGGCGGACGCGCGGCCGTGCGCCCACCAAAGGGGAGTGCGATACAGCGATGCAGGAGAGGACCGCTTGTTGGTTGGGGGGGCAGTCCAGGCAAGGGACGAGTGTGCTGCTGCACAGAGAGTGTTGTTGTTAGCGCTGTTGTTAGCGTTAGTTAACAACTAGCATACCCGCCATTGCCACCAGTGTCCCAACTATTACTTCAACTGTCACTTCAACTGTCACTTCAACTATTACGCCAACTATTACACCAACTATTACACCAATTGTCACTCCAACCACCACACCGGCTGTTGCATCAACTACTGCACCAACTGCAGCCACCGTTGCCCAAGCGCGGCGACCATCCTGGCACTCGCCCGCGGCCGATCAGACAACACTCCCCAAGTGGTTACTTTTTCCCTCCCGCGACTTTGACACAGGCCCGCAACTAACGATGCACCGGCTGCCCCCGCGCAGCGCCAACAAGATCATGGACGCTTGCCCGCACAGCACCGGCAGCAGCACCGGCTTTGCCCACGCCCGGCCACAGACGCGCAGGGCCCCGCTATTTCGGCCCGCTGTGGACTTGCCCCCCCCCCGGCCTGCTTGCTGGCTTACTCGCCCCACTCCCCCTGCTTGTTGCTTGCTTGTCGCTTGCTTGTCGCTGCCGCCGTCTTTTTTTCGCCTTGTGGGCGGCCCTGGGTTCGAAATTTGCGGTCTTGTTACGCCTATAACTGCTCTGCACCCCTCCTCTCGCTCGCCGACCCCCAGCGTCGTGAGACTCTTTTTTCTTTGCCGGCTCCCTCCCCTCCGGCCTCGACCCCGCCCTCGTCGCTTGGCTCGAGACTTTCCCGGTTGGTACTTTGCACCACGGCGCATGGTCCCCTGGTCTCTCGCCACTCTTCTCCTCCACTTTGTCCTGATCTGCGAGCCCCACCACTACCTCGGCAATCGCACTCCCCTGCTGTCCACCACCGCTCCCAATCTCTCGCTAAACTCCCCTCTCTGATCCACCGCCGCTGCCCAAAGCCACGGTTGCTACTTTTTCGGAAGGGTGGTTTTGTCTCCCTCTCGCTCCAGAGCCTCCCGCCCTCAAGCCGTCGCGAGAATACTCTATTCGCCCTGGTGCACACCTCTTTGGTAAGCTTGCATTGCAGTGCATCGCATGGCATCGCATGGCATCGCATGGCATCCCATCCCTGCCGGACATTGCAGTCGCAGTGCCTTGGCGTGATGTCCCTTGGCCAGGAACACCCTGGCCGGTCGAAGCGCTGTCCAGGCGATCCATCTTGGGACCATTCGGGACCATCTGGGACCATCTGGGACCATCTGGGATCGTCCGACCACTTTTTGTACCCGCCCCGACCACCCCACCCCCCAGATCTGCCTCGATCGCTTTCCAGATCTACGCCTCTCCATGACCGCATCCACATCTACCCCCTCGCCACTACTGTCTCTCGTTGTTGCCTCGTCGGAGGGCACTTGCCACCAACGCCGTTTCCACCCCTCCTCTCCTCTCTTCGCCCCTCCCCGGCTCCACTATTCCTGGTCTGGTGGCAACGACCGCCTCCCGGTCTTTGCCACAGTTGCCACCCTTGCGTGCTTCCTCCTTTCCATCTCCGCTCCTTCGCTGTGACAAGCACTTGCTCCAGATCGCCACGAGTTACTCCCTCCCAGTCCGTCGATTGCATTCTCCCGTTACCTCCGGGCGACATTTCTCTCGCTCGCTGCGTTCGCTGTTTTGGCTCCCTCTTCCTTGGGCTCGATGCCCCGCTCCCCGAGTTGGTTCCACGCCGCATTGCTCCGTCTGTTTTGTTGGCTGCGTCGCCGCCCTCGAGTCGGGTCCGCAATGCAGTCCATCACGACGACGAGCAGCTTGCAGGCGCTCTTGTTGCATGACGCCGTCCTTGGTCTCGTGCAGTTCTCTCCTGTGATTCTTTCTCCCTCTGCTCCCGTGTCCTGGCCGTCCTTTGCAACGCACATGGCCTTGCTGCCGTTGGCGGGTACAGCATCCTTGGAGGCTACTTCCTTGGAGGCTACTTCCTTGGAGGCTACTTCCTTGGAATTGTACTTGTCTTCGGAGGGCGGTCGTGTTGTTCCCGAGAGGCTTTGCCGGGGCCACGCAGCTCCCACGCACCACGCTTCCTTTGCCGACCACCATGTTGCCCGAGCCCCTGTTCCTTGCCCGCCTTGGGCCCTATGGCAGAGCATTCGTTTGCAAGCATTCGTTTGCAAGCATTCATTTGCAAGCATTCGTTTGCAAGCATTCATTTGCAAGCATTCATTTGCGAGCACCAAGGCCGTTCGTTGCCGTCATCCTTCACTCGTGTGTGGTCTTGTGGTACCCTCTTTGCAGCGCCTGGTTCTATTGTTTGTCCACTTCCACCTCGCCCCCCGCCCAGATCACTCCCATATTACCCTTCAACCCACCCCCCCACATTGTCCATCTATCCTTTCGGCCACCCACACCCTCCCACGATCACACATTCGCTGCGCCCGCGCCCTATTTTTGTCCATCCTGCTCGCCGTCGACCTCTTAGTCCTTGACCCCGTGGTCCTCGACTTCTTGGCCCTCGCCCGACCACCAAATATAGCCGACGACCAGCCTGCTGCCGGCCGGGGCGGCACCGCCGATTGCGGCTCTTCCCGGCTGCTGTTTGCTGTCTCGATCGATCGGCTTGTTTCGTTGGGCAGCCTTTCCAAGTTATTCTCGGCCGTGTTTCCCGTTTGGGCGTGCCATTCTGTTGTGCGCCCGCTGGGCAGCCGCTGCCCCCCTCGACACCTATATATCTCGCCTATCCGCCCCTCCGACTCTTTCTGCTTTTGCCTCTTCTTCCCGCACCGCTCCATCGCTGTCTCGCAGTAGGTCCCCTCCCTCCCCCCGCCTCCAGCCCTCGACCGTTGTCCTCGACTGTTGTCCTCCCGGTCTTTGCCGGCTTGTCACCAAGACGACCCCCTCCCTATCTGCCTCCGCCGACAGTCCCCGTATCTGACCCCCAGCGATCTCTCTCTCCCCGATCTCGCCTCTGCCCACAGGATCTCGTCCAAGCCCGATCAAGCCGTCTCCCGAGCCCGAGCCGCCGCTCCCGCTCAGTCCCTTCCCTCGCCTCGTATTTATGATAGACTTTCTCCAATATACCAACCCCGCCATGCAGCCGCCGATGTACCATCCCGTCGCCCCCTCAAGTAGGCCCCTGACCTCGGCTCCGGCACAGCCCCAGGCGCTCTCGATCTCGACCTTCCCACAAGGCCAATCCCTCTACGGGATGCAGGCTCTTTCTCCCACGGGGCTCACGGCCCCTCAACGCACCGTCGTCGGCTCCTTCTATCCCTCCCACGCTGCCGACATGGCCAATCCTGCTTCGGTCTCGCCCTTTGGCCAGTACCCGCCGGCGTCGACCCCCAACCCGGCTGCCGCTGCTGTGGGTGCGGCTCCCCTCGGCCCTTCAACAGACCCTCGTCGCCCCTACCCGTCGCACCCATCGGCCTCCTCCGGCTATGTCGCCCAAGTATCGCCCTCGTCCTACGGCAGCTCCTCGAGCCCTTCTCCTCTGGTGCCGGACTCGAACAGCCTGTACGGCCCTGCTGGCTCGCTCGCCCGTTCCCACCACTCCGCCTCGACGACCGTCCGCCCAAGCTACCACCCGCACAGCTACTCGCCCTACCCAACCATGCCGCTGCTGACCCGGCCGTTTTCGCCTTCCTCGGCGGACAACTCGCAGCGCAACCTGGCCCTGGCACAGTCGCCGTCGCATCCGGTCTATGTATCGGCGCCTGGCTCAAACCTGCCCGTCCTGTCGGCCCCGGTGGCCGCGCGCACGGCGTCGCAGTCGATCCACCACGAGTACTCAGCCCAGCCCTTTGGCCACTCGCCCTACGGCTCCTCCAGCACCATTGTCAGCGCCGGCAGCAGCTCTCTCCTGGGATCCTCGACAGGCCCTCTTGCCTCCCCGCCCATCGTCACGGCCGCTGCGGCCGCTGCCATCACCGCTGGAGACCACCGTATCGGCCCCATCCTCTCGTACGTCGGCCCCCAGCAGGCACTGCCCACCGCCACGGGCGAGCCCTTCTACATGGGCGCCGGTGTGGCTCCCCCAATCTCGGCCTCGAACTTTGGCGACGGCACCCCGAACTATGCGGACGAGATGGCTTTTGGCCGCACTTCCTTCGAGACCACGCCGGACTCGGGACAGACGATTTCCCCAGCGATGGAGCACTACTACCCTGAGCCTCAGTATACCATCCGAGGCGGCCACTACGAGATGAGCGGTGTCGGTGAGTAGCATCCTTTGGCAGCGCTGTGCACTGTGTGATCTGGAGTGTGTCTGTCACGACGAACAGCGGCTTTGCTCTTTGCATCATACAGCACCAGACCTGTTGCCTCTGCTGTTTGTGTTGCATCCGCTGCATCCGTTGCATCCGCTGCATCCGCTGCTTCTGGCTGGCTTGGTCGCATCGCTCTACACTCGCTGTCAGCCGCTAGGACCGCTGCCAGAGCGGCCTCTCGATCTTGACAACAACCCTTGTCATCTCTGGCAACGACCCTGATCGCGTCCACATGGCCCTCTGTTTACGCCCATGTCCGCTGCCCTCTGGCTCCGCTGCCCTCTGGCTCCGCAGATCCCTCCACCTACAACCACATGTCTCAGAACATGATTTCGTGTCCTCATGACGACTGCACCCGCACCTTCTCGAAGCAGACCCACCTGCGTGCCCATCTCAAGTCGCACCAGAACGAACGGAACCATCAATGCAACACCTGTGGCTCGACTTTCCGCCGTTCGCACGATCTTCGGCGCCACGAGCGTTCGCTTCACTCGACAGACCGCCCCTATGAGTGCCTCGTGTGCCACAAGACGTTCTCGCGAATGGTGAGTGCATGTTCTCATCGGCAACGCGGACGACAGGGCTACCTTGGTGTGTACTTTGAAGTCGGTCCTGACCCTATTGCCATCGTTCTCATCTCTCGGCCTTGATCGTCCTGCCCCCCCCCTCTACCACAGGATGCCCTCAAGAGACACTCGATGCGGTCCAAGGGACCTTGCAAAACCGACTCGACAGAGCCATAAGCCTCTTTGCCTTAGCGCTTTCTCTTGGCGCTCTCGTGTCTTCCTCAAGACTGTGACGCGCCAGAGTAGTCCCAGGCTGCTCGCCATCTGTGCTATTCCTCCCCCCGTTCCTCCTAAGCACCTCGGTTTTGGTTTTCGTCCTCCCCTCTGCTCTTGCTTCGTTCTTGCTCCCTTCTCCGTCTTTGTTGCGCGAACGCCCTCCGCCCCCTTCGCTTGGCCGCTTATCCTTTCGCAGCGCTCGCCCCGTCAAACCTCTCCCAGTATCTGCTGAGCTGTGGCAGCCCAGCTCGAGCTGGCGATGGACCCGAGGCAAAACCCCCCACCTATCCTGGTCCTTATCCCTCATCTATATTTGTGATTTGCCTCGTCTCTTTGAAGCCCTCATCGCTATCTCTGTTCCTGATCCCTCCCCCTCCCTCGTACCTGGGCCCGCCTCTCAACTCTTCGAATCTCGCCGTGGCCAGACCGGACCGATCCCAAAATCCGTGCCAATCTCGCAAACCGATTGGGCACACCTCCCTGTCCACCACGATGATGTTGAAGCCGCTGCCGCTGCTACTGATGCTGCTGCCCGTATCTCCCCTCCCCTGAAGCGACTCGATTGCCAAGCTCCCCCCGGTACTCGCCGACTTCTCTGGGGGAAACGCGCTCGCCTATGACCCTTTTATTATTATTATCTCGCCTTCAGTTCTGATTTCTTGGACGTCTCCCTCCCCACCCCTCCTCTCTCTCTTTCGCCAACTCGCGCTGCCCTACTTCCCTTCGTCGCTCGCAATCTTGTCGTTTACAAATCGAGCTAACTATTTATTCTAGAAGCCCTAAATGGCCTCTCTCTCCCCCCCTCTCTCCTTCCTGCGCTATCTTATTTACTCGGACTGTCTTGTTAATGATTGCTTCAGAAAGCATTGCCGAGCGTGCTCTCCCTCTCGTGCTGCAATTCCTCCTCTTGCCTTTCGGCAATCGCCTCTCTTTTTCTCTCTCTCTCTTTCTTTTTATGTCTCCCGATTGATCTCCTTATTATGCTCGGTCCTTGGTCTTCCCTTAACCTCCCCCCCCCTATTTATGAAAACGAGCAGCGATAGAATAGACTAGATCTCATAGAGTGATACTTCCGACGCTCTTCCCTTTGCTCATACTCCTCCTCCTACTACTCTTCGCTTTGGGGAAACAGAGCTCCGTCACTGCCGTGTGACGCCGTGTCTTCCTCGCACAATTTTCCCCGATGGACTTGCCTGTGAAGCAAGCTGCCCGGGACGACGCCGCCTCTTTGCGCTCGCAATCCTGTCTGGATCGGGTCTTGGGTTTGGACCCAAGATCAAGGCAGCGTCGTCAAGGGCGGCTGTCACTTGCATGTCCGTCTGCCCCGTGTCCTCCGTGCGGGGGTGAGTGGGAATTGGCAGCGTGGGGGGAAAGCGCCAATCAGCTGTTCTCGCGTGCTTTCGCGCCGTCACCACGTGGACTGAGCTCATGGCCGAGCCCTAAGGGTTGTGCCAGCCAGCCCCTGTCCTTGCCCTCGCTCGCGCCCTTGCCCTTGCCCTTGCCCTCGCTCGTGCTTCTGTGTCGTCGTCCTTGCGACACAGATCCGCGCACGCTTTTCTGCCTTTTTTTCGGTGGTCTCGATCTGGCCGATCTGGCCTTGCGGTTTCCACTATCGACACCCGGATCAACAGCGCTCCCCCCTCCAAACGTGAACCGGTTCATCCTGCCGAACGACGAAAAGACGAGCATTGTCCATCGATCCATCATCCTTTGATTCACTCACAACCCCCAACCTGCAACCAGCACCGACAAATGGCCACGATCGTCAAGGAACTATGGGGAGCCCACCCAACCTTCATCCGCCAGCTGACTCGCAAGTCCATCTTTGATCTGGCCCGCAGCGCTCCAAACGGAGGGGCTGGGCTTCGGATCGCGTCGACGGAGCACTATCGAAAGGGCATGCATGACTCCTTCTACACCATCACCACCGTCAAGGATCAAGATGTGAGTTGGATCGGCAGCGTTTGAGAGACGGAGGAGGGTGGGTTCCCATGATCGTGGCTAATACGGGTCTGTTCCTGGCGCCGATGCTGCACTCGACTCGACCCAACTCGACTTCACTCGACTCGATTCGATGACTTCCAGGCGTACGGTGTTCTGACGTGGAAAGGTGAGTCTGGCCCGCGATTCTGGATCCCAATCGACGACAGGCATTTTTGAACTGGGCTGGATAGAAACGCAATGTCGTCGCCACCCGATGGCATCTCAAAGCAAACTCGATCGAGTTCTGTGAACAGCAGCAGTCCTTCGCCCATCCCCACACGCACACATCAATACGGATATGTCCTACCTCGCCTCTAACCCGATGTGAAACCACCACAATCCCACAGGCAAGCAGGGACCTGCACCCGTCCGAATTCCCAAGGCCGATGCCGGCAAGTGGCATCTGTACGAGCCGCCACATGAGCTCAAGACCATCGAGGAGAAGCTGCGGATCCTTCCGGACGCCCCGGCCCGTCCCTGAGCCTACTGAATGACGGAGGGCTGTATCGTTGCCATGGCCATAGGGCCCAAATGGAAGGCGGGAGCGACCTTCGCAGCCTCGTGCTGGGATTCACCTCTGACGTGGCTTCCGCTATCGCTATCGCCATCGCCATCGCGATTTCCAGCGTCCCCGGTCCCTGTACTCGTCGTCTCGATGGAATTTATGAGCCCTTTGAGACCCCAGGCCGTCCCGGAGCACCTTTCTGGCATCGACAACATCTCTCTGGCTGTCATTTCCGCCCACTCACCGCTCCGCTCCCACTTGGCACCGACCGTCTCTTGTTTCCAATATCTCCCGCATTTTGTCCATTTGCTTCTTGACCCTCCACACCAGCACACCAGCACACTCCAATAGAGCTTCATGGCTCAGGCTGATCCGACATGAATCCGAGACGCGAGACGAGACGAGACCAGACGAGGCCGATCTCGCTCGCGCCTCGCCTGCATTCCCCGTGCGCCCACCTGATTCATATGCGTGTGGCTGAGCCGATCGCCAAGCCACGCGCCTGCTTTGCCGCCGCTATATAAGCGCCCTGGCCTGGTCGCTCCTCTCTGGCCGCCGGGGGGCCTTGGAGGGAAGCTTGTGTTTAAAGGCAAACATACGGAAGCTCTTTCTTCCCCGTCCCCTCGCGGGGGAGGAAGGCGCTTCTCACGACCTTTGGCAGTCTCCCAAAAAGTCCTAGTAGCTCGAGAGGAGCAAGGCCGTATGGGTCGACGTCGTCACCAGCAAGCCGACCCCCTTTTTTTCTTATCCTTGGGACCGCAAGGTCTCTTGGGGGTTTGAAACCAGGCGCGTGGACAGCCACCTGTGAAGTGCAATACACAAGTCGCTCTGGGATGCCTCGCTTGCGGGGCGTCTGGAGCGGACTCAATTGGGATGCTCTTCCTCCACGGCCCCCCCCCTCCCCTAAAAACTACGATGAAAACGAAAGCAATCTGCCACCAGATCCGATCTGATGCGATGTGATGTGATCTGATCTGACTTGATCTGGTCCTGATCCAATGCGATGTGACCCGACTACTGATCTCGTCGCAGATCGGCCCGCAGTCCGTCCATGCGTTTGAGGGAAATAGCGGTCTATTCTCTACGTATCCTCTATTGCCCAATCGCTCTGCGTTTCACTGCAGACAGAGCTTGGTTCGCCGTGCATCCACGAGCTTCTCGAGCACCCGGCCAACGCGAGTGCCTGCCAGGTCGTTCTCGGTGACGTTCAGAATCTTGAGACTCTTCATATCCTCGATCTCGCGAAACACCTCGCTCGGCGCCGCAGCGAGCGCATTGTTGGCCAGCAGCAGATAGGTCATCAGGGGCTTGTGGTGGAGCAGTTTCTCGAGGATGCGGCGGCCGCTCTTGGTCTCGCCGAGCTGGTTGTGGGAAAAGGCGGCAATCTCCAGGCGCTTCATCTCCCCGAGGGGCTCAAACAGCTGCTCTGCCCAGTCCAGCGACAGCTGCGAGAGCCGGTTCATCTGCAGCTGCAGCGTCTCGATCTCGGGCTTGTTGCAGAGCCCGAAGCGCAGAATGTCGCTGCCGTTCGGGCTCGTGCCCAGCGCATTGTTCGACAAGTTGAGTCCCCGGAGCCGGTCCATGTGCCCCAGCCGAGACAGGTACTCCTCGGTCTCCTCCGGCGTCAGGGACCCAAGGGCATTTTCGCTCAGGTCGAGCGACCGGAGGCTGTTGCGCTGTAGGAAGTACAGCAGCAGCTTGCGTCCGTCGTCCGTCGAGCCGAGCAGGTTGGAGCCCAGGATGACCTTCTCGAGTCCCCGCAGCTCGGCGATCTCGGTGCTGAGTTGGGCCTCGTCCTCCTGCGCCAGCCGGAGCTGGGCCAGGGCGTTGTCGCTCAGGCCGAGCCATCGGAGCCAGGGCTTCTGGTGCAGGGCCTGCTTGAGAATCTCCTTCCCGCAGGCCGACGTGCCGAGCGCATTGAAGGACAGGTCCAGCTCCTCGATCTTGGCCATTTCGCCGAGGCTCCGAACGACTGGCCCGGCGGCCTCCAGCGAGGCCTTGCCGAGGTTGTTGTTGTCCAGCATGAGTCGGCGCAGATGGGGCTTGTGGTGGGCCAGGTACTGGAGCGCCTTGATGCCGCCCTCGGTGCTGCCGAGGTCGTTGTGTGAGACCTGGATCTCCTCGATTTGCTCCATCGCAACAAAGCTCTGGAACAGCTCCTCGGCCTCCTCGACCGAAGGCTGCCAGAGCGAGCTCCAGTCGAGCTTCAGGATACGCATTCGCGGCTTGGACGACAGCAGGAAGCGCAAGAGCTCCCGGCCGCCCTCGGTCGAGCCCAGGAAGTTACTTGCCAGGTCCAGCTCCACCAGCTCTGGCATTCCCGTGGACTTGAACTCGGCCTCCATCGCAGCAACGTCGTTGGCCGTGATGCGGCACAGGTTGTTGAAGCACAGGTTGAGGCGCTGCAGACGGGGCTTGTTTCGCAGCAGGAGGGTCAGGATCTGCCGCCCGGCTTCGGTCATACCAAAGTCGTTGTGTGAGGCTTCGAGGACCTCGAGTCCGTCCATGTGGCATTCGCCAAAGACCGACAGAACCTCTTCCACAGGCATCTTCTCGAGATGGCAGGACGTCAGGTCCAAGATCTTCATGTTGGGCTTGTCGTGCAGGATGTGGCCCAGCAGGATGTGGCCGCTGCCGAGAGCGCCCATATCGTTGTCCATCAGATCGACATGCTTCAGCGTCGTCGTCGTCCTGAGCGCCCGGAAGAGGTGGTTGGCGCCCAGCGCCGTGATCGACCCGAGCTTGGTCGATCGGAGCCGGAGCGTCTCGAGATTGGGCTTCTTCTGCAGGAGATACAACAGCGTGCGCTTGCTGCAGCGTCCAAGACCAAGCTCGTTGTGGGAGACGTCGATGTGCCTGAGGTTGACAAAGTTGCGGAGAAGCTTGAGAGTCTCTGGATTGGTCCCGTTGTCGAGGTTGTCGATGTGGTTGATCTTGAGGTGCGTGAGGGACTCGGGGTCGATCCGGGCAAGCACCAGACTCACAAACTCGGTCGAGACCCGCGAGAGACTGAGGCGCTTGAGGTTCTTGAGCATCATCGGCGACGTCGCCTGGTCCTCGACATCCTTTCCCGTGCGATTCGTCTGCCCATCCGAAGCAAAGACGGCCTTCCAGATCTCGAGCACATTCTCCTCAATCTCTGGGTCGCCCTGGAGGTTCGAAATGATCAAGGTTTCGACCGAGGTCAGCAAGACCTGCATCGCCGACTGGAACCGGCGGTGGCGCTTGGACGAAGTCTCTTTGACAAGGACCCTGAGGTTGTCGTAGATTTGGTAGATGAGCTTGGGTGAGAGGATCACGACCTTGAGCATCGTCGGCTGCTTGCGCCATTCGTCCGGCTCCTCGCTGATCTGCACCAGCGCGCGGGCAATCTCGGAGGTGCTCGCTTGCGAGCTGGTGGCTGGAAGGAGCAGCGGCGAGTACTGCGGCATCACCAGCGAGAGATATCGCTTCTGCTGGGGATTGAGGAACCGGCCAAGGCGGTAGATGATGTCATTGTTGAACTTGGACAGCTCGGAGGGCTCCATGGCGCTGGTGCGGCAGCGATCGCAAGAAATGGCTAGAAAATCGACAGATGAGGGCGAGTGAGTACCCGTTGCGCCCGATTCGAGTGCACCAGTCGGTCGGATGCCGTCGCAAGGACACTAATTGCACAAGAGCGGCTGCTGGGTGCCGTCGAGGCGATCAATCAAGCGGAAACCCAAGTGCAAACCGCAAACCGCAAACGCACACACACACACAGCCACAAACCAGGACGGACAGCCACACACACACGGCCACACACACACACAAGCCCTGGCACAGAAGGGCCTTGTCGTGTTCCTCTTGATCTTCGCCGCCATCTGCATCGTCGCCCGAGCCTGGTCCTGCTGCCCACCGCTGTCCACAGCTGCCCCCGCACGACAAACACCAGTCCTTCCCCGGCCTGCCCTCGCCGCCGCATCCGTCTCGCACCCGATCCATCGGCTCCGCTCGGCCCTCGCCTCCCGGAGCAGCCTCGACGACCAACCCGTCCGCTTTCCATCGGCTATCTCTGGCCCAGCCCAATGTCGCTCCGTCCCAAGGCCATCGATTTCAAGGCCACCTATGTCGACTTTGAGACCAACCTGCGGGCCCTGTATTCCCCGTCGGACCAGCGTCTGACGGGCATGAACATGTTCCAGGCTGTCTACGACATGTGCACCTGCTATCCAAAGGGGCAGGCCGATCGGCTCTTTGACTCGATCGCCGCATTTCTGACGGGCTATTGCACGCAGGTCGCCAACGTAAGAGACCGCGAGTCTCCTATCCAGTCGCCGTATCTTGAAACGCACCTCTTTTGGTCCAACTCGCGTGGCGCCGACTTTGGGCCGCATCGTCGTTGCGCTGCCCATCTAATCCTATCGTTCCTATGCTTGCCATTTCCATCTGCCCACCGTCGCGCATCGATCAATATGCATTCGCCACCTTCATGGGACGACGACGCCATGGATCCATTGTTGCCGCTCGTGTATCGACGATTCGTCTGGGTCGTCCCGGGGGCCGGCAGCGACTGCTGGAGTTTGAAGAAATCGCACCCATCTACGTGTCCGAATGGAACAGCTACCAGACCGCCTCTCGCTATGCCAACTCCATCTGCGACTATCTGAACCGCATTCTGATAAAGATGTATTCGAGCAAAGTGGGCTCCGACGCCAAGTATCGCCGGCAAAGCATCGAGGCCGTGAGTATGCGATTCGACGAGCACGGGCCATTTGCCCCATTGATTCGATTTGTGTGCATCGTCGTCGACCAGGCCCAGAACAGGGTCCGGCTTGAACTCTGTGTCCGAGAAGGAGCAAGACAGGGAGCCTGAACTGCACCGCCGAATGCCAGAGAGTGGCCCGCGCTCACCCGCTTGTCTCGTGCTCGCGTATAGCTGGCTTACAGCCTGTGGGTCGAGCACGTCATCAACCGCCTCAAAAGTCGGTCCAACCGGCTGATCTTCCAGGTCTCGCAGTTGATCGAGAAGAACCGGGATGGAGACTCGATCTCGGCAGACACGGTGAGGCAGGTCATGGAGTCGTTTGGTAAGATACGTGGCGTGATCCCAAATTGTCGCTGTGGCAGAGGGGAGGGCAGGTGATCCCGCGGTGGCGATTGTGCTGGCAGGCTTGGACGGCAAGACGATGCATCTGCTTCGAGCTTCCCCTGCGATTGCTGATTATCTGCTCTGCGCCCGTCGTCTACAACGAATGCACCACCAATGTCTGCGACATCATTCGGCATAAAGTCGAAGTCTACCGATACAAGGACCACCACCTCCAGCTGTACGTGGAGGAATATGAGAGGAGCTACCTCGAGTCAACCCGATCCTACTATGAAACAGAGTCCAGCACCTTTGTGGCATCCGAATCGATTTCCAACTTTATCCAGAGAGCTTCCCGGCGGCTGGCCGAGGAGCAGGAACGGACCACAAGGTTCTGCCACCCAACATCGTTCGAAAAGGTAGACCCATGTGGTTGATGCAGGAGCGGCGCTTGGCACTTGCGAGCGACTCCATCGCCAGCGCATCGGTACACTTGGTACCGCCATGTACTTGCTGTAACGAATCTGATGTCGGTGTCGAGAACCCGCAGTGGAGCCGCAGTGGAGCCGCCATCGTCGATCTGGTGCCTCCAGGCCATGACAATGACTCACTGTGCTGACCCGACCGTTTTGGTGTATATCCGATGGACAAGGTGGTGCGGGAGTGCACCAACCAGTACGTGGGCGTCCACCAAAAGCGCATCCAGGCCGAGTTTGTGACCATGCTCGTCCGCGATCTGCACGAAGGTACAGCCAGGGATACGCATTTGGTCGGGCACCGCTCTTCGGGCAAGCATCTCGTCCCGACCGGGATTGCATCGACTAACTGGTCGTCTCGGCCCTATCACGCTGGCTCGCAGATATGACTGTGGCATACGACTTGCTTATACGGATACCCGACGGCACACTACCGCTCCTTGCATCGCTGGAGACCCACATCAAGGAAACCGGCACTAAGCTTGTCGAGACCGTGTGGTCGGCTGCCACCAAGGTAGAGAGCTTGGCTGTACACTCCCATGTTCAACAGTCCCGTGTAGCTGCATCATGCACATACTGATCCATCTCCTAAATTGCATCCTCTGCACTCGATGGCCTCACGGATCATTCTTACGCTTCCACACCGCTGATGCAGAACCCTTCCGAGTACGTCGATGTTCTTGTGGCCCATCACGCAAAGTTCACCGAGATGTGCACCAAGCTCTTCAAGGGAGATCTCATATGCATCTCGACCGTCGACAATGTAAGCGTGATGCCGGTGGGACACGGACGTAGTGCAAGTTTATTGGCGGATACATCTACGAGCATGCATGCGTCGCCTGATTCACCGAGTGGGCAGCTGCACTCTTGTTCATCCTGGGGCAACGGTGTGATCGAGAGAGCGAAGCATCCGCCACACGACAGCGAGTAGGCGCTGATCCCCCGGACTTTTTCACCAAAGGCCCTGCGATCCATCATCAACAACCGCTCGCTGCACAAAAATACCGGCTCGGCCGAGCTGCTGGCCAAGCACGCGGACAACTTGCTCCGCAAGAAGAGTGCAAGCAGTGAAGGCGACGTCGAGGAGAAGCTGTCGGCACTGGTGCGTCCCTCGGCGCTGATTCTGTTGCGCCTGATGTCGCTGAATGTTGAGCACCAACGAATGCCGCTGCTGACGCGGCGCATCCACCTCGATCCCGCTGTTGCAGATGATCCTGTTCATGTACGTCGACGACAAGGACGTGTTCCAGAAGTTCTACTCGAGAAGTTTGGCCAAGCGGCTGATCTACGGCGGCTCGGTGTCCGATGAGGCCGAGCTCAGCATGATCACCAAGCTCAAGGTAGTGTGACAGCACGGACGAGAGAGAGTCGAGTGTCCGACAGTGTAAACATGAAGTGTGAATCACAGCTGCGCGGCCCCATGGCTCAGACTCGCTCTAATCCCTGTGAAACTCAATGCTCGGCATCGGCACGCTTCGTTGCTGAATCGGAACCGACAATGACCAGATGGCCTGTGGCGTTGACTATACCAGCAAGCTGCTCCGGATGTTCCACGACATTGGCGTGAGCGACGATCTCAACACGAGGTTTAGGGGCCATCTGGATCAGCAACACAAGTCGCTCAATCTGGACTTTAGCATCATGGTCTTGACGGCCGGGTTCTGGCCTCTCATGAATGCGCCATCTGAGTTTCAGCTGCCGGCCGAGGTGAGGATAGCGGGCCGTTGCGATCTGGCCCGGTGGCCCAGTACGGCTCAGTGGCGGCTCTATCGTCGCTTGAATCGTGCACGGGAACTCACTCTTCCCCATTCGTGGCGCCGATGACACTGTGGTGGACGCTTCCATTTCGCAAGATGGAGCAGAGTGTGATCTACTTCACCCAGTTCTATACCAGCGTTGCCTTCAACGGACGCAAGCTCACATGGCTGCACCATTTGGCCAAAGGTGTGCGCAAACATTCGCTTGGGCAGTGTGTGTTGCACCTGCTCTGTCGAGGCCGGGGGCCCATGCAATCGATTGGATCTGTGAGCTAACTATTGGTTTGTCTAGCCGATGTCAAGCTCATTGGCTTTGATAAGCGGTACGAGTTGAACGTATCGCTCTACCAGCTGTCGATACTGCTGCTGCTCAACTCGCTGCCCAGAGTTAGTCTCCAAGAGATCGAGAAGCAGACCAAGCTCAGCCAAAGCGAAATCCAACGATCGCTCAAGGCAAGGAAGGCAGAGTTGTTATCGACAATGGGCCGGGGGGAGTCAGGCGGTATGAGCAGCGCGTGTTGACTGGATTTGATCTCGTTTGTGCAGGCGCTGGTGGACATCAAGTTGGTTGAATTCAACGAGGGAGCCTCTGAGATCTCGGTCAACGCCAAGTTCACCAGGTGAGTGCTCGCTGCGGATCCGCATCAACGACGAGCCGCTGGCACCATCTCGAGAGAGAGCAGTCTCACATTCGTGGCTTGTATCTCGCTCGCGACTGTACAGCAAGCGGATCAAGATCAAAGTCACTGCAGGCGTGCAGGCCGACACGCCACAGGAAGTCGATGCAAATCGCAAATCGGTCGAGGATGATAGAAAGATATACATTCAGGTGGGGCCAAGTCCGAGCCCTGCACAAGAGCGACATGCGACTTGACTCTGCAGTGTTTCCAGGCGAGATGGATCGACCCAGCAGAGAGTGTCTGAAACGGCACTGGCAGCACAGCAGGCCGCGGCGATACGTCCAGCCACCGCCACTTGCTTACGTCTCCGCCGCTCTTTGCTTCACAGGCGGCGATCGTCCGGGTGATGAAGTCCCGGCGCGAGCTCTCGCACAACCATCTGATCCAAGAAGTCATCAGCCTGTCCAAATCGCGGTTCAGCCCCAGCATACCCGTGATCAAGAAGTGCATCGAGCATCTGATCGAGAAGCAGTACATTGAGCGGAGCAATCAGAATCGGGACCGATACGTGTACATCTCATGAGCCGTCGGTGTGGGAGACTGGCGATGAAATATATCTGTGCGATGCAGCCATCGACAAGCTGGCCATGTTCTGGACACGCGAAATCCACGCTCTTGTCACGTGTGAGCGTCCACGTGGACAGACTCTCAATCGATTCGCTGGCTTGCGGCCAACACAACACAGCCCAAGGCAGCAGCGATCGCACCGGCCTCGACACCGACATCACCAACATCGACATCAACGACTGCAACAGCAGCAGCAGCAGCAGCAGCCGCTAGAACCGCCCGCTCATCTCCGTCCGCCGTACCCGCCCCCGCACTCACACTCGTCGCAGCCATGATCCACATCCGCCAAGCTACCGTATGAGCTTGTTTCCGATCTGATCGCAATGCCGATACGAACGCTCGCACTGGCCGCCAGATCGACAGCCGCAGCGACGAGAGGGCAGGCCGCCGAGGGTTGTGCTGGACTGAAGACGAGGCCGTGCCCGTCGACGGCGACGGGGGGATGCCGATCTGCTGCCAGGATGTCTTCGAATCGATCGCTGACCTGGATGCTTCACTTCCGCACCAAACCCAGTCCGACGACCTGTTCGCGATGCAGAACTGCAACCTGATGAACCTGCCGGAGAACTACGTGATGAAGTATTACATCTACCATGCCCTGTCGTGGCCCCAGCTTTCCTATGTCGCCGAGGACCACAAGGGCCGGATCGTTGGCTATGTTCTGGCAAAGATGTGAGTGGCGTGAATACGATATCCATGCGCGTTGGGTGCCGATCTTGCGAGTTTGAGCGAGGACGGATGGGCATTGCCAGGAGAGGCTTGATGGAAGCGCTCGTGCTGCTGCTATTGCTATCCTTGCTGCTAATTTCGCTTCGCCGCTGGCTGTGTTTGCATTTCCCTTCTGAACGCCTTCTCTGTCGCTGCTCTGTGGGCTTTGGCCAGGGATGATGAGCCCACCGATGCCTCCAGTCCTCCCCACGGCCACATCACCTCGCTGTCGGTGATGCGAACCTGGCGCCGTCTCGGTATCGCCGAGAAGCTCATGACACAATCCCGTAAGTGCAGCCCTTCCCTTGATCAACAGTAGAGCGGACCGGAACATGGGCCAGGCGCAATCCGGCTGCTTGAGCGGCGCTCTGTGCTCGGTGGCGAACAGAGAATGTAGCTTCCTCCAGATCCGCAGGACGGTCGTCGACTTGCGGATCCACCCCACAGCCTCGCTAACTCACTTTGGGTTCTTCGCCCCTGCCCGATGGCAATCTCCCAACTCCATCATCCCCAGAGAATGCCATGGTCGAGTGCTACAATGCCAAATACGTTTCGCTACATGTCCGCAAATCGAACCGAGCTGCCCTCCATCTCTATCGGGACACTCTCAAGTTCAGGTACGGCTCTTGTACCATCATGCTGTGCAGCATATGTTTGTGCGGCGAGCGAATGAGCAAGCTGCTGGCAGACGTCTGGGTCAATCATGGCTTGGGCTGACTGGCTCTGCCTTGCACTCCCGTCCAACGATCCTCTGTTTTGTGGGGGGGGGATATTCTGCGACTGATTCCGAATCACATTGGTACTGCTGGATCCGCTCTCTGGACGGTGATGCTTGCATCGAATCATCATCCAACCCTTCCTCTGCCCGAACTCTTGCGATGACCTGATGGGACTGGACACAACTTCAATGTCTCGCTGGCAACAATCTCCCATGCACTCTTCGTTGTGCCATCCAGCGTCAGCGAGGTGGAGACCGGATACTACGCCGACGGAGAGGACGCCTACTGCATGAAGAAGGTCCTGCAGGAGTAGGATCTGCTTTGTCTCAATCCCCCTTCCCACCCTCAATACAGCTTCTCTGAGCGGGATAGTTACTTGCCGAGAGCCACGACGGGACAGGTAGAGGATATGAAAAGAAAAAGTATATGGTGGGCAGTTCTTGCTGATACAAACAATGTAGATATCGAATGTGAGAGTATTGCGTTCTTCGCAATAGAGAGGGGGCGGGGTCGATGCCATCCGCCGTTCCAGTTCCCAACATCAACAGCGCCGAGAGGTCCACACAGACAAAAGCAGAGCAGCCAGGCGCTTTGCTTGGAGGAATGCCGAGATGTAGATTCAGGTCCAAAAATGCTAGCTGAAAGGTAATAGGTAATAATATGCGAGCAACCCCGACAAAACCACAACACACCAACTACCACGATACAGGCAATAAATAAGGGATGCATGGAATGGGAGAGATACTCCTCTCATAGATTGATCAGGCACATGGCGGTCAAAACTGTCGCCACAGACGGTCATTCCGGCAGAGTCGAGCGCCATTCCGGGACAATCTGGGTCGAGACGATGCAAGAAATAGCAGGCATCAGAGCTGTACGATCTTGAGTGCGGTGGAGGGTGCAATAAATAGCTGCAGAACAGAGTCGAGGGCACGAGGTTGCTTGGCAGTGGACGCAGGGGGGATCCGTTGGGTCGTGGGAGCGGCATTGCGGCGGCTACTTACGATCAGCGTCCCCCGGAGCGGCTGCACACTCGCTAAAGAGCCAGTTAAAGAGTCGAATCGGGGGGGGGAAGCGGGGAGGCAAAGGCGGAAAAGGGAGGTGGAGACAAGCGGCAAGCGAAGACGGGAGGGGTACTGTGAAAGAAGGCGGATTTCATACAAGGCGATAGCTAGAAATGTTTGACATCGAAACCAAGCCTGCGCCGGCATCGAATAGGGGAAGAAATGAGAGGCAGGCGACACCTGCGCAGTGCCAGATGCGCAGGGGCCTGTGGGAGAATCATCGGTCAAAAAAGAAGGGGGAAGGGATGGAGCAAGATACAAAGAGAAAGCGTGCGAGGGAGAAGACTTGGCAGGACGGTCGAGGGAATAAGGCGCAATGTGAAGCCCTTAGTTAGCCACGACGAGGGAGCTGCGTTCGTTGGATTCGACGGGGGAGTCGTTCGCGGATCGTGGCTGGACGAAAGCGAGAGGAGACTGGACGTGCGGCGCAAACGACCGAGGGTTCTGTTGAGAAACCCACCGTGCCAGGAGAAGGTCAGAAACGGCATGGACAGGAGAGGAAGAGGCCGAAGCGCAGTTGGTATCCAAGCGACCGGCTCAGGAGGGAAATGCACACGCAGGCAGACAAACAGACAGACAGACGGGCAGGGCAGGGCAGGCCAGCCCAGCAGATTGGCCATCGACATCCGCCTATCGACGAGCCCGGAGCAGCATCGGCGCAAAAGGCCCACTCTCGGCACAGTCGGCTGGACAGGCCCTCGGCCGCCGCGACGAGCTCGCTGGCATACATGCGTGCGTCGGCATCGATGGCGTAGCCAAGGGCAACGAACTTACTTTGAGGACAGGGGTGCGGCGCTCTCTTTGCGCAGGAATAAATAGTCTATTGTTCGGAGCGTTGGCGCCGTGATTACTGCTGGCGAGCGGCGAGGCAGCAGCGGCGACGGCGGGTCCTCGCTGCGATGGTTGCAGGGACGGGTCTTGCGAGGCGTGGCTCTCGTAGATGGTGGAGACGTGGCCGTAGTCGCCGATGCGATAGGAGACGCAGAAAGGATCGATCCACAGCACCAGGTCGAGCGGGAAGAGCCTGGCGACCGGGGCAATCGACTCTCTGGAGGGCAGCGCAGACAGCAGCGAGGACACGATGACGGGGTCGAGGTTCCCCGCCAGGTTGGAAAGGGAGCGGAAGGCGCTGCCCTTGTGGGGACACTGCAGGTCCCAATGGCACGAGTATTTTGCGAGCAGCGACTCGATAAGATGGGACTTGAACTGCGAGACCGAGTCTTTCGAGGACTGGTGGAGCATGAGATACCTCGAAAGGAACTCGGCTGCGGTGGTGATTTCAGTCAGCATGGTGGCTTGAGGGAGGGGGGAACTTGGCGAGGAAGCGCAGCGGAAAGACAAAGCAAAGGTCGCCGAGAGGAGCTATCTTGGGGGGAAGCAGTGAGGTGGAGCGGGGGGAGCAGGCAAGAGCGGATGCAGCGGGCGAGAGGAGCAGCGCGGGCTATATATGTGGAGAGGGGATGAGCTGGCGATGAGCTGGCGATGAGCTGGCGGTGAGCTGGCGGTGAGCTGGCGGTGAGCGGCAAAGGAGGACGGCGACGGAGGGGCGCAAACAGACCAAACGGTGGAGCGTCGGCGACGTCGGATGGATCGCTCTCGCGGGGCTCTCGGTGCGCCCTCGCCCGCCGCAGTCGCCTGTGCTCGCCCAGCTGGCGGCGAGAGGCGAGAGCGCCGCGGCGAGATGTCCAGCCGCAAAGCCACCGCTGCATCGCCACCCAGCGGCAGAGCGGGTCACGCGCCGCTCATTCGAGCCGCCGGCTGCATTCCAGCTAGACAATCCAGCCAAACAATCCAGCCAGCAGCGGCCAGGTGACCAGCGGCCAGGTGACCAGCGGCCTTCCAGAGTGTGCTCCGACGTTCCAGCAACAAGCAACCCATGTGGTCTGCGTCCCCTGGTCTTGGTCGGGGGAGGAAGACGACGCCGACCTAAAAATAGCTCCCGGCGAATGTGTGCGGACGCCGTCCTCGTAGCCTGCCTTCTCGTCAGTGCCCGCTGACTGCCCGGTGATGATACTGCGGGTCGTCCTGTGATGGCCCTGTGGGAGGCCTGTGATGGTTCTGAAGGCCGTCCAGCGATGCTCCGGTCCAGCGATGCTCCGGTCCAGCGATGCTCCAGTCCACGGCCCGATCAAGGCAAGCTGCATTCTGAGGACCTGCTGATTGCGCATCGCCCACTGGCAGCACAATGCAAGGATTCGCCTGACCTGCGCTCGCCCGGCTGCCGGGCGGTTTCCCGCATCGACCCGCAACTCTGAGCGGCTGGATCAACAAACAAATCAAATCAAATCGAAAGCGAAATCGATGGCGGTATATAGGGGGTGAGGAGGACGCCAGCCCCATCGGCATGCATCCATCGACTCGTTGTTCTTCTGCTCAGACATGATGCACCAACCCGACCCGCTGTCGCTGCCTGCTCCGGGCTACTGGGGCCATCCAACTTCCACTGTGGACTGGTGCGAAAACAACTACACCGTCTCGTGGTATATTGCCGAGTTCTTCAACACCATATCGAGGTACTGCCCAGTACTCTTGCTCTGCTTGCCGAGGGTGGGCAGGATAGGCGGGCGGGCGTGTGCAGGAAAGCCCATGCCGGGGTGGCAGGGATGGGATGCACGATGCGGTGCGTGGGAAACGGGATATGCGTGCTCTCAGATGTCGCCGCGGTGCATGGTCGAGGACAGCCCACTGTCGCAGCGACCTGTGAACGAAGCTGGGGTGAGCAGACGACGACGACCTCAGATGTCGCCGTGGCAGCGCCGTTTGAGCCGGAGACCCGCATGGCGGACTGCCCTGCATGCTCGCTGCAGCCAGAGGCACTGTTCCGGCTGGTCAGTCGCTGTGGTGCGTCGAGGAAATCGGTCTCGGCTTGCCCGAACCAGACTGTCTCGCACCCGCACAGAGGGAAATCCCGGATGGAACGAGGCTCGATTGCTGCGGCGACTAACTCGTCTGTTGGATCGGCCCAACCAGCGCATCCATGGTGATCCTTGCTCTGATTGGCCTTTGGTCCAACGCCAAGTTTGGTGCCCGATTCGTTGTCATTTTTGCGTCGTTCTTGGTCGTTGGCATTGTGAGTATCAAGAGCCCGCACCGATGTGCACGCGTATCCATTGCTTCGATCCCTTCGATCCCTTCGATCCTTGGATTGCTTCGATGCACCTCTATATTTTTGTATCCACACCCCATTCTTCCATCCCTGGCTGCGTACCTGTCGTCGCTGCGTTGCATCACACTGACTCTTTGTCCCTGCTCTGTTGTGTCTTTGCAGGGGAGCATCATGTTCCATGGAACGCTGCTGTTTCCATTCCAGATGCTCGACGAACTCCCCATGTGCTACACCTCTCTGGCCATGGCGTACTCGCTGCTCGAGCCCTCAAAGAAAAAAAAGTACGGCTGGACGCTCCCCGCAGCGATGACGGCCTATGCTGTTGCCACGACCCTCGTTATCGCATCGAACCAGAACGCGGTCCTTCAGTTCTTCTCCTTCCATCTGAGCTTTGGACTTCTTCAGATATTCGTGTTCGGATCGACGTACCACTTCATCCGCGACCGCAGCGACGACGCCCACCGCATCTGGTGGACCGGCATTCGGCTCTATGTGTTTGCCCTGGTGTTGTGGCTCGCAGACCTGAACTTGTGCTTCCTGATGAACTCTCTGCCGATCAATCCTCAGCTGCATGCCTTCTGGCACATCCTTGCTGGGCTCGGCTGCTTCTACACCTGCCAAGTTTGCGTGCTCCATCGACTCGACGGGCTCGGTCGTGTTGGGCGAACGGTTCGCCTGGCCAGGATCATACCCCTTGTTGTCGACGGTGGCGAACGACTTGTTTGCCGCACAGTGTGTTGAAAAACAGTAAGGCATGTCATTTCTCTTGGACAAAAACCCGCCGAGGTTGGATCATGCCATGCCCAACCAACGACGGAGTGGGTCAAATCACCTCCGCAGATGTCCGTCCCGTGGAGTCGGTCCAAGTCACCAGTATCTCATCGGCCGAGTCCGCCACGACGATGTGAACCCCGATCGGCGTCGTCCAGCCAGGTCGATCAGCATCGTTCAGTCTGCGTGTTGAAGTGCTCCATTTCGCTTTGGCCGTGCTGTTCATTTTCCAATCATACCCTTGGCCCCCCCAACCTCATACTCCGTGACTCGAGCTGGACAGCGCTGCCAGTGCAATACAGCTTGTGTGCTAATAAGACATATGTCCCCGTTTCCTCCGCTGTCCTTGCGGGTTGAACGATCTCGGCTGTGGGATTGCTTCTGGTCTTGGTTGGGACAGCATGCTCTCCATACTCGGTCGACACTTGGACATGGGCATCTATTGCCCTGGCTCCGCGGGATGTGTGGCCGTCGCAGATGATGCCACTGCGAGTCTGGTCAGACGTGGCGGAAGAGAGATTTGACAGTGGCACCGATGCCGCAATAGTGCCGTCCCGCTGGCATGTGTCTCGCGCTCGCCAGAAGGTTTTTGGGTGCCTCCCAACTACTCTCCCGACCACCCTCCCGACCACCCTCCCAACCACCCTCCCAACCACCCTCCCAGCCGTCCGCCAGCCCAGTGCTTGTGAGCTGCTCCTTGCGCTTTCAGCTGCCATCTGTCCCTACTGCTCCTGGCGTTTTCAGTTGCCATCTGTTGTCCGCTGCAACATCCCACTGGACTCGGACCCGACTCTCCAGCCAGCTGCCGCCATGTGGAGGCAATTGCACCATCCCCTGTTCTGGCTCCTCTGTATCGACGCAACCGTCGCATCCCGATCGCCCACGACAACCATGTTCGCCCACGACAACCTTTTCCGCACGGCCCAATCCGAATGGACTCGCATCGGATCCTCGCGGCCACCAGACGCACCAGCCGCCTTTGCTGATCGGGCCGCTGCGCGCTCTCGTTCCCCAGCCCGTCTGCGCTGCCAGGGTGGCTCGCCAGCAGTGCCACACAGCCTGCTGTAGATTGCCACTGTCAGCACATCTCCTGTCGGTGCTGGCTGGGCTGGGCCGAGTGGGAGCCATGGGCCGATGGGCTGGTGTCCATGGTGGCACTGATGTACAGCAGTACAGAGGCCTGAGCGCCTTGTGCGCTGTCCCGCAGGACATGTGATGCCCCCACCGGCACCCGCGGGGCCTTGCTCAGGGCCCATCCAAGCCCCCAGTCGCGCAGGAGTGGGTCAGCTGGGGATACATGTCGCACATCCGTGTCCACCGCCGGCTTGCTGCTAGCTTGTTGCTGGCTTGTTGCTGCCCGGTGCTGTCTACCCAAGCGCTGTGCCGTGCTGGATCTGGGCTCTCCGCGCCCTTTCGCGCCTCCACTCACCCAAAGAGAGTTGCATCACGGATCCGTTGTTGGCTGCAACCCAAAAGCCATCCCCATTCCTTGCAGATCTGTTCCCATGGCGCACATGGCGCTATCGCCCCACCCGATTTCATCTTCCCAGGCGACACCATCCTCGTTCGTGGGCTTGTGTGGGCCGCCGTCCCCATTCCGAGCCAGCGTTGTCAGCCAGCTCCTGGGGAGTCGGCTTCCGAAGATATAAACCCATCCTCCCCCGTCCCGTCGACTGCCCCTCACCTTCTATGCTTGGTCTCCTCGCCCGGGTCTAGCTGCAGCCTGTCGACGCCAACATGAAACTGACCTCCATCGCCTCGTCCCTGGCCGTCCTGGCCTTCATCCCCGCCTCGCTGGCCAACTTTGCCGGTGACTTCCAGTCGCTCGTGAGCTCTGGCAAGCTCAAGAAGATCAACGGCACCTCGTACTATGCCGGTCTGGCCGGCGACCTCCGCGGTTCCGTCACCAACACCGTCCTGCCCTATGGTATGTCCCTCTTTGCACTGCACCGCTTCCTCGTTCTCGTGGCCATTTGCCTCCATCTGGATCGTCCTTCGCTTTGCTGCCTGGCGCTCATCTGTGCCGTCGGCTGCCTCCAGGACCCGACAAGCGCCAGGCTGTTGCCGATGAGGTCTCCAAGCTCTTTGACATCTGGGTCAACCGCCAGTCCAAGATCGACCACTACGGCTCCGATCCCCTCGCCGTCTTGGGCGACATTGTTGGCAACGCCAGAACCACCGACGACCTGAGCTTCCATCTCTCCATCTCCCGTCTCTTCCTCTCCATCCGCGATCTCCACACCAACTACTGTAAGTGCGGTGCACACTCGCCCCGGTGGCACATGCTGCAAGTTGTGGCTGTGCATGCTGATTCGCTCGTGTCTGATACTGCCGTCAGCGACACCCTCTGTCCGTTCCCACGGCTGTCATCTCACCCCTGCCTTGCCATTGATTCCCACAGACCTGCCTCCCCCTTATGCCTGCAACCGCGCCTTTCTGCCCTGGGGCTTCCAGTTCGTCGACGGCCCCGACTACTGGCAACCCACCCTTGCCGTCGCCGGCTTTATCAACGCCGGCTTCCCGCTCTCGCAGTTCTACACCCCCGAGGTCCGTGCCGCCGTCGCCAACGTCAAGCTCGGCCACACTCTCGTCAGCATCAACGGTCTCGAGTTTGGAGAGCGTTACTTTGAAGACCCCCACAACTACCAGACCTACGGCGCTGCCGGAGCCAACGACCAGGGCGGCATGCAGCGCTACGCTGCCAAGCTCTCGGCCTTCAACGGCCGCTCGGGCCCGCTCCCGCTCCCCGAGGAGGACAACCTCAAGCTTGTCTTTGCCGACGAGAACGGCAGACAGTACACTGTCTCCGTGCCCTACATCCAGCGAGTCGACGGCGGCTGCATTGCCCCTCTCCTCCAGTCAAACGGACTCCAGGCCGAAGAATCCTCGCTCCTGTCGGACCCTGTCCCTCCCCCCAAGAAGCTGCCTCCTCAGATGTACGACCCCACTAACGACGAGTACCGCGAACTCTTCCCCGACAACTACATCCCTTACACCCCCACTGGCGAAGGCACCGTCCTGTACTCAAAGTATACCAACAACGGCGCCAATGTCGGTGTCATCCGCATTACTTCCTTCCAGGCCACCACCGGCGACGACGGCGCCATCCAGACCATCCGCAACCTCCTCGTGAACGAGTTCAAGGACACCGACGGTCTGATCATCGATCTCCGCAGCAACGGCGGAGGCTCCATCACTTATGCCGACTCGCTGCCCCAGCTCTTCAAGTACGGCTGGGTTCCCTACTCTGCTCGTGCCCTGGTCTCCAAGACCAACACCAACCTCTTCAACAGCGCCAGTATCTCGGAGCGCGACTGGACTGCTCCCTACAACGCTGGCTTGGCGGCCGGTAACAAGTACAGCGACTTGCATCCCTTTGACCTCCCCAAGGACGTCAACACCATCGGTGTCGCCTACCTCAAGCCCGTGGCCATTCTCAACGACGCCAAGTGCTTCTCGGCCTGCGAGCTGACCTCGGCCAACTTCCAGGACTTTGAGATCGCCACCATCTTTGGCGAGGACGGCCAGACTGGCGGTGGCGGCGCTAACGTCGTCGAGCACACCGCCAACTTGGTTCCCTGGTCTGCCGGCAGCCAGAATGCCTCTCTGGCCTTCAAGCTGCTCCCGTATTCCGACTACCCCAACCCTTCGTACCAGCCCAACATGCGTGTTGGCTGGCGAGAGCTCATCCGCTCTGGCCCCAACGCCGGCAAGAGTGTCGAGGACGACGGTGTTGCCTCGGACGAGACCCCCATCCGCCCGACCGTCAAGGACGTTCTCACCGCCAATGTCTCGAGCCAGTTTGACCGCATTGCTTCGTACCTCAAGGGTCAGGGCGAGCAGACCGGCCGGAACAAGCTCTACTTCAACTCTGAGCCATTCTACTTTGAGCGCAAGGCCGGAGAATCGATCGACATCTCGGGTGTCGTCGGTGGCTTCCGCACTCTCACTGCCGAGCTCGACGGCACCAACCAGACGTCGTCCGTCGCCGGCACCAGTGCAAAGTCCAACTTCACCGTCAAGATCACTCCCCCTGCCCAACTGGGCTTCTACACCGTCACCATCAAGGGTGTTTCTGACTACTGGGGCACCGACGATGCTCCCGCCCTCGTCACCAAGCGTCTCGTGCGCTTGACCCCTGCCCTCAGCAGCTACCTGACCTTGCCCGACAACTACACCTTTGACTATGACCTGAACAAGCCGTACTTGGCCCTCTACAACCGCCACAACTCGCCCGAGCACGGCTGGTACATCAAGGACAGCCGCCTGGTCGTCGGCCACCCTTACGTCGACAATGTCCAGTCCACCCTCTCGTTCTTTGTCAACCTCAACGCTGCCAAGAAGTACACCGTCCAGCTCGAGATCTCCTATGACACCGAGCCCAACTACGACTTTGTCTATCTCAAGTCCGTCAACGCCGCTGGAGACTCGACCACCTTTGGCCAGTGGACGGGCAACAGTGGAGGCTTTGTCAACGTCTCGGGCGCCGTCCCTGCTGATGCCAAGGAGATCCAGCTGGTCTTCTTCTCGGACGGAGGTGTCGATGCCAGCGGTGTCGAAGTCAAGTCCCTCAAGATCGTTGCTGCTTAAAAGTTTCCCGTGTTCGGGGGGATGGAGTTTCTGGTTCCTGTCTTGCAGCGTCGATGCATGCGACCCTGTGTCTGGCATTGGGCGAGTCTCTCAGCGGGGCGCTATTTCTATTGGTTTAGACTCTCTATGAAGCGCACTTTCTAATGGATATGTGAGTGCAAGTGACTATGATTCTAATACAACTTGGTCAGAGCGAAGCAGGATATCCGTTCCTGGGTCCTGAATACACAGCCATCCACATCAAAAGCGATCAGTCAGTGCTCCATGAGGCGTACCTCCAGGAGGCGTACCTCCAGGTCTTCAGCGTTTCGAACAAGGCAATCGCTTGCTTAGAGGTACGATGGAACAGTGTCGTGGTCCGAGGTGACATTGAGAATGGATGAAGTGATCGAATCGGTTTTCCACCTTGGGGAATATGTCGGGCAGACGAGCGGGTGGGACCAGGCGATGACCAGGTTGGACATGGGCCATGCTGCTGAGTGAGAGGCATAGCCTGTGGGGGGAGGCTGCCAATGACAGAGTCAGAGTCAGAGAAACGATAGATCAGAGGGGAGAGCGAAAGTACGAGGGCAGTTGGTGGTTGTTGAGGGAGAATGGCCGAGTGTCTGGAGGAGCTTGTGAGGTCCTACGACAGGCAGATGATACCCTGACATGGTAGTCTACAGACAAGGATACCCAATGTGTCTTCATGGAGTGATGGAAATCACCAGAGACTGTGTCGGTTGTGCTGGTGAGTCGTCCAAGATTTGGCAGAGATCGCGTGGGTAACGGGGTCGTCGCTGTGTGCTGGTTGACCCAGTCCTGTGTGATCAGCCATCGGGCTCGGCAGGAAAGATGAGCCATTCGGCTATTGCTCAGGGGAGAGTGCTGGTTTGTATATCGGATGTATTGGATGGATTGAATGCCAAATACAACATCACTCTGCCAATGCCGCTTTATCGGAACCACTTGTCAAGTCCTCTCACTGGTATCGTGTTGTCTGAGATGTGTGTGGACGGCGGGACTGCTTGGTTACTCTGATAGGATGTTCAACGTCATGATTTGGTTGATTGGCAGTGGAACTCGGGGGCTCGGGATCACGGCCACTTGCCGAGTTCCTTGAGTTGGTTGATGGAGTATTGGTGACCCTGGTCGGCGGATTTGCGCCACCAGAAGACGGCGGTGTCGGTGTTCTGGGGGACACCATGCCCATTTTGATAGCAGTTGCCGAGACACTTTTGCCCGTATCGATTGCCCTGCTCGGCCGACTTGCGATACCACTCGACCGCCTTGGTGTGGTCCTTGGTGACTCTGTATCCACAAAAGTAGCACAAACCAACCCAGTACTGCCCGTACGAGTTGCCTTGATCAGCAGACTTGATGAACCATTCGAATGCCTTCTCGTTGTCCTCCGATACTCCCTTACCACGACAGTAGCATTCTGCGATCCAAAACTGGCTGTCGCTGTGGCCCTCGTTGGCAAGTTGCTCAAAGATGCTCACTGCCTTGGTTTGATCCTTAGTGGATCCGAATCCAAAGAACACACACACAGCCATGAGATGCCTGCAGAGCCAGTCTTGGTCCGATCCGAGCTTGCAGAGATTGAAGAACTTTCGGGCTGTGGGTGAGCCGGATGAAGCCCAATTTGCTGCCAGACACTCATCCTCTCCGAGAGGGAACTCATCCGATTTGTTGTCTCGGATGATCCTGACGCCTTCCTGCTTGTCCTGCGTGATACCCCGGCCGAGATAGTGCATCCAGCCGACCATGTGAGTGGCGATGGGTTGGATTACTGAATCGGTGGAGTTGGCGCTGACTTCCTGCCAGCGGTTGAAGGAATCGACGTCGCTCTGTTCGATATTGTGGCCAACGAATGAGAGCCATCCACGGAGGAACACGATGTGGAGTCGGCCGTCTTCACTGCCTTGGTCAGCTGCCATGGAATACCACTCGATGGCTCTGTTGTAACTTTGATCGACACCATCGCCATTCTCATAGCATCGACCGAGGGCGATTTGGGCCTGAGGGATTCCACGATATGCAAGACTGCGGTACAACTCGACAGCCTTGGTGTGGTTCTCATTGACTCCAAGTCCGTCGCGATAGCACCGGGCCAGGTAGAAGTGTGCCATCGTGTGGTTTGCGTAGGTTGCCTTCTCCAGATGCTGGAATATCTGCTGATGCTTGGTGTTTTCTTCAGGCTCATCGTAATCGTCTGTTTGTAAGTCGATCTCAGATTGCAACATTCGAGCCAAGAGATACGAGGCAGCAGCATTGCCCTGGTCGGCTTGATCTTCCAGCCAGGATCGGTTGGCTGTGGCTTGATCATCGCAGTGCAGAGAGAGGGCGATCTTGTCGCTCGGTGTGAGGCCAATCCGCATCTGGCCGTCTGTATGACACAGTCCTGCATTCTGGCACCAGTTGTGGAAGCGAGGCAGTTTGGAGCTCAGGAGAGGACGGGCACGCCTGCACACTCGGAGCAGGATCTTGATGGTGTTGTGGTCGAGGGCAAGCTGGAAGCTGTCGTTGCAACAGATGATGGTGAAGATGTCTAGGATGTGTTCGAGGGAGAGCTGGGTGATATCGGGCATCGACGAGGCTGTGGTGGCTTCAGCTTGTGATTGCTGAGTGGCAGATGATGCTGTGTTTGGAGCAGGCTCCTTCATGCTGGCCATGTTGACGGAGACAGGAGGCAGCGGGATTGGAGGCAGATGGTGATGGAGATGGACAGGAGACAGAGGCAGGTTGTGGCGAAGCAAGCCAAACCCTGGCAAGCCAAACACTGGACATTGAAAACACACACACAAGCCTGGCTCGATCCGTTGGTTTGCTGGCTGGATTCGTTGTTGTACCTGCATTGCCATATGTACTGCCACATGCACTGCCACATGCACTAAAATTGGAACCAATCATGAAGTCGAACACGGAATCGGTCCTGAAATCGAGTCCTGCAGGCTCGCCATCCAAGGCCAGATGCACCTCACAATCGGCGATCCACAACCTTGACCAGCCCAGACCCTTCAGGCATCCTCATTCCCTTGCATCTCGCAGCACGCCAGACCCACTTGAGCCCACTGAAGATCGCCAGGCATCAGGCCGCTCATACCAGAAAGGGACACTGTCCGTTTCTTTCCGAAATGACTGTAATAGGGAAAGGAGGCGACTTCGCCTGATGGAGCCGTTTCAAATGGGAATGGTACCTGATGGATGGTGACAACTGGGAGCTCGCCTGGTACAAGTCTGGGACCCACCGACACGCATATCCATGCACCGATTGAGGAGCGCCGGAGCTGGACGACGCATCGCCATGATACCGGTCGACAGCCTCAGCGTCGGTTCAATCTGCCCATCAATCCCGCGCGCTCAAATCAGAGGCGGTTCGGTATGCTCTCTGAAGACATGGCTGCGAGCGCGGACCCGAGGCAATGCCAATCCGACGAGCCCCAGTCATCCGTCATGCGTCGCGGTGGAGCAACTGGCCTCTTTGAAACAGCTTAATACAACTCGCTTCTCAAAGATAACTGTGCCCCCAATGGACCACTCGCATCGTGGCAGGTGCCCATGGTGCATGTCCAGAACGCCCGTCGACAATCGCTGTCGACCCACCCTTGCCTTGGACATGGCTCGTCGTCTTCCGGGAGGCTCCGTGGCAGGCCACCCCCACCACAGCGTTACCAGCGGAATTGGTATTCCTCAGCAGAAGCCATATCGCTGTGCCCATGACCACAGGGCTTTCCTTTTTCATCACGGGTGCCATTGGATATCCAACCCGTCAACGAAATTGTCAAGGACGCTTGCGATTTCCGGGAGGCACCTGCGTCAGCTGCTGGTGCTCGGCGGCGTGTGTGCCCATGTTCGGTCGGCTCAAGGATGCGGGTCTAAGAAGCATTTGCCTGACAGAACAGATGCACCCGCGTTCTCACGCGTTCTCACGACCGAGGCGGCACTTCCACTGTCCCCACCCTCACCAGCCCAGTCAGCATTCCACCCACCCCCAGTTGTAAGCATCTTTGCGGGGCTGGTACATTGATCGAGTAAGCGAACCCATACCCAACGTTTGTCAGCACACCATACAGCGAGGTTGCTGTCTTGCATGCGTTGTCGTCGAGAGTCGAGTGCATATAAACTCGTGCATCACGGAACAGCTAGACTCCTGCACCATCGATGCTTTCCATTGGGGGCGTATTGCATCGTCCGCCAACATGCACATACTCGCCTCCGAGCCTTCGGTCGCTTTCCACAATGCGCACTGGCAGACCGCCCACCCCTCCCCGTCGGCAAAACACTTTGCTGCTTCTCGCGCCGGGTCCCGTCCTTTGCGTTCATTCATTCGGATGCTTCCTCGGCGGCACCATCTCCATTTGGGGCGTGATCCCTCCACTCCGCTGCACTCCCGCATGACCAACTGGATCCACCTCGCATCCTGCGTGCCGCATGGGGTTCCGAGGGCCATAAATACCGATGCAGTTCCCAGCCTCCTTCGACCAGCACCACATCCACCGAGCTCGACCAGTCGCCTCTTGGAGCAACACCCGCCTCTTCACTACTCTCACCAACCCTCCTCCAGCCATGCTGTCGATCAAGTCCTCTGTTGTCCTGCTCCTTGCCCTCGCCGGAGCTGCCTCGGCTGCTCCCAAGCGCAAGACCACTACACACAAGCCCCATAAGCCCCACAAGCCCGTCGTTGCTCCCACCAAGCCTGCCATTCGCCAGAAGGGCATCCACTACAAGGACGGCATCTTCCCTGCTCCCAAGGTCGAGGAGATTGCCGCTGCCTCGTCCAACGGCCTGACCTACTACGGCGGCCCGGTCATCGCCAACATCGACGTCCATCCCATCTACTACGGCGGCAACGTCAACTACCAGAACGAGATGGATACCTTCTACGGCGCCATCGTTGGCTCTCCCTACATCAGCTGGCTTTCCGAGTACAGCACCCCCACCCAGAACATCGGCACCGGCACCTTCTCGGGCTCGATCACCCAGAACTCTGGCCTTAGCACCTCCACCACCGATGACAACATCAAGGTATGCTTCCTGTTCGCGCTGTGTTGGCTTGTACTGCACCCAATTGAGCGATGATTCCCACTCGCCCGGGCACCCTCGATTCACTACGTTACTCGATCCGAACTGCTTGCTCTGCTTGTGTGTCTGTTTCAGCGACATCTCACACGCTGTTACTAACTGGCTTGCATATACCCCTCTTCATTGCAGACCTGGCTCCGCGGCCTTGTCCAGAGCGGTACCCTCAAGCCCACCACCAACACCTACTACCCCATCCACTTTGCTCCTGGATACTCCATCTCCATGGGCTCCGACTCGTCCTGTGTCCAGTTCTGCGCCTACCACGGCACCATCGATGTCTCCGACATCAGCTCGACCAAGTACCTCTACTACGGTGTCATGCCCGACCAGGGTGGCTCTTGCGCTGGTGGCTGCGGCAGCAACCCCTCGACCCTCAACAACCTCCAGTCCGTCTCGTCCCACGAACTCGTCGAGGCTCTGACCGATGCCGCTGTCGGTATTACCACTGGCAACACCTTAGCCTGGTACAATGAGGCCAACGGCGAGATCGGTGATCTGTGCACTGCCCAGCAGGCCACCGTCTACGGCACCGATGGCAAGACCTATGTCGTCCAGAAGCAGTGGTCCAACTCCCACAACGGCTGCTATGTACCCAAAACTCATATCAATCCTTCGAATGTTTGAATTCTTGGCTATGACCTTGATCCGAACCAATTGATTGTCCTGACCCGCAGCGCGAACGCGGTACTGTGAGTCAATCCCCTTCCAAGTCCTCAAAATAGTATTTGTATCAACGGACATCGTCCCTCCCCCGCGATTGCCACAGGCAGTTGTAGTCAGCCTTGCAGAATATAATGGCTCCTTTGATGAATATAATTTGCTGGAATAGTTTACTACACCAGAGCCCGCACCAGCTGCCTCCTCGCTCATCAAGAGTGGTCACGCCTTCAGGGGCGTACCCATCGGTTGTGGCATGGCCTGGCTGAATGGAACGCTCGGGCTGACAACAACCGGCTGTACAAGCCCATTCTTTTGTTGCTCCGCACCACTCTGAAGAGTCGGGTCAGACAGTGCATCTGTGCTCGTCTGAGTGTCACCGCTTGCTGCTTCTGGAGCACTTCGAGGGTCAGTTCATACCAGAGCATGGGCCGAACAAAGGTCTTGAACACCCTCGTCACCGTCTTGGCCGAGTATCGGCCCAGGCTCATTCCGTGCTTCACCAACTTGTCGGCGGCACCTCGAGCCTTGTGTGTGAGGTTCTGGATCTGGCGGTCCATCCTGAAGCCGTTGATGTCGACGATGGCTCCGAGGTATCGGAACTCCTTGGCGACTGACAGCTCCTTGCCATACAGGTGTACCTTGGCATCCTTCTCCGGATGCTGTTCTGTAAACATCACCTCGCACTTCGGGAGCGAGAACTGGTATCGGTTCTCGATCCTGTAGCCCTCGCAAATGTCCAGCATGCACTGACGAGATCATTCCTGTCTCCTCTGATTTTCTCGAGCTTTGCTCGCGGCACAAGGCACCGAACTTGATCCTCTCGCTATGCATATGGACACAAATCAGCCCACACTGTGGGCATATATCCGAGTTCATGAAGCAAGTATATGCTCTATTGAATAAACGAAATACGTGGGAATACCCCATAATTTTGACACGACGAACACTTAAATTTGGTTGGTTAGGCTAGCTTGCGAAGCCACTTGGATAATCCCTTGAGCTTTTCAACTTCAATCTGTTTGGCTTCCTCGACTTTCGTCGTCGAATTGGCTTGAGTAGAGGGAGCGCGCGCTTGAATCTCGGGGTCAGTCGAATTTCGAAGATATTTGGTGATGGCCGCCTTGATCTCCGGCGTTTTGAGATACACGGGCTGTAATTATTGAAGTGTTAGAAAGAAGGTTTCAAGCGAGGGATGGGTAGCGATTGAACTTACCAGAATAGTAGTGGGCAAGTGCGGGGACTCAGTTGTCCAAAGGATGGCCAATCGTGGGGCAAAATCGCGACGACTATATGATATAGGTAATTTGGCTGCATGAATTCCGTGGCGGATCCATTGGGCTTGATTGTCAATTTCGACCCATTCATTCGAGGTAAGGGTGACTGGAGAAATGATTGCTGCCGAAAAAGTTGATGGGTGATCGGAGGAACAAACAAAATCATCACCACTATGAACCCAGACGATTTGATGGTCGTCGTTAAATTGACGAGAGAGAATTGTGTTGCCGTCGGCCGAGATAGCTACTGAGCGGACAGGATTTGTGTGTCCAGCGAGGGTATGTTTCAACTGGCCAGTGGCGGCATCCCATACTTTGATGGTCTTGTCCCAAGAGCCAGAGACAATCCACTTGCCATCGGGTGAGATGGCCACGTACATCACCAAGCTTATATGTCCCTCGAGAGTTTGCTTCACCTGACCTGTGGTGGCGTCCCAGATCCTGACAGTGTTGTCACTCGAACCAGAGACAATCCACTTGCCATCAGGGGAGATGGCCACGGAGTTCACATCGTTTGTGTGTCCCTTGAGGGTAACCTTTGAACTGCAGGTGATAGTATCCCATAATTTGATGTAATAAGGACGATCATAAGGATTGTTACTCACAATAGCCACAAACTTGCCATCGGGAGAAAGGGCCGAGGGCTTTTTGTCGTCGAGATGATTAGTAAACGTTTTCTTGAGCTTCCCTGTTCGCGCGTCAATATGTTTGATGGTACAATCTTCTCCGACAATCACGAACGTTTTGCCATCTGGCGAGATCGTTAATGCGGCAACGCTTCCATATACAGAAGGGTGTAAATTCACCCCGCCGGTGGCGACATCCCAAATTTTAATGTTTTCCTTCGCCTTCGATGCGAACCAGGTACCATCTGAGGAGACACCAACCCAGCTAACTGGCTCCAAGTGTCCCTCAGTCGATTGCGCTGGGCTATCCCAGTGGTTCTTGGATCCAAGTGTAACCAGGAAGGGGATTTTGACTTCAAGTCGGGCAGCGTATGCCCTGTAGATCGCCGTCTCCTTCGGTGTGAATGCATACCCCGAGTTGTACACCTGTGGTGCACTCTTGATGATCGGATCGGCAAACTCGCGGATGAATCGATACCCGTCCTTGACCAGCTCCTTGGTGATGTCATCGGCCACCGTGCTAGGGGCCAGGGCGAGTGTCTCCCCCAGCGAGTGGAGCTGGGTTATCAGTTCCGGAATCATGCCGATAAGGGAGCCCACCTCAAGCCAGAAAAACACATGGCTCGCGAAAAGACGGCCAAGCAAATCGCCCGAGCCTGAGATGCGATACTGCTTCCAGATTTGTCGGTCAAACGATTCTTCGTTAATGCACCACACAAAGTGGGTGATCCAATGGGCAACACTATATCGGAGAGTCGGTGTGATCTTGGCTCTGATTCGGTCTTCAAAGTTGTGAATATTGTCATGAAAGTCGTAGATATCGCAAACGTTGACTACAGGCTCGAGGGATAAGATCACAGAGAGGCACCGTGAGGCGAATGTGATGTGGAAACTTGGGAGAGCATGAAAGATCTCGTCGGCAGATTCGTCTCCGAGCAGGTAGGCGACTATCGACTTGTGTTTCTGGGACTTGGTCTCTGTGCCGCTTTGCTTGTCGCGGTTCAGTTTTCCGGGATCGAGAACGGATCCGAGTTCCTTGATGCACCGACGGACGATTCGGATGTCGATGCCAAAGAGGTCAGCAATCATTCGGATGGTCAGAGGAGACTGCGATGTGGCGATGGCCGAGATCAACAGAGTGAGCTGCTGCTGATTGCGGGACTGGGCATAGACGTTGGTGAAGGTTCGTTGGTAGCTGATAGAGTCGTTTCCATCGGAGACCGCAAACCAGAGATCGAATTCATCGTCATCGTCTTCGTCCGAATCAAACTCAGCATCGCCGCCGACATGGAGCAGATGCTGTGCGTCTGCCAGGTTCCTGACAGGGACTGGCTTGGATGTCAGGATTGCAGGGGAGGAAGGGGCCTCCGGAGTGAGAGGAGCAAGTAAGGACATACGAGGAGTGAGAGCTTGTTGGATTGCCTGGAACGACTCCAAACGGCGAGGAGCAACTAGAGCCGGTCTGTGCTCTCGGTCTTGAATGTGGTAGATCTCAGTGGACTGGCGGAGGATGGCAAGGATCTCGGGAAACTTGGGTCGCTGAGTGGGATCCTGGTGCCAGCAGCGCTCGATGAGGGCCCGGATGTCGTCGGGGATGCCATCGAACTGCTTGGGTCGATTTCCTTTAACGACTTGGCGCTCGATAGCCGTGGGTCGCATTGGCTGACCGTCGTTGGTTGACCAAATGGGATTACAGTCGTTGAGGACCTCGTACATGGTGACGCCGAATGCATAGACATCGGTGGCCTTTGAAGATCCAGCTGGGTCGTCATCATCGAGCATCTCTGGAGCCATGTAGTCAAGGGTGCCGCCCATCGGCTGGTCGCGGCGGGTGCGGTTGGCCGTGGCCGAGGTGTGCTTGGTGCGGGACATGCCAAAGTCGGTCACGATGGCATTGGATGAGCCATCCAGCAGCACATTGAGGGACTTGAGGTCGCCGTGGACAATGTTGTTGCCGTGGAGATAGGCCATGCCAGAGGAGATTTCGTAGAGGAGGCGGATCTTCTCGCCAAGGGGTCGGGGATTGGGTGCGGTGGTAAAGTGGTTGTGGAGAGTACCGTTGGGCATGAACGGCGAGACCATGAAGGGCTTGGCGGTGGTGTCGCATGCACCGAGGAGCTGGAGGACATGAGGATGACTGAGTCTGTGCCAGATGCCAATCTCGCGGCCAAAGTCGGCGAGCTCGTTCTGGTTGTAGCCTCGATAGAGCTGCTTGACGGCGACAGGGGCACCGTAGTATGAGGCAGTGAAAACCTCACCGAACCCGCCGGCTGCGAGTGGATTGGCAGACCTGTCGGTGATGGCTTCCTCGGGGATGTACCAGGGTTTATCGGACATGGTTCGACAGAAGGAAGTTTGAATGAGGACAGCTGCTGGCGAAACCAAACGGGATGAGGACCGAACCGCCTTGGGAGGGCGACAATTCTTGGTTTTTATCTCCCGATTTCGGCCATCAGTTGATGGCAGAAATGGGTGTTTCATTTGATCAAAAGCGGAAATCGCAGAAAACACTACTTTGATTGTTTCATGTTGTTGACGCGACTCTGAAACACTCTGTGATAAGAGATGATTCGAATTTGGACAGATCCCGCCTCATCAGGGAGATTTGACGAATGGCATTGACCACTCCAGTCTGCCGCTGTGTGCTTGGCTGTTTTCTGATCTCGCCCATTGTCTGTCGCCTCAAACACCCACTCTCGCTCTCGCTCCATAAATCCAAGTTTCAACTATTGCCTAGCCTCGTGCCAAGTGTATTTAGCTGATTATGCTTGGTAACGTTCGTCTCTTGATCAAGTCGACTCCACAGCCATTGAAGAAAAATACGTACCATTGTGCTTTGGTGATAGCCACATCTCTTGGCTGGACCGATCTCACCAAAGAAGGCATCAATGTTACGGAGCCACTCGGCGAGTAATTCATCCATGCACCCGATATGTTGCTGGATCCGAGACCTCTTCCAAAAGCGGGATGGCGATCCTCGCTGCCGTGGATCCGAGGCGGGATCCTGGCGATTCTTCTGTGGGACTTGGGCTGGCAATGCTTGGCCTGTGGTGATTCCCAGTGTGAGCCAAGACACGCATTGAGCGAGCGGGCACAAAGTGGACCAGCCAGTTGCTGCAGATGCAGTCGCTGCAAGTCAGGGAAAGAGCACACATCTCGAATGAATGAGGAAGACGCAGGGTCAAGATCAGGTTCGGTCTATCCCATCAGCCGAGTTCGTCCCAGCAAGGGCAGCGTCGATCAACTTTCCTCAATCCGCGTGTTGCACTGCAATGCCCAAACAACCGCCAGGCTTGGTCCCTGAAATGGCGGGCGCATCGCAAGCACACTCCCAACGCCTGATTGCCGACGCCGCCATTCCACTTGGTTTCCTCCGGCATTGGCTCCGTCGCTTCGATTCTGCGCGGCTCGACGTCGACGGTCTCAGTATTCTTTCCCGTCGCGGCTGTTTCCACCTTGCTGGTGTCTGTCGTTCTGCGGTGCCGAGCGAATCCTCGCCCTTGGCTGTTCCTGGTCTCTTTGATTGTCTCCAAGCACTCAATCTATCTGCCCCGCGCCGGAATGATCCATCCAAAGATGCGGCGAAGACTTGTTCTCCTTGCCACTGTGGTTCTGCTGTTCTTGCTCGTCATCGGCTGGCAGCAGCTTGGGAGCCCACGTCGCCCAGAGCAAGTATTCAGCAACAGCCGCATCAGCCAGACCGGCGATTCGACCGGCGGTTTCTCCAATTCATCCGCGTCCATCCATGAACCGGATCCTGACTCTGCTCTCGCACCACGTCCCGAAGGCGATCTGGCGTCCATCGACTATCCGGATATTGCTTTGGGTTCGCCCCGCATCCTGGTGGGAATCCTGACGGTGCCAGCCAAGTTCCAGCGCCGGATGATGATCAGGTCGACGTACATGCGCCTCAAGCCCGAACACACCGATGTGTACTTTGTCATGTGCTCGATCGATCAGGAAAATGCGGGCTGGTATGCCTCGATGGTCCACTTCGAGGCCATCAACCATCGCGACATCATCATCCTCGACTCCTGCACCGAGAACATGGACATGGGCAAGACCTACTCGTATTTTGAGTTTGTCGGCCGCCCCCACAGCCCGTCTGTCGTCGGTACCCTCCAGCTGCCGGCCTACGACTACGTCATGAAGACTGACGACGACGTCTTCCTGCACCTGCCCAACCTCGAGGCCCGCCTTGCCGGGATCCCACGCAATCTCGCTTACTACGGGCGCCAGTTCAGCGGCTTCATGACCGGCATGGGCTATGCTCTCTCCTACGACCTCGTCCGCTGGATCAGCCAAGAGTGCGAGTATTGCGCCGAGAACAAGGTCGGGCAGGAGGACTTTATGGTTGCCAAATGGATGATCCACTCTGGCAAGAGGATCCATTGGATCTCGGAAGACTCCGAGCACTACGACGCCCCCGAGTTCAAGCAGGGCTGGTCACATCCTTATACCAGCGGCACCATCCTGATTCACAGACTCAAGGACGACAAGTGGTTCATGAACGCCGCCGCCCGGTTTGTCCTGCCCTTCATTTGATCGGGCGGAATCGAGCCGCTGGCGCTTCCTGCATCATCGTAAATCAGCACAGCTGTTCAGCGTTTTGTTCTAGCCTCCGATGATCTCCTCAACTGTTCGTGATGTAGTGCTGGCGATATTCCAAACCTGGTTTCTCAATGAGTGACGGCAGCACAGGTCCAAATAGAATAGCTCGATGCTGCGCTGATCCATTGGGGCTGCCCTCGGCATGTCGATGCATGTCTGGGGGTGTCCATGTCGGTCTCAGCTTGGATCAGGGATGGCCAAGTCGAGGGTCGGTGCTCGCACGCCCTGGATTCCTGCTCTCGCATCCATCCATCTCGCAAGCTGCCGCCACTCCCTTCATCTGCTCCGCCCGTCGGCCCTCCTCCAACATGGCCAGCAGCCCGCAGGCCTATGAGGTCTTTCGAGCACAGACCGTCATCGACAGCCTCCCTCTCAGGATCGAGTCCCTGGCCACCTACCACAATCGTCTGCTCGTGGGCTCGGACGATGGCTCCATCCTCGTCTACACCATCGAGGACGAGCCCGAGTTCAGCATCAATCTCGTCCAGGTCCTGCAGGGGTTCGCCAAAAAGTCCATCGACCAAATCGTCCCCATTCCAGAGCTCGGCTGCTGCTGGGTGCTCTCAGGTGTGCTCGTCGGTCTATCCTGCGATACCCTGGCTCAGGCGAGTCCAGGGCCATGCTTGCAGCGCCGCCCTTCCACCCAAACCAGTCCCATTGCCCTGCCAACCGCTCTCCATCCAACTCGACCGTCTTGACTGCACGGCCAGAGCGGGATGGATGACGGCGCCGGCGTCGCTGCTGGAGCCCACATGCCATTCTCGCTCTGGCCAAGAATGCTTTGGGCTGAACTTCGGCACTGACCAACCGAGCCCCATCTCCCTTTGAATGGTGCAGACGGCGCCGCATCGGTCTACGAGCTGGGCACCCTCTCGCTCATTGCTCCGCTCCCGTCAGCTCGCGGATGTAGTCTCGTTTCGATATGGAGCCCCCCAACGGTCGATCGAGGAACCAGCGAGCCACTGTCCCGGCTCTCAACCGGCCTGGTGCAATCGCCGCGAGACCTTGCTTCAGTCGGGCTGGAGGAAGCCTCCTTTGCTCCCCCGTCGACGAGCGAGCCCGGACGGTTCAAGGCTTGTGTCGTCGTGAAAAAGAGGCTGATTCTGATGGAATACGATCGCAGGTCAAGATCGTGGCTCGAGGTTCAGGTAAGAGCGACGCAACGTCCGCCAACGAGGGCTGTTGTGCCAGGGTCGTTGGCCGCTGATTTCGGCATTCCAGCCCGAGATGGGTCGTCCGTATCTGGGGCTAACTAAGGTCCTGTCATTCGGCCTTCAACGACGATTGCATCTTGTGCCGGTCGCATCGGCGATTTCACCTTTCACTACCCTCAATAATCATTGCACCTGGCACAGTCGCTCGCCACGGCCGACCGAGTGCGCTCGATGATGTGGATCGACGGAGACAAGATCGTAGCGGCCCTGCCCAAATCCTTCGTCTTCATCAATCTCCAAACGGGTGCCACGGCCGACATCTCGTTGCAGGTCGGCACGGCCGGCCGCAACAACCGCCCTGCGATGGTTCGCATCTCCGACAACACCATCCTGGCATACAACTCGGAAGGTATGACGGACCGGATCTTTCCGACGCTGTGATGGCCGGTGGCTTCAAGCGCCTCGATCGAGCCCAAGGGCCCGATGCATCCTCGACATGACCTCGAGATCTGTGAATCATCGAAAGCGCACGACTGCCTGCTTCTTCTCCGTCTAACAGCGAACCTTGTGTGTATCAGGTTCCAAGACAATATTCATCAATCTGGACGGAACAGGTCCGCCGATCAGCTTCCTGGAGTGGTCTGCATATCCCGAGGAGCTCTGTAAGTCATACCGTCGCTGTTGAAGCCCAGCTGCCTTCGTTTAGCCCCGAATCCGCCCGGCCTTCCGCGTTGTCTGCCCAGAGTATGTCGTCCGAGTCCACAACCAGATCTTGCTACTCACACCCAAGCTGCCTGCAGTCTTTTCGTCTCCTTATGCGATCGCACTCACCTCTGTCGGCATCGAAGTCAAGAGCACAAAGTCAGGGCGCGCCGTGCAGACGCTCGATTCATCAACCGGCTGTCGACACCTCGCCATCGGCGACTCCATCTACGTCGCCAGCTCGACTTCGGTGTGGAGACTCTTCATGGTCGACTTCGAGGATCAGATCGAGGACCTGATCGTGCTTGGCAAGCACCAGGCCGCCGAGCAGCTGATCGAGGATCTGGAGTTTGCCTCTCCGGAAGAAAAGGTGTGCCGCGCATATGTCCGAGCTTGCTTGTGGGAGGGTTACGGTTGAGACAGGCAGCTCGGCTAACGGCTTGATGGCGCTCGTATGGGGGATCCGCCATTGCTGTCCACAGAAAGCAAACATCGTCCGGGTGAGGGCGCTGCATGCCTACCACATGTTCGCTGTCGAGAAAAAGTACAAGGAGGCGATCGAGATCTTGGAGCAGCTGGATGCCTCGCCCATCGACGTCATCAACCTGTTCCCTGACCTCGCCGTCGTCGACCCTGACGATGAGCCAACCGAAACTGCGCCCGAGTCCGGTCCGTCTGCGCTCTGGTTTGATCATGCACCCTTGCTTCCTGGCTATTCCGGGGTCGCCGTGGACAAATTCCATCCTACCAGGCTGCCCAACTGACATGACCCAAGCTCCACGACCTGTGCCTGGCCAACGTCATCCCGCTGACGGTACGCTGCTTTGCACCATCACCGCACAGACCCCAAAGCTCTCGAGATCCTGGTCATCTACCTCACCGGTCAACGAAACATTCTGTCCGAGCTCAAGAACAATCTCGAGGGCCGATATGCCGTCGTGTCAGAGCCCCGCCGCAAAGACTCGCTCCGGGCCGAGCTGGAGGAGACCCTGTATCTGATGCAGCTGGTCGACACGACGCTGCTGAAAGTGTATCTGGCCATCAACGACGGCATGGTTGGTCCCCTCATGAACGTGACAAACAGCTGCGATGTCGAGATCACCGAGACGCTCCTGCGTGATGCAAAGGTGAGGCGTCAGCCGGGGCTTCTGCGTGGACACTTGTAGACATGTCTGGAATGGGGCAGCACTGACGCAGGTCGCTGCGTATCTTGGTGCATCGATGCTGTGTCTTGCGCTGTTGATGTGTTGGCATGGTCTTGCCGACACGATCCTCTCCGCCGATGCTGCATCATTATTGCGGCATCAACCCTTGATTGACCCTATTGGATGCACGTTGCTACTGACTGCAATGATTGCAATGGTTGCAATGGCCCCACAGAAACTCAAAGCGCTGTTGGATTTTTATCGGTCTCGAGGGATGCACCAAAGAGCTATGGAGTACCTCACTGCGTGAGTTTTGCCACTATAACAGCATCCCGTGTACGCTCTCGTTTCGTCCTCCTTCATGACTCCCCACTCTCAAGCCAACGATGGCTTGCGAGGCGCCATACATATGTGACCCACCGGTACTAAACCGTAACCCCGGCCTTCTTCCTTGGACATTCCGCCATCCTGCATCAGCGAAATCCAGTCCGACGACCCTCAAGTCAAACTGCGCATGTGTTCAGAGCTTGTCGAGTACCTGCAGCGCATCAAGTTCGATCAACTGGATCTGATCCTCGAATACTCCCTTCTGGTGATCCAGAACGCCCCCGCGCTGGTGGCCAGTGTACGATGCCACTGCCTGGTGCTGCTGCTTTCAATCTTGGCATGCAAATGCCGTGTTCGTTTCAGCCGCTATGGCCACATACCACAGCCGACTCAAAATCGGCTTGCTCTGCAGACTTGACGCTTTGCATCTCATAGTACCATTCCTCCCATTCTTGTTCCTACTTTGATGTCTAGATATTCGTCGATCGGTTCGATGAGGTACTTGTCCGCTGCAGCTACATCCCCAGATATTTTGCGGTTGCTGCTCTTGGGATGAGTCCGGCCACAGCAGCTGTCGCCCTTTGGACTGACTTGGTCTCTCTCTCTCTCTCTGGCTGAACAGGTCACCCTAGCCCAGGCGTCCAAAATCCTGATCCACCTCGACCACCACTCGCCCGAGTCATCGCTGCCGTTCCTGAAGCACATTGTTACCGACATGGACATGCGGTCCAAAGACTTGCACAATCGTCTGGCGCTGGGATATTTCAACCAGCTTGCTTTACTTCGAAAGCGAGCGGCAGGTCAGTTTCAGTACCTCCTTCGTCACCGTTTGCGGTTGCAGGATCAGTGTAGCCTGGAGCATCGGCTCACGCTCCGATGCCGTTCCCAATGACACCCCGTTGCAGACCAGGAGAATCATGACCAGACACTTGCCGCGAGCGAGTCGAATGAATGCGAAAAGGATCTCGTCGAATTCCTGGAAAAGTCCGACCTATACGCACCCGAGCTCATCCTCCGACGGATCCCAGACGACGGTAAGCAGCGCTCTCCACAAAACCTCGCACTTGCCTCGCTGGCTGGTGCCGACGCTGTCGACTCACCTGTGCTGTGATCCCGCGCACCAGATTTCTTTGAGGAGCGCGCCATCTTGTTCCGCAAGCTCAAGAGATACCCAGAGGTCCTGAAGATCTATGTCGAAAAGCTGAAGAAGTACTCTGCTGCCGAAGCGTAAGTCTCTGTTGCCCGGCACACCTCCGAGCCAATCTGCAATTGCCTTCCTGACCCCGAGAATGGCCTCGGCTTCGGCTGTCATCACACGATGGCACTTTCTGATCCGCACCCAATGTTCTCACTCATAACACTGCCCTTCCTATCACCATGTGCCACGCCTCACGCCACGGGGGCTGGGCATCCAGGTTTTGTGAAAAGTACTACAACTCCCACGACGAGCACAGCAGAGAGGTCTTCCATCACCTGATGATGCTCTACATTGGCCTGACCAGCCGCGGCGAGATGGACATGGAGGACGTTGTCCAGTATGTGAAGAAATACGCACCCTATCTGCACGTCGAGGAGGTAAGCGCCAGTGGCGATCTGCCGTTGCTCCCGTTACAATCCCGACCAGAGGGCGGTGGCTCGCCGTGACCCTCGAGCGACCCGCTCATACCAACCAATGCGACTGGCAGGTTCTCAAGGTGCTTCCCGAGTCGCTCAACCTGGCGGAGATGATGGGCTACTTCTCCAAGGCCCTCCAGAGTGTCTACGAGGCCTGCCATGCCAGCCAAATTGTGAAAAACGTGCATCTGGCCGATCGCCTTCAGGTACACATACATACCCCTGCAAAGATGTTGATAGCTTTGCGGCGGGGGCATCACGCAGCCCATTTGCTGTGTCTTCTTATGCATTGCACACGCCATCATCTGCGCTGCCTTTCTCTGTCTGCGCAGATCCAGGAGCAGTTGTCGTACTACCAGTCCGGAAAAGTGTACATTGATGACGATAAGATGTGCCAGTCGTGTCTGAAGAAGATCTCGGGCTCGGTATTCGCGCGGTATCCAGACGGGCTTGTGGTGCATGTCTACTGTGCCCGCGAAGCCGTCTCGGAGTGACAATCAGCTTAGCAAGGGACCGAATCGCCTGCCAGCGATATCATGGCATCGCAGCCAGAGGGCGCCAGTCCAACCCGTGTAAGAAACAAACAGAGTGCATTCTTTGGCTTCAAGAATGTATCCCACTACCATGGCTGTAGCAAAGTCATCGCCAGCCCTGTCTTGGAATGCGCCATCTTGAATACATGGCGTTGACCTCCGATGCAGTGATCGACTTGTGGTGCATTGTCTGCGGTCGCCCAACACGCCGCTTGAACGCATTGACGGGCGGATGTGTATTCGTCGCTCGCAATCCGGAGGTTCACACGCACCTTTCCCTGTCCTGCCGATCCTGGTTTCTCACGGCCATGCCGCTCTGCTTTGATGCGATCTGCCCTCTTCCCGTCCCCGCGATGAGAATGCACGTCCGGACTTGCTGTGTTGACTCAACGGCTGTTCCCTTCCACTATAGCCACAGTCAGCACAGCCACACTCCCAACATCTCGACCAAATCTGCTCGGCGAGACACTCTTCTGTATCCATCCGTGCCTCGATGCAAAGTGATATACGGTCCAATTATTTGCAAACGACGGTGTATCGGGGATGGAAGCGTAAAAGGCAGGGTGGGAACAGACATGGGCGTCACAGCAGCAATCCGGCTTGACACAAGCGGAAGAAACTCGAACGCAGCAAAAGGGCGCAAGTAGAAATAGAAGAGTGCGCGAGAAAGAGGTCAAGGGTGCAGCTATGAGGAAGAGGAGTAAGCAAAGCAACGGAGACCAGCAGACCGGGGATGAGGGCACAGAACAAGAAGCAAGAGGAAGCTATCAACCACTCCCCCCCCCGATAGACAGAGCGGCCAAGGCAGTCGGACCTGTGATCGAGTGCGATGCCAAAGAAATGACTTCGTCTCCCCTCTCTCAAACATGTCAACCACCGCATACGCAAGACCGAGAGAAGAGGAACGAGAAGAAGCAACGATAAAAACACAGCCCCTGTCCACTGCCAGCACCTGAGCCAATCTATAAAAGCAAAACGCATCGCCAAAGCCGGCACTGCAGACACAGCCGAAGAAGAGACGTACAACCGTGATCGCAACAGTCTTGAACGAGCAGGGAAGCATCGACGAGCGTCGGAGGGAGAGCAGCGCCGCTGGAGGGGGGGTCTGGGTTTTGGATGTTGCAGACATGCTCGAGATTGCATTTTTTCTTCCTTTTCTTGGAGTGATTGCGGGCTCTTCTGTTTGGGACTCCTAGTTGCGCGACGGAGCCGATGGCTCACGAATCCATGTCCATCGACATTTCCTCGCCGGTCGATGAGGCCGGAATGGCGGTGCTGGTGACACCCACCTGACGCACAAGACGGCGAACTTGTTCGTAGGAGATGGCCTCCTCGGCGAGGCGGACAGACTGTGTCCGCTCCGCATCCGTCTCCATCTCGCCAAAGGTGACGTCGGCGCCACTGTCGTCCTTTCGGGAGATGGGCGGCGGCACTACCGTTCGGGGCTCGTAGCTGCCAAAGTAGCCACCAAAGACGCCGGAGCCGTGATGTTTGTAGGCCGGGTCAGTCGAGCGCTTGTAGTCATAGCCGCCCGAGGTGGCGCTGTAGGTGTACGACTCGCGCAGGCGGTTGGTGGAGACGGCCTTGAGATGTGACCGGGCCGCAGCCAGATCAAACGAGTTTGCAAAGACGGTGGCGTTGTGCTCGGCCTCGGGAATGTTGACGTACGGATCGTCGACCTTGAGCTGTTTGGTGACGACGTTGCTGATGCTCATCTTGGAGAACAGTCGGTCGATCAGGTCGTCCTCGGTCATGACGCCGTCGTTGACTTCGGTGCGGACGGCCATCTCGACCTGGTTCGAGAGCCGGGCCAGATTCATCTGCTCTTGTGCGCCACCGACGATGACGTCCGGCAGCAGCTCGGCCGAGGTCAGCGGCACCATGCTGCCGCCAGTAATCCGACTCAGGCCCTTGTAAAAGTCCACGGCGTACTGGTACTTTTGCGAGATGGCTGGCTCGCAGACGACCGAGTAGATGCAGACACCCAGCTGCTGCAGCTGCCGGGCAACGACGAGGGGATCGACCTTGTGGGGGTCGCCATCCGGGAAGCCATCGTGGCGCTCGCCAATGCCGTGAGGCGGGGCATCGGCAATCAACACCTGGTTCGCAAAGCACCGCCCCGGTCACCAACGACAGTGCAGGGTAAGCGGTCTGTCAAGAGAGCAGCAATACGCGATTCCACCGAGACGACAGCGTTGATCGCATCGCTACCGATCGTTGCCGCACCGCAGACCGGGGCCATATGTGTGTGGAGAGCACTGCCTCTTCTGCAACTTACCAGGACCTTGGTCGAGTTGGGTCGCCAGTTCATTTTCAGGGCGTCGTTGAGGGCAGCCGTGACGGCCTCAGGCCCGTCGCCACCACCCTGGGGCCGCTGCATCGCCAGATGGGTCTTCATCTCGGGGATGCTGCTGGTGAACGGGTAGCAGCGAGTGACATAGCTGAGGTCTTGCGGCGGGTGGTCGCGGTACGAAATCAGCCCAACAATAACATCAGACTGGTGCGCACAGGTTTCAGCGGCGACACGAATGATGTGCGCCAGCGAAGAGGCAGGTTGCGGTCGAGCGTAGGTTCAGCGATTGCGTGTGGAGGTTGGGCGTCAGATCGGCATATCCGTTCAGTCGTCGTCCAAGTTGTCGTCCAAGTTGGTGGCCGAGTTGGTGGCCGAGCGGGCGTTTCGCACGTTTCGCAGTTGAGGCAGCCGACGGATGCGACCGAGGTCCCACATAGCCCAGAGGATGTGAATGCCGAGCATCCAAAGCAACAGAGGCAACCGGGCCGTCAGCTCGACGAGCAAGAAGTGGGTCGGCATGCGACTCTCCCGTTGGTGGCGGCACTCCCCAAGTCCCAGGCGAGCAGGCGGCTCGAGCGAGACGATGGCCCGCTCCCGCTGCACCCTCTGCCATCGATCCGGAGACAGGGGGAGCAGGAACGAGGACGATACCTGTTCGGCATTCGCAATGGTTTCGACGATGGTGTTGATCGACTCGGTGGCCTTGGCTGTCGAGACAACAGGGAGTCGTTGGGCAGTCCAGCGAGAGAGAGGCAGGCGAGCCAGAAGTCGGCGGGATCGGACCAGGACATTTGAATCGGCGGCATAGGCGGCCGTACAGAAGCCAAGGAACGAATCGGAGGAGCAGGAAGTAAGACGACCAGGATGAGGATGCCGCTATGTGCGATTTCCGAGACCGCCGCCAGTTCCAGCAACCGACAGACGGCTAGGAGAACGAGAGAAGAAGAAGAAAAGGAAACGGCAATAGCGACGCAGATAGCCCAGCCGGTACGCACCGATGTAGGGCCCCATCGAGGCCGTGCAGTCAAGCAAGAACAGGAGGTCGAGCAGCGAGCGGCGAGACATTGTGGAGTAGCTGGAGAGTAGGCAGCAAGTATCGATGAGGAGGGAGTGAGATTGAGGGCGAGGGATGCAGGCGTGAGCGACGGGCTGATCCCCGGCGGACAGGTGGGCGATGCGACGCTTGCGGACGGGGTGTCTCGGGCAAACAGGTGGACAGGCGCTCGGACGAGGGCGACAGATGGAAGGGCAAGGACGCAGGGCGATGGGCGAGCAAGGACGGCGGCCAGAGTCGAAGGACCGGGCTGGGAAGAAGCGAGGGCTCGTTGGCGCACCCGATTTGGCCGTCAATCAAAGATGTGCCCTGATCGCAGGACGGGCGGCTGCTGTGTCCATCATCGAGTTGCTTGTTCGAACGCCTACTTGCTTGTTCGAATGCTTACTTGCTTGTTCGATTGCTTACTTGCTTGTTCGATTGCTTACTTGCTTGTTCGAATGCTTACTTGCTTGTTCGATTGCTTACTTGCTTGTTCGATTGCTTACTTGCTTGTTCGATTGCTTACTTACAGGCAATCCAATAAAAAACGGGACACCCGGGATTTTGACCATTCATCGAATATTTTGTTACCCAATGTTATCGCGCGCTGGCCATGACCATTCGCCACACAACCACTCTCCAGAGGAAAGTTTCACTCTCACTCTGCCACACTGCCATCCACCGAGCAGGTCTCTCACACAAGAGGGCAACACACCTCTACAAGTCCAAGCGACTGGATGAGCGAGTGGCACAGTTCAGGGACCAGGCCCACTCCATCGACCCGCGGCGATTCGTTTTTGTCGATGAGACAGGGATCAGACGAACCACCTTTCCGCTCTACGGGTACTCACCGAAGGGTGCTCCGCTTCGCCAGCGCAATCACATGGAACACAAGTCTGTCTCGGCTGCATTTGCCATCAACCACTCTGGTGTGCTGCATCGCATGTACATCCCCACATCATTCAAGACACACTCGATGGTCGAGTTCTTTGAGCGAGCGAGCTTCCTAGACGACTCTGTGATTGTGATGGACAATGTCAGCATGCACAAGACAATGGCTGTCCTGGACTGCATCGAGCGCCGAGAATGGTCAGTGATCTTCACCCCACCTGCCTCGCCCGACTTCAATCCCATCGAGAACTTCTTTGGGATTGTGAAGCATCAGTACAGGAAGGTGGCAGCGCTGAATGCGTCCGAGGGGTTCAAGATCGGGATGGTGACCCTGTTTGAGTCTGCCGTTCGGAGGGTGCTTCCAGATGTCTTCCCACGGCTGATTGAGCGAGCGATGCACTTCTGGGGTTGAGTTCCCTCCAATCAAGCCGCCGTTTTCGCGTTCACATCCCTGGCTTGAACCTCTCGGCGATTTTTGAACAGGTCACTTCCCCAACCAGCCCGCAAAGACGGGTTCCTGCTCTCGGGTATAAATGCCACACCTTCGTCCTGCTGCTTTCTTCCCTCATCTCGCCTTGATCGGATCATTGCGCCATTGTACGATAAAGAGAAGTCTCTGTTCTGACCAGTACCACTGGCAGGCATCCAGCATCCTCTGCCCCCATGCCTCCGAAGCGCAAGGGTGCCGGTAATGGCCAGCCTCGGCCACCCAGGCCAAGAAAGCCAAGTCACAGTCGGAGCCTGTCTCTGGTTCGTATTCTGATCCCACGCATGCTTGGTCGTCTGTTGCTCCGTCGCTCACCACCACTGCTTCTGCAGATCCAATGGATGTCGATCCCACCGAGCCTGGTCCCTCATCTGGTCCTGTCAAGCGATGTCCCAAGTGCGACGGTACCGATCACGAACGCTGCAACACCAACAAGTGTCCCAAATACCGGCCCCTCAAGAGTTCTGTCGTCCCTCTCGTGGATGGAAGGTCATCCGCCCCTCAGTTCAGCTGCTTCAAGCAGACCATGGATGGCTGTTGTCTCAATCCCGCTCTCCGCGACAAGATCCAGGCCACCGTCGAGGCCATGACCCAGATCCAGTTCGAGGCATCCAGGCTGCTCAACCTGTACATCCTCCGGTGCATCGAGCAGGATCTTCCCGTCCCTGTCATCTCCAAGTCCACCCCTGCTTTCGTTCGCCAATGCTTCACGATTGTCGAGGCCGATGCCCTCTCGCCGACCGGGGACAACGAGAAATACAACGAGCATCTGGTCGCTTCCTTTCGCGACTATCAGACCACTCGGCACGCAGACCTACCTCCGGCCCCTCGTCTGCCTGATGGTGCTCGCAGTCAGCTTCTCACACTGGCTGTCAATGCCTATGCCACCAACTGCACCACCCACCTCGACCTGGCCTACTGGCGACTCCTTCGCCGCTTCTGTGCTGCCGTCTTCCCAGCCAACAAGCATAAGCACGAAGCCATCGAGGCCTGTCTCGAGCTCTTCGAGAAACCAGGGCAGACTCCACCCAAGGCCGATCTCGAGTTCCTCTATCCAGACTTTGGCCACATCCTGGACGAGTTTCGGTACAGCAACGACCAGGACCGCTTCCGGGCCCTCCATCGCCTCTCACACCATGTGGGAATCCTCGCCCGAGACAAGATGGTCGACAATGTCCACAAGTGGATCGACTGTGACATGCCCGCCCTCCGAGTCACCGAGCTGCAGCGCCAGGCCAAGCTGGACGAGCTCACTGCCAGAGGCATTCCCTCCGACGACAAGAGGTTCACCACGGCCAAGTCTGAGCTCGGCACCACCAAGTCCAAGATCAACAAGCTGGCCGCCAGGATCAACTGGGCACTCAAGCAGCTCGCCGTCGACACTCCTCCGGCCGTGTGCACGATGGTTCCTCTGTGCACTGCCACGGCCAAGTATGTCAAGATTGACACGGTCACTCTCTGGCAACTCCTTGACACCGAACATCGTCTTGGACTCACCCGGGACAAGCTCAAGGAAGAAGGTGAGGACGGCATCAACAACCAGGATCGTCTCTGGCGCAGTTGCTTCAAGCTGCGTAGTTCCCTCTTCCAAGAGCGGGACGTGGACAAGAAGCTGTTCAACTACGAGATCAGCACCGATGGCATTGGATGCACCATCAGTCTCGTCAAGTTTCTGCGTCGAACCGATCGCACCGAGACCATCGAGCCTCCTCCGACTGCCGAACAGCGTACCCAGGCCCACATCGGCAGCCCAGACCCCGACAAGACCACTTGGATTGGCATCGATCCTGGAGTCGGCTCCATCTTCACGGCGGTCATCCAAGCACCGGGCCACCAAGACGAGGTGGTCTCATTCTCGAATGGTCACTACCAGCACATGTGTGGCCATACGTCCAACACCAAGTGGCACAACACCATGAAGTATCGACTCAGCATCGAGACCTGGATGTCGACCACCCCCTCGCCCAAGGTGTCGTCCTCGGAGGCCTTCAAGGTCCATCTCACCCATGTCCTGCGACCGGATCTGCGAGTGCAGCTCGACTTCCACCTTGGCAAGAAGGCCCGTCACCATCGCTTCACGGGCCACAGGAGACGCCAAGTGGCCGTCGACAGGATGTGCAAGGCCGTCCTGAAGCACGCCCCGATACGGACCGATGTGGTGATCGCCTTTGGCAATGCATCATGGCGTCAAGGCAAGGGCTATGCATCCAGCCCTCGGAGGCAGCGATTTGCTTAGTACTTTGAGCAATTCGAGCACCACCGACGCCGTCCCAATCACCATCATGGAAGCGTCAAGGTAGTCTTGACGAACGAGTTCAACACCTCGCAAGTGTGCTCCAGGTGCCTGGAGCTAGTTCGGTTGGAAGGACTCGATGCGCCCAGTGTTGCGAATTCCCACTTTGTCAGGAGCTGCAAGAATCCCAGCTGCCGGACAGTGTGGAATCGCGACGTCAATGCGGCGCGCAACATGATCACAGTATGCAGGTCGATTGTGGAGATCGGAGAGCGACCGGCGGTCTTCACTCGGAGGCTGCCAAAGTGATCTGTTTTATTTCTTGTGGCTTTGCTTGACGCAAGCACAGCACATACTACATGTTCATGGAAACGGCTATATTGTCCCGTTTTTTTCTGAATAAAGTGTACTCGGTGGTGGGCCAGCAGCGCCGTGCGTCTCTGGCCAGTCGAGCCGGACCTGAATCTCTCTGGATGTGGTTCGTCGAGCGGCTCAAGCGATCGCTTATGGGATATTCCAGATTGCATTGCCCAGTGGCGACATGATAGTTACATAATCGAGACCGAGGATATAGGAACACCAAGCCCCGGCGATACGAACACTAAGCCCCGGCGATGGTTCACAGGAAGCATCGATCGGTCCTCTCGGCCTTCGTCAGGGCCTATCGTGACATCCGAGAGATGGCTCTCTTGGACCGGTACGACAGCTCCGAAACCCATTCGGCGACAAGTCGGCGTTTGATGATACAGAAGGTCACGATGAGCAGAACCAGGACGCCGACGCCGATCAAGACGCCGATGAGAATGCCCTTCTTGGGAGTCTGTATCGGCAGCGGCGGGCCGACATAGTTCCACAGGGTCAAGTCGCAGCCGATGGAGACGGTGTTGCCGTCGTTGTCGAGGGCCGTCAGGGAATCGTTGAAATGGACCGAGCCCTGGCTGAGGGCATATTGGTACTGGAGTGCGTCGAGGGCGATATGGTGGTTAGCAGGACGATCAGGGCAAACACAAATGCCCCGAGTTCAGGACCGGCTGCTCGCATGCTGCGATCGTCGGCGGGGGCGATCCATGTCGCCGCCGTCTCCAAGCGAATGGTACTCACGGACTTGACCCGGTATATGCTTTGGGACCATCCGGCCTGCGACGGCTTGTAGGCAGGGTTCTGCAGCGTTTCTATTCTGACGTTCATGAAGGCTGTCAGCCAGTCGACCTCGCTCAGGCCGCCGGGAACGCTGTTGGGCCCCGACTTGAAGCTGGCGGTCGTGCGGTCGATCATGGACGGGAGGCTATCGGCCTCACTCAAGGCTGTTCCGTGCTGGATCGCCGCATCATACATCTGAGGGAATTTGAGGGATTGGGAGCGATGAGCTGCAAGCGCCATGCGACGACTGGCATCTGAACCGGGACTGAGCAGCAGCAGCAGCAGCAGCAGTAGCGCCATCCAGGGTACGCCGGCAAACTCACCTGCCCCTTGGACAGCTCGAACTGCAGTCCGTTGCGTGCGGCATAGGCCATCGCTGGGTTGTAGTAGAGTTGGTTGACCATGTCGACTTGGACCGTCCGGAAGAGCTGGTCGCTGCGGGCCGTCGTGCTCCAGACGTTGCAGAAGCCGTCCAGACCGCTGGTGGAGCCATCGATCGTGGACTGGTTCAGCTGGATGAGCCGACTCATATACGGGCCGAACGGATTGGGGGTGCTCGAGTTGAGCTGGGCGGCATATGCCGAGATAACCTGGAGAGCATCGTGGGTGCCGCTGCAGCACGACAAAGATTTGGCCGAGTTGAGACGCCAGCAAGAAACGGAGGCCGAGGCTCAGATCAAATGCAGGCCAGCGACAGAGGCATCTGGTCTCGGATATGCATCACCCAGCCAAACTTACGTTGTGAATCCCACAATGCCGCATGTGTATCCTCGGCCATCGCCAATGTTCTCGCAGTAGTCCCAGGGGAAATACTTGACAGAGTTTTCAAAGATGCTGGGATTGGCGAGCGGACGGCCCAAGCGATTGCGGGACAAGGCCGGTATCGGCAGCCAAGGAGCAGAGCATCAGAAGCCCATTTGAGAGCCGGAGCTGAGTGGAATGCAGGCAAGCTGGCTGGGAAGAGCCAGGGGAGAGGCCATGACGAACTACGAGTGCGAGGGACTGGGCATCAAGCAGACAGCAGCGATGGCAATGCGACACCCACTTGGTCAGTTGCTGGACAATACTCTGCTGGCACTGTGTCAGGGCGTTGGTGCCGTTGTTGGTGCTGTTGTTGCTTTGAGCCTGAGCCGTATTGGCCAGGAGCAGCGCCTGGAGAAGGAGGATGCAGCTGGTGAAGCGCATCTGTGAAGCGGCAGAGGGTGGTTTGACAGGCGGCGTATGAGGCAGATAGATCGAGGGAGAGTTGGAGGGCGAGTTGGAGGGCAGGATGTGGCAGGAGAAGTGCAGCCGAGAGGGGGATCGACGGCTTCAAATGCGATTCGGGGGACTGCGGGCTGCACCCTTGTGCGGCGGTGGATGATGCTTCGTCAGCGACGGATATCAATGGCGATACTTTGATCAACGGCGGATAACACTTGGTGCATCCGCAAACGGAGCCATGGCAGGGTCTTGGCGCCGGCAGATGCAGGATCCGCAACCGGAGCAGCCGCCCCACCCAGGCAACCTACCGAAAGCGAGCCAAGACACAACAAGAGCGAATCGATAGGAGGAATGACAAACGACCAAGACCAAAGCCAACAGCAAGACCAAAGCCAACAACAAGACCAAAGCCAAACGACCAAAGCCAAACACACCGCCACAGATCCATGGAGGCTTCCGCCAATCATGTGCGGCGTGCCCGATTGGCGCACTTGGGCGGAGCGCCAAGACTGCACCGCCACAGCACCCCGAGCCGATCCCATGGGTGCCGCTGTGAACAGCGCAAGTGATACTCTGGGCGACAAACCAAAGGATACGCCCAGTGATGCACCAAGTAGCATACCAAGTGACGCACCAAGTAGCATACCAAGTGACGCACCAAGTAGCATACCAAGTGACGCAACAGACCATGTTCATGATCGATCCCAGACGGCAAGCCATCCAGCCGCATGCTGCTCGCTAGAGCCGGCTCTGCGATCTGCACGCCGCCTCCTCCTCCTTGCTCGGCCTCTGGACGACGTGGCCAATGCGCATCAGGCGTTTCGACATGGAATACGGCCGTGCCTCGGACCCGTCGTTGACCTCAAAGTCCTCCAGAAAGCAAAGGAACAGCGTGTCGATGCCCATGTGATAGACCGACAGGAACAGATACGATATCATCAGGGCCTCCAGTCCGATCAGCACCGTCGGCGTCAAGATGCTGACCACATGGACATTGTCGGCCTGCCACGAGAGCAGTCCCCAGGCAATCAGCCCGCTGATGAACGTGACGTTGATGGCCCCGAGCAGCAGCATGAACTCTGTCACGAAGCCGACGGGGACAGTGTGGCTGGCGTTGCGCACGAGCAGCCCCAGAACCGAGTCGGTCGACCGGCAGAACGATTTGCCCTTCGTGGCAATGTGGATGTACACCTTCTTGTCGATGTACTGCAGGATGCGCCGGATCGTCTTGAGGAACGAGTCGAGGCACGCCATGCAAAAGTTGGTTACCGGGAATCGCGACTCGGTCGCTCGTTTGTGGAGAAAGAACATGATCAAGCTGAGGACCTGGATCACGGCAATCTGCAGTGATCCGATTGCGATGCTGCCCAGGTGGTACCGCAGCGCTCGCCCGACGGAGGCAGCGAGCGGGTACCGGAGGTTAGACTTGTTTCGGGCCCAGTAGTACTCGCCAAAGGCACCCGCCAGCGAGACCATGTGGAAGCCGCTGAGAAAGGCCCAGTTCCAGAGGAAGCCGAAAAAGTGGTAGATCTCGAGGTAAAACGGGAGACTTGGGTTCTGGAGGCTGAGGCCAAAGTCGGTGATCTTGAAGGTGCTGCCGAGCGAGGCCAGATACGCAAACACGATGAGGCAGTGTGCAATCAGCGCTATCCCAATAGCCCAGGTCATGAACGGGAACACGACTGAGTGTTGAGGATGGAGATGGAGATGGAGATGGAGATGGAGATGGAGATGGAGATGGAGATGGAGATGGAGATGGAGATGGAGATGGAGATGGAGATGGAGATGGAGATGGAGATGGAGATGGAGATGGAGATGGAGATATAGTGTGCAGTTAGAGCGAGAGCTCGGATGCGCTGCTCCCGTTCCCTGGTGCATCCAAGCCACCGATGGTAGTGCACCAACGCTGCACGCACCGCCTTACCAAGCGACGGCATTCGCTGGATTGCCAGCGCCGCCTCCTTGATGACTTCGATCGCCAAGGATATCTCTTTGCGCAGGGCCAGCGAAATGGCCATGAGGATAAGGGCAATGATGGCCACAACGATTGTGGCTGCGAGGAGGCCTCGGAGACTGGGATCGAGCCCCGAGAGCGTGGGATCCTCTGCGACGGCATCATCGTTCTTCATCTTGACGGAAACGGCCAGCACAACGGCACCCGAGGCGACGGCCAGGTTGCTGATCACGACCGAGAGCCACACGAACGGGCCCGCAAACCAACGCATGCCCACGAGCCAGAGCCCCGACACCAGCACGGCGATAAAGACGCCGCCGACCAGCCAGGACCAGGTCTGCGACACGTCCGCCATGACCTGCGCCAGCAGGGTTTTGCCCTGGGCCAGGAGCTTGCCGACGTCAAAGTCGACGACTGTGCTGCCCACGGTGATGTTTTGGCTGGCGCTCTGCAGCACCTGGCTGGGGATGGGCTGGCTCGGGACGCATCGCCCAAGCAGAGGCTCGCCTGCATAGATATACGGCGCGCACAAGCGCTGCTGGATTGCAAAGGAGAGCTCGTTTTGTGTCGTTGGCCGAGGGTATCCGTAGACGCAGATGGCATTCGACAGGTTGGCGAGCACGTCCTGGTCCGGGCAGGTCTTGACGCAGATCTGTGGGAAGTTGAGGATATCGAGCGGATCGAGAAAGTACGCATACGGATAGTGTGTGAAATCGGCCTTGCTGGCGTTTTGAGCAGTGTTGTTGACGCCGCAGCTCTGGCCGAGGTAGTCCGTGGGAATGCTGTGGGGGGTGGATGTGAATGGATTGCGAGCCCTATCAACCAGTGGTTCGTCGACGATTCGTCCAGGAACCACAGCAATTGTCCGCGTCGGGTCTGATTTGATGCCCGCAGCCGCATCGCTTCATGCGTCAACCTCCTCTCACAAACGAGCCGCGGACGATACAGCAATGGAAACTAGTGTCCTCGAAGCCAGATACAGTGCGTCGTGCTCCTCGACTCACTGCTTGGTCCTTACAGCAGCTGCGCCGGATTCCCGTTTCGGATGCTGATGGTCGTGAGCCACACGAGCCCGATCCAAAAGACCAGGTAGAGGAGCAGGAAGAAGACATCGTGGCACCGCCGCTTCTTCTCGATGAACTCGACAGCAGGAGGTCGCGGCGGTGCCGATGCTAACAGCGACCGCGATGAGACGAGCGCGTTGGTTGATACGCCAGTCGATGCTCCGATCGATGCCAGAGACTGCTGCGGCGTCTCAATGATGTGCTCGTAGTTTTGTTTCATGGCCAAGGCGAGACAGAGGCGGAGGACAGTCGCTTCGATGCGTCGAAAGGCGAAAGGAGAGGAGGTGGGAATGGTCCTGGCTGAGGGGCCTCTGAGAGCACGGGGCTTTCGAACACATGATTGAATCGCAGCAGAAGATCGATGCCAAGCCAAGCCAAGCCCGATTGGCTCGGCCAGGGCCAAAACTCCCGCCTGGATCCAATATCGTCCGATCACGAGTACTCATACGCCTGTGTCCGGTGGGGGGGGGAGAAATCGATGTGCTCATTTCGCATGTGATTTGTAAAACGACTTGTATTTCGATAATGATACAGATATAGACATGTTTTTGACAAGTGCCAAGGGATGGAAAGGTGAGAGTTGAAGGAGAGACAATGTCAAGAGAAGGTGCAAGAGAGGAGGGACGGCTTCGATGGTCCAAAACCGCCGGGGTCAGAGTGGATCGACAGAGCCTTAGACGGCTGTCAGCACAGCAAACATGTTGTGCAGACTCTGGGTGATCCGTCCGCTGCCAATGAGCTCGTCGCGGAACTTTTCGAGCTGGGCAAGGGGCATCGGGCCCTCGCGCATGCAGATCGCAATCAGGGTGTCCGGCATGCTCTGTGATGATGGGAGCGAGGGAGGATGCGAGAGGCAGAAAGAGTCAGCTATCGGCTTTTTGAGAGTTTGTAAAACCCGCCTCGGCAAGGGCAACTACTGCAAGCGATAATTACCTCGAACTGGGTCAGCGACAGCCGCACGCCCTTGGTGAGGAAAGCAAGCCCCTTGAAGAACTTTGTGGAGGCGGCGTTGTTCTGGCACTGGACGGCGTAGCAGCGGATGCCTTCCTTTGCGCACTCCTTGGCCTCGACCTTCCAGTCAATGTTGTGCGGGTTGCCGCGGCCCAGGGGATGTGGAATGGCGTCGCCGATCATGACCAGCGAGCGGGCCGACTCGCCGGGGGCACGCCAGCTGAGCTTGGTGCGGGCTTCGCGCAGAACGAGCTCGTAGCACTCTTCAAAGTCGCCGCCGCCGGTGGGCTTGACATCCTCGACAAACTTGACGATGGCATCGCGGTCGTCGGTAAAGTCCAGGATGCTGGTGACATAGGAGCTGCGCTCGTCGCAGTAGTCGCCGTGGGCAATGACGGCGATGCGGATGTTGGGGACGGCGGCGATCAGGCGGTTGGCGGTGTCCTTGATGGTCTCGCGGACCTTGGCAATGCAGCCGTACATGCTACCAGTGGTGTCGAAGCTGTGGAGCGAGCGACGAAAGTTTGAGGAGAGGCAAGACGGGAAAGCACGATGAGTCGAGGCTGTCGCAAGATGGTGGGCTGGGGAGTGACGTTGCAGGGATGCTAGACTGAGGAGTGCGGGCTGCTGCCTTACCTGAAAGCAATGTCGGGCTTGTCGCTGCCAGAAAAGTCCCGGTCAAGCAGCTTCTCAACGCTGGTGTCCATGTCCATGTCGAGGAAGCTATCGGTTCGGCTGGTTGCAAGGGTGGCTGGAGTCGCCCTGCCAAAGGCCGGAGCAGCACGTCGACCGCCGGCAGCGGATTTGGCTCGGCCATAGCCAGAGGAAGCGCGGGTGGTCTTCTTGGCGACTTTGGCGGCGGCGGCCTTCTTGGCGACTTTGGCGGCAGCCTTCGTGGTCTTCTTGACGACCTTCGCCTTGGTGGTGGGAGTGGCGGCCTTGGCAGGGGAAGAGGGAGCGACTGATGCCTTTGCCTGCTTCTTCAGCTTGTTGAGCGTGGCCGGCGAAAGACCAAAGAACATGCCATCGCGGCGCAGGGTGCCATCGGAGACAAGAGCGAGGATGCGGCTGTGGAAGATGCGCGACCAGCCAGCGGAGAGAGAGACTGTTCCGGAGAGAAGGGTTTCAAGGACAAGACCGATGCAGGAGTGAGCAAGGCTGTTGCGGTGCAAAAGACCTGGCCGAGGACGGCAGAAGGCAGGGGACACTCACGGGAGGCTTCGGTGCGCAGGTCCTTGAAGATGGCGCGGATGCGGAGATAGTGATGGAGGGAGGTTCTGGGATAGATGTCGGAGGCTGCAAGCGAGGGAAGCAAGAGCAGGGGGTGAGTCGTGGACACTCGGTGCAGCAGAAGGGGAATGTGAGTTGTTGCGAGCAGGGATGCGAACCTTTGCGGATGGCCTTGACAATGAGCTGGGTGTACGAGTTGGACATGGCTGGCTGAGGATTCAGGGGGATTGGAAGAGCTGTTGCTGTTGCTGGTGTTGCTGCTGGTGTTGCTGCTGGTGTTGCTGGTGTTGCTGATGCTGATGGTGTTGCTGGGACATGGCGGCGACGAGGGTATTTATTCGGGCCGGGCGTGCAAAGCGAAGCAGTCGCGCTCGGCGTTCTGCTTTGGGCTCGTGCTTTGGACTCGTGCTTTGGACTTGTGCTTTGCCACCAATCCAGCCACCCATGGAGCACTCGATCCAATCCAGCCAGCCATGACGCACTCGATCCAGTCCAGCCACCCATGACGCACTCGATCCAGTCCAGCCACCCATGACGCACTCGATCCAGTCATGACACATCATCGGACCGCCCTTGTCTTTTCTCCCCCGCTCCCTTCGCTTCCTGTTCGTCTGCATCTTCCAGCCTTCATTCCTTAGCTACAATCCTCTATCCTCAATGTTGCCCGTTTGGTCCCCAAAAGCGATCGCTTCTCGTCTCCGCGAGATCGCTGCTGGCCGTGAGGCCCTGGATCAAGCCGCCCGCGGCTCCACCACTCCGCGTTTTCTCTCTCCCGATGATCCCAGTATGCGTTCGGCGCGCCTCTGTTCATTGCACGTTGCGGAATCAGCAAGCCTCCTTGCTGGTGCATAACTTGTTCGCCAGTGCTCCCCACGAGCACCTCCATGAGCACCACCGCAAGCATCTCCATGAGCATCCCCGTTGCCCGTCATGGTCCCGCCGTAACACCCATTCCCATCCGCCTCGGCTCTCGCTATTGCCTATGTGCGTTTGCAGGGCCCGTATTTGAGTTTCCAAATGCCGATCCAAGCAACGCAAAGACCCGCCGATTCCGCTGGTTGGCGGCAAAGGCTTCTCGCTCGTCTACATGGCCAACTCGTCAGTATCTCCGCTGGCAAGCGCAGTATCAAATCCATCTGGTGGCGTCGTCGCTCATCCCAATCACCGTCCGGGCGGGTTGTAACATGCTCTGCCGAGCCTGACCGCCTTTCGCTTTCTTGGTTCAGGGGTATCCGTGTACCTCCTGGCTTTGTTCTGACCACAAGCTTTTTCAAGCCCTGGATCGACCAGCTCCGGCGAACGAGCGAATGGTCCGACTTTCAGGAAAGACTCTCGAGCCACAGTGCCGCCGAGCTCTCGCAGTCCCACTCCGAGTCCGACGGGGGCATGAGAGCGGCCACCGATGCTCTCAAAGCCTATGCTGCCGCCCATCTCACCTTCTCACCCGAGATGAAGACCGTCACCGATCAGACCTGGTCTCGGCTGAGTCTCACCCTCGTCGCTGTCCGTTCAAGCTCGCCGGACGAAGACCTGGGAGGTATGTCCGATAGTCACCACATATCACTTACAGTCACCATAATATCACTTGTAGTCATCATCATATCGCTTGCAGTCATCATCATACTGCTGCACCACCCGTCGATCATCTCGTCCGCCGAGCAACACTACTTGCGCCTTCGTTGCAGTATACGCTAACTCGCGAATCTGTGCTGGTCTTGCAGGCGCCTCCTTTGCCGGTGGATACGAGACTGTTCTGGGAGTCAACCGAGAGAACCTCGAGAGCGCCATCCTCCAGGCCTTTGTTTCCTGTCTTGATGTTCGTGTCGTGCTTTACAAACTGGCACATGGCTTCTCGGCACTCTCGCCCTCAATCGCCATCGTGGTTCAGCAACAGGTCGACAGTGCCGTCGCCGGCGTGGCCTTCAGTGTCAACCCCTTGACCAACTCGCACAACGAGGTCTTTATCAACTCAAACTTTGGTCTGGGTGAGACTGTGGTCGCAGGATTGGCCAGCCCAGACGAGTTTGTGGTCGACAAATCGACCAAGCGCATCATCAAGAAAACTCTCGGCGCCAAGAACGTTGTCATCAAGCTACTGCAGGGCGGCGGAACCGCCGAGTCCGCTGTTGATGCCGAAGCTGCCCAAACCTTCTCGCTCTCCGATCACCACGTGCGTTGATGTGCAGTGGTCGAGGTGGAGTGTCGTGAGTCTGCCAAAGGATGACCGAGACTTGGTCGTGCTGCATTGGGCATGGTGCTTGTGGCCCAGCGGCGCTGTCATCCTATCGTAGAATCATCATGTGGCTGTGTGCCCCGCTATGTCTGGGGTCAAGACGGTCACAAGCTTGCGCTGTGTGCTCGACGGTCGTGCATCCACTGCGACGCTGACTCTCTGTTCCGATCATCTGCAGGTCGTTGAGATTGCATCCCAGGTCCAGCGTATCGAGAGCCTCTACGGCCGGCCTATGGATATCGAGTATGGAATCGAAGCTGATAACTTGTATATCCTGCAAGCGAGACCGGTGACGACCTCGTTGGACCTCTCCCCCATGATCACATCCTTGAACAACCCTAAACAGCATTTCCTCTGGGGTAGGTGTTGTCCGCTATCGATAGAACTGCGGCCTACTCCTGTGCGTGAGCGGGTGATGATGAGTTGTTTTCTCATCGTCACTGCAATCATCGACTACAGATATCACTCTGGCTGTTCAGGGTCTGCCTCTGCCCATGTCCGTCTTTGGAACGAATGTGCTTGAGATGGCCTTCAACTGCCTCAAAGCCAAGCTCGGCCAGCTCGAGTCCAGGACACAACCGTTCCACTCGTTTCCATTGATCTTTGACGCGAAAACGGGACGTATCTACGGTGATGTCTCCTTGGTTCACAGTTACCTCAACCCAAACATGAGCCGCGACATAGCCATCATCGACCCGCTTTCCGCCAAGGTTTTCCAGTCGCTCGATGCAAATGCCCTTGCTTTGGAGCCCCTGACGCTCTTGTCAAAGCTGTGGATTGCTTTGAGAGTCGTGTTGCATGCGCCTCTGCTCTCAGTCATGTACAGTCTGGTTCGGTCCTACAACTTTCCACGCATCCGAAGACACGAGATCAGCACGACTATCAGCACCCAGCTGAGCGATCGACTGGCCGAGCCACGCAAGCCCGGAGACTCTCTCTTCGACTGGACCGTCCAGATCATGCACGATGGCTTCACCACGATCCTCCAAAGCTCGGGTCCAACCATGATCATCTGGCGCAAGTCCCTGGTGGATCTCAGAGCCATCCTGAAGCCCGTGCTTGAGGATGAGCAAACTAAAGAGATGGCAGAGGCCTATCTCGAGCGAATCGATCGCAGCTTGCCCGGCAACGTCACCATCGAAATGGGATTGTCGCTCGCACAGCTAGCACACGATCTGGCGGCCGAGGGCGACCGTGTCAAGTCTATGCAGCCCGCAGAACTCGAGGAGGCGCTCGCCGGCCGATCAGATGCCCTCGGTCCCAAGTTTGCCCAGAAGTGGAAGACCTTCATGGATACCTATGGCCATCGCGGCGACACGGAGCTGGATGCCTCCACTCCACGGTAAGATTCGCGCGTCTGTTGGCATGGCCTCATTGCTGAATGATCGATCTCGGCATAGCATCGCATGTGTCCGTTTGTGGGACTCCATCCCCCACGTTGATCCTCGCTCACTTGATCGTCGATTCATGTCGTCAACACCCTTTGCTTCGCTCTTGTTGGACATCAGCACTGACTCCTCTGTCTCTTGGTCCCGGCCGCTCTCGTTCACAGTTACCGCGAATCCTCACACACCCTGATCAACCAGCTGTTCCAGCAAATGAACTCGACCCGCAAGGACCCGATCGCGCAGTTCAACCAGTGCCAAACCGAGCGTCAGGAGGCATACGAGTACTTTGCTGCCGAGCTCAAGAAACACAATGGGAACGTGGCCCGCTTCGACCGCATCTACACCCGCATTGTGGAGCTTGGTGGTCTGCGCGAGACCCACAAGTTCAACATCGTCAAGGCCGTGGCTCGTGTTCGCCAGGAGGCTTTGGCGGTCGGCAAGCTCCTGGTCGAGCACGGCAAGATCGAGTCAGTCCAGCAGGTGTTTGACTTTGAGATCCTCGATCTCGACGGCGTTGTCCAGCAAATCGAGCGTCGCATACATGCCGCGCCAAGCGAATCGTCCCGGCTGCTGCAGTCGTCGCCCCATGACGGCGAGATCGATCTGGCCAAGGTCCGGGAGCGACGCCTTGCTCTCTGGAATCAATGGACCAAGGCTGCGCTCTCGGGCAACGAACTTCCGAGGGTGATGGACTCCTACGGCACCATCTACCGCGAGATCCCTCTCCAGCGCACCGATCTCGGCGAGAACTGCCTGGTGGGCTATCCGATGAGTGCCGGCGTGGTCGAGGGCCGAATCAAGATCCTTGAGTCGCCCGACGAGAAGCCTCTGCTGCCAGGCGAGATTCTGGTGGCTCGATGCACCAACCCAGGTTTGGCTCCAGCCTTCCGTGTCTGGTGTCGGGGAGGGGGGGGCGAGTGTCGGGTATATGCTTGGTTCTGACAACATCGTTTCTGATCGTAGGCTGGACACCCCTGTTCATCAACGCCGCTGCCGTGGTGCTCGAGGTCGGCGGCGTCCTCCAGCACGGAGCACTGGTCGCCCGCGAATACGGCATTCCCTGTGTCGCCGGCATCCTCGGCCTGCTCAAGAATGACAAGCTCAAGGACTCGGTCCGGGTCCGGGTTGACGGCAACCAGGGCATTGTCACGATCCTGGATGACGGCGACGAGCCCTCCGCTGCATGATTGCGCTGTATCTTTGCCCCTTCCCACACCTTTCTTCTCCACATTTGACTCGCCAGTGTCGTCTGCCGGTTTTGCGAATGCGACTGGATGTTGTTGATGATAATGATGAACAACACGCATACCTTCAGACACACCGCACCAATCCCTGCACCGCCATGCTCCTCCACGCACATCGGAGCGCCGTCGTGGGCACCAATGTGCTGCAGTCGTGGTGGATGGTCGGTGCAATGCCCAACACCCGCTCACCTTGTCCCCTGATCGCGCCATCAGGTTCATGGATGTCGCCTCTGGCAACGTGGCCAGAAATCTCTCTGCAATCCCACTTTGATATCACTTTTTCTCGCATCCCATGGTGGCAAGATCTCAGGTCCAATCCCCATATATTCCATATCCCAGCCCTCGCTCGATGCCGCCCTGCACGCCTGCATCGCACTTGCACTCGCAGACGCTCGAGACGCCCACACCATGGTCGAGACCGCCCCATCCGCAAAACCAAAGCTCGCCGACGTCTTCTTGACGTACCTCCCGCTTGGCTTCATCACCTTTGGCGGACCCCAGGCCAACGTCGCCCTCTTCCATGACTACTTCATCGACAAGTATCAGTGGGTCAGCACCGATGTGTTTTCGGAGCTGTTTTCCATCGCCTCGGTGCTTCCTGGGCCGCCCAGCATCCAGATGTCGTTTGCCTTTGCCCTGCTTCGGGGCGGCCCGCTGGCCGGAGTGGTCGGGTTTCTGACATGGACGTGAGTATAAACCGTCTGCCCACTCTCCATTTCGGTGGCGAGAAGCTGCTTCGAAACATCCTCTTATGCTGCACCATCTTCTCGGCTCCCCGGCTCCCCGGCTCCCCGGCCGCCGTCTCCATCCTGGCATGCACCAAGCCTGCCCGTCACCCTCTTCATGACCATCGCAGCCATCGTCGTCGCTTCCTTGCCTGAGAAGCTGCCCCCAGTCGTCATCCAGATCGAGAACGGCTTGACCTCGTCAGCAATCGGCCTCACGGCACTGGCTGCCTACAAGCTCGGCACTAGGGTCTGCACCAACCGCATGACGCAGCTCTCGGCATTTGCCTCGGCGGCAGCGGCAATCAACTACAGCGCCCCCTGGCTGTTTCCGGCTCTGATGGTTCTTGGCAGCGTATCGGCATACTGCGAATACCGCTACAAGCTCTGGACCGAGCGCCGGACACAGCCCCGATCCCAGGCAGCCGGCGACGGCCTCCATCTCGACGATATGCCGCAGGACGCAGCCAGCTCGACGCAGCCTCGCACTCCAGCAGATGAGGAATCTTCATCCCCCGGTCCATCTCCGTCGGCCCCCGTCTCGACCCAGAACTCTGGCCAGGACTCGGGCTCCTCCAACAACGTCAAATGCTCGTATTCGAGCCGGGTCGGGCTGCTGGTGCTGGCCGTGTGGATCCTGCTCCTGGTGGTGGCCATTATCTTCAAGACGGTTGCAGGAGTGCCTCTGTTCCTGAACGTCTTTGGAACGTTCTACTTTGTGGGCTCGCTCATCTTTGGCGGAGGCCCTGTCGTTGTGCCGCTGCTCAAGGACTATACCGTCTCTGTCGGCTGGCTCAACGAGCGCGAGTTTCTGATCGGATTCGCCCTCATCAACTCGACTCCCGGTGAGTGAGCGACACTGGGGTACCCGGATGATGCTCTATCCATCTCCATCCATCCATGCTCTTGACCCACAGCCAAAGTGCGCTCATCCTGCTTCCACATGATGCATGCAGGCCCGCAATTCAACTTTTCTGCCTTCCTTGGTGGCCTGGCGCTTCGCAGCCTGGGCATCGGCGTCAGCGGCTCGATCATCGGCTCGTTCCTGGCCTTCTTTGGCATCTTCTTGCCAGGGCTGCTTCTGATGTCGGCCTTGATCCCCCTGTGGACGCAGTTCCGTCGGCGGACCTATATCCAGGTGATCCTCGGGGGCATGAGCGCCTCGGCCGTCGGGCTGGTCTTTGCGGCCGTCTATTTGCTCTGGTCCAAGGCCATTACCGACGGCCAGTCTGGCACGGCTCTGAGTATCTCCCAGTTCCCGCTTTACGTCACCGTCGTTGGATTTGCGTTCTTGGGCGTCGGGTTCTTGAAGATGCCTTCGTATTCTGCCGTCCTTGTCGGCGCCCTCACCGGCGTTCTGCAGTGCGCTATCTCGGGCGGATTCAGTTGAAGCAGTCGGATCGGCCGCCAAGGACGATGCACCGATCGTGCTCGATCTAGCCAGGGCAGCCGTTCAGAGCTCTGCCCTGATGGACTTGGAGGATGGGGTAAAATCCAATATCAATATATTCGCTGAAGTTCACGTCCGGTGGGCCTCCATTCGACCCTCTCTTGCATACAAGACACTGATCAAACCATCCATTGGCAAGCTCGCCGATACATGCATCGACTTTCAAGCAAGTGGGACTCCAAAGGTGAGGCTCTTGGCGATCGGGCTGCTGAGCATGCACCAGGCGTCATGGTAGCAGCCGTCGACGATGTGCACGTCCATGGTGTTGCAGCCGACGATGTAGTCAAAGTAGGCGGCATATGCCAGTCCTCGCTCGATGCGGACGTATCCCTCGGCATCTGCCCCGCAGGTCATATCCAGCGGCGGATTTGCGGTCGTCCTCAGCGTGTCCTTGGATCCCAAGAGCATCGTCTGCTTGAGACAACGCAGACTGGGTCCCTGGTGAGCGTTGCCCAGGTGTGACGTCACATATGGCCCGGACAAGTTGTCGAGACCATACGGGAACGAGTTGGCATCGGAACAGGCCGAGTTGGAGTACGGCTCAAACGACGAGGCATTGAGGGTGCCGAGGCAGGACTGGTCTTGGCAGGAAAGCAGCGCAGCCTGGGTCAGACGGTGGTTGGACTGGTAGGTGTAGGTCCCAGAGTTGGCCAGGATGACTTGGTACTGGAAGGCGAGGGGAGGAAGGATTGCAAACGACAAGCGAAGCGGCAGCATCGCGGCCCATAGTGCAAAGTGTTAATGAGCGATGGGCTCCTCAGCCCAAGAGTGCATGGCAATCGGTGATAGCCTGCCAAGGTTCAGTCGCACGCCGAGACTCTGCTGGAGCGTGGCCGGAATCATGTGCACTCACTTTTGAGAATGTTTGTGGATCCGTGAAGAGCGAGTATCGATGAACGAGCTGAGCGCCGGCGCTGTGGCTTGCCTGGAGGAACCAAAGTCAGTCGTGGCCATCGTCTGCAAATCCGAGTCTGTGCTTTGTCAAGCAACCGTCATGCAGCCAGTGAGCTTACTCACCAAGACAATCTTGGCTGACGGAAAGGCCTGAGCGATGGTTGCCAGGAAGGCGTCGACCATGTCAAACGATGTCATGGCATTGTTGTTGTCTGCAACGTCGCCTGTCGACCACTTTGTACTGGCCGAGAAGACAGCCAGGTTGAGGCCGCCTTGGGGCACTCCCCATGTATATGCTTGAGTGGTGCTCTTGACCGGGAACAGCGGCACAAAGAAGGCATGGGTGTTCAGGTCGACGCCGGTGGTGTTCTGAGCGACGTCAACGAGGATCGAGTAGTAGTTGTAGGCATCGCACGCTGCTCCGTGGAATGTCAGGACGACGGTGGTGACATTGTGGTAGACATTTGATGGAGAGAGGTCATGCGATCCGACATACTGCGGCGGACAGTGATATGTCGGTGTTAGCCAGGGCTGAGCTGAGTGTCAACGATGAGGTGCTGCCATCTCAAAGCACAGATGCTTACGATCATGTCGGTTGCTCCACCATTGCCTCCAAAGCTGCTGAGACGAAGGACTCCGGCACAGGATCCATCGGTGGTGCAGGGCTGGATCGGCGCCGTGGGAAGGTTGGGTCCAGAGTCGAGCGTAGCTGGCGGGAATGGATCGCCGATGGCGGTTTTGGTCAAAGCCAGAAGGACGAACACGAGGATGTTGGGCAGAACCATCCACTGATGGGCGTGCGAGGACGAGGATCGCATTGGAAGAGCGGGGGGGGGAATGGTATCGATATCGATAGTGAGAGATTCGGTTGGTGAGGGAGAAGAATGCACCAGCAGCCCTAGTTGCAGCCGGACATGGTCTCGGTTGGTCTGCACCGGTTTATATGCGCTGGTGGACCGTCCGCAACAAACAAACATGGCGGGAGATCCTGTCCGTGCTCGCGGCAAGGTTTCATGGAGCCGGCCGCGTTCCATGTTGGGTTTGGCGGGCGATTTGGCTTGCGACTTTCGGCGGGCGCTCTGGCTGGACCTCGACTGCCCCAGAGAGCCCGCTCGCTGGACCAATGAGCGGTGCATATGGTAGGGGGCTTGACCTGAATACCAGCATGGACATGTGCGGTTGGTGGGTCGTTTACTTTTGGATGAGTTTGGATGGGAGCGGAGTCCCGGTTTGGATACGTAGTCGTATTGTGTGCTCGCACAGTTTCCTCCCACACCGGTCGCCCCAGAGCCGCATCTAGGCTGTTGTGATGAATCATGCGTCAACGACCACTCCTGAATAATTTGGGAAATCGCAGGCTCAGTTTCGACGGGGTCTTTTGCAGCGGGGGAGGTGTGCTTGTTTGAGGACCGTAGCTGGTTGATGCGTGGGAGCTGCTTCCTGGAGAGTCTTGCTGCAGACTTTGATCTGGCGAGGTGGGCACGTCTTGGCCGGCTTCCGTGCTGTTTCGATAGCTTGGCTGTTGTGATAAAGTATTAGTGACAGCCCGATCGAGCACTGCAGCCCATGCAGTCCATGCAGTCCATGCTTGGTACACAGATGCAACGTACGTGAATCACCAGCGGAAAGTAAGGGGCGGCGATACCCCAGAATATGATACTCTCGCTTGCAGTACATCGGTGCCGGTCGCCCTGAAACGAGTTCTGCCCGTCCCAGTTGAAAAAGGCATGCGGGACCTTGATCATATGCGGGCCATGGCGGATCCACTGGGCTTCATCGACAACTTGCGACCAAGTCGACGGCGGCAGCGGTGTATCTGTCCAGTCGCGATTCTGGCGATGCTGACTGAATGGTACAAACCCATCCTCGGTGTTACTCCAGAGAATTTGGTTGCCGTCATAGTCCAGCGATTCGATCGACTCTCCGTCGGCAGAGATGGAGACCGAGCGCACACATTGGCTGTGCTGTTTCAGCGTCTGCAAGAGACGACCAGTTCCGGTGTCCCAGAGCTTCAGCGACTGGTCGTAGGATCCCGACACCATCACAGTTCCAGTTTGGCAAACCGCTGCCGTGGTAACGGGGCCGGTGTGCCCATCTGCAGACTGCTCGACGCCGCTTGTATCGGGATCCCAGACCTTCAGAGTCTTGTCATCCGAGACCGATACAATCCACCTTTCGTACGGTGACACAGCAATCGAGTTCACATGGCTGGAATGTCCCTTGAGAGTTGTCCGTAACTGGCCGGTTGCGAGATCCCAAACCTTGATGGAATGGTCCGACGACCCGGAAACAATCGACTGCCCGTGAGGCACGATGGCAACCTGGGTGACCCAGCTTGTGTGTCCTTCCAGCATCAACCTTGCCTGGCCTGTCTCGGCGTCCCACACTCGGACCGTTTTGTCATAGGAGCCGGACACAATCCACTTGCTATCGGGCGAGATCGTCACGGACGAGACCGAGTCTCTGTGGCCCACGAGCACAATCTTCCATCTTCTGGTCACGGCGTCCCAGATATTCACGGTTGCGTCTCCCGAGCTGGACAGGATCTGCTTGCCATCCGAGGAATAGGCAACGGCCAGTACCGAGTCTGTGTGCCCGACTAACCTTGCCTCCAGCTCCAAGGTCTCGAGATTCCAGATCCGGACGGTCGTGTCGTATGAGCCCGACACCAATGACTTGCCATCTGGAGATATGGCGACCGAGGACACGGCATCGGTATGGCCTTCGATAACGTCGATCAGATGGCCCATGACCACATCCCAGATCTTGATTGTTCGATCACCCGAGCCAGAGACGATCATGTTGCCATCTGGTGATACCGCAACGGCATTGACGGGATAGGCATGTCCCTCGATCGAGAACTTGGACTGGGCCGAAACGGCGTCCCAAACCCGAATGGCTCCATCTCGGGAGCCCGCCACAACCATTTTCGTATCCGGAGAGATTGCTGCGGCGATTAATTCGGCGGTATGGCCCGAGAGAGTAGCGACGCACGGATCCCAGGAAGACGGCGGTCCAGCAGCCACCCTAAACGGAACCCTGTCCTCGATCTGAGGAGCATATGTCTTGTAGAGAAGTGTCTCCTTGGGCGTAAACACAAATCCAGAGTTGTACACCTGCGGCGCACTCTTGATGACGGGGTCGGCAAACTCTCGGATGAACCGATAGACATCGACCACGAGGGCTTTGGCAACTTGGCCGAAATTGCGGTCGTCGTTGGTGACGACGCGCCGGAGGACGGCCAGTTGCTCGATGACTGGCTTGATGACGTTCATCAGCGATGCGCACTCGAGCCAGAAGAACACGTGGGTTGAAAGCAGTTTGGAAAGGAGCGACGTGGCTCCCGTCGACCAGAGCTGATGAATTGTCAATGCCAGCGTTGGCGCCGTATCGAGACGCCATACAAAGTGCGTAATCCAGTGGGCGACGCTGTATCGGAGCGACGGGGCAATCTTGTCGCTGACTCTGTCGTCAAAGTCGGGTATCTCGGTGTGGAGGTCATAGATGTCGCAGATGTTGATCACTGGATCGTGCGCGAGGATCACGTCGAGGCAGCCCTTGGCAAAGACCAGATGGAACTGGCTTGACACATGGAACGGCTCGCCGAACGAGTAGTCAAGGAGGTAGTCGGCCACGGACTTGTGGTTAAACTCGACGTGGCTGTCGGCCGTCGATCCATTGACGCCGGGGTCGAGGACAAGCGCGAGTCTGGCGAGACCATCCTGCACGACACGAAGATCGATTTTGAAGATCCCGGAGATTATCCGGGGCGTCAGGACCGATTGTGCCGTGGCCATGGCCGAGATCACGGTGACCAGCTCGGCCGGGTGGCTCGCCTGCGAGTAGATCTTGTCGAATGTCTTTTGGTAGAGCTGATCGACATTCGCGACGCTGTCGTTCATGTCCTTGATCGCGGCGAGCGTCACTGGGCCGTCCCTAGCGATATCGGAGAGGGTATTGAGGATCAGGTTGATCCACACGAATGTCTTGGACTGATCGCCTCTTGCACCATGGTCCTCGAGTCCGTGGCTCTCGTGGGCAGAGTTGAAGATGATCGAGCTTACTATACTGTCCCTCTCTGCCTTTGGGAGATTGTATTTTTTGAGCCGAGAGCCAATGTATATGCTCAAGTCGTCAACGTTGTTGCCGCTCGAGGGCTCGATCGTCTTGGTTGGGACTCCATCGAATGCTGCCTTGATGTCGGCCTCGGGACGGGATGTCAGCAGCAACTTGAGCCACGGACGGGTCTTGTTCAGTTCGACGAACCGCCCGGCGAGCAGGCTGAGCAGCTGGTCGCGCGGAGAGCACTCGTCGAGTGCATCCACCAGGATCATCACCGATCCCTTGGGTCTGTAGTCGCCGATGGCTTCGAGTGGATCGGCAATCACAGTTTTGAACAGCTCGGGGATGCTCATCTTGTCAAGATCGTCCTTTGTGATAGTTCGTTCGCCATCCGACCTTGCCACAGTCGCCAGCAGTCGCCGACCGATGGGGGCATACCAGCGACACAGGCCGTAGGCGATAGTGGTCAGCACCATGCGGGGATTGCTCTTGCGGGTATCGTTGTACTTGAGAAAGATGGATGCCACCAGTTGGCTGCTGGCGGTCAGAAGACTTGCGATTTGGGCGGCGGACACAGACTTGCCGGTGCCGGCGACGGCGTTGACCCACAGGACCGGGTCGTCGTTGTCGGCGTTGACCCAGGAGGTAATGTCGGTCAAGAGCCACTGGCGTGTTCCCTTCATGAAGAGATCCTCGAGAGCCCTCCTGTCCTGGTCAAAGTCGATGGGGTCGAGCAAGGCGACGAGGTCGCAGTCTTCGTGGGCAGAGAGAACAATCGACTCGAACTGGCGTGTTGCAATCTCCTTGAACTTGGTTGTCTTGGCACACAGCTCGCGAAGGTTGGGGACGAGTCTGCAAACGATGCCAATCCATCAGGGACCGATCCGGCGCAGATGAGCCCGTTGTACGCTCATGCTCACCGAGGGCTATGTGAACTCACCGCTTCAGGGCATTTCCATCGACCGCATCAAGGGCCTGGAGCTTTAGGATCTCCCTGATCGTCTGGCGCACGGTCATGGGCCGGTCGTCAAAGAGGGGGCTCTTCTTGTGGGCCGGTGGAAAGTTTGGGAAGTGCTCGGGATCGGGAAGGTATTTGCACGAGTACTTTTTGTTGTCGATGGTCTTGTTGGACCACATGAATATGGGCTGGATGACGACCGAGATGTTCAAGAGAACAGAATCCTTCGCCAACTTGAGGGCGTGCTGGATCTGTTGGGATTGGGCGTGGATTGGGCGTGGATCGGGCGTGGATCGGGCATCAGATGGGAGAGGCACAGCCCGGAGGAGCAGAATCGGGAGGCAGGCTCGAGAGATGGACGGGCATGGCGCAAATGCGCCGCAATATGGCTAACGTGCGAGAGGATTTGTCAAAGGCGGTGCAGGGACGCAGCCCACCTCGAGCAGCAGGTTGTCTGGGGTTGTGTGAGCCTGGCGCACACGCTCCAGGCCCCGCTCCGAGAGGAGCAGCACAATCACCGGCGAGTTGTGCAGTGCATTGATGAAGCCGCATTCCCAGTCTTGGCTGTCGTGCAGGCAGAGGTGGTCGAGAAAGGGATGGATGGAGAGATCCTTCCGTTTGCCAGAGACCAGGGACGCCACCAGCATGTTGGCGCTGTCGCTCTCGCTCGAGCTGCGATAGCTGGCGGGGATGAATAAGGGTGAGCGCTGCTGCTCTCAAGCGAGGCAAAGAGGCAGAGACAACCAAGCGAGACAAGTCCGGTACGAGTTGGAGGACATCCTACCTCACGAAGATATCGTGTTCGCTGCTGTCGAGCTGGCACCTCCAGTCGTGGATTACCGTAGCTGGCTCGTAGTATTCCGGCTCAAAGACAACCACCTCCGCGGCGGTGCTGCCGCACTGCTTCTCCTGTGTCGAGAGGCCCTTCGCTGACGGCAGAAATAGGCTGTCCCGATTGTCCCGGCTTTGTCGCTGGGCCCGTTGGACTTTGCGGATGGCTCCGCCCACCATTCCGATGGCCTTCATTTCCGCTTCTGTCAGCTCCAGCACCTGTCGGAGCCTGTGCATGTTAGCGATGCGGGTTGGGCCAGGGGCGGCAGTGGCAGCGGGCAAAGTGCCAGACCCACCAGGTCGATGGTGTCGTACTCGTGCTGCAGCAGCAGCTCCCTGTTGCGCTCCAGGCCATGATGCTTCAGGAACAGGTCGAAGGATGCTGGTGCGCGGCGTTCGTGGATCAGCATTTGTGGGTCAGCAATCAAGTGAGGATCAGGCAGACGGCGAGGCCGCAGTCCCACGCCCAACTCGCCTTCCCAGTCTGCCCCCATACCATCGGCCATCCTGGAGTTGCTGCTCGACTTGGAATCAAGCCGAGGCAATGGGCGTTCTGCCCTCTCACGACAAATATGGACTTGAGACAGGGCACGTGTCTGGGTGCCGGAGGACAAGTGGCTGTCACAGACTCTGTGGCTGGGCGACGTGGGCTGCCATCAGCGCGCCCTTGATCAAGTAGCCAGATGTCGCTGTTTACGGCATTGCCTGTATTTGTCAAGTACATCCATGGCAGTGACATCGGCGACCTGGTGACGTGATGCTGGCGTTAGAGGAAGCCGATCATGTTGAGCCTCAGTTTGTTCCTGGCGCCGGTGTGGCCCTGGTTGGCGGCCTTCTCAAACCACTCGACGGCCTTCTTCTTGTCTCTGGGAACCCCGGTGCCATCTATATAGCACTGAGCGACGGTGTACTGGGCGAACGGGTCCTCCTGGTATGCAGCCTGGTTGCACCAGCGGAAGAATCGTTCGGTGCTCTTGGGCACGCCCCACTCGAAGCCATAGCACCGCCCGAGCCAGTGCTGGCTGGTGTCCTGGCCATCATCGGCGAGCTGCTGGAAGATGCCGACGGCCTTGGTTGCGTCTCGAGCGGTGCCGAATCCGTTGACGAGGCATACGGCTTCAAGGAACCGGCAAACGCTGTCCGTGCTCGAGCCAAGCTGGCACAGCCGGAAGAACTTGAGCGTCATCGGGGTGACCAGGGCGATGAGATGGTCAGGAGCCAGGCAGTTCTCGCCAAGGCTGAAGTTGCCTGTTTTGCTTTCGCGAGCCAGAGCAATACCCTTGCGCTTATCGCGATGTCCACCGCGACCAAAGTAGTGCATCATGCCAAGCATCAGGGTGGCAATCGGCTTGAGGATGGGATCGTAGGACTTTTGATAGACCTCGTTCCAGTACGACATGGCGTCGGCATCCCTTTGGTCCACACCGACGCCGGCAAAGTACAACCACCCGAGGTAGAAGTAAGCCTCGACGCTTTCTTGATCTGCGCTGATCTGGAAGAGCTGCGCGGCCACGCCCCACATTGGATCGGTGGAGGGCTTGTTGTCTGTGATGATCTTGGCGACTTGAAGGCACGCCTCGACATCCCCGCTCCGGGCTCGGTTCAGCAGCAGCCGGGTCACGTCCGGATGCGCCTTTGCGATGTCGTCGTGCAAATGCGGAGCGACGGGGGCTCTGGATACCCCGGCGGAATTTCCGACGGGAACCTGCCAGTGCTGGAAGTTACCGGGAGCGTACGGCCTTGCCGCATAAGGATCGCTGGGCGAGACGATGCTGGGCAGGTTGCCCAGCTGCGATTCGGTGATGCTCTGGCTGGGTGCGATCGACGGCGAGTCGGTAAAGCCTGTGAAGCTGCTGCCGCTGTCGGTGCTGAGGGGTCGGGCGTCATTGCTGATACTGGGATACAGCCTCGGAGTGCCGGTTTGGCTCCTTGATGGAACTGGGCTGATGACGACCGGCACAGGGCCAGCGGCCTCCTTGTACGGTTCGAGGGAGCGCAGGATGTCGCTAAACTTGGGGCGTGCGTTGTAGTCTTGGTGCCAGCATCGCTCGATCAGATCCCAGACCGGATCAGGAATGCCGTCGATTCTCAGGGGGCGACTGGCGCTGCTGATCTTTCGCTCGATGGCGCTGGGACCCATTGGTCTGCCGTCGGTCGTGACCCACACAGGCTTTCCATTGTTGAGGACTTCGTAGAGGGTGACCCCAAAGGCAAAGACATCTGTGCGCTTCGAGGTGCCCATCGGGTTCTCGTCGTCCAGCATCTCCGGAGCCATGTAGCTAACGGCACCTCCTCTCATCTGACGGGCCCTTCCGACAGTGGCGGCCGCCGACGTGAACCGGGTGCGAGCCATGCCAAAGTCGGAGATGATGGCCTGGAAGAAGGAGTCCAGGAGGATGTTCTGGGGCTTGAGGTCGCCGTGGACGACGTTCTTGCCGTGCAGATAGCACATGCCCAAGGAAACCTGGTACATCAATCGAAGCTTGTCTTCAATGGGGCGAACGTTGGAGGCGTCGGAGACGTAGGTGCGGAGGTTGCCGTTCTTCATGAACGGCGACACGACAAAGGGCCGGTTGACGGCGTCGCACGCAGCAAGGAGCGGGAGGATGTGGGGATTGACAAGCTGATGCCAGAAATCGACCTCGTGGCGAAAGTCTGCAATCTCGGTTTCGTTGTAGCTGGTCATGAGCTGCTTGATGGCCACCTCGGTGCCGTAGTAGCGGGCAAAGTAGACCTCGCCAAAGCTGCCTGTGGCTATCGGGGTACTCGACTGGTCCGCGATTTCGCTCGGATGGATGCGCCAGTTCTCCTTCTTCATCGACTTTGCCACGGGCGAGCGCCTGCGGAGCAGCTCGAGAAGCGGCACGATGGTGTCGTCGATGATGGGCTTGGAAACAGAAGCGTCGCTGGCGAGGTTGAGGAGGGCATGGGTGGCTTGGCGAATCTGCCATGGAAGCGCATCGAGGCGGATGCCGGCCCGATCGAGCGCCTTGTCGTCGCCTTGGCGGAGGAGTGCAGTGATGTTGGCGATGAGAACCTGTTCCTCCTCCTCATCTCCGCGGACGATCTGCTGGAGCTCAGCCTCGTCCAGGATGATGGGCTGGGGGATGGACAACGTCGCAGCGCACGTCTGCCAGAGCGACGCGAGCCCCTTGCAGAGCTCCTTGACCTTCTTGCGGATTCGGATGCCCCTGGCCAGGCGCTCGACCTTGACGAAGGTCTGGAGCTCCCGGACATAGTCAAAGAGGTCGCTGTGGAAGCGCTCGATGCAGTCGACTTGCTGGACAAAGACCGGGCTCTGGGAAGACGACTGGGCGAGGGCCTCGATGACCTCGTACGAGAGGTTGACAAAGGCCGCCCAGGATTTCTGGTTCTCGTCGAACAGGTCCAGGGCCGAGAAGATCCTCAGGGCCAGGCTCTGGAGGTTCTTGAGAGGGCCATCGGGGGTCCTGCGGGTGGTGGAGGTCAAGCCTTGGATGACGATGGGGATGTCCAAAAACATTGCGATGAGGCAGCAAGCAGCGCCGGGGAAAGACCGGGGGGGAAAGCCGGGTATATATTTGCGCAGCGCCAGTTCCTTGTGCCAGCGGCCAAAGGTCAAGATTCAAAATCGGGTGCCAAACGCGCCACAAACACGCTTGTTGTTGCACATGATATACGCGTATTTTCTCTGCCCTGTCACGTCGGGTCTTCCCAGAAGCAGCTGCCCCGCCGATCGGCAGTGAAACATGGCTCCAACAGCCGAGGAAAACCGGCCTCGCGGATCACCGGCAGTTTTGTGGAGTGCAGCACACAGCATTCGCATCCCGCTTGCTCACTGCACTACCAATCCGCATCAGTGAGGTCCGCCTGATGATTGCACGCATGGACACTGGCTGTCAGGAATCAGGAGCTGTGATGAGCACAGAAAACTAAGGATTATATTGTTTGCAAGGCCAATAGGAGCCATACGCATTTCCAAATCAAATACACGAATCCAGACGCGCCGCTTGGACGGCCGGACGGTGAGCAACGAGGGAGAAAGGGAGGAATCGAACGAAAGAGGACGACAGTTGAAGAGAGATACACAGAAGCTATTCGATAGAGCGGCGGGAACAGTGACATAGACAGGAGGGAGGTGGGGTGGTTCGGATCAGGGCCGCAGCAACATGGTCAGACCACCAACATTACACCTTCCACGATTCTCGGTACCAGTCGAGGTGCTTGCATCCCACGACAATGTGCTGAAGGGTCCTCATCAGTCGTTCGGGCCCGGCACCGAGCACGGCCACATTGGTGCCCTTCTCGCCGGCGTATTTGTCCATTTCCTCGGTGACGACCTTGAAGTCGGGGCGGGCACGGTTGACGTTGAGCTTGAGGATGAGATTGTGGAGCACGCCGCCCTCGGAGAGGTGAGAGGCAGAGTCGGAGTCATCGGCAGCGCTCAAAGCGGCATTCGGCGCGCTCGAGCTGCCGCCGGTAACAAACAGACGCAGGAACAGGAGCCCGGCAATGGTCGCAAAGGCAATCGAGAGCACGCTGCTGGAGAGGGGCTCCAGATACCAGCAGAGGAAGTGGTCCAGTCCCACGAGCTTGAAGGCGGTGTTGGAGTCGCACTTGTCGGCCTCTGCGCCAGCGGGTCTGACCAAGATGCCGATCACAAACCCAGCGATGCCAAAGCCAAAGACGACACAAGCCAGAGCCAAGTCGGTCAGGCGTGCTTTCCAGTGGGCCTTGCGCTTGGTGATGTTGGCAATCTTGTCGTCGAGAATGACATTGTCCTTGACGGCCTTGGCATGGTCGGCGTCCATGTCCTTGGCGCTGTCGATGTGGTCGGGGCTGTCGGTATCGGGGTCGGTCTTCATGGATCCAGTGATGTGGAGATCCAGCGTCAGTTTGCTGCTCAGAAGAGTCGATTTGTTGACATAGTCAAGCAAGAAGCTCGAGTAGGCGAGCGCCGTGGACTCGTCCTTGACAGTCCAGATCAAGCGCATCTTTCCAGACGCCGGGCCGGCGATGGTATAGTGGTAGATGAAGGGGAGGACGGCAGAGATGCCGCTTCCGCCGACGAGCATCAGCAGTCGCTCGTGATGCAGATAGGAGACGCTGCGGGAGCCAAAGGGACCGTCGACCTTGATGGGGACATGGACTTTGTCCTGATGCTCGCAGAGCTTGGCCAGCTTTGTCGTCCACTTGCCGCCCACCTTGATGAGCAGGGTGATGCGGTCGGGGGTGTCGTGGCAGTACGAGGCGATGCTGAAGGGGTGCCAGTGGAGCGCCGAGATTTGCGGCACACAAATGTTGACCCAGTCGCCGGGGGCATAGGTGCTCGCACCCTGCCAGGCATCGGCGATGGGGATGTCGACCTTGATGATGGTGTCGGACAGGGTCTTTTGAACCGAGGCAGTGGCATTGAAACGGCGGAAGTAGACACGGGCACGGAGACGGTCGTATACAAAGTACAAACAGGGGAAAATGAAGGGATAGGCCAGGTTGGTGCCTTTGTGGATGAGGGCGAAGAGGAAGAAGGTGACGTAGAGCTGGTGCGTCCAGTAGAAGACCCTGTAGTTGCTGCGTCGAACCTGTGGAACGAGAGGCCGGAGAGTGTCAGAGCGACTGAGGGTGCCGTATGGTATGCTGTGCTGTATGGTATTCTGGGTGCCGTATGGTATTCTGAGTGCAGTGGTCGGGGCCTCACCTTGTAGACCGATGTGGCGGCAATGCCCAGCAGCGACAGCCAGGCAAGCAGGCCACCCAGGTTGCCATAGCCATAGTTCGACGCCCACGGGAAGAAGCTCTTTGGCACTCGGCCCTTGTTGATAAAGTCAACGATGTTGAAGATGGCATGCGCCGTGATCAAGAGGAAGCTGGTGTATCCGAGGCCGATGTGGAAGCGGTTGGATCTGTGGTACTGGCCGGCGTTGTGGCCGAGCGCCTTCTTGGTGATGAGATTCTCGCGAACGACAAACAGAATGCACAGTCCGGCATCCCAGAGACCGGCCCAGGCTGCGCGAGTTGGGGGGGGGAGGTACATCCAGGAGCACGAACAGAGACAGTGGATGGCGTGAGGAGCGGAGTCGCTGGCTGGTTGCATGGATGTGCTCAGCACAGGTGGATGTGCGCGGTGCCTCACGGCGATTCCCAGACCAGTGGCACAACCGTCTCTCACCTGTCTGGGTGGTGATCTGCTGGACCCAGTTGTACAAGGCGGCAGAGGCCGGAACCGACGATGGCGGGGACTGGATGATGGGCACAAAGACCCAGGCGAGGTTGCTGATGACCAGAAGCGCAACAATCAGGACCTCGCCGAGGGACCAGGCGTTGCCAAAGAATGAGGGGCGGGGCGCCGTGGCCTTCAAGACTTGCCACCTGGGATGCCACAGCTTGAGCAGCGACCAGTGGAAGGTGGTGGGCGACTCGACCGAGGGGCGACGCAGGCCAACGAGAACCGAGTCGTCGATCAGGGCAGAGGCCACGCTGATGACGGCCAACGGGGCGATGGCAAAGAGGATGTAGTAAATGTCGACGGACTCGAGGACGGCGTCGGTGGTGTCGGGAAAGTCGCCCTGGCTCATGTACAGCGCCCATCCGAGAGGAATGAGGGCCACGAGGCCGATGACGACCCGGGACGGGTGGAACATGGTGGGAGGAAGGGTGATTCGGCGACGGGGGGTGTGTGTGAGAGGAGGGACCAAGGAGGGAGCGTCGATGGAGTTAGGAGGAAGTGAGGGAGGAAGTGAGGAGGGGAGGGAGGGAAGGCTGCTGGCGAGGGAATGCGTCTGGGTGCCATAGACCGGGTTTTATATCCCCGACCGACCACCCCACCCTCGTCGACGGGTGTGCGGTTGCTGTTCCCATGGACGCCTCCAGCGAAACCTGCTTCCCATGTGCTTGCTCGGCTGCCAGTCGGTCACCAGCACAGATCCGCCCCCCCCTATTCTTTGCGTTCTTTCCCTCAGTCGCTGATCACGCCTTCGCAGAGCGAGGACGGGGAAAGGGTGGACGGGGGAGACAAACGAGCATGGAGCTGTCAGGCGGGCCGCTGCCTTTCGCTCTCGATCTGCTGTGCAGCCGCTCTCGATGCCCACCGTTGCAGCCGGATGAATCGTCCGGAATTGCGGTGTCTGGGGAAAGATCGAGTACCGAGGGGGGGGGAGGACATAGGCATTGGAATTGCAGTCCAGATGCTCGCAGCGGAATGGCCAACAATAGCCAGGTTACTTCCAGCGGAGCAGCCGATGCAGATCGAGTGCGCAGATCGAGTGTCCAGATCAAGGGTGCAGGCCGCGCGTGAAGAATGGCATCAGTCAGCCGATTCTAGCGCAATGGCGGGTGGTATTGGGTATGCTGGAGGGAAGCAGACCCGGGAAGCAAGGTCATGTACCCCCCCCCATCGGCAAAATAAAAGAAAGGCCAGGACAAGGAGGCCGGCACCGGCGCCTCTGTGCTCCGTCGCAGGTTCAACCGAGGGTGATGACAGGGCATCCCCAGCCGCCCACGACGGGCCCATGGCAGTCACCCTTGCCCCGGGTCGAATGCTAGGGACATCATCTGACGGGGCCATGCACGGCCATGCGCTTTGCTGGCGACGCGGGGGTCGCCTGCCTTGGCCCTGGGCACTGGTCGATTCCTTTGCTGGCATCACGCGGATCTGCAACAGCAGCAGCCAGGCCGCTGGTGCTGCGTTACAGTCTGTAGCTCTGTCCAGTTCATCTCTGTCCAGTTCATCTCTGTTCTGTTCAGTTGTGCTGGCACCAGAATACCGGTGTAACTTGCCGTGGTCATCTGCACGAGGGAGACCGTTGCTGGGCAAGTCAGTCCACCAACCTGCTCGACGCGGACTGGGGAGAAAAAAGGCAAGTGGGGAGAAGGGTGCCGTGTTTGGTCGCCTGGGAGGCGTCGGGAGGTCGATTGCACAGGCGCTGCCTGTCTGTCTGTCTGTCTGTCTGTCTGCCTGCATGCGGGCATCGGCAGAAACGTGTGGTGGTGTGATTCATTTCCGGGGCGCTGTGCTATCGCCTGCGAGCGGCGAGGAGCGGCGTCAGGCCCACCCGGAAGAGCGAACGGGAAAGAGATATCGCGGGGGGTGGGCGGTCACTGGGTCGCTGGTCGAGGCGACTGGCAGCGGCGTGGGGACTGCTCTTGGCCAGGTCGGCCTGGAAGCCAGGCGTCATGCGGGTGGTTTGGTTCGGTTCAGCGCGACTAAAAGTCACTCGAGCAAGAGGAGGGGGGTTCATCCGATGCAGGGCAAGTGGTCTGCATGGACCCAAGCACTCAAGCGAGGCGCTTTGTCCGAGCCAGAACACGCACAAACGACGGTGGTTCATTCAGGAAACGGCACGCCGAAGAAATGACCCCGTCGACGGCCAAGGCCGCGCCGCTGCCGAGGGGGCACCACCATCGGTACCGACGGCCTTGCGATCGCCATGCAATGGCCCGGATGGCGAAACCACCCGCAGACACGCCGAAGCAACCCGGCGGACACAGGAGCCACGCACGCATGTCAGAGGGAATGGGGCAAAACACATGTGTTCATTACCGACCCTGGCCGGACGGATTGGACCATCAGCAGGAAGGAGCACAAGAGACGGGGGGGGGCACTGCAGACAGGTGAGACGGAGCGGGGCGGAATGGAGCGGATCTGCGTGGGGACGGCGGTGCTCATTTGACCAGGGCGGCAAATGTGTGCAGATGCTCGACGGTGAGACCGCATTTTTCGGCGATGGCCTTCCAGTGCGCCGGTCGATCGAGCTGGTCTTTGAGGGCAGCGACCTTTCTGCAGAGCCTGCGGTGAGAAAGAGGCGACGGGAATGGGCCGGGAATGGAACGGGAATATAACGGTGACCACGGGTCAGCTGTCCTGCGAGGGGGTCAAGGCGACTCTCGCTGGCGGAAGGTGCCCCCCCCCGGTGCCGTCGACGAGGAGGCACGACAGGGTTCGGTGCTGGGGGGAGGCATACATGCATGTAGGGCCTTGGGGAATCGCCCGGGAGGGGCAGTGGCGACGAGAACGACATGTCCCCCAAGTATCAGTCCTCGCAAGTAACAGCTGCCAGGGCGACACATCGGCGCGGCTACTCACAGCATCGCAAGAATCGCACAGACGGCGTATTCTTCGGTGAAGGTCAGGCCACTGACCGTCTGGTTGATCGACATGGTTTTGATGAGGGAGAGCAGGTCGTCCTGGACGACGACAGACACATGGCACTGCCGGAGCAGTAGTGGCAGTCTGTGGTTTCCGAGTGTTAATCGATCTTGTCCCGGTTACGCCTCCGAGATGTCGCTTGCCCCAGGGCAACACCCAGACAAGCATCGACAGGGCCTCCGGCTCAAGCCCAAGCACGCCAACCCAAGCAAGCCAAGCAGAGATAGGTCCTTCCCCACATCATCATTGGGACCCAGCATCGCCGTGTCTGCATCGACACCCACCCACCCCCATGTCTGAACACTCACATCTTCATCATCTTCTCGCTGAACAGGTCCTTCCGCAGCAGCTCGTTCTGGTCCGTCTCAAAGTGGACCAGCTCCTCGTCGGTCTGCAGCCATGTGCGTGTGTCCGGTGTGATCATCTCGTCCATCAGGATCCATATCTTTCCAAAGAGCGTCAGCTGCGGCACCTGGATCTTGGACGGCCGCATCAACACATCGAGGTTCAAGGGCATACGGCCGTCATCGTCTTGGTCGTCGTCCTCATCCTCATCATTCTTGTCTCTGTCCCTGCCCTCGTCTTGGTCGACTTTGTCATCGTCATCATGATCGCCATGACTGTCGTCGCCATGCTTGCCTCTGCTATGTTTGTCCTCGTCATCGCAGTCGTCGTCGTTTGCGACCTTGGTCCGGCTTCTGCCATCACCGCTCTCACTTTTGTCCCCGTCGCCGTGCTCCTGCACAACAACTGCCCCTTTCCTGTCGTTGCCGTCAGGTCCAGGGTCACTCGCGACACTGTGGGCACTATCGCCATCGCCTTCGTTGTCGCTTTCGTCGTCGTCGTCGTCGTCGTCGCTGTCGGGTTCGTGCGGTGGCCTCTGTTTCAGCACAGCTCGGCCCCGCAGTACCTTGGGCAGGGCTGTGTCAGCACGCTCGATGAGCTGAGCCTCTTCAGGCCGGACCGTGGTGTCCGCCACTGTCACCTGGCCGCGATCGGGAATCAGCTCATCAGCCAAGGATCGATCCAGCACTTGGGACTGCCACTTGGAGGTCTTGAGGGGCTTGGACTTGCCAGAGGCAGGGATTTCAATGACCTGATTGTCGGATGCAAAGCGCACGCTCCGCTCAGCAGCTGGGGCTTGCCGATTCCTTGGTGGCTTGTCTCCGATACCGAGGACTTGTTCGCTGTCTGGACGAGCCGCTGGTCCATTTGCGGTGCTTCCGGCTGACTGGTCGACGGGCTGCGATTCCGTCTGGCTTCCAGACCGATCCACGTCTTTCTGCTGATGGGCTGAGTCGCCAGCATCAGGTTCTGTGGATTTCTTGTCGAGATATTGGCTCCGGTAGCCCTCGATCGCATCGAAATGGGCGATCGGTAGTGGGTCCGAGATTTTGGAGGCAGAGGGGTCGTTTTCTCGGATCGCCAGGCCGCCGTCAAACCCCGGCAGAGCCTCCATCATGTCCCGCACGAATGCCGACAGGGCCTCGCCTGACCCGCTGCCGGATTGGGTGGTGGAAGCGCTCGCTGTCGGAAAATGGTGATGGCTGTTGAATCGATGTCGCAAGCGCGGTCGTCGTGGGTCGATTGTCAGTCGTTGTGGATCAATTGTCAGTCGTTGTGGGTCAATTGCGGTCGTGGGTCAATTGTTAGATTGGGAGGCGCAGCCATGCGGCCAGCAGACCAGCCAGGTTGACCCCGCACTTTGGATCGTGTGCATTTTGACGACAGCGACAAACACCTCTGGCCTGCCGGATTGCGATCATGAAACAACTCGTCACGAATCTTACCGCGGATCAGTATCCTTGGGGATGATGTCAAAGGTCATGGGTCTGAGCCGGGAGCAGAACCAGTGAGCGGTTTGTCCAAGCCGGCGTGAGTCGCTGCATCCTCGTTGGGCCAAGGGCCCTGATGTGACTGACATCAACGTCCCTCCTCGCCGTGCAGTTTAGCGCAGCGTCTGCAACATCAAGCCAGAAGCGAGAAGATACCAACATGGACATGTTGCGCATGTAGGGCGGGTCGGCATGGAGCTGAGCCTTGAGGTAATTGGAGGCCACAAGGCACTGCGACGAGCAGAACATTTTGAGCTCGGTTATGTCATAGACGCGGGCCTCCTTGGTCGAGATGCGGTATCGTCCCTTGAGGCTCTGTCATTGTGTGGGTTGACGGAGACGGAGACAGGGCGTGGGAAGCCATTTGACGAAAGCAGCAACAGCACGGGACAATACACCTGGGTTAGCTTGTCGATTCGAGGGCAGTGATACCCTTGGGGACCGAGCCTCCTCCCACAGCCGACATGCCATCAGTGGCCGGGTGGTGGATCTGCTGCAGAGCTCATCCACAGCCGGACCACGACCAGAAGGGATCCATCCGCCATCCACAGGAGCCGATCTAATCTTCAATACACTGCAGCGATGCGATCCTGTTGGATGCGATTCCGTCCGCTGCAGCCGGATCGGCAGTACACTGCTGCTGCATTGACATACTTGGCAGGGCCGGTCGCAGAGCGAGTAGCCACAGAGCTTCTCGGTGCTTCGCTCGACGACGACGGCATCGTAGGTCTCGGGAGTGAAAAAGCTGCACTGGCGGGTCGATGGCGAGCAGCGAAACCAAGTGTCAGGATTGTGCCGATTCGGCTGGTGCAAGACCAAGAGCAGGCCAGAGCACCGCAGCCAGCGAGCCAACCAGCCGATCCAGCCAGCCGATCCAGCGTCCGGCTGCTCGGGCGATCTAAAGGACCCTCTCTCTCCCGAGGAGCCAGCCGCTCGCCCCAACCTGCTCGCAGACTTACGGCCTCGTGCAAAACGTGGATCCCGACGGCATCGTCAAAGAGCCGCTGCTGCCAGTCAAACACGACGCTGTCCCAGTGCTTCTTGGTCAAGGCCGACTGGCGGATGGTCTGCTGCGTCTCTGTCCGACCACCTTTCTTGGGGCGGTTGGCTGGCCTGGCACGGCGGGCCGTTGCTGTTGATGCTGTTGATGCTGTCGATGCTGTGGACGGGGTGACCGAGCCGGCTGTGTTGGCCAATGCAGCTGCGCCGGCCATTCCTGCGTCTGAGAGAGAGAGAAGGGGGAAAGCGGCTGATGCAAAAAATGTAAAAGACGATCGGCAAAACCAGACCCGCGGCCATGAGGCCACAGCCGGCTTTTGTGTTGGCCGACATGCTGCGCGCGTGTGTGTGTGCGGGTGGCTCTCGCTGGTGCTCTCGGTGGCGTTCTCGGCGCGCACTGGCACTGGGCGTTCTCGCGAGGAGGGGGGGTGGGCGAGAACAGCGGCCCTGCATCGTTGTATCCAGACGACCACCAAGACGACCACCAAGACGACCACCAAGTGTGAAAAGCCTTGCTGCAACAACCGCTGCCGATGGCGACAAGAGCCGCTGCTGGCCGAATGCAAAAGGTCCGCCTGCAGCAAGTCAATAGGCTGCAATTGTAACAGTCCCAGCCGCAACGACAACAGATGGATCGGCTGCCATTGCAACTGTCTCCGTCGCAGTTGTTACTCGCCCGTTCTAAGCTGTGCGATTGCGAAACACCTCCATCGCTCCATCCGCAAACTGCAGCATCGATCTCGCTGGCCGCCCCGCCCCCTTGCTCGGTTGCTTGCTCGGCTGCTTGCTCGGCTGCTTGCTCGGTTGCTCAGACGGCGCCGGGTGTATTGTGTTGTTCGGGTGCCCTGCCTTCCGTCGCGTCTGTTTCCATCTGATCATGGCCCCGTACTCGCCCACGCCCCTCCACCACCACCACCACCACCACCACCGCCGTCGGCCTGTCCATCACACTTTCTGCATGGCCTCAGCAGGCATCTGTGCCTGGCGTACAACTGGAGTGGCGGCCACCGCCTCTTCCCCATCTGTTCTCGGCCCTTCTCGTCTTGGCTCGCTTTGCCAACCAGATTTTGGTGGTCTCCAAGTCCCGCCCAGACTCAAACTCCCGGCTCCTCCCCCGCTTTGGGTTGAGAATGCTCCTGGGTATCCGCCGCCGTCAGAGCCGGTCTTCGTCTTGCCATCCCCGCAGCACCCCAGCCATGCGGACCACGGCACCAAACCCGGCCGCCGAGCGGCATCTGGTGCTGGAAATCCTGCTCCACTCCAACCACATCGACCCCGCCGTTGTCGCAAAGCTCTCGCAGCTGAGCCGTGGGTACTACAGCTACATCAATGGTGGCGGCTCGGCAGTGCTCTTGTCGGGCTCGCCGGAGAGCAGCAGCTACTTTTGGCGGAAGCTGGTGGCCTTTGCCCTCAATGTCCCGGCCAGCCAGATGCCCAGCGACGACTACAAGACCGTGCTGCTTGGCTGCCACTTTTACATGCAGGAATCGCCGTCGGCGCTGCGATCGCTGCGCGAGCAACAGGCCTGCCAACAGGCCTTTTGGCGCTTTGTCGACACCGACAGCACATTGTTCGACTCGGCCGTAAGGCTGTCCCGGCAGCACGACGACCGGCTCTTCCGACGGTGGGCCGAGAGTGTCCCCAAGCCTACTGCCGACCTGTTCGACAACTACCGCAAGCAGCAACAGCCCGCCATCCGCCCGAACCCGCCCCACCACCCATCCGTCAAAATCGAGACTCTGCCTGATTCTATCGGCCACTGGACATGGCTCTCCGAGCTGTGTCTGCACGGCAACGGCCTGAAGCGGCTGCCGGACACCATCGGCAATCTCACGGCCCTCAAGCGCCTCGAAATCTCCAGCAACGAGCTCACGGACCTGCCCGACTCCATCGGCTTCATGGCCAGCCTGCGGTCCCTGGACGTCTCCGCCAACAGAATCACCCATGTGCCGCAATCGCTCTGCGCACTCTCGGCCCTCCGGCACCTGGCCCTGGACTGCAACCGCCTCCGCTCCCTTCCCGACGACCTTGGCCGCCTCGCCGCCCTGCAGATGCTGATGCTGTACGAGAACGAGCTCGAGACCCTGCCGGCCTCGATCGGCCGCCTCGGATCGCTCGAGTCGCTCCACATGGACCAGAACCGACTGACGCGACTGCCCGATACCCTGGCGGGGCTGGTTCGCTTGGAGGAGCTGGTCGTGCAGAACAACAAGCTCGAGCGCCTGCCAGAGTCGCTCACGAGACTGCCGCGGCTGAGGGAGCTGTATGTTGCCAACAACCAGCTGCGGCTCCTTCCCGAGAGCCTGGGCGGCCTCACCGCTCTCTGCCAGTTCGATGTCGGCGGCAACCTGCTGACGACCCTGCCGCCCTCGCTCGGCCGGCTGCCGAACCTGCACTCCCTCAACCTCGACCACAATCTGCTGTCGCACCTGCCCGCCGTTCTGGGCGACTGCTCGGCGCTGCGGGAGCTCAGCATCGTCGGCAATCCCCTTCGCACGCTCCCGGACTCTCTGGCAGCACTGCCCGAGCCGCTGCACCTCACTGCCGATGGACATGTCGTCGCCAATCTGCCCAAGGGAATCGTGCTGATGCCCAGGCCCGAGCAGTGGATAGCGGCGGATGCCTGAAGGCCTCGGCCTTCTCTTGCCCTTCTCCCGACAGACACCATACCCCCCTCCCCTCTCTCCGGCTCTCTCGAACAAAAAAATGCAATGTCCATGCTGTCGGGAAGGAGCAGAAATAGGAAGGAACAAAATAACGTAAGCGCTATCACGGCGACTCGGCACCGTCGTTGAGGAGTCGGCCATGCCTGCTCCCGCTCGAGGTTGCTCTCCGGAGGGACCTGGACTCTATGCTTTCGATGCCGAGTTACCTCCAATGCAAACACCATCTGAGGCGAGGCGCTGTCGATCCACTAACAAATAATCACACGCCGGCGTTGCAGATGTGGTCCAAATAAACGAACATGTCATGTCAAATGCCAATCTTTGTCGACCCCTGTGAGCGGCCGAGACCACCCAAGTCGAGACCACCCAAGTCGAGGCCATCCAAGCCTGAACCCGGCTCGCCGCAAATACCTCATATTCAGTCGGCAAACACCGGCATCCCTTTGCCGCAGCGGTCGTCCAGGTGCTGCAGATCCGCTGCGTGTCCCCCCTCGCCCTCACCCTCTTTCTCCTTCGAGCTGCGACGATGGGATGCCACATCGTTACTCTGTAGTCCCCGTCCTTCTCGCCCCTTCCCCGACCCTTGGCTCTCTCTCCATGCAAATATCTTTGCGACCTTGTTTGTTCGAGGCCCTTTTGTCCGATCCGCAATACCGTATGACCTCATTGCCTCAAATTCCGTTCAAAATGAAACGCAGTAACGCCCTCAGTCGGCCAAGGAATCTGTCCTTTTCCCCTCTCCTCCGCTCTCTTGCCTATACCTTTGCTTTCTGTCTTTGCTTTCCTTTTGAACGAGGACTCGTCCCCTCCCTCCCTCCTCCTCCTGTCTCCCCGATATCATCGCTTCCTTTCCAAGTGCTGTCCCTGCTTTTGAGTAAACTGCAGCCCTTCCTGGTCAACTTCTATGTTCTCTATCCTTTTCGACTCCCAGTGCCTGCAGGCGCTGCGGAGACAGATTGTACATCACAACAAATATATCTACTCTGTGAACGACACCGAAGCGAGCACAGGGAGGGCGGGGCGGAGGAGGAGGTGGTGGAAGAGGAGGAGGAGGTGGTGGAAGAGGAGGAGGAGGAGGAGGAGGAGGGACTGGATAGATACATAACAAAAGCAGTGCCATGCAGACAGGTTGACGGAGAGTTGGCGATCGGTCGAAGCAGAGGGTCCACAAAGCAACGACCGACGACTCTGCACCTTCAAAAACAAGTGCGTGTCTGCATCGGTATCATCATCGGGTTGAGGGAAGGGAATCTGGGAGAGATGTCCAGGAGCTCGACACCAGTACCACCGCGGGAAAGGGGCAGGAGAGAGAGAGAGGAGGGGCCTGGACACTCCAATCGCACCGGATTAGAGCTTGTCGTAGTTGCCGGCGACGTAGAACTTGATAAGGATGCCGATCAGGTGCTCCAAGGCAGACAGCCACTCGGACATCTGCTTCACCAGATCCTCGGGAGACTCTGATCCCGCCAGCTTGGCGTAAAAGTCCTTTCGCAGAGGGCACGCCTTCATTGCGAGCTGATCGGTTGGTTTGAGGCAGCAGCAGGCAGCAGCAGCGTCGCAGAAGAGGGTTGACAACTCGGGAGTTAGGAAACAAGCAGAGCATGACCATCTCCAGCATCCCACGACTATTGCATTCCCCGCTGCCGACGGTGGCTCGATGTCCAAGCATTGCTCTCGCCCGTCTCAGCCATGGGACATCTCGTTTGCATGCGATGCAATACAAGCATCGTCCTGGCCACTTGCCCCTGAATCAGGCCGTCCCTGCCCACCTCTGCCATTCACAATCACTTCTTCGATAAGGCCTCTCCCTTCCATCGCCCATCGCCCATCGCCCATCGCCCATCGCCCATCGCCCATCACCCAACACTTGCACACACGCATGCTCATCGAAGCCGCTCTCCATCCCTTCCCATTCCCATTCCCATTGCTCATGTTGACCAAGCTGCTTACCGCAAAGACAGGGCGGATCAAGAAGCTGTGGAACTGGGCCAGGGTCACCTCATATGCCTTGGAGAACGAGACGCTGAGCTCCTCGGTGGGCTGATCCAGGCTGCGTCGCAGGCCAGCCGATGTGAACTCGAGGGCACGTTTCAGCCAGAGCAGAGCCTCGGTCGCCGTCTTCTTCTTGTCGGACTTTTCAGCCAAGACGATGCTCTGGAGGGTGCTGAGGTTGATCGGATCGCTGAGGAACTTTGTTCTGATTTTCTATTTGGGTTTTTGGATTTTGAGGGGGGGGGGAGGTTTTGGATTGTTTTTTGGTTCAGTAATAGCTAGACCCTCAGGGGAAGCAGATACAAACCCGACCGGGGATCGGGCCGGCAAGATCCGGACCAGAACATGCAGAGTGTGTTGGCGACAGGGCAGCGGGCCTGGACTTGGACAGACAACTTACGGTGACGTTGCCCTGCATATCGGCCTTGACGCTGGCAAAGGCAGATCCCATCGAGTCTGCAAGCGATTCCCCGACAAAGTGAGCGAGCGAGCGATCGAGCGACGGTCAGCACCAGACAAGGGGAGGTGAAATGCAATGCGGGGCTCGGCAGACCATTGAAACACATTGCAGACCATTGCAGCACGCTTACCAAAGAGCTTGATCAGGCTCTCGGTGGCCTCGAGAAAGGCTCCCGTATCGATCCCCTCCTCGGGGGTGATGGGGACATCGATGTAGCTTCGATGGATCTGATGGAAAAACGACGGGGTAGCCATGGGAGTGCGGAGTGCAGAGAGACAAAAGGGACTTTGACGAGGCCGGCGATGCTGTGGTGTCGACTTGGACTGGCGAGGATGATGATGGCGATGGCGATGGAGACGACGACGACCAGGATGTGCTATATCCCAGCGGCTGGCTGCCCAAATCGGGCGCCGAAACATCCTGGGGAACTTCCAAAGACGGATGCGGCGCTGCGGCCGCTGATTGGCGCGATCTGCAGGGCGACCAGGGTGCTGTCCAATTGAGAGCCGGGGGGGGAGGGTGGAATGAAAGTGGTGCCGTGCACATAGAAGCTGTGCAGCCCTGGAATCATAGTGTTGCTCGGGGATGCTCGTTCTGCCCTGGAATGCAATCGGCAGTCGCAGAGCGAGTGGCTTTGTGATGCAGCCGCCGATGGCAAGTCCGGCATGGATTCGAATTGAGGCGACCACCGATCAGCGCTGTGTTGATCACTCTGGACAGCGACGATAGATGTGGAGCGTTCATTTGGGGTGTGGCCGTGGCTGCCTGGTATTTGATATGATCAACATGCGTGTCGCTATGGCCAGCCCGGGTGTCGATGCAAACGCATGATGCTTGGTATGCGAACGTGTCCTCGAAGCCCATTCCATCTGCGGCATTGAGCCACACTTGCAAATCGAACTCGCTGGCCTCTCCCACAGCGATAGATTACTTCGTGGCATTCTTCCTTCCAACGGAAACACTCGGCTCACACCACCGGCTCTGCTTTCATGGCTGTCCTGCTGGGCGGCTCGCCTTGAGGGGCGCCGCAGAGCATCCCATTTCATCTCACACAGCGGTCGTCCCATTTCATCTCACGCAGCGGTCGTCAATCAAATCGTTGTCACCAAGGCGGCCGCCTCAATCATTTCTGGACCACCGCCGTCGCCCCTTGTCAGAGGTCACTTGTGCTGTGATCGTCGAGGGGTATTTCTGCCAGCTCAGCGTCGCCTCCCCCCCCCTCTCTCTGCCCGCTTCGTCGCTCTCCCCTTCCCCTTGCAGTCTGCAGCGCTGCAGCGTCGCTCCGTTTGCGCCCTTGACTAGCACCTCCTCCCGCTCTCCCCCCGTCGCTCTTCTTTGTCTCGGGGGTTTCTTTCACGCGTTCTCACGGCTGGCTCGAGGCTCCATCGTCTGCTCTCTCTGCTTCTGCGGTTACCTCGATCGGTGTTTCAAGTGGCCTACCTGCCCCCACCCGCCTTGTCCATTTGTCTGCCGTCTGCCCCCGTTGTCGACCATCCGAAAGCCCTGTGAGACGCCTCAGCTCCGTGTCGACCCTTGCTGAGAACGCTCCCTCCCTCCCCTTCCCTCGCCCAGCACAACCATCGGGTGAACATCCTGTTGCTATTGCCGAGAGCCTGAAGCTGTCCTTGAGCCCCTCTCCGCTCCCTCTCTACTATCGCAGCCTTCTATTTGCCCAAAGCCCGTCCTTTGGCTCGTCGCGACAACACGCCTTGCTGCTGCCCCTCATTCACTCGCGCCTAAAACCCCGAGAGATTCCCACACCCCATCCTCCATTCAATCGGCAGCAGGGTGCAGCTCTGCGTCTTATCCCTTTTTGAGACTTTCATCAACCCCCTGGAAATATCCCCCGCCTTTGTTTTCGCTGCTTCCCCTCCTACCCCTCCACTCATCTGCATAAGACGCCAAAAAAAATGGGCTGCGGAGTATCCAAACACACGGTCGAGCCCACCATCCCGACGATCGAAGAGACCTCTGCCCCGGCCGGGCGAGTTCCGTCAGCACGCACCATCCAAGTTACACCCTTGCACGAGCACAACGCCAGCAACCCTGAGCCCCAGAAGCACGACGAGCCCGTGTCTGCTGAGGCGGCAAGCGAGCATGTCGCTGCCAATGTGTCGCGCGCGTCGTCGTCAAGTACGAGGCCTGCTGGTTCGCTGCCACAGCCGCTCAAGGAGACGGGCGCCATGACGGCTGCCCAGTCCGAGTCGACGACGTCGCTGGGTGCTTCTATTGAAGAGAAGGTGCCTCCGTGTGCCGAGAAGCCAGACGGCGACCGTGCCCTGTTTAGCGCCAAAGGTAGCACGCCGAAAGAGAGTTGGGCAACTCGTCGATTGCGATGCATACTGGGGCCATGTTTGGTCTGGGTTGCTCTGTACTTGTCGGCTCCATCGAGCAGCATGCGCGCTGGTTTCCGAGAGTAGTTTCTGCTGCCGTGGGCTGGCTTCGGTGTCATTCCATGCTCTCGCCAACATGTTTTACGTTCTCCATTAGGCCATCTGAACAAGCCGCTGATCCCATCTATTCCAAAGGACAGCACATGTAAGCACCCCTGTCTGTTCGACCAGCACACGACCAACAACTGCATGTTCATGTTGCTCCACTCACTCACTCGCCGTCGCTCTGCACGTCCGCAGCGCATTTGAAACCAATCTCGTTCGAGATCCCGCTGGATGGGCTTATCTCGCATGGAAACAAGCCCGAGCCAGTCGAGACCACCGCCGAGCCACCCGCAAAGGAAGAAGAAGTCAAGGTGGAAAAGACCCTTTCGGTCTCGACCAAGCTGGCCCTTCCAAAGCTCGGACTCACAGAGAAGGATCTGCAAGAAAAGTTGGCCAACACAGAAGCCCGCTGGAAGGTTGGTGTCGAGCTGGACCGACTACTGAACCCATCGGTGCGTGGGAGCGCGGAGCATATCGAGACTGCAGCATGAGACCGTGCATATCTGTGGTTGCGATGCTGTCCGTTTGCTGCGATTGCATTCATACACCATGTCTCGTCGCTTCTGCGAGTGCTTTCGTTGCGTCGGCGGCTACTATCGTCGCTTCCGCCGGTGTGTGGCACTAAGACCGCATCAGATCGTCGATCAGCCTCACTGACTGCTTATCGCCCCCCCCCAATTGGCTTGCCCCTGACCCTGCGCGCTGCAGGATCTGGAGAACGAACATGCCAAGAGAAAGTCTGCCAAGCATCGACCGGCAAAGCCCGCCAAGTGGACCAAGAAGGAAGAGGATCCGACTGCGCTGAAGCGTCGCCTCCTCAACAAGGAAGCCCAGGCTGCCCACAATCGACAGCGAGAGATCGAAAAGCTCCAGGCCAAACTCGCTCTGCAAGACCAGCACGCCCGCATGGTCCAAGAGCGCAAGCGCAAGATGGGCCGGGCCTCCAACGAGGATCTCAACCTGTCGTGGGGTGGCGAGAATGGACTGGCCGATGTGCTCACCACGCAGCAGTCGCTCGTCAAGGAGCTCCAAAGACTCGACGATGCCGACTCGGGCAAGGGCTCGTCTTCTGCCAGCCTGAGCTACGGACAAAGCCGCAGCGGCAGCGGACGAAGCACCAACACCAATGTCGAGATCACCGACACGGTCTCGCCCTTGACGACCCAGCTGCAGCCGACAGCCATCGCCCTATAACATGTATCATACACTCGCCTTCCCATCCCGTCCCATCCCGTCCCCTCCTCTTCTCCCCCACCTTCATTCCAACAAACTACCATCATCTTGCATTCCCCTCAATATCCAAGCGGCCGGATTGCCTTGGAGGAACCTGGAATTCCCTTCGACTACCATAACGTGATGACTTTTCTGTTTGCAAGCGCGATCGACAGGCACAAAAGCTTCATTTTCTGGCAGTAAGTGTCTTGGCGATGCAGCACATCCCGCTCCTCGATACGGTGGATTTGGTGGGCCTACTTTGCCGGCTTTTTTTGCTGACAGCGGCGCCCTTTCGCAGTGAAATCCTCTGTGGACGAAGGATACGTCAGAGCCGTCCATCGACACCATTGTCGTCTCGACCCTTGCTTCCTCTTTCCTCTGCCGCACCCATCACACTTGGATTTACTTGAACCGATCGTCTCTTGCCTTCCTTTGTCCCTGCACGTTGGTTTCTTTGCTTTTCGGCCGCTCTATCCTCTGCTGGTCCCTTCTCCATTCCTCTCGCCTTGATTCCTTGTCCTTGATTGATTTCTTTGACTTCACTTCCGCGACCCATGAACAATGAGCTGGCACTGGATCTTGAATCGCTCTCTGGTTTTCTCGTTCTTGACTCTTCTTCTCGCCAATAGCATATGCGTCCGAGAAGACTGCTCTTTCTCTTCCCGAATCTTGCTCCAACTCTTCCCCTCTCCTCGTGCGATAGACGCCTGTTTACTTCGACTCACACATCCGCCATCCATTTCTTCAGCACCTTCGCCACACCCCCATAATAGAGAAACGAGGAGAGGGGAACAGGAAAGGATCATCAAGTTTGGCTCCTTCATAATCTATAATCGGTACTTTTGGAGAGGAGGGGGGCTATATGGCCATCTGCTCGGTACATTTGGCAGGAAAGAAAGAATCCAGACTCCATGTCAGGAACGTTCGCTCTGTGAATGTGAAGGAGATAGACACCATACAGATGCTCTTTCTATCTTGAACCCTTCTTCCATGTCTCCGCACACCTACTTCTCGTTGCCACCTTCTGCCAGAAGAAGGCCGGACTCTCTCTTCCCACAATATACACAAAATGAAACAAGACGGCCAGTTCTCTCTGGATCTCGACCACACATGCACACCCGTCCCTCCCTCGTCACCAATCGAGCGCACGTCCCGATGAGCACATATGCAAATGGCCTTCTCTTGATGGATGGCCAGACGTTCAAGACTCAGAATTGACCGTCGATGCGCCCCCTCCCGGCACTGTCCCCGCTGCCGATTGTTTGATGTTGATCGATCTGGTTGAACGGCTTTGATCGGTACCCAAACCTGCGATATTGCACTTAGTCTTGCGTCTTTCTCCCTCATCCCCAGGTATGTCTTCTTGCTCTGACCTGCAGTGACTGCATCTGCAGCGGCTCGCTGGTCCCTGTCGTGCCCACTCACTCCATGCCCTGGCTTCCGTTCGACCCTGCAGCGAATGTCTAATCGCCTCCAATCATCCGCATATGTGGCCATGCCATATTGCACCGGCAGTCGACCACATATCTATGCGATAACAATGGCGCGGCGAGATATTGTTCCATGGCCCTGATTGTCGCCCCGCCAATCGCATCCTGAGCAACGTCATCTCGCATGCCAGTCCAAAGTGTCCGGGAGACATCAAGGCGCTGGGTTCTCGCTGTCGAGTCCGTATACCCGACATTTCAATTCTTTGGAGTCTTACCGCCATCGCCCAGACGCACCAAGGCACACTTGACTATCCACTTCAGCTCTCCCGCCATGGCCGAGACTCCCATGTCCACACTGCCCAACTTCGCCTTCCCAAACCCGATCATCCCGCCCAGGAACAGCCATCTTCCGCGCGGCTCGATTTGCAACACCAAGAACGACGGGAGCGCCATCAACGACGGACCCGACTATCTTCGATTGATTCTGAATGCGCGAGTGTACGATGTTGCTACCGAGACGCCGCTGACACTGGCCACCAAGCTGACCGCCAAGTTGCAGAACAAGATTCTGTTGAAGCGCGAGGACATGCAGGCCAACTTTTCGTTCAAGTGCCGCGGGGCATACAATCGCATGTACCAGCTGAACGCACAGGAGCGTGCGGCCGGAGTGATTTGCGTCAGTGCCGGTGAGTTGTCACATCCAACGCCGAGACACCGATAGACTCGATGTCGGACCAGCCAGACGAGACGCACGCAGTCGATATCTGCATATCTGTGCACTCCGTCTGACCTGTCTGCGCGCCATCACCAACCCGGTCTGATATAGGGAATCATGCTCAGGGTGTAGCGCTGGCAGCCAAGAAGCTTGGGATCAAAGCCACAATCGTCATGCCGGCGTTCGCGCCCGAGATCAAGGTCGAAAGCGTCAGGCGGCTTGGGGCCGAAATCGTGCTGACCGGGAACGACTTTGACGAAGCAAAGAAGGAGTGCGCCCGACTTGCCAAGGAGCGCGGCTCAACTTTCATCCCACCATTTGACGGTATGCTGTTTTTGACAGGATTGGTGCAGCGCACGCATACCGATACGAGTCTGGCGACTGCTGGTGCCTCTCGCCATGGCCACGCACATTCGGTTCCCACGGCATCGCTGAGTCTTGGCGGCCTCTAATCACTCAATCGCTGCAATTTTGTCGCAGACCCATATGTCATCGCTGGCCAGGGCACCGTTGGTGTCGAGATCCTGAGGCAGCTCAAGCAGGACAGACTCGACGCCATCTTTGTCTGTTGTGGCGGAGGAGGGTTGTTGGCGGGCATCGCAGTGTGAGTTCACGGCCATGCAATCGGGGCTGCACCGAGGATCGCTCCGAATGGCCAAACTGAACTCAGGCCCACCCATGTCACCACAGATACATCAAGAGGATTCGGCCAGAGGTCCGCGTCATTGGCGTCAACACCATCGACAGCGACTCGATGTATCAGTCACTGAACCGCAGCGAGCCCGTCGAGATCTCGTCAGCCGGCCTGTTTTCCGACGGCACCTCTGTGCGTCTCGTTGGAAACGAAACCTACCGCCTCTGCAAGATGTACGTCGACGACATGATCCTGGTCTCGACCGACGAGATCTGCGCAGCGATCAAAGACACGTTCGAGGACACCCGCTCGATTGTCGAGCCGGCCGGCGCCCTCGGAGTGGCCGGCGTCAAAAAGTACATCCAGTCAAACCCCCAGATCAAGGACGGCGTCTTTGTGGCTGTTCTTAGTGGCGCCAATATGAACTTTGATCGCCTGCGGTTTGTCGCCGAGCGAGCGCGGGTGGGAGAAGGTCGAGAGACCCTCTTGAGTGTGGTTCTTCCTGAGCGCCCGGGCAGGTATGTGCTGCAAGCTGCTTTGGAACTGCTGCTGTATGACGGGGCTCTTTCGACAACCATCATTGCATTGCGATGGCCAACGCCCTGATCTTCTCGCTGTCCGTGGTGATCAACGCCCTGATTTTCCCGCTGTTCATGATGATCGGCACCAGTTTCCTCGAGCTCTACTCGGCCATCCATCCCACGCCCGTTACCGAGTGCAGCTACCGCTACAACGATCCAAAAACAGCCCACTTCTATCTCGCACTCGACGTCAAGAGCCCCTCCGAAACCGAGGCGATCATCCACAATATCGCCAAGAAAGGCTTTGAGGTCATCGATATCACCGAGAACGAGCTTGCCAAGGCGCACGCCCGTTTCATGGTCGGCGGGCGCTCCTCGACGGTGATCGACGAGCGGCTGTATCGGTTCCGGTTCATTGAGCGGCACGGCGCCCTCAAGCGCTTCCTGGAGACCCTCGAGGGACGTTGGAACCTCAGTCTCTTCCACTGTAAGTTGGCCGATGCTCGGCTGTTGCGCAGAGTTGAGCATGCAGTGTCTCGACGGAGACGGAGCCGTGGCGACCTATCTGACGGAACAGGGTGCCGAACATATCGCCGATCCTTGCGCTATTGACCACTCGGTCTGCGGACAGATCGCAATCTGGGCGGCGACACCGCCAGGGTCCTCGTGGGCATGCAGGTCCCCAAGGCCGACATGAAGGAATTCAGCGAGTTCCTCACCAAGCTGGGATACGAGTCCATCGATGAAACCGACAATGCCGTCTACAAGCACTTCCTCATGTGAACCAGACGGTGCGCCATGATTCGAATGGGGGGAATCTAGAGCGGTCCTGAGCTGCCTCGACTCAATTTGATCAACCTTCGTGAGAAGCGGGAGCGGGAGCTGCGCGTTGTCTCTGTTGCTGCCAGATACATCCGAAATACATTCCAATTACATTCGAAATACATTCCAAATACATTCGAAATACATCCTAAACAATACCACTCTACAATTTCGAGATGCGACTGCAATCCATCCCATATTGCTTCCCATCAGCACAGCCCATGTGAGCAGTGCTTCAAGTAGGCCTTGAGATTGAGTGCAGTCGATGCTCCAATCACGCCCATTGTTGTTATCGGAGAGTATTGCCTGGCCTCTCTGGCTGCATCGTACCATCGCAGAGCACGAAGCATGCCGCGACTTGCTCTTGTCGGCCGGCTTGTGCACAAGAGCATTCAAACACTCGCAGACTCATGGCAGTCTCGTTCCAACGCATCGAGGCCCTCAGGGGCTTGGACATTGCCGACGAGTTCTTTGTGGCCGCCAGGTTGGTACTCGAGGCCATCCGACCGTTCACGCTGATATCCCAGCTCCACAAGGCCGCAATATCACTCCGGAGGCCATAGAAGAGCCAACTGTCGAAACAGAGTCTGAGCGTGGGGTTGCATTTATGGTCTGTCCGCAGAGATGCCGAGCTACACTATCACGAGGAATATGACGCCGCCGTTACCATCCAGAAGGCGTGGCGGGGATATGCAACGAGGCGCTGGAAATCGGAGCTCCGGTAAGAGTGTGCCTGCATCGACTTTCCCTTCTTATCGCAGCATCTATCGGCCATAGAGCCTGCTGATTTGACGCATACAGCCTCGAATATCGAATGCTTGGCCACGGCCGGTGTAGCGATGAGACTAACTTCAACGCGATGTACAATGCGCTATGCAGGGGCGTTGCTCTGCAGATCCAGAGAATCTACAGAGGATACATCGGAAGAAACTCGTTCGAGAAGAAGGCGCTGGAGAAGAACCATGCCAAGCGAATGAAGATGTACAACGCCATGGCGACCAACATCCAAAAAATGTGAGGCAGCGTGCTGCCGCTCGTGGATATGGCCGTGGCTCGAGCTCGGCCTGATCAGCACCATCTGACCCGATCTGATCCGATCTAATCCGACCCCGATGTGCGCTGTGCAGATGGCGAGGGTACTACTCGCGCAAGTTCAAGTTTGACTATTACAGACGCAAGGAATACATCAAGCACATCACCAAGAAGGTACGTCCGGAACAGGTCATTGCACTCCGATGAAGTAGTACGCACCGCCTATCGAAACTCATCATGACTGTCCCGCACAGATGGACAAAATACGGGAGCAGCTGAAGATTCACGAGAGCTTCCAGAAACAGCTCGTGGAAGAGCAGCGAGAAGATGAGGAGCTGGCTAGACTGGAAGCTCTGGCTGGGCGGAGCCACCACTTGCTCAGCACAAAGGCCATCCCTGGTGTCTGGTCAAGCGTGCCGGACTGGCGATGGAGCAGGGGCAACTCGAACGAGTTTGACTACTACACTGCGTTTGACGAAGCCTCGAGTGTGACCTTTGGCTCGGACCGCCCCAAAACCAACAGTGCAGGCACCACCAAAACCGACGGGACATCGCTGGCGCCTCTGCGGGTACCAGAAAGCAAGCTCCAGTACAACACATTCTTGAAAAAGTGGTATCGCGAGACAATCGGCCGGAATCACCGCGGCATCCAAGTCAAGCCACCATCGGGCTCCGAGGACCTGGACGAGTGCGAAGGGCAAAAGTGTGCCCAGGGCCCATTCTTGGTATGCCTGCGCTTTGTAGTGCCGAGAAGGAGTCGCAGATAGGAGTCGGCATGGAATATCAAGCAAAGCAGCAAGATCCCGGGTTCTCGGACCGGGTCATCGGGCCGGGTCATCGGGCCGGGTCATCGGGCCGGGTCATCGGGCCGGGTCATCGGGCACATGCATCTAACGGCTGTTCTGCTTGTGCCTACCACACAGCCACGGGGCCTGATGCAAAAGCGCCGTGACCGGGGATTCAAGCCGACACTGCGGGTCCAGACGGATTACTTTGACAACCGAAACTACCAGCTCGAAGAGAAGAGGGTGGAACTGACTCAGCGAGGCAAGTGGATGGGCTGTCGATGAGTGCGCGGCTGGACGCTGCCAGAATCGTGGCTGCGGTTGCTAGAACCTGATTGCATGCTGCCCCATACACCAATGCAGTGTCCGACGACATATTCAAGACCATCAAGCATCCACACCACAGCATCCCTGACTATTTCCAGGCCAAGGACCCATACAGCGTTCTACCATATGGCAACTGGTAAGCGACCGGGTGCATCGACGATGATGTCGATGTGGACGAGCTACTGATCACTGCGCGATACATATACCGGGGGCGTTGACCATATAATGTTTGCCGAACTGTTGCAGGGGTGGCTTCCGTGAGCTGAACGAGCCGTCCAAGTTTGTATCCAAGAAGGTGGGTGACGGATGCTTCAAAGTGTAGTCGCCGAAACTGATCGACGGAGCAGTAGATACGGTGCGTGCGAGCGAACGCCAAAGACTGACGACCTGTCTGCTAGTGCCAAGGACTTTCGAACTGTGCTGAAGCCGCTCCCTGTTTTCTCAGAGAGCTACGACGAACTCTCATGAGCGACCACGAGGGAACGGGTGCCGATGTGACCCTGAGAATACACCCACCAGTCTCTTGCCGAACCAGACCCGCGTGCTGCAGATGCACTCTCGCTTGATGCAGTGTGGCTTGATGAAGTGTGGCTTGATACAGTGTGACTTGACGTCTTGGTTGATGTCTTGGTTGATGTCCCTGGTTGATGTCCCTGGTTGATGTTCGTGGTTGATGCACCTCCGGTTTGTGCCGGGCCCACCCTGGCACAGCGGGTTGGCGCAGCCGTTGCACAACACATCATGCGCAGCATTCACAAGATATGGGTGCGCAGCCATGACCCGATAAGGGCGGCGGTCTGGCATTGTCTGCAGCCAAAACCACCTGAAGCCCCCAGCACAAACCGCCATCGCTGTCCATCATCAGGATTCCATCGTCATGCCCGAGCATCCACCGCACGCCGAAGAGGTTGCCAAGAGCGCCCGTCTTGCCTCGCACCTGCTGCAGACCGCCACGCCCGAGCAAATCTCACAGGCCCTGACGGCAATCAAGTCGCTGCTGGCCGAGCGCAAGGACGAGATTCTTGCCGAGAACAAGAAGGATCTGGAAAAGGCCAAGCTGGATGTGCAGAACGGCAAGCTGTCGCAGTCCTTGTACAAGCGCCTGGACCTGGCTGGTGAAAAGTTCAACTCGCTGCTCGAGGGCGTCTCGGACGTCGACAAGCTCCCGTCCCCCGTTGGTATGCCGCAGATTCGTTTGCAGGACCGAGCCGCGAGAGAGCTGTATGTGCAGCGGATGGGCGATGCATCGTGAAGCATGAGTCGCAACAAACGACCACAGGTCTCACCAATCTCGCATCCGCTGTCGATCGCTTCCCACCGACGGACCCAGGCCAAGTCACGCTCGCCACCAAGCTCGACGATGGCCTGGATCTGTACCGGGTGACATGCCCTGTCGGCGTGCTGCTCATCATTTTCGAGGCCCGCCCCGAAGTCGTCGTCCAGATTTCATGTCTTGCCCTCAAGTCTGGAAACGCCGTCATCCTCAAGGGAGGAAAGGAAGCGTCGCACTCCAACAGCATTCTGATGCGCACTCTGCAGGATGCCCTGGACTCGGTCCAAGGAATTCCCAAGACGGCTGTCCAGCTTGTCGAGACTCGCGATGACATCAGTGCTCTGCTCAAGCTCGACCCCTGGATCGACCTGGTCATTCCTCGCGGCAGCAAGCAGCTGGTGACTCACGTTCAGGAGAACACGAGGTAATATCCGCCGTCGCTGTTTCTGTCATCGAGTCGAGTCAAGCAACGCAAACAAGCCCAGCGTTTCCTTCTTGACATTGAGGTGTCAGTTCGATATGCTCCTCGCCAAGCTGCTGCTGTGCCGGCCGCCAGAACAAGGCCATAACACCCCATCTCGGCTGCCAGTACAACGCCATAACACCCCCATCGTTCCTGCGATCCCTCTGTTTGCTTCAGGATCCCTGTCCTTGGACATGCCGACGGCTTGTGCGCCACATTCATCGATGAGAGCGCAGACCTCAGCAAGGCAATCTCAGTCGTCGTCGACGCCAAGGTATCATTTGCACCACAGCCCGCACCTGTCTGTCGTTTGGCGGGACTGCATTTGCGCGGGGACTGATCCAAGATACACTTCTAAACCAGACGAGCTACCCGGCCGCCTGCAACACCACCGAGACCCTGCTGGTTCACCGATCGGCTGCCTCACGCATCTTGCCCGGGCTGTCGCAGGCCCTGATTCAGAAAGGCGTGGAGCTGCGAGCCGACGAAGAGTCTCGGCAGTATCTGCCTGCCGCGAGCGACAAGATCAAACCCAGCGTCCAAGAAGACTACGACACCGAGTTCCTGGATCTTATCCTGGCGGTCAAGACGGTCAGCGATCTCGAGGAGGCCATCAGCCACATCAACCAGCACGGAAGCCACCATACCGACGCCATCGTGACCGAGTCGGAGGAGAATGCCCGGGCGTTCATGCAGAAGGTGGACGCCGCCGGTGTCTTCTGGAACGCCAGCACACGCTTTGCCGACGGCTTCCGATTCGGCTTTGGTGCCGAGATTGGAGTAAGTGGCGCATCTTCCACCGAGCCGATGGGTATACCACGCCGAGCCGATGGGGGTATTCCACGCCGAGCCGATGGGGGTATTCCACGCCGAATGCGATTTGCCAGAACGAGAGTTATGAGGGACTCCTCTGGCGGCATGGATCCAGGTGTCCTTACTTTGCTGTTCACTGACATTGCTTGGCATCTCGCACAGGTGAGCACGAACAAGACCCATGCCCGAGGCCCTGTTGGTCTTGAGGGCCTTGTGATCTACAAGTACAAGCTGTTTGGCAGCGGACATGCCACAGCCGACTACGGAAGCGGCAAGCGAAGATATATCCATGAGCCCATCGATAAGGACACCGTCGCAGCCAAGCGAGCCAAGCACAGCAGCGCCTAATATACGCAGCCACGACGGCCCTGCTTGGTTATAGAGCGAGAGAGGGCACGATGAGCGGCCACTATCAGCAGTTGTCGCAGCTGTCTTGGGATCTTGGTTGTGTGGTGTTCGAACGGCACGGCGGTATTTTGGCAGTTCCCATATACAGGCGCACTGCTGCCCCTTTCGTCTTTCGTTGGGCGGCTGCTGGAGAGTGCCGATGAGAACGCAGTCGATCCTGGGCAGACGCGGGACGATGGTGTCGCTGTGCTTTAGAGAGTTCCTCTGATCGATGCCGTCCAAGGCAATCCAAATCAGCGATAGTCCACAGATATTGCCCGCATTGGGATGTGAAGTGTCAATCACGCCAGCGCCAGAGGATAAAGCGACTGTCATTTCTCTCGGACAAAATACTCTGTAGTTGGATTATACCATGCACTCGACCAAGAGCGATAAAATGGGGCAAGCCATGTCTCTGAATGTCCGTCCCATCGGGCAAGTCCATCCCCTTGGTCAGTCCGAGACTCCAATGCCTCTGCGGTCGACAGTTCATTGGCCAAGTCCATCGCAGCAGCGTGAGAGCCGGTCGACGTCATTCAGCCAAGCAGCCGATCAACGCCATTCAATCCACACGCCACAAGACATCCACATGTCCAAGTGGCCCGTTCCAATACTCTGCTGAAATTCTCCTTGTGGATCCATTTGGACTCGCAGCCTTCTCGCAGACCCAAGTGGCAGGACCACGACAGAGTAGCAGTCCCGCCGACCATAAATCTCGACGCAACGCGCAATCCCATCCTCGGCGATTCATTCGCTGCCCGATCCTGCGAATATCGAGGAACGGCTACATCCAGCGAGCTCCCACGCCTGACCAACACCCACCACGATGATCCAAGGAGGCTCGATCGCACCCTCGGCGCTCTCGGCCTCGCGGCCGTCAACATCGTCGATGAATCTGCATGAGACCGACGAAGTGCTCCAGGAGCACTATCTCCGAGTCCAGCAGACTCTGCTCGGCGCCGTTGACCGGCAAGTGCGCGAAATCGAAACCAAGATGGTCGAGAAGGAAAATATCCTCAAGAAGGTCGAGGACGAGAAGAAGGATCTGGGTGTCGAGCTGTACCGGGCCAATGGCGAGATTGGACGGCTCAACAGCACCGTTGCAGTCGTGTAAGTGCCGCCCGTCTCGGCTGAGCGGCACGAGTTTGTGATATATGACGAGGAACGACCGTCTCGGAATCAATGGGCTACTTGGGCTGAGGTGCGAATGTAGCAGTGGGCTCGGCGGAGCAACGGACATTGCCCAGAAGGATCGAGTGTCAGCCATGGAAAATTCGACTGAACCTCGTTCCTGCTCACAGGAAGTCGAGTATGATGCAGCTCCAGGACGAGAAGCAGACAATCGCACTCGACTGTGAAGCAACAGAGAAGCATCTGAAAGCCGAGCGAGAGAACAAGCAGGTGCTTGCGAGGCGACAAAGCGGACGAGCTGAGATGCAGTGCGCCTTCCCAATGAGAAAGCTGCGCGACAGATAGATGGCTGTGGGGATGAAGGGTCGGCCGTTTCTCTTCAGCAATCGCTGACTCGAGTACTTTGCGCATCGACTCGCCAGCTGATCGAACATGAGCTCGACAGGATGCGCAAGGAGCTCGAGAGCTCGACGCTCAAAATCAACCAGCTCAAAGAAATCAATGCGGCCTACCACTCGGACATCAAGATTCAGAAGCGCATCATGTCCAAGATGAAGGGCGAGTCCGAGGAGATCTTCAACCGCCACAAAAGTCTGGAGGAAAAGTATATGGAGCTGAAGAAGCTCCAGGACGAGGTGGGTGTTTCCCGCACGGCCTGGATGCATTCGTCCAAGAGTATTGAATGACTTTGAATGACCCAACGACAGATGCTCCAAGAAAAGGCCACCTTTGAGGCGACACTCGGTGCGCAGAAACAGGAAACCAAAATCGCCCAGAACAGCATCGACAAGATGAACCAAGGTGAAGAAATCACATGTACTTCCCGTCCACCGCGACATGGATGCGACCAGTCGTCTGTCTGGGATTATGGAGCTTCTTGGCCATCCGAGATGAGAGCAGTGTCGCCTGTTCTGTATCCTTGCACGCTTGAGGTGCCGCTGCGTCAAGTCAGACCGGCTGCCCGTCACTCCGAATCGCTTTCGCGAACACCCACCTGATGGCTTTGTGCTCTCTTGCTGCCCAGAAATCAACCAACTCACCCGGTCCAAGAAGCAAATCGAGAAAAAGTGGGAAGAAGCCTTGTCTGCCATGGCGAAGCGCGACCAATCCTTCCAGACGGTCGAGGCCACAAAACAAATGATCGGCGAGAAGCTCCTTGACAAGGAGAACGAGAATCGGGTCAAGTCGATCGAGAAGGACGAGGCTGAGAAGCGACTGCGCGAGAAGGAGCTGGGTGGGTGCTCTGCTTGCAACATAATGCCGCTCCAGCCGCACATCCAGTGTCGTTCGTATTGGGGATGGACATGTTGAGTGCAACTGCCAGGCCTGCTGACAACAATCGCCGCATCCACTCCTGTCCACCCGACCAACTCCCAGCATTGGTGGCGATGGAGTCCCAGAACGAGAGCCTGCGCCAGCAGATCCTGACGCTCGAGACCAAGCTGCGCGAAGCCAAGCATTCCCTGAACGAGTCTCAGATTGCAGAGTCGCTGTATCGGCAGGAACTGGACCAGGCAAACCTGCATCACGGAGTATGTATCTCGAGTCACATCCAGCAGCTGTGCATTGACTCTCTTGTCGATGCTTACCGTAATCACTGTACCCACTCCAGCTTGCCGTGGACGAGCTTGAGAGAAAGATATCGAGCGTTTCGGAGCTGAAGGCCAAGATCGAGGACATGAAAACTGACTTTGAGACTCGATTCCGAGATAGCCTGCAAATGGTACAGACCACGGCCAGGTTGCGGGTTGATCGGACGGAGTGCGATGGCGAACTTCCCCTCATTTGAACAGTGTCACTAACTCGTCCTCTTCGGCACCGATGGTTGCTTGGGGTGTCCAGAACCTGGCCAGAAAGGAGGAACAGATGGAATCCAAGGCTGAAGTCAAGATCAAGCAGATCACAAGTGAGGAGGAGAGCAAGAATCTGACCTTCCGCCGGCAGAACGCCGAGCTCAATCTCCTTCTCAAGAAGAAAGATGAGGACTTGGTACGCCAGACATCGGACACCCTGCTCAGAGTTGACTGCGCGATCGAGCACACTACCCCATATGCACACCAGTTTGGGATCAGCGTCGGCGGTGGGATGAAGCAAAACGAGAGGCACCTGCATTCGAATATATGTGCCCTCGATGCATATTGCTCATGAACATCACTGCGCTTGCCATGTTACAATCAAGACCGAGTCAGAGACTCAGGCAAGAATGTGGTCCGAAAAGTTCAAGCTCATCAATTCGTCGTATATCAAGCTCTACGAAGAGGCCAAGCACTTGGTCTACGAGCTGGAGCGGAAGGAGCACGACGTCAACTTTCTAAAGTCCAAGCTCCAGGAATCGTGCGATGGTGAGTGCCCTGTGAGAGCAGCGAGGACGGGCGAGGACGGGCGAGCGACTTGCACACGAGCACAATGTATGGAAAGCGATATGGGTCCTTTGCTGACTGCATGTGCTGGAAAGTCGATGCGACCCAGCCCTTCCGAGTGGCCCTTCAGCAGGTCCAGAAAGAACTGACGAACGCCAAGGCGGAGAATGACCGAATACAAAAGATGTGGCTGGACTCCCAAAAGGACAATTTGAAGCACAAAGAAAAGTACGCCACACTGGAGAACGAGACCGTATACCTTGCAGTAAGCTCTGCCTCGCACTTTGAAAGCACGCCAACACCGACTTGTTGAGTCTCTGCTCTGCTGCGTCGGCGGGAACAATGAAAGGAGCAAGTAAGCCAGGTCGGTCTTGGACTGATCGGTGCCCCTCTCCAACAGACCCAGCTCGGCGTGACCGACACCATCAAGCTCAAGGGCTTCCAAGAGCTAGAGGAGGCCAAACGAGAGGCCATGGAGCAGAAGCTAGAGGCCGCCAAACTCTACAACGAGCTCAAGCGCACACAGCCCCTGATCGATGGCCTCAAGAAGAAGAACGTAAGGCGGTCCCTGTCGTGAATAGGCGTGCGATGGCATCGAAGTGATGCAGTGGCATCAGGGATTACAGTCGCAGTGTCACAATACCCAGCGGCCATCGTGGCAATGCGAGGCTCAAGACAGCACCATTGCTGTCTGGCCGCCGGTGGTCATGTTGCAGCAACGCTGTGTGTCGATCACAATCATGTAGAGTAGCCGAAATACCCTGAATAGGATGTGACTGATTCCGGTGCCAAATTAACACGGATAACGCTACCATGGTGCTGCTGAATGCAGATGGAAATGGAGAAACAGATAGAGGAGCTCCGGCTTGACAAACAGGAAGACCGAATCAAGCAATCGGTAAGTGCCACTGTGAGACTGTTGTGGTGGTGTGATGTCTTGCGTGAGCCCAACGGTGGTGTCTTGCGACCAGGCTTTGCATCAAATGCTCATTGACTCGAGAGCAGCGGCGAGCTCAGCCACGGAGATCGGGTACTGACAACGTCAACGGATGTGTAGACAGCAACAATGATGCTCAAGACCGAGATTCGCAGGCTCTATGCCGACAGACGCCTGGTCGACCAAGGCCGCATCCAAGACGAACGGGCACTGAACGTTGTCGAGCGCAAGCAGGCCCTGACCAAAGACATGGTGACGCAGCTGAAGGAGGAGCTGCTGGCGATGAAGAAGGAGAACTTTGAGCTCAAAGTCCTTGCCGAGAAGATGAAAAAACGATACCATGAGGCACAGGCGCAGGCACGCAAGCTGGCCGAGGTGGCCGGACGCAACGTGGGCGATCTGGCGACGAAGTGAGTCGGGCTGATATGCTGGTGATGCGGAGTGGTGGTGTGGTGGTGGTGTGGTGTGGTGGCCGAACAGCGAGTGGTCGTGGCAGGCCCAGACATGTTCTCACACCCACTGTGCAGGATCGGAAACACCATTCCACCCAAGGTCGGCACGCTGGGCAACAAACCTCCCGCCTGGGCCAGTCTGGCATCGACTCCAGGCGGTCCATCGCAACATGCCCGTATTCCGCCCCCGAGCCTACGTGCCAGTTAGTATCTTGATGTGCACCAGGGCCGAGTGCAACCACTGTTGACAGAGCCGGGTGCTGGCGTGAGATCCGCCATCGAATCCAGTGTGCAAACAGGAGTAACTCAGCCATCACTGCATTCTATCGGACACAGCCAAGTCTACTCTCATTGAGCCCGAGCTCCCGAAACCCGAGCTCGACGATGTGCCAGGTGAGGACACACAAGACTACCCGGACGACAACAGCCACACCGACAGAGCGATGCTCGATACAGATGCGATGGCTGGCTGATGGCTGGGTGACGCATAGCAAAGTAACGACTGTGCTATGATGGTAACTCCGATAGACTTTGAAGCCTGGCGGCTCAAGATCGACACCCTGACGACGGAGCGAGATTTCCTTTCCAACGAGTGCTGCATGCTCAAGACCCGGGGGAACGAGGCAAGTTGCAAGCCGGGCCCAGACAGCATTCCGCCTGCATTGAACGAGACCGATGCACTCGACATGGCCTTGGCCGGAGGCTGATGCATAAGTACATGTTGCGGTGTCATCTGTGCAGCTCTCAACCAAGATTGCCATCCTGGAGCGAGCCTCGAACGAAGCACAGGCCCGCATCAAAGCGCTCGAGCTCGATCAGAAGACGCAGACGTCAAGCTACAAGACAATGCAGCTCAAGTGCAACAAGGCTTCCAAGATTGCTGCGAGCATCGAGAAGCAATTCAAGGTGAGCCGAGACGAGCCGAGACAGCCGTCTGGCGAATGGAGGAGTTGGATTGGCGGACGACAAGCAGGCGGCCCTCGCAAGCATACTGACTCTTCGCTGGCCGGGACAGGACGCCAAACCGAATGCAAAGATTGACTATAGTCTGCTGGTGGAATCCGAGCCCTCGACACAACTGCTGGCGGCGCTTCTCTCTGCCCCGACGGTATGGTCTACCGACGTAATCGCTGACGATGTTGATGGTATTGATGGTCCTGATGGTGCTGATGGTGCTGATGGTGCTGATGGTGCTGATGGTGCTGATGGTGCTGATGGTGCTGATGGTGCTGAAGCATATCTGCCATCCGCTGACCTCAGGAACAAATGCGAGCAAGCAGTACAAACCCAGACAATGCCTTTCGGCGGTAGAGTGTGCGGGGAGACATGATGGAGGAGTCGATACCCAGATGTGCACATCGATACCCAGCTGTGCACATCGATACCCAGCTGTGCATGTCGACATCGGCACATTGTCTGAATACCATTCACCCGCTCGCCGCTCTGCCCGAGAGGTTGTTCCGATGGGCGAGGCAGTGCTTCGGACCCGCTTTGCCGTCCTTCGCCCCCGAAACCCTGGCAACAAAACCAGCCAGCCCCGCTCTCGCTTCGTCCCCATCTCCGTCTCGATCTCGACATCGCATCCCGCCGCCCTCCCCTGGAAACACCCATCCGTCGCCGCATCCATGTCCCGCCTCGGAACACCCGAGGAGCGGGTCGCCTGTCCGTTCCAGTTCGAGCTCGAGATTGCCGCTTTCCAGCCCAGTCCCGGCGCTGTCGCCAGCCGGATCGCCATCTTCGATTTTGATTCGACGCTCTTCCGCTCGCCCAATCCAAACCCAGACCTCTGGACGCCCACCTTTCAGGGCGCCATCAAGGGCGACTGCAGCTGGTTCGCCGAGACCCGCACTCTCGACCCACCGTATGTCCCCGACCAGCCCGACAGCTCGTGGTGGGATGCCGAGACCGTCAAGGAGGCCCGCCGATCGATCGCCGACCCGTCCTCCGCCACTGTGCTGATGACCGGCCGGCGGCGAGACGTCTACTACGACCGCATCAAGAGCCTTTGCAGCTTCCTCAACCCGTCTCTCGACTTTGACTTGTAAGTGACCGGAGCGCAACCTCGTCGTGCTGCCGCTCATTCGGCCGGCTGGATCGTAGTTGCGATTCGGCGGCGTCATCTTCCCCCAATCGACTGATCTGCTGTCTCTGTCTCTTCGTGGCGGGCTCTGGTGTAGCTACTTTATGAGAGAAGGCGATGACACTACCCAGCCCAGATACTTTGTCGCCACCTTGGACTACAAGCTCTGCGTCATCGAGACCCTGCTCGGTTCGCCGCAGTTTGCCCACGTTCGGCACATTGACATTTACGATGATCGAAAGAACCACATTCGGACCTTTGCCCGGGAGATGGAGGTGTACAAGAAGCTGGGCCGCATCGACTCGTTCGAGGTCGTCCGTGTGCTGCACGATGCCGACCTAAATGTCTGCATGCCAGTGGAGCTCGAGCGCACTCTGGTTCTGGACCTGGTCCGCATCTGCAACGAAAAGACGCAGCGAGCAAAGCAGCAGCTGCAAGAGCAGTCGCAAGCACAGTCTGTGCCGACCCTGGATGGCAGATTGGCCCGCTCCAACAAGAAGATCATCAGTGCCGCAGCCTTCCGCGAGCAGATCGAACTTGTCGATGAGGTCTACTACACAGCCGTCTTCCTGACCGATGAGTCCCAGGAGCTGCTCAAGGCCCGATTCCCTCGCCCACCGCTCTGGACAACGTACTGCCACCACATGACAATCTGCCTGGGGCAGTGCCAGGACGACGCCGTCGAGAAGCTGGGCGGCCTCGGTGCGCTAGTGCGGATGCAGGCCGTCGCAGTCGGGTCCATCGAGGACAAGGTCATGGCCGTCCGGGTCGAGAGCGTACCGGGCGAGCGGCCGATCCAGTCCAAGAACGAGGTCCCGCACATTACTCTCTATGTCCATCCAGACACGCGAGCCAAGACATCGAACGATATCACCGAGTGGCAGCTGCTCGAGACGCCGCTGCGGCTTGAGGGCCGGGTTGGCGAGAAGGTCCTGACCGGGATGGCCAACAAGGCCAAGAGCCAGACTGCCAAGGCCGTCAGCATCGGCGACCTGATCCTCAAGCACCACCCGACGGCCAAGGGACCGGCCATTGGCAAGCTCGTTGCCGAGGTCGAGCGGTGGATGAGCAAAGGGTTTGTGGAGAATTCGGAGGGCAACCGCGCCGAGATCGAGCTCTTTATCGTGCAGCATCTGGATGCCCGGGATATAACGGGAGCAAATGGAACGCCGTCGGCGGCAAGCTGAGCGGATGCGTCCGCTGTTGCGCCGGCCACGCTATTCCTGCAGCCGGCATCTGGATTCTGATGGCTGCGGGTGTCTCGCTCTGTTGCAGCGAATACATGCTGCTGCTGAACTGAATTGCCTGAACATGGGACGCCCTTGGCCTCCGCGCCACAGGCGAGTGTGTGGCGGTGCAGCGGCTGTGTATGGATCGGAGGCGGTGCTGCGCCGGTCCTGGTCCTGAATCAACCCTCTGCCCTCATCACGACCCATCTTGCTCCTCCATCTCGATCGTTACTCGCGGATAGCCATCCCCAGCATCAGCATCATTACCGATACCATCGCCATGTCGCCGGCCCATCTGCTTTTCGGTGAGCTGGGCGGCAGTCCCCGTGCACTCTGGCCTGCATCAACGACCCACCGCAGTCCAACCTCGCTCTGATCTTCGATCCCGATCCCGATGCTGATGCTGTCTCCCTGATCCTGTCTCCCCGGATGGCCAGTTCTCCCGCTGCTGTCGATGCTGATCGCACAGGTTGCAGCCATGCCGTTGAAGCTTGATTTTGGACCGCCATGTGAGTCTGCAGACGCCCAAGCCAGCCTGAACACCTCGATCTCGCCGGGCTACATCTAACGCCATACCCAATATATCTCAGCAACCGACATTGCCGACACCGACACGACATACCCCGTCGATCCGCTCTCGCCCGAGACCGCCCACCGGATGATCGAGGACGACCGCCAGGCCCACGAGACATACTCGGCCCTCCTGAACGACTCACACTATCCGTCCTACGTCGCCAAATCCGAGGCATACTTCAACAAGGTCTCGGGCTTTGGAGTCAGCCCCCTGTCCCTCTTCCAGGACGTCAGCATTCCGAATGACCAAATCATTCGGGTCGTCTTTGTAAGGCCTTCTTCGCAATGCTTGAGCTGCTTGAGCTGCTTGGTCTGCACTGCGCGGATGGTGGATCGACCTCGGGGCTGACATTGGGCATCGTTGCAACAGGGCGAAAACGAAACGATCACGCCAACCCATCGGGCAGCTTTCGTCCACGCAGCCCTGGCGAGCTCCCAAGGCTCCCGAGCGTCTGCCCAGCCCCAGAAGTTCGACGCCCGGTCTTTCAACTGGGTAACAAGTGTCAAGAACCAGGGCGGCTGTGGCAGCTGCGTTGCCTTCTCGGCAGCAGCCGCTGTCGAAAGCACCTATTTGTCGCAGAAGCAGGTGGGCCATCCTCTCGATTCGACTCTCCCCAGCGCCATCGAACACAGCATGTCAAGGTGGGCTGGGTCCCGCGTCTGTCCGAGACTTGGTCTGACGACCGTCCATAATGCTGCTTCTCGCCAGTCCGCAGATGTCTCCGAGGCCGACCTCTTCTTTTGCCTCGGCAAAACCTCCAATGCCACATGCTCCAGCGGCTGGAACGTGGACCAGGCTGCCTCTCAGCTCAAGAACCAGGGCTTTGCTCCCCGGTCGGTCTTTCCGTATCCCTCAGGCCTGACCAAGGACTCGGTCGAAGGCTGCAACGAATCCAAAGCTCTCACCCGCACCAAGGTCGGTTCCAAGGTCCTCACATCCATTCCGGACGTCAAGGAACACATCATGACCTTTGGAGCCGTCGCGACTGGGTTTGTGGTCTACTCGGACTTTTTGAAACCCAGCAAGCTTGCCAACAACGCCGTCTACAATCCAGCCAACGACAAGAACCAGACGCTAGTCGGTGGTCATGCAATCTCGGTGATTGGCTGGGATGATCAAAAGGCGGCGTGGCTGTGCAAAAACTCGTGGGGCACCGACTGGGGTAGGCATCGATCCTGGCATGCGCAATCTGCGATTCCTTCAGATGTCACTGTGTTGTTGGAAGAGTGAAGGCCAGATGGGATTAAAGGAGGCACAGCGTCAAAAATCCGCATCGGCCAGAGTTGATGTTAAAGTGACTTCCATATCGCTCGACCACAGGAACGAAGGGGTACTTTTACGTTGCATACGGCACAGCCGGATTGATGAGCTTCAACACACAGGACTTTTCTGTGATCGGATACTATCTGCAGTGAACCGCTCCTCTATAAAGTTGCGATAGTCGTTGTTTCCAGGATGCGAGCGTCCAATGGGGCTGGTGAGGGATTCAACTCCACTCAGAAACATACCGATGAAGGAGTCTAAGCAAGGCGACTTGCTATCACCCTTGCCACTGGAATATAACTGATGGACGGAGGTGATATATAGGATCGGATCTATTGATTGTGCTGGGAATTGGATTGTGACACTGGCCATACATTGAAGCCAATACACAAGGATTGACCAAAGTGGAAAAGTCCAGGGCGACCAGATATGCAACTATCATTATTGGTTGCTGAATCACCCGATATGGAGCGGTGAATAAGTGAGTTGACGGTATGGGGTGTGTATATTGACACTTGGCACAGACCAGTTTGAGAGCAACATGGTTCAAGGAGGAGCGGGGCAAAGGGCTGGAGATGGAGTGATTCTATCTGAGGAGCACTTTCAGGCGATCTTGGGCGAAGGACTCTCCCTGCTCAGCAGCTTTGCGGTACCATTCAATGGCTTTGTCAATATCTTTGGTGATTCCTAAAGAGGTCTCAAAGCAGTAGCCAAGCCACCCCTGTCCGTATCTATTGCCTTGATCGGCCGATATCTGGAACCATGATATGGCTGCAGCGGGGTCACGTCGGACTCCATTTCCCCATAAAGAGCATCGACCCATCATCCACTGTCCATATGAGTTGTTTTGATCGGCTGACTTCGAGAACCAATTGAAAGCTTTTGGTTCGCTTCTGGCCAATCCAGCGCCAAAATAACAACACGCTCCAATCCAAACCTGGCTGTCACTGTGACCATCATTGGCGAGTTGCTCGAAGATACTTGCTGCCATTGATACATCCTTGGCGATTCCGAAGCCTTGGACAAGACAGATGGCAAACAGATTATTGCAGAGCCAATCGTATGTGGATCCAAGTTGGCATAACTCGGCAAACTTTCGCGCAGCTGGAGTGCTGGATGATTTGAGCATCAAGTGCTGTGCCGCGAGACCATTGTTCTCTCCAAGTGGGAAGATATTCGACTGATTGTCGCGAATGAGTTGGATTCCCTTCCGCTGATCTCGTTCGGTACCTCGGCCAAGATAGAACATCCAGCCAAGCATGTGAGTGGCGATGGGTTTGTGGATTGGATCATTGGAGTGGTCGTGGATATCTTGCCAGGAGTTGAAAGCATCGGAGTCACTCTGTGGTAAACCAAGACCAAGGAAGCAAGCCCAGGCGTGGAGGAATGTTTGGCTGAGGCTGGATTCATCGTGTCCCTGGTCAGCAGCCCACTTGTAGTAAGTCATGGCTCGAGCAGTATCAATCGATGTTCCGATACCATATTCATGACATCGACCGAGGTGGAACTGGGCTTCACGATCCCCTTTGTTGCATTGGAGTTGTAACAACCCGAAGTACCTCTTTGAGGCGCTTCCATGGCCTTGATCAGCAGACTTCTGATACCAGCTCAGTGCTTGAGTAGTATCAACCGATGTTCCGATTCCATGTTCATGACATCGACCAAGATGGAATTGAGCACCAGGATGGCCATGATCAGCAGACTTCTGGTACCAACCCAGTGCTCGAGTAGTATCAACCGATGTTCCGATTCCATGTTCATGACATCGACCAAGATGGAATTGAGCACCAGGATGACCTTGATCAGCGGCCTTCTGATACCAACTCAATACTTGAGAAGTATCAACTGATGTTCCGATTGCATGTTCAAAACATCGACCAAGGTGATACTGAGCATCGACATTTCCAGCATTAGATTGTCGCTGTGATAATTCGAAATAGCTCGTTGCAGCGATTGCATGACCTTGATCGGCAGCCTTCTGATACCAAGTGACGGCTCCACTGAGATCAATCGATCCACCGATCCCATTCTCCAAGCAGCGTCCGAGATGGAATTGTCCGTCGGGATGCCCCTTCTGTGCTGCTCGATTGAACCAATGTCTTGCTGCAACTTGATCGCTGTCGGCCCCACGACCTTGTTCAAACCACAATCCAACCCGCATCTGTGCCTCCGATTCACCCCAATCTGCAGAGATCCTGAAACACTCAAGCGCCTTGCTCAGGTCTCCGTCGTTTCCCCGAGCCTCAAGGAAGCAGCCATGACTGAAGTGTGTCTGTGTGCAGAGTCGACCCGATCAGTTTGCCATCAAGGTGATCAATCGAGGGCGATCCAAAGCCATGACTCACCCGAATCACCAGTGGTCGTCGATTCATCATGATCAGTGTCCCGTGAGTGCTGGTTTGGCGACAACTCCACTCGTACATTCCATGTGGAACCTTGCACATCTGATCTCCTTGCCGTATCCACTGCGGGATGTCAACCTTCTCCCACACAGTCGAGAGTGTCAGTGGATCTGTGGAGACTTTCAGGAGTTCCTCGCCCGAGACTTCTGACTGGACAAAGCATCCGTTGTGTCTGATCCACAGTGTGCGGTTGTCTTGCCAGTCAGTGGACTCGAGCAAGTCACCGTCCAAGGACAGGTTGATCGACTTGACACCGGTGTCATGGCCCTCGAGAGTCTGGATCAACTGGCCACTGTGTCCGTCCCAGATCTTGATGGTCTTGTCGCTGGACCCTGATGCGATCAACTGGCCGTCACCAGAAACCGCCACAGCACTCACATCGGCAGTGTGCTCGATGGTGGTTTGGCTGGTGGTTGAGTTGGTGGTTTGGCTGGTGGCTTTGTTTGGCAGAATGCCGCTTGTGTCGACATCCCACAGCTTGATCGACTCGTCGCTGGAGGCCGACACAACCATTGCGCCATCCACCGATATCGCCACACAGTTCACCCAGTTGCTGTGGCCCTCGAGAGTCTGCTTCAGCCGGCCCGATTCTGCGTCCCAGATCTTGATGGTGTTGTCCCACGAGCCAGAGACAATGGTCCTGCCATCGGATGAGATCTGAACAGAGGTCACATCTCTGCTGTGTCCATCGAGTGTGATTCGCTCGCCTGTGGATGACTCCCGGATCTCGATCGAGCCATCGCCGAAGCCAGACACAATCACTTGACCATTGGCCGGCACAGCAACACTGTTGACCACGTTGCCGCCGTCATCATCAAAATCATCGTCATCGTCCTCATAATCAAAATCATCGTCATCGTCAAAATCATCGTCGTGGTCACTGCCTCTCTCAATGGTCTGCTTCAACCGACCCGTGGTGGCATCCCAGACCATGATGCGTTTGTCGCTCGAGCCAGACACAATCGTGGACCCGTCCGCTGAAACAGCCACAGAGTGAACTTCATCGCCGTGCTTGTCCATCGACAGACACAGTCGGCCAGTGGAAACGTCCCAAACACGGACTGACTTGTCGTTGGATCCAGACACAATCGAGGCACTGTCAGGAAAGAACGAGATCGATCGCACAGCGTCGCTGTATCCTTTGATCGTCCGCTTCAACTCGCCAGTGGTGGCATCCCAGATCTTGATCGTGTTGTCCCACGAGCCAGAGGCAATCAGCTTGCCGTCGGACGAGAGTGCAACACACGCAACCTCGTCGTTGTGGCCATCGATGGTGAGGACTGCTTGGCCTGTGATGGCATCCCACACCTTGATGGTCTTGTCGTTCGAGCCTGATATGAACCACTTGCCATTGGGTGAGATCGCCACAGAGTTCACTTGGCTCGAGTGACCAGTGAGTGTCATCTCACACGGATCCCAGGTGGGTGCTGGACCAGCCGTGACCAGGAACGGGATCTTGTCCTCGAGCTGGTCGGCATATGTCTTGTAGATCGCCGTCTCCTTTGGTGTGAATGCATACCCCGAGTTGTACACCTGTGGCGCACTCGCAATGATCGGATCGGCAAACTCGCGGATGAATCGATACGTGTCCTTGACCAGTTCCTTTGTGGTGTCGTCGACGATGGTGCTGGGTGCCTTGGCGATCACTCCTCGCAGCACAGCCAGTTGCTCGATGATCGGCTTGACCACATGTGTGAGCGACCCACACTCGAGCCAGAAGAACACATGTGTCTTGACGAACCGAGTGAGCACCGCTGCCACATCGACCATCTCGGCCGACTGCCACACCGGACTCGACTCGGCCACTCCTTCCACACACCACACAAAGTGTGTGATCCAGTGGGCGACGCTATATCGCAGCGACGGCGTGATCTTGGCTGCGACCCTGTCCTCGAGGTCGGCGATATTGTCGTGAAAGTCGAAGATCTCGCAGATGTTGATCACTGGCTTGTGCGAGAGGATCACACCGAGACATCCCTTGGCAAACACCGTGTGGAAAGAGGTCGACACATGCCACGGATGGCCAGTCGATGCATCGCCGAGGAGATAGTCCGCCACCGACTTGTGGTTGAACTTGACCTCGGTGTTGGTGGACTGGCTGTCTCGGGGATCCAGTCCATTGGCGCCAGGATCGAGGACCAGAGTGAGGCTCTTGAGACACTCGCGAACGACGCCGATCTCGAGTCCAAACACATCGGCGATGATCTGCGGGGTCAGGATCGACTGGGCCGTGGCGATCGCCGACACCACCGTGACCAGCTCGGCCGGGTGGCTCGACTGCGAGTGGATCTTGGCGAATGTCTTGTTGTACAACTGCCCGACATCGGCGGCGCTGTCGTTGATGTCCTTGATCGTGGCGAGTATCACTGGGCCGTCTCTGGATGCTGCATCGACGGTGTTGAGGATCAGGTTGATCCACACGAATGTCTTGGACTGGTCCAGCAGGATGGCGACTGCCTCGGTGCGGTCCGAGTCAGTGAGAGTGCCATACACTCGCAGTCGGTGGTGGATGAACACCTCGAGATCACGGATGTTTTCCTCGCTCGAGGGTTCGATCGTCTTGGTCGGGACTCCATCGAATGCTGCCTTGATGTCCTCCTCGGGTCGGGATGTCATCAGCAACTTGAGCCACGGACGGGTCTTGTTCAGTTCGATAAACCGCACGGCAAGCAGACTGAGCAGCTGATCGCGCGGAGAGCACTCGTCGAGTGCATCCACCAGGATCATCACCGATCCCTTGGGTCTGTAGTCGCCGATGGCTTCGAGTGGATCAGCAATCACGGCCTTGAACAGATCAGGGATGCTCATCTTGTCGAGGTCGTCCTTGGTGTGGCCAGCATCGAGGAGCTTGCGGCCGATCGGCGAGTGCCACTTGCACAGACCGAATGCGATGGTGTTCAACACCACTCGTGGATCGCTCTTGCGGATGTCATTGTATTTGAGGAACAGCGCCGACACCAGCTGGTTGGTGGCTGTGAGGATGTTGGCAATCTGGGCAGCAGCGACAGATTTGCCCACTCCAGCAACGGCATTGACCCACAGGACAGTGTCGGTGGTGTCTTGGTTGACCCAGTCGGTGGTTTGGTCAAACAGCCACTGGCGAGTACCCTCGACATACAAATCCTCGAGTGCACGTCTGTCCAGGGTCGAGTCGACGGGATCGAGGAGGGATCGCAGGAGCGAGTTCTGTTCTTTGGTGAGTTGGATGGGACTATCCTTGTGGTATGTTGCTCCTTGGACTGCTGCCGTCTTGGTCTTGGTGATCAGGTTTCGGATATTGGGGACAAGCCTGAGTTTGGTGGATGGGTGAATGAGTGAGTGGATGAGTGAGTGAGTGAGTGAGTGAATGAGTGAGTGAGTGAGTGAGCGTTCAGGTTGTTCAGGTTTGGATATGATGATCAGTCGGCATGGCGAGTGACTGTTACCTCTTGAGAGCATTTTCATCAGCAGCATCGAGAGCCTGGAGCTTCATCAAGTCGCTGAACGTCTGCTGGATGGTCATCGGAAGTCCGTCGACCAGTGGGCTCTTGTTGTGGATCGGAGGATAACGAGGAAAGACGCTCGTATTGGGAAAGTATTTCTTGGATAGATCCTCGCCATCAACATGTCGCTTCGACCACATGAAGATTGGCTGGATGACAACATGCTGGCCGGTGGTGTCCTCATCCTTCATTCTCTTGAGAGCGTGCTGGATCTGTGGAGGGAGTGAGGGCGAGAGTGAGTGAGATTGGACTGGCCCACCCTCCAGCGTCGATGCTGTCGGCTCACTCGTTACCTCGAGCAACTGGTTGTCTGGCTTGAGGTGGGCCTCGAAGGTGCGGTTCAGACCCTCCTCCGACAGCAACAAGACAATCACATTCGATCGATACAGCCCGTTGATGAAACCCTGCTCCCAGTCAGCGCCGCCACAAAGGCAGAGGCTGTCGAGATATATATGGGCTGCTGTCTCGCTCCGACTGTTGGCCGACAGGGCTCCATGCAGGGCCATGGCATTAACGGTGTCACTGCTGACTCGATAGCTGCGAAACGTGTGAGGAGTCAGTTGGTGGCGAGTGGGTCCGATGAGAAATGCGATGGCTCGCCCACCTGATGAACACATCGTGGACGTCATATTCCAACTGGCACTTCCACTCTGCAGTCGGAGTCGCTGGAGTGTAGTCTCGAGGCTGCATGATGATGGTCGGTGGTGTATTTGCTGCTGCAAGGTGAGGGTCAGGCTGGATGGCGACAGTCGGCGGGTTGGAGCCAGATGTTGCTTGAGCCATATGGGGCTTCGTGTGAGGTGCACGCCTTTTTTTTGACTTGGCCATTTTGACACTCTGAATGCAAACGCTAACGATATGAAGGCAAATGAGGCTGTTCAAAGACAGGCCGAGAAGCGCAAGAAAGAAGCCGAGGCAGGCCTTTTCAATCTGTCTTGCCGCCACCACCCGAACTCTTGCTGACCCATCACGAATTGTGACTTCGTATGACACTTGTATGACGCTTAACATCTCGTTGACAGCTCTTGCTATTGCTCGATGTCATCATCCATATGGCTGTCTGTTCCATTTCGCAGTGATCTCCCTATTCCACATTATTAATATCAATATCTCTGCTGCCGACTGCTTATTGATCCCCAGCCGATGCCGGTATGGGCAGGTGTCTGAAACATTCTGAAACCGTACTGCAGATCCCACTTTCCATCAGCCACCTGATTGTATCATCCCACACTTCACCCTGGATGGGAAACGCTCTTGGCTCTCGGTTCGTCGATCATTCATTTGATGATCAAGAATGAATATAATGCATGGCCATCTCTTGGGAACAGCTCACAGCCACTTGGGGTGCGTCACCGGCACCCGAACCAGGTCCGTGTCAAACAGCTCGATGAACTGCTCGTTCAGGACCCGCACTTTTGGCCCAGCATACCGCCGGTACTCTTCGAATATGGACGTCAGATTCCAGCGCTGCAGCTTCCGCAAGCACCCGACGACCGTGCCTGGGGGGATGGCATTTGCACCATCGGGAAGGTGAGTTTGGGAAAGACATTCCGATCTGCCTTGCGGGTCGAAGTTCTGCTCCTCTCGCTCGAGATGGCGCCGATCTTTGCCCAGCAGACAGATCTGTCCTCACCTGTTCGATGCCGGCCCAGATTGCAGACGACGATCAGTGGATAGTTCTTCGGATCAAGAATAAACTCTAGTGCTTCGAGGACGACTTCCTCGGATATCGGGTCCCAGGCGTTCGCCGATGCACTGGCGCCGAGATGATGGAACTGTATCTCTTGGTCGTCGATGAAGTTCAGACTGGACATGGATCAAATCGAGTTTGCCGAGCCAGAAGAGTCAGCGACGGGGCATCGCGTGGTTCGATCGAGCTGTTGTTCGATCTGATACAGATGAAAACGCCTCGAGATCTGCATCCAGTTCATCCGTTCGAATGCAAGCTCGGCTCCTCCGGCTCGATCTCGATCTCTTGATCTCTCGAGCAGCCACCTACAAGCGCTGATTCGGCTCCTCTGGGGCCAGAAAGACGACTGTTTTGAGGCCCAGTCGCTCGACGAACGGAAAGTTCAGCTCGTTCGGCTGGCCAGATCGATAGAGATCCTCCTCAACCATCCCAAAGTTCTGGAGCACGCAACACGAAAGCGCAGAGACAGGCAAGAGGGAGGGCCGTGTGAGCTGGGGTCGCTGGTGATTCAAGGCATTCGGCGTTGCTGGGGACTGCCAGGGATGCTCTCAAATCATCGCAACTCGTCCCTGCCCGACTCTGGATACGAGCCGCAACCGTATCCATGCCGTCAAGCTCACCAGAGGCGGGATGTAGTGCTGCGAGTGCGCCATGGCTGTATGATTGCGGACAGCTGCTGGTTGGGGCGGGTGGAGCCAGATGCAGATGAGGAGAGAGTCGACGGCCGATCCCAGACCGTTCTGCTCTCACAATCAGCCCGCCCTGCTGGCTTCGACGGGCCTCATCTCGCAGCCGGTGTCGGATATACGGCCAATATCACTGTGCGATATAATGCGGCAATGCAATACTATGCACTGCTCCATCGCCATGATTCGCTCCTGCTCGATCGTCGATATGCGGTGAGGTCATCGCCCATGCAGATCGACATCAGCCCAACAATCCTGCGTTTCGTCGTGCGTCCTGATCCAAGCCCAAACGCATCCGGAGCCTCAACAAACCCGATAGGCCTCGGTTTCCTCCATCTTCCGGCTTTGCTCTTGGCGGCAGCCCCCGACTCGTTTGCTCGACGCCAGATACTGCAACTCTGAATCGCCCTGCCCATGAACGCTGCTCGTGAGTCCCTGGCCTCGGAGCCGTTCGAGCAAGAGCCTGCTCGGGCTCCCGAATACACAGTCATTGTTGGGCTGAGGTTCTCCTCCTTCCGGCACCTCCTGTTCTACGCCGCCTCGCTGGCTTCCTTGGGGATCCTCCCGCTCGTGGCCAAGTTCAATCCTCGGGTCTGGAGCTTCTGTCGGGCCCGGGTCGACTCTTTCCGAGATGCCGAGTATATCCTGGTCCGTGGCCTGGACGGAAGCTGGAGCGAGCTCAAGGTGTGTCGGGCAAAAGCCGTAGAGAGCACCGGGGCGAGCCATGCCCGTCGCCGCACCGGCGAAATCACCTTGGCCTGGTTTGAGTATCGTAAAGTGCGATATGTCTACTCGGAGGAGACACGATCGTTCCAGGTGAGGCCATGGAGCATGAAGCTTGGGCTCGATCGGCAAGGGAGTCGGCCAGATGGATGCCAGTGCGATGTCCGTTGGGATAGGCCGGAGCGGACCACGCAGCTTCTTGCAACACCTTGGAATTCCAGTCGACGAAGCATCCGGGCTGGGTTGTTGGAACGACGGCTGTGCGGCAAACTCATCGCTGCCACTTTGCCTCTCGATATCAGCGCCACTCGATGGTGCTTCAAGCAGCATCGTCGGCAATCCATGCCATGGCTGGCGGGCTCACCACCGCCCAGGTCCAGCACGCACAGCTCCGGAACGGGAAGAACAAGATCGAAATCGAGTCGCCTACCGTCCTGGAAATGATTGCCGACAAGATCATCCACCCGATATACCTCTTCCAGCTCGCAGCCATGGTTATATGTGCGTTCATTTCTGCAAATGTCAGCGATATGCAAAGCGAGACAATCCGATATCCCTTGCCCCCGCATGGCAACAGGCCGCACCCAGCGCCGACCACGTGGCATGCTAACAACGTCGCTATTGCTCCCAGGGATCGTCGAGGAGTATTATACCTACAGTCTCCTCATCTGGGTCATGACGGTGTCCTCGATCGCGTGGGAAATCTATGGCGCCAAGCGCAACGAACGCAACCTCAAGCGGCTCATTGTGACCCAAACGCTCTGCCGGGCATATCGAGACGGCAAGGTCGTCGAAATCAACTCGGAGGAGCTCGTCGTTGGCGATGCTGTTGTGATCGACAGGAACGACGGATCGCCCATCACCTGCGACATGGCTCTGATCCAGGGCGACTGCGTCGTGGACGAGTCCAAGCTCACGGGCGAGTCGATTCCCGTCGAGAAGACGTGCCTGCCTGTCTTTGATGAGGAGGGTGCCGTATTCTACTCCTCGGACGTCTGCAAGAAGCACACGATCTACAGTGGCTCGTCCATCCTCTGCAACGAGACCAACGGATGGTCGTCGCCGACAGACTGTGTCGGCAACGGAGATGCGCTCACCATTGGCATCGTCGTTGCCACCGGTTTCGAGTCTAACAAGGGCGAGCTCTTCCGCAACATCCTCTATCCAGCCAAGGTGGACCTCAAGTTCAACCGGGATGCCCTGCACTACATGGGGCTGCTGGGATTTGTAGCAGTCGTGATCCTGATCACACGCATTGTTACCGGGTAAGCCACCGCTCTTGGAGTCCGGCTGGTCAGAAGCAGGTGCCTTACACAGGACAACAGGACAACAATGGGAGACGCTCACGACAGCATGCATCGAATGCTGCTCTTGCTCACTCCATCTTTCTATTCTCGATCTCCTACGCCTCATTGTCTGGCTTCACCCCACTCCATTATCTCGCCCTCGACGCCTGTATCCGGTCGTCGATCAATCACACACCTGGCGGAGACAGTGCGCTGACAGGCAAGACGTTTGTGCAGCTTCTCATGAACTGCCTTGACATCGTGACGATTGCCATCCCTCCGGCCCTGCCCCTGGTTCTGACCATCGGCGTCGGCATCTCAGTGGGCCGCCTCAAAGACCAAAAGATATTCTGCATCAGTCCGCTGCGGGTGCTGTTTTCCGGCCGCATCAACATCATGTGCTGGGACAAGACCGGAACGCTGACGATCCCCTCGCTCGAGTGGGTCGGATGCGACCCCGTGCGGGACTCGAGTGCCTTCGGGGGCGTCACTCGGAACGTCGACATGTACGCTGATCTCTTCCGAGTCATGCTCACCTGCCATTCGCTCGTCTATCGAAACGAGGAGATTGTGGGGTCATCCATCGACCGAGAGATGTTTGGTGCCACCAAAGCAAAGCTCAAGTATTGCCCTTCCAGCATCAACATCGGCATCGGCATCGGCATCGAAAACGCGACCGTCCCGGCCATCGCACAAATTATACCTGACGACCAGCCCGCGCAGGATCTGTTCATTCTCAAGCGATACGACTTTCACGCAGACATGCAACGCAGCGCTGTTGTGTTCTACGTCAAGGACAGCAACCAAATCTATCTCTCTGTCAAGGGCTCGCCGGAGGCCCTGCGGGGCATCTGCGCTCCCAGCACGGTGCCCAAGCAGTACTATTTAGTGCACCGACGGTTTGCCTCACAGGGGTTCTATGTGATTGCCTGCGCCATCCGCAACGTCACAGAGATTGTGATGAAGCGTGGGCTGTCCCAGCTGAATGGCCTGCAACGCAGTGTGCTCGAGCAGGACCTCCAGTTCACAGGCTTCTGTCTGTTCGACAACCGAGTCCGGGACGAGACTCCGGCCGTCATTGGAACGCTGAACAATGCCAAGATCAAGTCGGTGATCATGTAGGTTCTTGGACATGGGCTGTCTACTCCTCGCCAGTGACAGCACCAGTGTATCATTGTCATCTGTATCTATGGCCATGTCCACAGCGACACCGGCGGTGGTGGTGGACGAGTGATCCTCGCTCCATCGAGTACATGCACAGCAATGCCGACCAGTCTCCAGGCTCATGAAACCACAGTCGCTACATTCCTACCTGCTCTAACGGCACTGTCCACTACCATCGAATCTATCGAATCTGTCTGCAGAACAGGAGACAACCCCCTGACAGCCATCCATGTCGCCCGCCAACTCGAGTTGACCAAGAAAGTGCTGCTCATTGACCTGGACGAAAGCGGCGAGGCGACCTTCCACACGGTCGAGCAGATCTCGATGGACGACATGGACGGACACGACCCGGCCACCCCAGTCCTCACCAACCCAGAGGACTATCAAAAGTACCCGATCGAGGAGCTGCCACAGAGAATGACGGACGAGATGAAGCTGTATGACCTGACGATGACCGGGCGAGCCCTCGATCGCATCATCCAGGGCTGCCAAAGGTCGTTCATAAAGTGGATCATCAACAGAACAAAGATCTTTGCCCGCGCGACACCGACGCAGAAGGGGTGGATCGTGTCCGAGTTGATCAACCAAGGCAACTTTGTGGCAATGTGCGGCGACGGTGAGTCCGGAGAGTGTCAGGAGCTTGTTCTGGCGGAATCAAGCAGCCCATCTGTCTGATACCTTTGCCGAGGCCGGGATTACTCGCGCTATCGATCCAAGGTCAATCGTATGTGCCGCCGCATTTCTTGGATGAACAGCCATGTGTGGGATCTCGCTGGCTCACCAAGCAATCAATGCGCTCCGTTCGATGCTCTGCAGGCACGAACGACTGCGGCGCACTCAAGGCAGCGCATGTGGGGCTCGCCCTGTCGGACTCGGAAGCCTCGGTGGTCTCGCCATTCACGTCCGTGAAAAAGTCGATCAGCGACATGGTTCGCCTGCTGTGCGAGGGACAATGCGCTCTGGAGACATCGTTTTCAGCATTCAAGGTGATTGTATGGGTCGTGCAGGGCCGAGGGAGCGGCAGTGACAGTGACGGTGACGGTGATGGTGATGGTGATGGTGATGGTGATGGTGATGGTGATGGTGATGGTGATGGTGATGGTGATGGTGATGGTGATGGTGATGGTGATGGTGATGGTGATGGTGATGGTGATGGTGATGGTGATGGTGATGGTGATGGTGATGGTGATGGTGACGGTGACGGTGACGGTGACGACCACATTGGCAGCATTCTCATATGGAAAAGGGCCGCAGCTGTCTAACCCGATCTCATCGGATAACGGCCAGTACATGACACTCTACCCGATTATCCAAGTGACCATGACGGCGTCGCTGCTGCAGCTCTCGTCGGCCCTCTCCAACAACGAATTCCTCTTTGACGACGTCCTCGTCGTGCTCATCCCCGCCGTTCTGATGCTCTACACCGGCCCGAACACACACCTGACCTCCGATCGTCCCACCGAGAACCTGCTGGGTCCCTTGGTGCTGTCGTCGCTGATCGGGCAGATTGCAATCTGCACCGGGTTCTTCTTCATCAACCTCAAGCTGCTCCAGAACCAGCCGTGGTACTGTTCGGCCGAACGGGCAGTCTTCAATCTCGACCGAAACTGGCTGCCGATCAATCCGCTGCTGCCGTCGTATCTCTGGTAAGTGGCTTTCGTGGGATCCGTGGGATGTCATCGTGTGTGCGATCCACCAAGGCATTCCCGCAAACCAAGTCGCTGACCACTCCGAGGACGCACGCACATCGCAGCTATCCCATCAGCCCCGTCGACGACACCTCGCAAGGCAATCTCCTGCGGACCTACGAAAACACAGGTGTCTGGCTCTTCAGCCACTTCCAGTACATCTTTGTGATCGTCGCCTTCACAGCCAGCTCGCGGTACCGGCGGCCGCTGTGGACCAACATCGGGTACTTTCTCTACCTGATCTTCATCGTCTGCTTCCTCACGGCCATGCTGGTGGTCAGCGACAGCGACATTGATTCGCTCAGCAACGGAACGTACTACTGGCGACTCTTTCCGATGCGCAAGGGCGTATCACAGGACTATCGCTTCGGGGCCTGGATCCTGGCAACGGGCCAGTTTGCGCTCTCGGTGGGCTGGGAGATCCTGGGCGTCCAGATCTGGATCAAGCACTGGGTGCAGATCCGCGAGGGCGTCGCCCAACTGAAGAAAGAGGCCAAGATCGACTATGGCGTTGGATACGGCGAGAGCATCAAGGCAGCACCGGTCTACATCCGCTCGCAGGTCAGCGCCAAGCCGAATGCCTCTGGATACCAGATTCTCCAGGACAGCCTGGCGGATAGATGGCGCGGCGACAATCTTGTATAGCGCGCACGCACGGGGACAGTACCGCATTGTGCAGATGCAGCATTGGGCAAATTGTGGAAAGGGGGCGTCTGTTTGTCCGAAGTGTGTTGACAGGGGCAACACCTGCGACATCAGGGTCATGGCGAAAATGTGTATGCGAATATACCGAATTGCTCGCAAGACAGCACCGATCAACGCTCGCACATGCACATCCGTGCGCCCACCCATCCATCCATCCATCCATCCGCCGGAGGGTCAAACAGTACGGGGATCGAGACGCGAGGAAAGGGATATCGAAGCGAGCTGTATTCGGTGTTGTGATGCTCCAGGGAGCCTTTGATGCTGTCCGAGTGGAGCAGCTGCCTCAGTCCCAGAAAATGCATTGACGCTGCAGCGTGAACGCGACAACGAGCGACCTCGAGGTCAGGACACACCCGTTTACCAGATGTAGGGGATGAGCTTGTAAGGCACGGCCTTGCAGTACTGGTCCCAGTAGTGGCCGTACTTGTTCTGGCATCGGTCTTGGTCACGGAAGATGCGCTGGACGAGCAGGAAGGTCATGTAGAAGATGTAAAAGTAGGGGAGGATGTGGCCCGTGCCGCACGACATGCACATGGCAAGGGAGATCATGAGATCGCCGACATAGTTGAAGTGGCGCGAGAGACCTGTGTGGAGGCACGGAATCGAGGAGACGAGTTCAAAGGATATCAGTGAGCAACACGGCGAAGGCACACGACGGCTTTGGACCTCGTGGGAAATGGCACTCGCCGAATCAGGTGGCGCCGCGCAGCCGGAGGCAAGGCAGCATCGACAGGATACGCACCCCAGAAGCCCGAGATTAAGAGAAGCGACTTGCGGGTCTTGCCGTCCGAGGTGGCAAACTCGGTGCGGATGACCTTGGCAGGCTTGCCCCAGATGAGGCAGTTGCCATCGGTGCGGCGGACAATGTCCTTTTGGTGGTTGACGGCGCGGAAGATGTAGTATCCGGCGAGACCCACGGCGAGGACGGCGCCGGTGTAGGGGAGACTCAGGTCGACAGGGTGGCGGACGAGATAGTGGGATTGGAGGGTGTACTGTGGCGAGATCGGCTGATGATGGGCAAGACAGAGCGTCAGCATCCGTGTGAGTCAAAAGTCATCTGCTCAGCTGGACGCTCAACATGTGTGCTGGATCGCTAGTGCTGCATCACACCGTTGAACGACCATGCTGGATGACGATGTTGGATCACCACGCTGAACGACCACGCTGGATGACCATGTACATACCAGGAAGGGCAGCCAGACACTGTCACCCCAGGCAAGATCTGGTGGGATTCAGGATCATGAGTCGGGCAGCAAGTATGTTAGATAGCCGGCGTGGCGAAAGCGCACGATGCGGGCTCCCGCATGATGGTCATGAGGGTGGGTCGGAAGGGAGCAAAGTAACTTACAGAAACCAAAGTGGTCGTGGCAAATGTCTGTTGATGGAGAGCGTAGACTCGTCAGTCGACGGGGACGTTTCCACCCCAAGGCAAGCGATATGGCCGGCCGCTGGTCCAAAGCGTGTGCACGGAGAGCTGCAGATCGTCACAACATACCGATGGTGCGCAGGTACCAATCCTCGTTGTAGAAAAAGTCAAGGACGTAGATCAAGTGGAACAGGTTGACCAGGATCATGGAGTTGGTCACGTATCCAATGTTGTTGTACTGAGCGGCAGCAAACGACAGGTTGATCAGGGTCCAGGCGACGATACCGGGACGGCCGTTGTGGAAGAGCTTGAAGTCGAACCACTTGCCAATGCGGGGGTTGAACTCGATGCCCATCAGGAAATCGTAGATGAAGGAGGACGAGAACTTGCGGTCGGCGGGGTGCGAGGGGAAGAGGTTGGCCTTGACGTACGAGAAGAAGGCGAGGAAGAAGCCGTAGACGTTGGCCGAGATCAGGAGGGCGCCCCAGTTGTCGTGGATGATCGAGGCTGGGAAGAGACCGAGGCCGATGGAGCCGGCGATGAAGAGAGCGTGGGTGATGAACCAGGCGCGCAGACCGTTGACCTGGAGCACGGAGCGGAACGGGCGACATGTGCGAGGGTTGGTTGTCAGAAGCACAATGGGTTGGGTCCGGCAGACATTGGCGGAGGACCGACATATCTGCGATCTGGGCCATCGGCGTTCGGGGCACATGCGCTGCTTGCACTTACGACATAGGGAAGGATCAGACCAGCAGGGGTCTCCTGTCCATAGCCAATCTTGGCGGGAACGAAGACGTACAGCGCGGCCTGGAAGAACAGCCATCCAAAGTACAGATAGAAACCCTCTGTTGCGGATTGAGCAAGGGTATGTTGTTAGAGAGACACGGGGAGGGATTTGGATGGAAATTCAGTGGCATGAAGGGGGATATGCAGCACATATGATCGCGAGTCCCGGATTCAGCGACGATGGAGGAGCAAGGGGGTGTGTTGACGAAAGCCGGACAGTTGAGCGCTCTCCATGAGCAGACAAGTGCGGTGCCCGCCAGATCCCCGGATATTCCGATACCCAGATCCCCATGTCCATGTTTGCATATGCCCAGATCCTCCAGAAAGCAGGGATCACACGTGTGCATCAGAACAAGCGGATCACCTGCAGTGGGCTTGGGGAAGAAGTCATCGGTCAGGAATGCAATCCAGCTCTTCGAGTCCGACAGATCGTAGGTGAGAAGCTTGCTGGCGGGGCCAAGGATTTCGCATTGGTACTTGTCGCAGCTGACCCACATGTAGACCACAAAGAGGGGCGCAAAGAGGACGGTGATGTACGAGCCGATGATGGTCAGGATGCCGATCTCGCGGGCTCGGCCCCAGGTCTTGCCGGTCTGAGCGACCAGGGTCGGGGCCGTGGCCTCGCTGGAGCCGGAGGCCTTGACGTTGCGCTGCTTGAGGGTGCTGGTGGAGTCTTGGGTGACGGCCATGGCGGATTGAGGGCCGTGGGATGGGTGGGATGGGTGGGTGTCTCCGTTGGACCTTTCCGGGCGAGGAGCGACAGAACAGATCTCCGCGGCCGCCCGAGCGGCTTTAACGCCGGGCCGAAACCGGGGCGGCTGCGATCGTCGCACCAATCGCCGCGCGTGTGCTGCGCTTCTGCTTTTGGCAGTAATGCCGCCGAGCGCTGATTGGCTGCGGCGGCGGTCAGTCCACCGAACACGTGCATCGACTGTGGCGGTGCTGAGCAGGATTCGGCGCTCATGAACGGACCGAGTGCAACCGAGTGGAACTGAGTGCGACCGAGTGCAACCGAGTGCAACGGCCATGGCTTTATTTCTTGCGCTCCGCTCGCCACTTGTATATGGCCAGGCCGCGTTTGTCGTGGCCGACCTTCTTGCGGGCGCCCTTGCCCATCAGCGCCTTCTGCAGGTCCTGTTCCAGCTGCAGCTTCCGCAGCTGTTCCTCGCGCTCGGTGCGAGACAGAATCTCCCGGTAAACTCCCTCGCGCTGCTTGGTCATTTTCTGCAGCGCCCCAAAGAACAGAGCAATCAGCGTCGTGCACGGCGAGTGCATATGAGGAGGAACGTCCCCGACCAAGATGATCGGCATTCGCCGCAATGCAATCGGCCCTCGCCATAACCCACACAAGCACGTACCGCTTTGCTCAGCTGAGCAGGAGCCTGGACCTCGGCCTCCTCGAGCAGCTTGTATGTCGGCCTGTTGAACTTGCGCCCGAGCAGCTCCTCTGGGGTCTGGAAGTGCTCCGCAGCATCAAACTGCTTGACTGGAGCAGACATGACCAACAGCTTGTCAGCACCAGGCACCCAACATCGCCTGCCGGCACAACCGGTCTCCTGAGCACCAGGCAGTGCTTGTGCCGAGTCCAGCAGCAGCTACAGCGAGGTGACTCACCGTCGTCCTCGTCATCGACAAAGACTGTGTGTGTGGCCTTGCTTTTCGATCCCGAACTGGTTGATGGTGCAGCGTCGTCCCTGTCTCCGCCAGCCGCCTGGGCGGGCTCGTCGTCTCCTTCAAAAAAGTGCAGACTCGACTCCATTTTCCCGAGTTTCTGTTGTCAGCATGCGCCATCAGGGCATCAGGGCCATGTCGAGCAGTTCCGATTCCACAGCCGCGAGGGGCACATCGATCCAGTGCGGCGACGTTCGACGAGGTGAATCATCGTTCAAGAGTCGACAGAGTCCGACGGGTGTGCATGTTGGATTCAGAGGAGCGACGTCAGTGTCCAGATCTGAGCGACGACGCAAACAGGACCGCCGAATGATGCAGAGCAACAAAAGCGCCATGCGGCGATATCCAACGTTCCAACGTGTCCACCAATCCGATCGTATCCATCAATCCAGCGTGTCCAACGAATTACGACGCCATCCATCAAGCTGCCGATAGACGCACCTTTTGGTTGACGCTTCGCTGATAGTTGACATAGTTCTGATCTTGCGTCTTGAGCAGCGTCAAAAAGTCGTGGTCAAAGTGTTGATTCCGCTCCTCGACATGGACACCGCCCTGGATTGTAAAGCCAAGGCATCGTTAGTATGCAGCACGCAGCATCGCCATCGGTGTGAAACTTGCTCTCGGTGCGTCTCTTGGTCGAAACAATCTGCTGCTCGCCCAGCGACCCAGTCCAGTCGATCAAGACACGGCCGGCCTCGTCTTTGCCGCACCTTCGTCTTGGAGTTGACCATCTTGAAATAGAACTCATCCTGGTTGCGCATCGAGGCCTTCTCGCGCAAGGCCTTGAGGCGCTTCTGCTTCAGGTTGTAGTCCTTGGCACGGAGCTTGTAGTCCTTTTTCTTCTCGAGCAGGCCCAGGTGTGCTCTCGCCAGAGGCTGAGAGCGCTCCTTGTGCGCTCGACTGTGGAATGCTTTTCTATACACGGCAGCGGGGTTGCAGCGTCAGGACGAGCACATCAGCGCTGCAGCAAATGCGCTTTTCTAGAGGCGCACGACGGCCGTAGCCCAGCCGGATGGCCAATGCCGCAGGTCCATGCGTCCAGCCTCCCGAGCAAACCGGATTGCCGCAAGGAGACATTGGGCCACAGCCGCCCGGGACTGTCGCTCGAGCAGAACTCACTTGAAGGCCGACGACGACATGATGACGCTGTGGTATTGTTCTGCTGCCGATTCCTCCCTTCTTGGATGTCGGTCCCTGGCTGGACGAAAGTGCAAGAGGTGGAAGCTGGGTTTTGTTGGCCAGAGAGCGACAAAAAAAAAAAGCGCAGCACTCGGCGAGAGAGACCGAGAGCGTCCTCGCCCAGCGAGGGTGCTCTCTTCTTCCATCCCGGCTTATCAGATCCAGCCCGGCATCTGCAGCCCATCGCGATCGTTCCGTCTGCCATCGCACACTCTGCCCATCGTCCGTGTGCCCTGCGCCAGGACCATGGCCCCGAAGCGCTCTCGTCATGACGGCCGCCGGAGCGGCCAGCTGAACGACGACGACGATATCGAACAATCGCTCAAGAAACGTGCCTTCCCGCTCCATGAATACGAGGAGCAGCTGGCCGGGGCAGCGGATACCCCGGCCGACCCAGATGCGCCGCCCATGTCGGCCATCGAGTACCTGAAGCGGGTGCGCACAGAGGCCGAAATGTACCCGTCCTTCAAGACAGCCGTGCTTGAGCCGCATCTCCAGCAACAGTCGGCCCCGGCAGCTTCTGGGGCGGCAAAGAATCCCCTCGACATTCGGGCCATGTACTTTGGATCGCCTCAGCTGCACCAGGAGCCTGCATGCGCCATCATCTATCGCCCGTCAAAACTCTGGATCGACCAGTTCATCCAAGACTTTTCCGTGTTACACGCTGCGATCCAGAAGCAGTATCTACACCAACGATCCAAGGCAAAGCCGGCGATGCGGCTGCCAGCGATCGGCGACGAGAGGGGCTGGAAGCGAATGATCTTGGGCAGAAGCCAGGTCTCTGAGCGGGTCGACCCTCTCCTGAGCATCCTCAACGTTCTCGATCAAAGCAAGGTCGTCATTCTGCTGAGCCACTGCCACCGCTGGTGTCAGAACTCGGACTTTGAGAATGTGCTCCAGGTACTTGAAGTAGACAAGATTGCCTCATGAGTAGCAGCAGCATCTGGGACCGAGCCGATTGTTACCACCCAAGTTGTAACTGCCCATCGTCATTTCCTCCCCCTCATAGAGCCAGTGGATGTTTGCCTTGCTGCTGCGGCTTGACCCGCTGCTGACCTCGGACCAGATCACCGTCCTGCGAGACGTGTGCAGAAAGTGTATCAAGCTGCGAGCCGAGCTGGATCCCGAAACAACTGACCCAGGGGCATCCATCGTTGCCGCGCTCAACATCGTCATCTCCATCATTTCTGTATTCTTTGGACAAAAGGATCTCAGGTATCGCCTCACACTTGCAACGGCGCCTTGCGATTCGGTGTTGCTTGTGCGGGGAGGGTCGGGGTTTCTCGCCAGCTGCTTTCGAGCAACGAACGATGCTGTGCTCTGATATCGACCTCACAACATTTACATGCGGATCCACAGAGATACCGAGTTCTCCGACTCCAAGTGGGCCGAGAACATGGCCAGGGACTACCGAGGACGGAGAGATGGATCACAGCCATCGATATCGCCACCGCGTGGTCGTCCGCACGATTCCGAACATTCGACGCTGCATGCCAGCGAGTTGGTCGAGCCTCGGCAACGGGGCGGAGCCGGGATGGAGCCGAGCGACGACGCAGAAGATGGCGAACTGGTCGAGCTGGATGACTTCGAAGACGTCCAGGTTCAGGGCCGAATGGATAGTGAACCAATGAGGAACGAAGCCGGACAGACAGACGTTTATGGCCCATCGAACGACGACAACGACAACGACGACAACGACAACGACGACAACGACAACGACGACGGGGTCAAATCGACGAAGATGAAGAGGGCGAGATGGTGGCATGAAGCTCAATGTCGCCTGCAGTCCTCGTTCATGGCTGGCATTTCCGGAGGAGCACCTCGAGGCTGCACAGCCCACGATGGAGGCGTATACCACGAGACAGCATCGACTGATCATCATCAACGCCGGCGCACTCGGTTCGACTTTGGGAGGCTCGTGCTCGCCGGTGTGTCTCATCAATCTCCTCGAAGGGATGGTCAACTCAGGAACAGTCGAGAGTGGACACCGGGCACATCGCTAGCCCAGCGAGGCGAGACCCAACGACACTGAGGATGTAGGGCGATCGCGATGGATCAATGCGGCCGCAGCGCTCTGTCTCGCTGTGTGAGCGATACGATCTGCAATAACACGGATCACCTCCGAGTGAAGACCTCCAGTCGCCCTCCGGTCTCCACAGTCGACTTGCACTGCCCCCTGGGACTAGATGCATAGCGCTTGCCTTGACGCCACGACGCCTTGCCAACGACAACCACCACCTCGGTCTCCTTGGACATATTGTTTGACCATAGATGCAATGGGTGGGTGGGTGTATTCAGGTCCCAGAAAACGACGCCCTGGTTCAAAACAGGGTGTCCCGTTTCGTTTTGGGAACGATGTAAAAGATTGTGACAATTCAAAGGAGAGAGCGGCGCAGAGGGTCCGCATTGGCGAGTTTGGCGGGAGGGCGACATTCGTTCCGAGCCGGCCATGCAAGTCCACGGCCGGCGACACAGACCATCGAATCAACTTGTCCAAATAAGCCAAGCGTCGGGAAACTGGACGGATTGACAGAGTCCGATCGAGCAGATCAGGTTTGGCTCGCGAGCAGGTACACACCGGTCCAGCAGTTGCGGTGCGACAAGCACATGATTATGTGCGGTTGGACTGCACATGGGCATCGTGGCCGCTTCGAGGACATGTTCTAGTTGGTCTTGGAGCCCAAACCAAGGGCTGACACAATCGGTTGTCGGTAGCGGAACAAGATAAAGCTGCCGACAGCGACAGCCGCAACGCCGGTGGCGACCGAGAGCCAAAACTGAGTCTGTTCTGTGGCTCTTTTGCGCAGGCGCCGCTTCTCCTTATTCTGCTTCTGCTTGAGCTTGCGGCGCTCGGCAGTGGTCAGCGGCTGGCTATGCAGCGCGGCCGTCTCGCCGGCCTGTCCACCTGCACTTGCAACAATCTCGCGCGCCAGGACGGTCGAGACGAGCGAGTCGAGATCGGGCTTGATGCCCGTCGCCTTGGCTTCCTCGGCAACACGGACAAGCGTCGGCAGACTCGATGGCTGAAGCGACTGCAGCTGTGGAGGCAGAGCAAGGTTTGGGTCGAGAGACATGGCGATGGTGATGAGCCGGACGGCCTCGCGAATGTCCTGTTCGACGCCGAAGCCATTCAGGTAGAAGATGCCGAGGTTCCAGGCCGACTGAGGGTGGCCCATTTTGGAGGTCTTTTGCCAGAAGCCGGCGGCACGGGCCGGATCAGGATCGCCGAGGCCGTTGCCGCCCTCCATCAGCAAAAGGCCCGACTGGAAGGCAGCTGCGACAAAGATGTTGGGCTGGGTGTCTGCCAGGAAGGGATCCGAGACAATACAGCGGTTGAACCACTCGAGGCCGGCGCTATACGACTTTGATGCGCCATGGGTGCCCTGCACATGGACGGTGCCGACAATGTAGCAGGCTTCCGAATTGCCGAGCTGAGCAGCGCGGGTGTGCCAGAGCAGCGACCGCTCGCGATCCTGCCGGAAGGGGATCGAGGGACTCTCTTCCTGACCGATCTCATACCAGGCAGCGAGCTTGAGCTGCGCCGGGATCGAGTCCAGCTCAGCGGCTTTGGTGAAGAGATCCAGACAGTTCTGAGAGACTTCGCTCTCGCCCTGGGTGAGCGAGGCCAAGATGTACATCGAATGCGGGTCCATATCGAGCTCCGAGTACAGGCCGGCAGTGACGACCATCGGCCAAGTCACGCCCTCATGGGCCTTCTCGAGGTGGATGGTCAGAAGCTGGTTGCCGTTCTTTTGGCTCTTCTCCAGCTGCCAGATCGAGTCGTTGCGCTTGATGGGCCGGAACAGCTGGCCCTGTTTGCGGCGGTGGGCAGAGTCGGAAGGGTTAATGGATGGGCAGGCCTCGGCAGAGTATGCAGAGATGAGGTACTGTGTTGGGTCGGCGTGCGATGTGAGGCAGTAGACAAAGGCACACCTTGACTCTGGGCTGTGGCTCGCCCTCGATCACGCAGAGGAGGGCCTTATCGCTGAAGGTGATTTTGACCATGCTCGATGTCAGATCGCGCGAGACAGGGAAGGCAATGACGACCTGGTCGTTGGACTGCGACCAGGTGTAGAGCCCGCCGTCCGGGAAGGTCGGGACGGGGACCGGGGCTGGTGCGGGGGTGCCCATGATCATGGCTTGGCTCTGCGGGGCGGTCTGCGGGTGCGGGTGGTGGATGCCGAGCAGTGCCGATGCAAACCAGACGAGTCGCAGGAAAGCCCAGAGGAAAAATCGACACATGACGATGAGAAAAAAAGGCTGCGGCCAGCCCTTGCCCTCGGCGCCCAGCCCTTGCCCCAGCCCTCGCGTCATCGCTCCCGGTCGATCCGCCCCTTTGTCGGCCCATCGCCTGCCCTGGCATCGTCGTCTCGATCTCGGGCTGCACTCCCAAACCTCCGTATCTGCCCGCTCACACCGGCCGTGGCCCTGCGTCGCCTTGACTCCAGATCGCCCTCGCTTCTGCACCGCGCACCGGCATCTTCTGTCCCTATCCGTGTCTGTGGAAAAGACTATCTCTTCCGCCGGATCCCTCAGCTCGCACCGCTCCCGTCGCCGATCGACCACCCAGCCCTCTCCGCCATGGCCGAAGCCGTCGCCCTCTTGCGAAAATACACCGTCGACCAGACCCAATATGTCCTTCTCCGGACCGAAGACCCCGGCTCCCAGGTGTCTGACATTGACCAGGCCGCTTACTTGCTCTTCCCAGCGGAAAACAAGGTCTTCCGGCTGCAGCAGCCGTCGTCGTATCGCGAGTACTCGCTCCAGACCATCCTGTACTTTCTGCAGTATCGCAAGCTCGACCACTCGGCCTATCTCCAAGCCTGCGGCGATCGCGACATCGAGACGGTTTCGTTTATCCACAGGAAGGAGCTGGAGGGATATCTCATCGGCACCCTGGATGCCTCTGCCATCAACCTGAACATTCCCGACTCTGTTCTGGGTACGACGGCGCGACGACTTCCACTCGTCCGGCATTTCATTTGCTTGCTCTGCTTGATCGGAGTGCGGTTAAGCCTTCGGCTGCTGGATCTGGCAGAGGTTCCCGCCCTCTGAAGGCAGGAGATACAGGCGGCAGGGAACGACCGATCTCGGAGTACCAAAGTCGTTGTGGATGGAGCAGCACTGCACTCACTGGGACAAGGCTGAGGCACGCATGTCGGGGGGGAGAAAGGCTATTGATGAGTCTCCTCGACATAATTCATTCTCCTCGGTCAATCAGGCAAGCGCCCGGCTGAAGACAACGTCGATGCTGCGAAACGGGGACGTCTGGATGTGGCGCCCGCCGAGGTAGGACCTGCAGATCGTCGGCAACGCCTGCTCTGACAGCCGACGGCATCCAATGCCGAATAGCTCCCGACTCCTCCCAGTCACCAACTGGGATACAAAGGCCCGCTGCTCTGACTGACTTGATGCCCTGGTTACAGGGACTGAACTCGATCAAATGGATCACGGACCACGAGCGCACCGTCTACAACCGAGCAAGCATTCTGTCCATCAAGAGCACCAGGAACTTTTTGGGCCTGCAAAAGCTGGCCGCAGAGATTTTCGGAAAGCGGACCAAGCAGCCGCCGCCCCAGCACCCACCAACAGCCGCAGGTATGTCCGAGCTGATGGAGGATCAGCCCAGCCAAGTACTTTCGGGGAGACAGCCATCCAGCTTGCTTCCTTGCTCTGTTGCAGTCACGGAGCTGGTCCACCACTCTCGCTTACACCTCCATTTTCGATGCCCCTGACCCTGCCTCGGCTCACATCAGCCAAGAACGGTCCGCCCCGCGATCCTGCTCGCCCTGCCGCACAGTCCCGTCTGCCGCAAAAACCACAGCCCCCGACTACAACACACCCAATCTCAAATACCTCAGACAAGCCGCGTGCGGACCCGCGATCGTCATCGTCCTCGGTGTCAAAACCGACGTCTTCCAGGCAGGACAACAAGGCCAAGGGCACTCCCATTATCGTTGTCCCGGCCATTGCAACTTCGCTGATCACGCTGTACAATGCACCACAGTTCCTGCGAGACAGCGTGTGAGTACTTTTGGCCAGCGCGAGGATGAGGGCACCATTGCGGCAGATCGGGTCTGGCTTCCGCTCCATCGTCCAAAGCCAGGCAAGCCATCAAGCAAGGCAGCCTCCCGCAAAGTTCCTCGTCGCCACAACGCCCTGCTGCCACTCATCTGCGATTTGCGCATTAGCTCAGCGCGACTCGCCGTGAATACCTGCATCACGACTAAACCACAGCGCAATCGACTGCATCTCACGGTGACAACACACAGGTTCCAGCCGTCTGAGGAGATTCGACAGGCCGCCAAGCAAAAGCCGCTTCCTGTCACCATTGAGCGACCCAACACCGCCACCCGAACTGGCCCGAAATCCTTCCAGATCACCGATTCACCGGAGCGGCTGACGGCCGAGGAATGGGACAATGTCGTCGCCGTCTTTGCCACGGGCCAGGCCTGGCAGTTCAGTCGATGGAAGTACAACCAGCCCGTGGACCTCTTTTCGAAAGGTCTGTTGTTCGCTCAGTCACTCTGGCAAGAGACGAAAGTCGCTTTGATCCGGCAATCTAATCCAACAGACTGTGCCCTCTTAACTCACTTGACATTATACCCTCTGCTGCTTTCCTCTCATGGCTACAGTCAAGGGATTCGCGCTCAAGTACGCCGATGACCCCAAGAACCCCTGCGCTAACTGGAATGTCGAAGTCCTGAACGTGAGTACTGGAGTGGGTCATTCTGGTTGGACATTTGATGATCACCCTGATCAGCAGTCGACTGCACTGGACAGCTATTTCGCCAAGTCGCCAGGAAGCCATCGGTGGCCACGAGCATCCATCGGGACTGCTCGGATCTGACGACAGCTCATCCCTTGGTGTGCATGCAGATCCACAAGAGCCGTCGCCACCTGGATGCCCAGAGTGTTTACGACTTCTGGAGCCACCTGGACGAGTGGATCGCAACTCACAAGCGCAACCAGTTCGCCTGAAGCTGCATCTATCGGAACCTCAGTGGAGTCGGCGACATTGTCTGTGCAATAGTCTATAGGATGGCATATCAGCCGCAGTGGAGGCCGAGCCGATACCGGACATGGCTCGGGTGTATACAGCCAATGACCTGCATTCAGCCGTGAATCTGTGTCTCGTCGGTCGCACACATCACTCTGCCTGATGACCTGCACACTCGTGCATCGGCTTGGATGCAGCGGCGCCGGCATCGACGGGGCACCGCCGGATCACGCAATATATGCCGCGAGCGACTTTCCTCGGCAACACGAGCCTGGTCTGGTTTGGTCGGGTCTGATCTGGTCGGGCGAGAAGCAGACGCAGGCAAGAGAGAAATGTTGAACCAAGAATGTACAGCGCAGAAGAAGGCAGAGCCACAGAGCTGCCAGACACCGGCACTATCGATGGGAAAAGCGAGCGGACGATATTGCATCGACAACGACACAGGATTCGGGACACTGCCATGAGCGACTGGCGGCACATGCAGGAGATGATATCGAGAGTAGACGGAGAGACCAAGAAGGAGGAGGAAATGTTGACCAAGACAATCGACCGAGACAAAGGAAGACATGCTGCATGTGAGTACAGGACGGGCGACATCGACAAACTGCATCGGAGAGTGGATATTCAGGACGGCCGTGCGGTCTTTGAGAGAGACGCGATGGCCAAGGAGGCGACGGCTGCGGGATGGGTATGGTTAGCAGCCAAGGACAATGGTATCAGCATGTCCGGTATTGCAGCAGTCATCGCTGTTGCTGCTGTTGTTGCGCACATCGAGCGATGGGTGTGGGGCTTCTCAGCGCTTGAAGAGTGTCCTCCACCATCCCTTGATCTGGGCCGTCAGCCAGTCGCGGGGAGTAAAGTCTGGATACGCCTCCATGAAGCGGCTCTTGGCCTTCTCGAGGCTGCGTCGCTGTGCATCGGTCGTGCTGAACTCGTAGAGCGGACACCGGTTGCAGTCGCTGCACCGGCCCGTGGTCGAGCTGACGGTCGAGATCAAGTTCAGCCAGCGCTGCTGGTGGCAATGGCAAAAGTGGTCGTATCCGCGGATGGTGTAGTGGCAGACCCAGCACATGTGGATGCGGCAGTTTGGGCAAGTCATTTTGTTGCAGGAGCGTTCGTCCGTGGTCTTGGTGATGGCGAGATGACACTTTGGGCAGACAAGCTTGATGGCCCTGGACCGAGCTTCCTCCAGGACCGAGTCGAACAACAGCTGAAGGCGGTCTCGCCGCGGCAGCTTCCGGAGACTCTGCTGGCATTCTCGCTGGTGCTCGTCGATGGCCCCGACGATCGGGCAGGTGCAGCGGAGGCAGATGGTTGCTCGGCAGTCATCGTTGCAGCATCGGAAGGTGGTCTCGACTTGAGGCTCAGCCATGGGTTGGACTGATGCTTTCGACCGTCCAGGCTGCCAGTGGTCGTTGCCGGTGGTGCTTCTGCTACTGCGGTCGGTGTCTTCTTCCAGACTCAGCGACGGAAAAGGGTCCTCGGCCAGGAGGCCCTCCCAGTCTTCAGCCGGATCGAGAGTAACCAGATTCGGCGTCCATGACCAGAGCGCCATGGTGACCCCGACGACAGTGCCCCAGAGCGCCTGGATCCAGCGCCAGAGCAACTGGGCCTGCTCCCGCCGCTCCTTCTCCTCTCGTTCTTGGATCGTGCGGACCATGTCGGCGTCAATCTGGTAGAACCCGCAGCTCGGGCACTTTCGCAGGCCGTTCCGGGGTATCTCCAGATACTGCTCGGCCTTGCCGACCTCGAGGGAGTGCTTGTATCGCCGAGCCTGGAGCGGGTCTTGGCCCTCGAGGGCGGGTCCGACGTTCTTGAGGACACCTTCGCAGCCCTGTATGCCGAAGCAGGCCAGAGGCTTGCCGTAGTTGGAGCTCTTTTGGAAGACAAAGTTCTCGACGGCCGAGTTAGTGCAGGCGTGGCAGTAGATGTGTGTCGGATTCGAGGAGCACTGCACGAGCGGGTCCGATTCAGCCACTTCGAAACAGCATTGACAGGACATGGCCTGCGAATGGGGATTGAGTGAGAATGCGAATGAGAATGCGAATGAGAATGCGAATGAGAATGCGAATGGGAACGAGGTTTTCGGGAAGTCGGTGGCGGCTGTTGATGGTGGGGGGCGCCTCAAATATCAACAAACGATGCCGCCGCCCGGAGACGGACAAGATATCGACGAAATGACCGCGGGGTACCTACGGGAATGCCGAGGGGTGCTTGATGATGCGGGGAACGGCCTGTGTGGCTGGATGGATGCTGGCACGGCTCTCGGCCGGGCGAGATCGAGGCAGTTGTGTGTTTTGTCGAGGTCCGTTTCCTTGGCAGGACAAAATCGGCCATTGGCAGGACAAACCGGCCTCTGCCTCGATCAGCCGCTCATCCTCGCCGTGGCCTCCAGATAGCTCCTGCAGCCCGCATCCCTCCCACTGCGCTGTCGCCATGAGCTTCGACATCCAATGGTAATACCGCCCATCCAATCTGCTGTCTGGCCCTGGCTCGAGGCATGTCCTCGGATTGCCCCGTCCGGCTGTTGTCTTGTACCAGCATTCACTCCCTAACTCTCGGCCCTTTGCTCGTTGGGCCTGCAATCCGTCGCCATTCGGGATGGACCCGCAGGGACAAGCTGGACTCTGGCGTCGCCAAGAATCTGCAAGACTTCCTGAACAAGCACTTTGAGCATCTCACCCGACCGTCGTTCATTGGGCCAATCTCGATCATCGACCTGGACTTTGGCACAATCCCACCCAACATCGAGATCAAGGACATCACCGACCCGCTGACCGAGTTCTACCTCCCCGACGAGGACGACCTGGACCTGCAGCACGGCAGCGGACCGCTCGATGACTTTGACTCGCGCGCCGACCGAGGCTTTCCACTCCCAAGCGATGGTTCGCCTCTCGGCGGCTCCGAGTTTGGACCGGGCCGACCAGGCAGCGCCGATGGATACGGATATGCCTGGGGCGGCGGCGAGCGACATGGCCCACTCTCGGACGACTATGGTGGAGGCTCGATCACCGAGGCCGTCGGGCGAACATCCAACACCATCGGCGTCGGCCTGCATCTGGCCCAGTCGACGACGATGCCGCCGTTTCGGGCACTCACACCACAGCTCTCGAGCACTTCGTTTCCGGGGCTCCTGGTCTCGGGCTCCAACCCGGGCTCTGCTGCGTCTCACTACTCGTTCGATCAGGGATACTCCAATCCGCCGTCTCGCGGCGAACCTGCGTCCGCAGTCGCAGTAGTCGCATCGCCAGGGCATCCGCATCCAGAACGCAATATGTGGCCAGACACCATGATCTCGGAGGACCTCATGATCCAGCAGGCCGAGAGCCTGAAGCGGGAAACCGATGCCCAGGTCGAGCTTTTGGTCGAGTATAAGGGCAATATGCGCCTGTCCATATCGACCGAGCTGATCGTCAACCACCCAACGCCAAACTTTATGGTGCTGCCCCTGACCCTGAGTCTCACAGGATTTGCATTCAGTGGTGGGTGCAAGCCATCAATTGGCTGAATCAGTCGGTTGGGTCATCGGCGGCCTCGCATCGCCGATATGGTGTCGATCCTTCCTGGTCGACAGCGCTGATCTCTTTCTGCTACGATTGGGCAGTCGGTGCACATCGGAATGACTGGTGGGACATCATAATCCACACAGAAGCACTGACTGGGGCACTGGATCCACATTATTTGAACGACAGGAACGCTGCTGATTGCGTATCTTGGAACTCGCATCAATATTTGTTTCCAAGAGCCGGAGAGTGGAAAAAGGTATTGTGTTGTGGATGGATCACCGAGTGGATGGATCACCGAGTGGATGGATCGCCGAGTGGATGGATCACCGAGTGGACGCTGGCATCGGTGCATCTCGTTACTTCATCAGCCGACTCGGTCGCGAACGGCGTCGATGCGGGGGAGGACAATAGAAGCCAACCCTGGTGGTTGTGGACGGCAGACAAGCTCATGCCACAGTGCGATTCCCCAGTCTGCTGCAGGATGTATTCATCGAATCGGAAATCGGGGACAAGAATCGCCAGGGTGAGAATAGCAGTAGTGCCACGAGTGACAACCTGCTGTTGCGCCAGCATGGAATAATCGCAGGCAAAACCTGAGGGACCCGTCACAAGAATCCGCTGACACCGTCCGGGTTAACATTACGGACTCTCACACAGTGCTCAAGAATGTCAGCAAGATCGAGCGGTTTATCGTGGAGCAGCTGCGAAAGTTCATTGATGACAACCTGGTGTTTCCAAACTTTCACTCACTGGACCTGCTCGGTGCGGACGAAGAAGACACTCCCTCGCATCGCGACGATCTCGACGACTTTGACTTTGACTGAGGACATCCCCGAATATGTATCATGACTATAGCGCACTGCATAATGTGCATTGCGGCCCTTCTGCCACCCTCGCATGTCGCCACTTCCGCTCAGTATAATAGAGACGGCCTCAGAAGTAACTCATCGACAAAAGCGATTATTGATGGGCTTGAGGAACCCCAGACAGCTAGTGCTGGTGGTGTATCCCATGATCTGCTGCTCATCCACTCCTGGAGCATACTTCGCGATCCAGGACCGGAGACGGAGATGGCTCGGCTGCTGCATCCATGGCTGCCGCTGTGGGTGGTTGATGGGTGAATGTGATCGGTCAGAGCGAGCATCCAGCACCGTCCGTGGATATCTCGCAGGCAAGGCGTCGTTTGCTGACCGCTCTGGAACCTTGAGTGTGGAGTGGAGCTTCATTGATCGTCCGTTGACGCTGTGCACTTGGAGCCGGTGGATCTCAAAGGATGGCCATCACAGATGAGAGCTGTATGTTGCCATCAGAGAGTCGCAGCCAGAAGCACACCAGGTTGCTGGTTGATTGTGTGCACAGTGTTGACGACAAGTGGATGGCGAGTGAGTCGACGGAATGGGTGGCGTTCGGGCGAGAGATGAAATGGCCTCTGTCCTCCTCTTTCCCTCCAAATCTCCTCAGCCTCCATCGCCCCAAGCGACAGGACAGCATCCTCGTCCACGATACCAGGCCGATCTCGCTCATACACCCACCCCGCGAGGCGTTATTGACATGGATCCAGGGGGCGCCTTCGACGAGTTCCTCCAGCAAAGCGACCTTGTTCGATACAAGGATGACTTTCTGGAAAACGAATACGACACGGTCGAGCTGGTGAGCAGAGGCAACATGGATGTCGCTCTGCGCCCCTGCCGATCAGCCAACTGCTCCTGACAATCAGCCATGTGTTCCAGCTTCTCGCCCTCAGTGTGGATGACATGAAGGAGATCGGAATGAAGCCAGGGGCTATCAAGAAGCTGCAAAGGGCCCAAGCGGCACATGCCTCCAACCCGCCAACTGTCGCCATCCAGCCTGACCCTCACCTTGCAGCAGCAAATACACCACCGATCATCATCATGCAGCCTCGAGACTATACTCCAGCGACTCCGACTGCAGAGTGGAAGTGCCAGTTGGAATATGACATTCACGATGTGTTCATCAGGTGGGCGAGCCATCGCATATCTCATCGGACCCACTCGCCACCAACTGACTCCTTACACCCGTCGCAGCTATCGAGTCAGCAGTGACACCGTTAATGCCATGGCCCTGCATGGAGCCCTGTCGGCCAACAGTCGGGGCGAGACAGCAGCCCATATATATCTCGACAGCCTCTGCCTTTGTGACGGCGCTGACTGGGAGCAGGGTTTCATCAACGGGCTGTATCGATCGAATGTGATTGTCTTGTTGCTGTCGGAGGAGGGTCTGAAACGCACCTTCGAGGCCCACCTCAAGCCAGACAACCAGTTGCTCGAGGTAACGAGTGAGCCGACAGCATCGACGCTGGAGGGTGGGCCAGTCCAATCTCACTCACTCTCGCCCTCACTCCCTCCACAGATCCAGCACGCTCTCAAGAGAATGAAGGATGAGGACACCACCGGCCAGCATGTTGTCATCCAGCCAATCTTCATGTGGTCGAAGCGACATGTTGATGGCAACGATCTATTCATGAAATACCTTCCCAACACGAGCGCCTTTCCTCGTTATCCTCCGATCCACAACAAGAGCCCACTGGTCGACGGACTTCCGATGACCATCCAGCAGACATTCAGCGACTTGATGAAGCTCCAGGCTCTCGATGCCGTTGATGAAAATGCTCTCAAGAGGTAACAGTCATTCGTCATGCCGACTGATCATCATATCCAAACCTGAACAACCTGAACGCTCACTCACTCACTCACTCACTCACTCACTCACTCACTCACTCACTCACTCACTCACTCACTCATCCACTCACTCATTCACCCATCCACCAAACTCAGGCTTGTCCCCAATATCCGAAACCTGATCACCAAGACCAAGACGGCAGCAGTCCAAGGAGCAACATACCACAAGGATAGTCCCATCCAACTCACCAAAGAACAGGACTCGCTCCTGCGATCCCTCCTCGATCCCGTCGACTCGACCCTGGACAGACGTGCACTCGAGGATTTGTATGTCGAGGGTACTCGCCAGTGGCTGTTTGACCAAACCACCGACTGGGTCAACCAAGACACCACCGACACTGTCCTGTGGGTCAATGCCGTTGCTGGAGTGGGCAAATCTGTCGCTGCTGCCCAGATTGCCAACATCCTCACAGCCACCAACCAGCTGGTGTCGGCGCTGTTCCTCAAATACAATGACATCCGCAAGAGCGATCCACGAGTGGTGTTGAACACCATCGCATACGGTCTGTGCAAGTGGCACTCGCCGATCGGCCGCAAGCTCCTCGATGCTGGCCACACCAAGGACGACCTCGACAAGATGAGCATCCCTGATCTGTTCAAGGCCGTGATTGCTGATCTACTCGAAGCCATCGGCGACTACAGACCCAAGGGATCGGTGATGATCCTGGTGGATGCACTCGACGAGTGCTCTCCGCGCGATCAGCTGCTCAGTCTGCTTGCCGTGCGCTTCGTCGAACTGAACAGGACCCGTCCGTGGCTCAAGTTGCTGATGACATCCCGACCCGAGGAGGACATCAAGGCAGCATTCGATGGAGTCCCGACCAAGACGATCGAACCCTCGAGCGAGGAGAACATCCGTGACCTCGAGGTGTTCATCCACCACCGACTGCGAGTGCACGACACTCTCAGTGACTCGGACCGCACCAAGGCAGTCGCCATCCTGCTGGACCAGTCCAAGACATTCGTGTGGATCAACCTGATCCTCAACACCGTCGATGCAGCATCCAGAGACGGCCCAGTGATACTCGCCACGATCAAGGACATCAACGACAGCGCCGCCGATGTCGGCCAGCTGTACAACAAGACATTCGCCAAGATCCACTCGCAGTCGAGCCACCCAGCCGAGCTGGTCACGGTGGTGTCGGCGATCGCCACGGCCCAGTCGATCCTGACCCCGCAGATCATCGTCGATGTGTTTGGACTCGAGATCGGCGTCGTTCGCGAGTGTCTCAAGAGCCTCACTCTGGTCCTCGATCCTGGCGCCAATGGACTGGATCCCCGAGACAGCCAGTCCACCAACACCGAGGTCAAGTTCAACCACAAGTCGGTGGCGGACTATCTCCTCGGCGATGCATCGACTGGCCATCCGTGGCATGTGTCGACCTCTTTCCACACGGTGTTTGCCAATAGATGTCTCGGTGTGATCCTCTCGCACAAGCCAGTGATCAATATTTGCGAGATCTTCGACTTTCACGACAATATCGCCGACCTCGAGGACAGGGTCGCAGCCAAGATCACGCCGTCGCTGCGATATAGCGTCGCCCACTGGATCACACACTTTGTGTGGTGTGTGGACGGAGAGGCCGAGTCGAGTCCGGTGTGGCAGTCGCCCGAGATGGTCGATGTGGCAGCGGTGCTCACTCGGTTCGTCAAGACACATGTGTTCTTCTGGCTCGAGTGTGGGTCGCTCACACATGTGGTCAAGCCGATCATCGAGCAACTGGCTGTGCTGCGAGGAGTGATCGCCAAGGCACCCAGCACCATCGTCGACGACACCACGAAGGAACTGGTCAAGGACACGTATCGATTCATCCGCGAGTTTGCCGACCCGATCATCAAGAGTGCACCACAGGTGTACAACTCGGGGTATGCATTCACACCGAAGGAGACGGCGATCTACAAGACATATGCCGACCAGCTCGAGGACAAGATCCCGTTCCTGGTCACGGCTGGTCCAGCACCCACCTGGGATCCGTGTGAGATGACACTCACTGGTCACTCGAGCCAAGTGAACTCTGTGGCGATCTCACCCAATGGCAAGTGGTTCATATCAGGCTCGAACGACAAGACCATCAAGGTGTGGGATGCCATCACAGGCCAAGCAGTCCTCACCATCGATGGCCACAACGACGAGGTTGCGTGTGTTGCACTCTCGTCCGACAGCAAGCTGATTGCCTCTGGCTCGTGGGACAACATGATCAAGATCTGGGATGCCACCACTGGCGAGTTGAAGCGGACGATCAAAGGATACAGCGACGCTGTGCGATCGATCTCGTTCTTTCCTGACAGTGCCTCGATTGTGTCTGGATCCAACGACAAGTCAGTCCGTGTTTGGGACGTTTCCACTGGCCGACTGTGTCTGTCGATGGACAAGCACAGCGATGAAGTTCACTCTGTGGCTGTTTCAGCGGACGGGTCCACGATTGTGTCTGGCTCGAGCGACAAACGCATCATGGTCTGGGATGCCACCACGGGTCGGTTGAAGCAGACCATTGAGAGAGGCAGTGACTGCGACGACCACGACGATGATGATGATTTTGACGATGATTTTGATTATGGGGACGACGAGATGGATGACGGCGGCAACGTGGTCAACAGTGTTGCTGTGTCGGCCAATGGTCAAGTGATTGTGTCTGGCTTTGGCGATGGCTCGATCGAGATCCGGAAGTCATCCACAGGCGAGCGAATCACACTCGATGGACACAGCAGAGATGTGACCTCTGTTCAGATCTCATCCGATGGCAGGACCATTGTCTCTGGCTCGTGGGACAACACCATCAAGATCTGGGACGCAGAATCGGGCCGGCTGAAGCAGACTCTCGAGGGCCACAGCAACTGGGTGAACTGTGTGGCGATATCGGTGGATGGCGCAATGGTTGTGTCGGCCTCCAGCGACGAGTCGATCAAGCTGTGGGATGTCGACACAAGCGGCATTCTGCCAAACAAAGCCACCAGCCAAACCACCAACTCAACCACCAGCCAAACCACCATCGAGCACACTGCCGATGTGAGTGCTGTGGCGGTTTCTGGTGACGGCCAGTTGATCGCATCAGGGTCCAGCGACAAGACCATCAAGATCTGGGACGGACACAGAGGCCAGTTGATCCACACTCTCGAAGGTTGTGACACCGGTGTCAAGTCGATCAACCTGTCCTTGGACGGTGACTTGCTCGAGTCCACTGACTGGCAAGACAACCGCACACTGTGGATCAGACACAACGGATGCTTTGTCCAGTCAGAAGTCTCGGGCGAGGAACTCCTGAAAGTCTCCACAGATCCACTGACACTCTCGAGTGTGTGGGAGAAGGTTGACATCCCGCAGTGGATACGGCAAGGAGATCAGATGTGCAAGGTTCCACATGGAATGTACGAGTGGAGTTGTCACCAAACCAGCACTCACGGGACACTGATCATGATGAATCGACGACCACTGGTGATCCAGGTGAGTCATGGCTTTGGGTCGCACTCGATTGATCACCTTGATGGCAAACTGATCGGGTCGACTCTGCACACAGACACACTTCAGTCATGGCTGCTTCCTTGAGGCTCGGGGAAACGACGGAGACCTGAGCAAGGCGCTTGAGTGTTTCAGGATCTCTGCAGATTGGGGTGAATCGGAGGCACAGATGCGGGTTGGATTGTGGTTTGAACAAGGTCGTGGGGCCGACAGCGATCAAGTTGCAGCAAGACATTGGTTCAATCGAGCAGCACAGAAGGGGCATCCCGACGGACAATTCCATCTCGGACGCTGCTTGGAGAATGGGATCGGTGGATCGATCGATCTCAGTGGAGCCGTCACTTGGTATCAGAAGGCTGTTGATCAAGGTCATGCAATCGCTGCAACGAGTTATTTCGAATTATCACAGCGACAATCTAATGCTGGAAATGTCGATGCCCAGCTCCACCTTGGTCGATGTTATGAACATGGAATCGGAACATCGGTTGATACTACTCAAGCACTGAGTTGGTATCAGAAGTCTGCTGATCATGGTCATCCTGGTGCTCAATTCCACCTTGGTCGATGTCATGAACATGGAATCGGAACATCAGTTGATACTACTCAAGCACTGAGTTGGTACCAGAAGTCTGTTGATCAAGGCCATGCAAGCGCCTCAAAGAACTATTTCGAATTATCGCAACTGCAATCCAACAAATGGGATCGTGAAGCCCAGCTCCACCTTGGTCGATGTTTTGAACATGGAATCGGAACATCGGTTGATACTACTCAAGCACTGAGTTGGTATCAGAAGTCTGCTGATCATGGTCATCCTGGTGCTCAGTATCACCTTGGTCGATGTTTTGAACATGGAATCGGAACATCAGTTGATACTTCTCAAGCACTGGGTTGGTACCAGAAGGCTGTTGATCAAGGCCATGCAAGTGCAGCAAAGAACTATTTCGAATTATTACAGCGACAATCTGACGAGAGAAATGTCGATGCTCAGTATCACCTTGGTCGGTGTTTTGAATATGCAATCGGAACACCAATTGATCCTGTGCAAGCTTTGACTTGGTATCAGAAGGCTGCCGATCGAGGTCATGCCAACGCCGCAACGAGTTATTTCGAATTATCACAGCGACAATCTAATGCTGGAAATGTCGATGCACAGCTCCACCTTGGTCGCTGTCATGAACATGGAATCGGAACATCGGTTGATACTACTCGAGCACTGGGTTGGTACCAGAAGTCTGCTGATCATGGCCATCCTGGTGCTCAATTCCACCTTGGTCGATGTCATGAACATGGAATCGGAACATCGGTTGATACTACTCGAGCACTGGGTTGGTATCAGAAGTCTGCTGATCAAGGCCATGCAAGTGCAGGGAAGAACTATTTCGAATTATCGCAACTGCAATCAAACAAAGGGGATCGTGAAGCCCAGTTCCACCTCGGTCGATGTCATGAATATGGAATCGGAACATCGATTGATACTGCTCGAGCCATGACTTACTACAAGTGGGCTGCTGACCAGGGACACGATGAATCCAGCCTCAGCCAAACATTCCTTCACGCCTGGGCTTGCTTCCTTGGTCTTGGTTTACCACAGAGTGACTCCGATGCTTTCAACTCCTGGCAAGATATCCACGACCACTCCAATGATCCAATCCACAAACCCATCGCCACTCACATGCTTGGCTGGATGTTCTATCTTGGCCGAGGTACCGAACGAGATCAGCGGAAGGGAATCCAACTCATTCGCGACAATCAGTCGAATATCTTCCCACTTGGAGAGAACAATGGTCTCGCGGTACGACGTGCTTCATTCACAACACCTTACTCTCCTGCTGTGCGGAAGTTTGCCGAGTTATGCCAACTTGGATCCACACACGATTGGCTCTGCAATCATCTGTTTGCCGTCTCCCTTGCCCAAGGCTTCGGAATCGCCAAGGATGTATCAATGGCAGCAAGTATCTTCGAGCAACTCGCCAAAGATGGTCACAGTGACAGCCAGGTTTGGATTGGAGCGTGTTATTATTATGGCTGTGGTGTTCCCAAAAATGACCCAAAGGCTTTCGAGTGGTTCTCGAAGTCAGCCGATCAAAACAACTCATATGGACAGTGGATGATGGGTCGATGCTCTTTATGGGGAAATGGAGTCCGACGTGACCCCGCTGCAGCCATATCATGGTTCCAGATATCGGCCGATCAAGGCAATAGATACGGACAGACATTTTTGGGACAATGCTACGAAAATTCTTTGGGTGTCACCAGGGACATTGACAAAGCCATTGAATGGTACCGCAAAGCTGCTGAGCAGGGATATCAAATTGCTCAGGGTCGGCTGGAAGTGCTCCTCAGATAGTATCGTCCCGTACCCAGCTTCAAAACCCTTCATCGCCTTGAACCCTGTTGTCCTCGAATAGGTTGCGCTGCATATCGATATTCACGTTCTCATACTAGTAACTCACTGGATCACGGCTCTATTTTGCGTTCTCTGCTGACCAGTAATGATAATATGATGGGTGCTGGTCGCTCTGCCGTGTTACACTTTGGCCAATCCAGACTCATCAAGAGATTCGATCGACTCGGATCGTCGTTGTGTTTGTCATCTAGTCTTGGGACGAGCGTGCATCATTCGGGCTACTGACACAATATCACGGTTCTGAGATGCATGGATAAATTGACCAAGGCTTGTCGACGCCAAATCAGAGTCGATCAATGATTCAAACTGGACTTCCATGTATTTTATGCGGCTGGCAAGAAGCGATGACACGACGATATCAAGGGCGGAGCAGACATAGTGAGCGATAAAAGTCGCCATTGTCGAACGAAATGGCAAGGTGGCTCGAGCAAGGTGAGTTCATGAAAATTGGATCGTAAATAGAGGGTGAGAGTTGGTCTCGTCTCATCCGCGCCCACATTCGGCCAATCGACTTCAGCATTTGGCATCGATGAGTCTAGTACTGCGAGGCCTGGCGATCATAGTTGGCACCTGGGCGAGATGCATAGCAGTACTTGTCAGCTGAGGCCTCAAGCCTGTCTCGATCGAGCGGCAGACAACGGCCGAATGTGATGTCCTCGCTGCAGTCAAGCTGTTGGCTGCAGACAAGCTGTTGGCTACCAAGACACTCAGGATATGCGCATATCCAAGGAATCTCGGTCTCTGCATCCCACATCCGAGACCTACCCATGGCTTTCTGGACCTTCAACTTGACCTCCTTGTCCGACAAGTCCTAGAGAGGAGTCGCAGATCAACCCGTTGGCATTAGTTGCCCACTCGAGAACCGAACAGGGCCACATCCAGATTCCAATCTGCCGAGACATATGTTGTGTCCTGCACTGGAGGATCGAGCTCGATGGCTGCACACTCTGCAACAACGAGCTTGAGCCGTGGATGCAGGTTCATGTTGCTCCTCCCATCCCACGGAGACCGTTGCTCTGTATCCGCACACTGTCGAGATATCCGATTTGATCTCCCCTCGCTTCCTCGGTCGGATGTGGCAACACCGCTACCACTCGAGAGAACCCTACCTCGGAGGTGGATCCTGCAATTTCGACAGCAAAGGACTTGATGATGCCCTTGACATCGGCGATGTGGACGGCGAGCTTGGCCTTTCTCATGACCTTGACTTGGGGACCGCACCTGCGAGTAACGTTGTCCATCAGCGACTGCACTGCACCGGCAGCAACAGCTCTCCACCAGCGTCACGAGCTGCGAGACAGATGGGCAATAGCTCGAAGCAGCACATATTACGGGACCACCGTTCGAACAAAAACCCTCAATCCATACCAGGAAATCAGAACAAACTTTTGGCGCAAGCTCAGCTCGTCGTTGCCAATCGTCATTCGGAGGTAGCCGAACGAGGCCTTCTCGGGCTTCAGATGTTCTCGCAGCTCGTCAAGCCCTCCGGCGCCTGGATACGCGCAGAGAGCATGGGACCCGAGGGATATGAGAGCAGAGATATACAGCGGCGGGATTAGCTGGGCCTCTGTTCAGGAACGAGCTGCACCGGACCCTTGACGCTCTGACATTGCTCGGTGTCTTGGCTCGAGGCTGTTGCTGGCCCTCTGAGCGTGGCCGATGCAGTCGGCGGCCCAGGCAAGCACATACCGGTGGCAGAGACAAAGAGGACATCGCTCTTGTCATCGATGTAGTCAAGGAGCAGCCTGCAGCAGCAGAGGAGAGTGAGCAGACAGTCGTCAGGGCGCCGGTGCTTGACCACGAGGGGATTCGGCGACGCGAAGGCCATTTTACCAGTTGGTGGGGGTCTTGTCGTTGCGAACGTCCTCGTAGGCGGCGACGATATCACCTTGGAATTCGACCATGGCAGGGATTCAGTGGACAGATGGGGAGGCAGAGTGTTGACGGCGTCGCTTCGGCTCGGCGGGACGGCGGATGGATGCAGCGCTGGGATCAAAGCAAGGGGGACGGCGGCGGGCAGCGCCGGAGAGGGGATATATCGAGGCCAAGACGACCCCGGCCGACCCCACAGCGACAGCGACGACGATGGGCAGCAAACAAAGGACGGGAACTCTGCGATTGGAAGGTCTGGCGAGAACGGCGGGCGATGCAGAACAATCGGCGGGGCGAGCCGAGGCGACTGCTCATTGATACTGTTAAGTTGCTGGTTGTGTTAATTTGCTGGCTGTGTTGAGTTGATGGCTGTTGAGTGGTAAGGATATCGGCGAGTGATATTGCTGGGCAATGTTGAGTATGTTATCAGCGAGGGATAATGCCCGCCGATATGCACAAGTATACTGTCGACGGACTGCTGTCGTTGCTTGGGATGTGCGATGGCCGTGATCGGAATGAATTGCGAGTGATTACCGCAACACCCATACCCGAATGGGCGAATGAGCCGAACAAGTAACAACCCCGCTCGCCCACATTAACATGTTATCGTTAACATCTCACGGCGAATATTCGACATCGCCTTCACATATCGCCCAACCGATGCCGGGGATGATGGACCGCACTGCCCGACGACGATTGTCTCGGCCGCACATCTCAACAACCCCCCACAGCGACACCGCCCCGTCCGCATCGATCGCCGCATCGATCGCCGCATCCAGAGAGCTCTGTCTCCATCTCGCCCTCCAATCGCCCGCATCCGTGCATCTTGGATTGCCATCAGGACATTGCTGCGTCTTCGATCTGTCTTCGATCTGTCTTCGATCTGCTTCCAGCTGCTGTTCGCTTCGTCCTCAGCCCACCATCATCACCAGCCCATCCATTCGCCTGCTCGCCACATGGACCATTCCGCCGAGGACGTCCCCTCGTCGTCATCCGAGACATCCCAGCCGCGCCGGTTTCGGGACGAAGGCGTAACAAAGTCTCGTTCCAGATCGTCGCTGCGATACTCCAGCAGCGAGTCGATTGCCGAGGAGGACGAGAGCGATGGTCTCGAACAAGTGCCCGTGGCCTCGTCCTCGGAGCAGATCCATCCGGCCGAGCTGTCGCTACCTTTGATTGAAGAAGACTCGAGAATGTCGAGCTCGACGTCGCTGGAGGCCGTTGTGGGTGTGGAGGTAAGCCGACATGCGCTCTGTCCATGCCAACTGCTCGTGCTGGATGGGTGAGATATTATCACACAGCGATCGGCTACTGTCGGAGCAAAGACTCGCCGAGCAAGGATTCATTGCGCCGGTGCTCAACCATATCTCTGTCGCTCATCCCATCAACGCTCTCATCCACAACAACGACTCTACTGCCCATCCCACCGACTCTACCATTCATTGCATCCCATCCTGTCGACCCCGCACACCGCCGCACACGCCCGCATCGCCGGTCCTGCCGGGGTCCTGTTGTGTCCTCTCCCTTTGCCTCCTCATCCGCCTCATCTTCCACATCTTCCACATCCCTTGCCTCATTCCCGGCGACCAGCCAACAACGGCCCAGCCAACAGCCGCTGCCCAGCCTTCCCTGGCCTCTCCGCCCATCAACATGTCGTTCAGCCGGCAAACCGTTGTCGACGACTCGGATGATGACACGGACCTATCGGAGCTCACTCGGCGAGACTACATCAACTCGCTCTTTCGGTAGGCTCTGTCCGATGGCGGCCCTTTGCCCTTCGTCGTCGCCTCTATCCCTTGGTTTGAAGGTGTGCTGCTCCTTGGTCCTCCGGGCACTTGCTCATCGTCTTGCCCACCTCGCCAATGCCGGGTCCTCCCCAGGCCCGTTCCCCCCGGCCAGCGGCTCCTATGTCACATCATTCGCTACCGAGAGGGCAGGACCAAAATGTTTCCGCATTTCCACATGATGATCGAGCAGAACGACGGATCGCCCGCGCTGTTTGCCCTCTCGGCTCGAAAGCGGCGCAAGACAAAGACTTCGGACTATATCGTCAGTCTGGATTCGTCGACAAACTCGCCAAACACCCAGATGGTCGGCAGGCTCCGGTTGGTATCCGCTCCACCAGCTGAACGAGTTAACCTGCGTCTTGCAGCCTTCTGGAGGGTCATATCGACGATGCCGCCACACTCACACTCACGCTGCCGCTGCCATCATCCAGCTCGAACTTTATCGGAACCGGATACACCGGCTCGGCGCTGAAGAGCACCCCGCAACCTGGCTCGGGCGGCCCCGAGAGACCGCCGCTGGTCGAGCAAGTGGGCATTCTCTATGTAGGTGCATGCTGCGGGATGATGGGTCCGTGTTCGGCATCTCGGAACAAGTGCGTTCGCGGTGAATTGACACTGCCTTCTCATCAACATGACAACGGTCATAGGAACCCAACATTCTGGGACTCAAAGGGCCCAGAAAGATCTCCATCATCCTGCCGACGATGAACAAGCAGGATGAGCAGAACGACATTCCGTTCTCAAAGGTATCGCCACTGGCGCGCGACGAATCCTCCGCATCCTGGCTGTCGACGGAGAACATCGCCTGTCGCATCAGCCTTTCCTGACTCTCGTTCATCACACCCAGGACAAGGAAGTGCTCTTGAGTCTGATCAAGAGCGATGCAAAGAAGGATCTTGTCATGCTGCACAACAAACCACCCCAATGGAACGATGGTGAGTGTCCGCCGTGGGAAGGCCGGTCCGACTGAAGTCCATCCGTCGCTGTCGGCTCGGAGTCAGCATATCTCCTTGAGGCAGGAATCTCAGAAACCGACCATGGCATACCGGCACTCGGTACCATTCCTTGGCTGCCGTGCCACTGCTGCCCCAATTTCTCGATGCTGCCACGAATGGCCCTCATCGATGCCACCATCTCTCCGCGTCAGAAACACATTCATACGTGCTCAGCTTCGACGGACGAGTGACCGTTGCGTCCGTCAAGAACTTTCAAATTGTCCACGACCATGACCGTGAGTGGCTTGTCCGATCGGCCGACATGCACTTTAGCAGAGACAGGGAAACCACTTGCCATCACCCCTGCTCACCAACTCTTCGTCGCCATTCCTTGTCACCGGCACTCAGTGGACTACATCGTCATGCAGTTTGGACGAGGTAAGCCACATCGAACACCTTAGCCATATCTACTGCCTTAGTCATATCTACCGCCTTAGCCACATTGACTGCCGCGCACACGTTCGCCTTTGAAGGAGGCAGAACAGTGTTGTGTTGCTGCATCGCTGCAGTCGGTCCAGCAGATGACTCGCTCGATCCTAAGCCTTGCCGCCGTTTGTAGTGAGTTCGAATCGGTTCAACCTGGATATTCAGTATCCGCTATCGCCGATACAGGGCTTTTTGATAGCGATCTCGAGGTGTGTATCGGTGGCTGTCAATGTCCTCGCTCGCCCGTGCGAATATTTGCATCCATGTGGCTTCAGCGCACTCGACCACTACAGCTCACATCTGCCCGTCTGCACATTTACGTATCGATGGGCATTACGGTTTCACATCTAGCTTCGACCGCAAGATCGCTTGCGAGTAGGATCTCTGCTCTTCAACTTCCTCCCCCGTTGGTGCTCTCGGGCTCATCAGGAGCTCGTCGCCGTCCTGGCAGAATCGCCGCATCGCCGACGAACAATATTGGCGCGCAGGAGAGGATTATGGGTCCAAATGCCAACCTCCCGCGCTGAGCTCCTCCAACCACCCGCCCTGCAAAACGCCCGCCAAGTGCTGAGAACCTCATGTGCCCTGCCGATCGAGTCCAGCACTGCTCTTCCTTCTGTGCCTTGAGCGACCGGCACCGCTGTGATCACCGTCGTTGGTGTCGTTGGCACTAGTATATCGACCTTGCGCTGCCGCCGCCCCCTGCAGCCCGCTTCACTTCAGCGCCCTTCAAAGCCATAGCCTCGTATCGACTTGAACTGTGTGTGGATTCTGAATAAATGACCGTCCCCGCAATCGTCATCAAGCACCTGAGGAAAGGTAGCTGTGAGGCTGTGATATTCGCTGAGCATGCGCACTCGGCGCCTTGGCTGACGGGGAGTGTCAGAGCCATGCTCATGGTTCGTCAGTGCTCTCGACTCTCATCTGGAGCAGATCCCCATTCCGGAGCCATGAAGCCTGACGCACTGCTTGCTGCCTCTCTTGTATCATGCGCCGCCCGCTGGATCCAGAATACCATCTGCCCGATGGCGAGGTCATCACCGCCCTCAATGACATCCACCTCAGCGACGACTCGGACTTTGATCCCATCGGCCAGGGCGAGTTTGTGATGCTCCGGGGGCCCTCTGGAGGCGGCAAGACTAGCCTGCTCAACATCCTCGGCACCATCGACACCCTGACACAGGGAAACATTGGTATGGCTGCAGATCCGATGCATCTGGGCGGTTGGCACAAGACCTGCAGGAACCGGATGGGCAGCACTGTCGAACCGAGAGTTGGACGGAGCCAAGAGTCGATGATGCTGCCTCAGCGACCTCTGCCGGTCCTGTTGTCGATACAAACCGTTTCGCTCGGTCCATCTATTGACAATTCATATGGCGACAGAGATCCTGGGGCACCAGATCGACAACCGATGCACAGATCGGTTCCTCTCGAACCTGCGTCTGCGACAGATCGGTATGGAGGGAGGACGAGTGGAACCCAAGCCCGAGACCTACCGTTGTCGCCTGGGAGATTGAGGGACGGGAGTGAAGGGGGGGGGAAGCTCACGACACTTCTCGTTCCGAGCCCATCACCCACCAGCATGTATCCGTCGCCGTTTCGCATTCTTTTTCTCACCCGTTATGCCTGCTTCGTGGCGGGGGGGGGATACAATCGACAATGTCTTGTTCTCGCCCAGGGTTTGTTTTCCAGACATTCAACTTGCTTTCAACGATGACGGCCCTCGAGAATGTCGAGCTTCCGATGGCGATTGCGAACGAGCTGGACGAACGACAGCGGCGCGAACGAGCGCTCGAGTTGCTGGCGAGTAAGTCGAGGCTTGATGGTGATGGTGATGGTGATGGTGATGGTGATGGTGATGGTGATGGTGATGGTGATGGTGATGGTGATGGTGATGGTGATGGTGATGGTGATGATGGTGATGGTGATGGAAATGATTCTAGTCGTGATGGCGATGAAGAACTATGGTCGTCTGGACGTCCATATCAAGGCGCAAAGTGCGGCGACCATGAATGTCGACTAACTGCCGATGCTTCTTCCCTTGCAGTGGTTGGCCTGCGGGATCGAGTCAACCACCTCCCTTCCGAGCTCTCTGGAGGCGAACAGCAGCGGGTGTAAGTGGCTGGGGAAGGGGTTGACCGGTACTCTGGAACTCTGGTTGGGAGAGATCTCGGACTGACGGCCTGTTGCTCTGCGAATACTACTACTACTCCGATCCCGGCAGCACCATTGCAAGGGCGCTCTCGAACAGACCTCAGATCCTGTTGATGGACGAGCCAACCGGTGATCTCGACAGCAGCAACACCATTGACGTCATGGACCTGATCCTGCGCATCAACCAGCAGGACAAAGTAACGATCGTCATGGTAGGCACGGGCTTGGCCAGGATCCACAGGCTCGCTTTCTTTGCCGTGGATGAGGGAATAGCATGGGCTCCTTCCGGGAGTGACCAGCAAACTGATTCAGCGAGCGATTCCCGCCAGGTCACTCACAACCCCGACGTCGAGTGTTATGCCAACCGATTGCTCTATCTCGAAGACGGCGTCATTGTCAAGCAGGCTGTCAACAAGGTAACGGCGTGTTCTGTTGGCTGCATCGCTGGGACGATGTGTGAATGGGATGGTGTGCGATTCATACGGAGCCGTGAGTATCGTCGAGGTGAGGGCCGCCGTGGCCTAATGTAACTCCAACGCCCGCGGCTGCAGATTCAAGTGCCCCTTATCCTTCAAGACTACCAGCGTAAGCACCCGAGTCCATTGAAGCAGCAACGACAGGGGGTGATGGCTGAGCGATCTTTGGCAGGACTCTAACCTTTTGGACTCTGTCGCACCCTAGGGTATTTGTCCAGCAAGGACCAATAACGGCTGGCATTATGGCTATCTTTGGGAATGCCTCGTGCAGGCGAGAAAAGGGATACCCATCGAGTCCACGGAGACTCGGGTTCACCAAGCACTTTGAGTCATTCCACCACCAGAGATGCCCAAGACCCAGAACACAGCCAGCGAGTCGTTCGACACTCTTGATGTCGAGATGCTACGGCGCTATCCGACTGGCTAAATGCGTGTTGCGTTCCAATACAATCCCTTCCCAAATCCTACAGCCGGCCAGTTGATACGAGGGTGCAAATGGACATATCAACGGCATCAGCGCTGCCGCTTGTTGGGGGTCATGCCGGGGGTGCCCAAGCTTCGTTTGAGCTGTGTATGAATGGGGAATAAAGTCGCCAGCGAGGCAGCGAACCGAATGTGAGCAGGTGAGCCAAGAAGAAAGCAGCAAAGGCAGCGAATGTGACCCGTAGCGGTTTGGTGAATGCACAGGATATGCACGAGTCTGCGCTTGGCGTCCCGACTCCACAGAGTGCACGACTCACCATGCTCCCGCCCGGATGAAGCGACGGCCGCTTTCCGGCTCCGTCGTGTTCATGGCCGTGCTTCTTGGCAGTGAGCATTTTGAGCTCGTGCTCGGCCTTTTCGTGCTGGCGCTTCAGCTCGATCAAGATTTGGATGTTGGATCGCAGCTCTTCGTACTTGGCCATAACTTGGGCCGTGGGCATGCGCGGCCGAATCGCTGGAGCGAGAGTCACCAGAAGCAGATGTAAGGGGCAGGCGAGGACAGCAGGACGCCGAGGCTACAGAAACGTGAGACCGGCGCGAGTGGCAATGGCGATGAAGCCTACCAACTCCGAGCTCTTCCAGCATGTGGTGGACCTTGGGTATTAACGCTGTCTTGAGCGGCGTCAGCTTCTGACTTCGAGCATAAATCATCGCCTGGGGCTTCGCGCTCTTCAGAGGCGAATCCAAAGCTTGAGAGCGGCCATGTCAGCAAAACAAGTACAGCTCGGCTCGATGCAAAGCAAACACACACACTCCCCTTCCCAGCATATCGTCCTGGCCTTGATCCAGCCATGAAGCATAAAAACGAATTGCGCGCACTTGCTGCCAACATCCCTGGCAACAGCAGAGCAGCTCACCCTCGGCAGATTCGGCGGATTTCGTGTGCGATTTCTTGAGATGACGTCCCTCGTGGCTCGGCGACTCTGCCGCCGGGGTGCCTGGAGTGGCTGTAACGATTTTCTGGAGCGACTTTTTCTTTTTCTGCCGATGATGATGATGATGATGATGATGATGATGATGATGATGATGGTGATGATGATGATGGTGGTGGTGGTGGTGGTACAGATATTAAATGGGCAAGTCGGCCACACAGACTTTTCAGCCAATGCTATCTTTCAGCGCAACCATCGGCTCCAAATCCATTCGCCAAACCAAGACCATTGGTCTGATAGAGCCAATCTTGCCCCCCCCCCGACGTACCCTGAGACTCTCTGAATGGTCAGTCGTAGTCGCTGCAGCCTCGCCCGAGCCTGTGGGTTTCTGAGATCCTATGCTTGTGGAATCGATGAATCGCAGATCCGACACCAACAGATCTCGCTCGCGAGCAGTCCGGGTTTCGTTTTGCTGACGTTGGCGAAGCTCGTAGACCAGATATGCCTCCTCCTAATGCGACAATGCGATCAGCGTGAGCCAGGCCGAGATCAATAGCCTGTGGTGGGTCTGGACACATGCTTCGGTGCCATGTACGGTGCTTTCGATTGCGCTGTCCAGCCCTGCAGCTCAGGATCCAGTGACCCACCATCATCTGCTCCCTCGAGCGGCCCAGTAGCGTTCGCAGGTTCTTCTTGCGCTCCACTTCCTTGTTTTTGTCAAACTTGTAGTTCTGCGGGATCAGCTTCAAAGAGCCCAGCTTGTTGTTGATGACAAAGATCCTGTCCTTGAGCTCCTGCATGCGCCGGGGATTCAGTGACGCTCGATCAGGGAACAGCATCCACGAGAGGCACAGGTTTCGACAGATGGCTCACCTCCATCGTCCGCATCTTCCCCGGGAACTCGTACCGGTCGTGAATGACAAACCAGCGCAGGTCATATGTCTTGCACAAGCCAAACAGGTAGTCGGTCTCCTCCTTGGTCCAGTCTGGATCTGCCGAATGCAAAACAATGTCCCGAATGGGGACGGATGTGAGGCTTGGTTATCGGGCCGTGAGGATTCAAGGTGGCTCATCGGCCGTCCAAGATATGATTCATGCTCTCTGTCCTCGATCGCACGCCGCAGCAAAGACAGAGGAGATGTGTAAAATGTTCGTCGCTGACCTTCGAGATGGGTCCGGTACTCTTCGTCGGTGTACTGAACGATACCAAAATCCCGGAAGGTGAAATCAGGTGGTTTTTCTGGCGATCGTAGCGGGTCCGCAGACAGAGAAATCAGTCCGACGAGCCATGTTGGATATCGACATCACCGTCTTTGGCTCCTGCACCGGCCCGGAGCCACAGAGCATCTGGGACTCGGAAGCATCGACGATCCTGCCAACGCACCCGAATCGTCGCCGGTCGATTTCTCCCAGTGACTGAGAACGAGGCCGTCTGTTCGTGACGGAACAACAAAGGGCTTCCAGAGCCTGTTTTTATATCCAGGAGATTGGCATTGTGGACGAAGCGGCGAGAACATGGCCGGTGAGCGAATGAGCAGGAGGCTTTGCGGTCATCGACCGATGAAAACGCAGCGGCTCGCTCAATGCAGACCAAACCCAAGTGCCACCGTCGACTAATCGAATCTGGTGGCGATCCTTCTGCAGCAATGGATGCAGAGCCAAGGGCCGCCTCTGCACGCCTGCCCTACCATTTGCTTGGTGTCGACGAGTCGGTCGGGATGGGTTTTGGGGTGATCTGGAGCGACGGAATGCCGCTCGCCAGCTTGGTGGACATTGCAGTGAGCGCGGCCTGGGAGGGATGGTTGGGTTCGGTTGGGCCTGGAGGCAAGCTTGCGGTCCTGGTGGATCTGTCGCCGGCAGCAGCAGCAGCAGCAGCAGCAGCAGCAGCAGCAGCAAAGGGTTGGATCAGGTCCGAGAGGACCAAGCAGCGAGCAACCAAGCGCCAGCCAGGCCGCCTTGCGATTTTGCCTTGGAGCGACCCCCGCCCTTCGCTGCGATCTGGCTCTCTTCCCGATCCACCCGGCCGTTTGCGACATGAGCGACGTCCGAAGCCTACTGAAGCAGGCCAAATCAGCCCGGGTGGTCAAGCGGGTCAGCCATCCGCTGGCCAAGTACGACGGCGATAAACTCAAGTGCGGTGAGCGGCGCTGGACCGATCTCGACACATTCTGTGGCATCGATCGTATTCGGTGGGTAGGATGCTGCATCGTTTCTGGACCGGCATTAACGCAGCGCTACTTTATGCACCCGCCCGCATATGTACCTTCGATTTACTGCTCGCAGCCGTCTGCAATGTCCCGGTCAAAGAGGCACTGTTCACGGCGCATTTGGCAAGCAAGTCTCATAAGGAGGCGCTTCTTCAGCTGAAGCAGAAGGCACAGGCCCCAGGTCCAGCTCCAACCAAAGCGACCGCCCAAGCCGCTGCCCCGCCAAAGACTCGTCAGTCAGCAGCTCCATCGGCTTCTGCCGTGACGGGCCTACTGGCACAGGGATACGGCGATGACAGCGACGAGGAGCCGAGTGAGGACGACGAGGCGCAAAAGTCGTCCGCAAAGAAAATGAGACTTGATACCACGGCCGGGAGCACGGGTGCACTGTCGGCTCTCCCAAGCGGCTTCTTTGATCAGGCCGCTGGACCGGCAGCACCCGAGGCCGAAGCCACACCCGAGCCGGCGCTCGACAAGCTCCCGTCCAACTTCTTTGACCAGCCCACCAAGGAGGAGCAATATCAGCATGAGCAAGATGCCGAACGCGCGCTGCAAGATCAGATCGCCGAGTTCCAAAAGTCCATCGAGGAAGAGGCTCGAGCCTTTGATGTCGCAGACGACTTTGAAGCCGAAGAGCTTGGCCTCAGCCGAGGGCTTGAAGAGCAGCAGGAGCAGATGTCGCTTGCGGCGCGATTACAGGAGCTGAAGGCATCACGACAGCGGATGCAGCAAGTCGACTCGAGAGACACCATGACAGCCCGGGCAGGCATCACGGGCAATGCCGATCAAGAAATGGAAGACACATCGGCCGCTCTCGACCAAGACGAGGATGAGGACGAAGACGAAGACGAAGACGAAGACGCCTTTGGATGGAGGAGCAAGGAGCTGTAGCCGGTGATGTTTGGCTCTGTTGCTATGCTCCGGTTCTCCCGCAAGACATGAATACAGTTTCGAGCGATATCATGCCGCAATGGATACTGCATTCAGCGGACGGCGACGCTCCGGGGCACGCCAAAGAGAGTGCTCCTGTGCAGGCAGTCAGGCGAATCCACAGCATCGATCGCTGTCCAGAGAGGCCGTCCAATCCATCGCAGTATCGATACAATTGGGATCATGAATGATGCAATGGGACCATGATCGATGCAATTGGAATCATGAATGTACATTTGGAACCGTGATCGATACGGCCAGTCTCTTCGAGGTCTGCCACAAATGAACGTGCTCCAGCGATTAAACTGTGGCATCATGAATCGTCGATGTGAGCCGATGCTCAACTCGGAATCATCAGATTCAGAGCTATCGGAGGCCGACTGGTGATGCGTATCCTTGTGATTTCCGAGCCCGGCAGGTTGATGTGCCAACCTCGACCAACGGTGTATCGTCTCATTGATTGTTCATCACCGTCGGTTCAATATACGGCTGGCTTGCCCGCTGCTGTTCATCGCACCGCCGACTGCGAACGGGGACCACCGGGTGCTCACTGCGAGTCCATCAGAGCAACGGCCATGCCGTCGCTGGCGTGCGGCTTCGTTGGTCCGGTGGCCGCAAGTCACCAGGCCTGCAAGCACGCTCATTGCCCGCCTGCCCTCGGCCTGACCATTGCTGCCCCTCCTCCTCCCTCGATCAGCTTTCCTCCCACTCCCACTTCCACTCCCACTCCCACTCCCACTCCCACTCCCACTCCCACCACCCATCGCCGCCCAAATGGTTCCTCTGGTCGCTCGTCCGCTTTCTCGCCTCCCCCACCTCGGCCACGCCCGCATCCCCTTCCGTGCCCTCCACAGGAATGCTATGCTGAGCCAGTTCCCCGAAATAACCGCCACCGCATTCTCGGATGCGGCTGCGGGCTCGGTGCCACCCAGTCCCCCTCCCGCAAAGACCACCGTCGCCGGAAAGGCCCAGTCGATCGTCAAGTCCATCCTCCATGGCGTCTCCGAGGACGACTCGCCGTTCCAGGAAGTCCAGGATACCCATTCCAAGTTGCTGGCCAGGGGCAAGTACGTCCACGAGCTCCAGAGTATGTATCGTCAGCTGTATTCAAGCCTGCTTGCGTTACACTGCGTCGGCCCGTTCCAGAAGAGCGTCAGGTTGGTCTTGGCACGCCGATGCTCGCACTTCTCACCCGTAGCAATACGCATCTCATATGCTTGGCCGTGCAGTCCATGACGTCAAGCCCGAGGCCTGGGACGATTATCTCGGACTGGTGTAAGTCCGGTGCTGCCTCTACGCAGAGAGCACAATCGATCTGTGCGAACGCACCGATCTCACAGCTGCGACGGCCCTCCTCTCTTACCAGGGGCGAGCGCTACACCAAGGTGGCCGAGGATCCGGCCTTCAAGGTCAAGTTGTTTGGCAGCTGGACCACCGAAATCGGCGACCTGGACCAGGCCGGTAAGCCATTCTGGCGAACTCCTTGCTCGAGGATCTCCATCACGGCATCAGATCTGACGGCCCGCCCGTTCGTCGCCATGGCCGATCTCTCACCCACGGCTCGGTCTCCCCCTTGGCAGTGCACGTTTGGGAATACAATCACTATCCGGTATGTCGATGGGCAGGTTTCCTGGCCGGTCTCTAGCCCAAGTCGACAGCCGAAACTGATCTATGTTGTCGCATGCCGTCCAGGGATACACCGAGACCAAGGCGCTGCTGGCTCAGGATCTGGTATGCATCCGTGCTATCGCCGGGGAGGCGGCGGCCTGGACTCTTCAGACCCTGGTCCAAGGAGCACGACCAGGGGCAACGACGCGTCAAACTGCTGTTCAGCCGATCCGCTCGGCTGCTGGATCCTCTGCCGACCGGCCACAGGTGCATTGCTGACCTCCAGATCTCCATTCATGCGTGTCCATGGCTCGCACAACTTGACAACTTGGCTGCATGGGTATGCGTCAACCAGGCACACCGCGAGTTTGAAAAGAAGCTGCGCCCGATGCTGCGCCAGCGAAAGAACCAGATCATGCTCGAGTTTGCCTTCTGGGCAGGCAGTCCTCCCGCTGCCCACGGTGGCGTCTACGAGCTGCGAACCTATCAGCTGAAGGTGGGTCTGATCGTGTCTTTGGAAACTGATAACGTGGTCTCGATCGGTACTTTGTCGCTTCAACCCGGGCTTGCCTGTCGCTGTGTCCGACCGTCGCCACGGATCTGGCTTTGATTGAGTTACTGCTCGGTCTGCATGCTCACAGTCGCTCTTCTCGATGACGAATGCCTTTCGGGCAAACAAAAATGTCCTTTCCCACACACGGCGTTGCTCGCTTGATGCTTGCCATCGTATTTGGATGCATATGCATATCCATAGCCCGGCCGCCTGCTGGAATGGGAGACTGAATGGTAGGTGCTGGAGCTGGAGCAACAAACGCCCATCCATTCGCTCTTGTCTGGATTCTCCAAATGAGGTCAGCACTGAGCATGGAGGATTGTGTATGCGCATGCTGAATCGCTGTGTCTCGAAGGCGTCGCGGACTCGAGGCTCGCCGCAAGCACGTCCAGCCGATTGGTGCCTGGTTCTCGCAGCTTGGCCATCTCAACTATGTCCATCACATGTGGGTCTATCCGTAAGTATCACATGCTCTCGCTCGCCAGAGACTCCTCGAGCCTCGCTCATCCGCCAATAACGCTTCAGCCGGCCAAACGGGCACTGTTCTAACTGATTGCCCGTGGCTTCGGATGTATTCATAGCGATCTCCAAACCCGAAAGGAGAGACGAGAGGCCGCGTGGCAGGTCGAGGGATGGTCACAGACAGTTTACAAAACCGGTGAGTGGCCGCGGCTGCTCTCGAAAAGGACCATCTCGTCCCCTGCTACATCTGTGGCTGCCCTTCAGTTCAGCCGATCAGCTTCCTGCACGTAGCGCCCTTGCAGGCTATTGGCGACAGCCAGCCATCCAAGGCTATGCTCTCTGCTCATCTTATCCCACCTACGTCTCTGTCAGTGCGTCTTATCGACCGCATGCAGGGCTTTATCCTCCGCGCCAATTCGTTCTCGCCTCTCAAGTAAACTGCGCCAGCCATCAGATGCTTCCACAAATCACAACACCATCGACGCTGTCCCGTGCAACACTTCCCACATCGGCTCAAGCTCATACCGTTCCAAAAACACCCAGAGCCCTTCACCGCCCCGCCCCGCCCCGCCCCGCCCCGTACTTCCGAACAAAGAAACAGACACAAAAAGAAAGAGATATTTGAAAATGAGAGAGATGGAATTCGCCGATACTCGGAGCCATAGTATCGGCCGCGCCGTGCCGTGCTCAACGGAACCCAATCCAACGTCGCCAGTGATATCGGGAGGCGGGGCGGGTGCTGTTTAGCGTCCCCAGCAAGTGGATGGCTGGGTTTGTGCACGGCCCACACTATCGAGCCTCGTGTTTTACCCCACCCAACCCGGCGACGACAGTGTATTTCGAGTGACTCGAATGTGCGCCTGCACCTCTGAGGTGTCGAATACAGGTCGTCCAAGGAATGAGCAGAGTGGCGGCGAACCGCTGCCGCCCTCTCCCTTTCTCACGCGTGCCTCAGAGAATCGGATGGTGGTTGACAAGGGTGCTTCATTGATCCATCTCTGTCTCTAGCTTAGCTCTCCCCACCATAGTCTCGCTCAGGCAGGCGCGTCGCGATGTGCCTTTGATGAATGCTGTGAATGGGTCCTCGGCCATGAAAAGTCTGGACATCAGCGCATTCTACACAGAGATGCTATTTGAGGGACCGTGCTTTTTGTCGGCGTAAAGGGTTATGCCGTCCGTCATGGTCGACTCGACCATGGTGTCTTCCATCGACTGGACCTCGGCCTCGTCGATGGAGCGGTGGCGCGCCTTCCACTTCTCCGCCATGCCTTCGATGTCCAGGATACCAAAACGCTCCATGTAGTGGATCATGGTGAAGAGAATCTCGATCGAAATCAGAATGATGATGCACCACTCCAGCTTGAGCGAGTGCTGTTCGTGCAGGTGGTTCCGCAACACCTCGCCGAGCTCGTTGGCGTAGTCGAGCTTCTTGTTGAAGACCGAGATCCGGGCTGTCACATCCAGGTTCTTGGAAATGGCCGAGAAGGCCTCCTCCATGCGGTCGTTGCTCCAGCAAAAGTCGGGCGAGTCCAGTAGCTCCGAGTGCAGGTTGACGTGTCCGCGCAGGCTAAAGAGCTGGCCGAGATTGCGCAACATGGCGGCTCGGCCGACGGGGAGCTTCTTGCCCAGCAGCAGGTACTGCGGGATTTGTCGGTTGTTGTAGAGATGGTTGTCGAGAAGCTCCTCGAAGGCGGCAAGCTTGACACTCCGGACGAGACCCGATGAATACGCTAGCATTGCCTGGTGGGTGGGCAGCCTGCTGCCGAGAACTATGGTGTCTGATACCAGCCCGCCTGCGCTGTAAAGGATCGACGGATGGGGTGGGGCGATTGAATGGATGGAGAATGTTAGAATATCGACCAAGACAACCACGCATAGAAGCAGGATAGCCCCGCGGTACTTGGTTTGGGTGCGATGCTACCGTCGGCCATATGAAGAAGGGACAAAGAGGGGCTCTGCTTGCAATAGCGCCAGTGAGACTCACACCGAAGGATCGTGGAGATAATCGAACCACTCTGTCTCGGGGCTCTTGTATCGATTCACTTCGACGGCCTTGAGATCCTCGAGCAGGGCTTCGTTTTGGGCCTCCGTGGCTCCCCAGGTGACGACCGTCCCGCTGTTGAAGATGAAGGCCTCAGCAGCACTTGGCTGTCGTGGTGCACCCTCGGAGGAACCAGGAGATACACCGGGCTCGGGCAGCTGGATGTGGTAGACATCATCGGCGATATAGGGATGCAGAATGTACTTTTTCTGCAGGATGGGGAGTAGGTTGGAAAAGTGGTAGTTCTCGGCGGTGCAGAAGGCGTTGGCTTTGTGGAGCTGCAGCGCGGAAGGCGGTTTCGATCGAAGCGGATTGAGTTGTCGCGGTGAGACGATGAAGGTGGTGGATGCAGTGGATGCAGCGGTGATGCAGTGGATGCAGTATCAGCACGAGTCGATATGCTCCTGACGATCCAATGCAAGTGCGGTCAAGCCCGACAGAGACTGCAACCCATTTTCGTCACGCTGACTCTTCAGATGCACGGCATATCCAAGCCACTCTCTCCAGCACCGTCCTGACCTGAGGCGTCGGCGACGTGAATCCCGGAGCCGCGGGGACATATGCCTCCTCGCTGATGATATCGCGCACGCCGGCTTTTTTCTTTGCCTTGGTGTTTCTCCGGTCGATGTTGTCGTAGAGCTGGGCGTCGATTGTCGAGAAGGCAAAGGTGCGTGAGCCGCGAGTAAATGCCATGGATCGTGCACCGAACAGTTGAGGTCGTTGAAACAAAGTGCGACCCCGGGGACGGACACAGGTCGGGATACATTCGACACGGCCGTGGGAATGTGTGCTCACCTCTTTGATTGAGAAGGCCGCATTATATCGGCGTGACAGCCAGGCGGGAGTCAAGCCCACGACTGGCTGGCTCCATCGTTGCAGTTGTCCGCCTGAAAGCGGGGCGAGGATTTTGGGTCCACTCGAGGAGCACGCTGGCATCTGCATATGGGGCGGGGCGGCCCTGATGCGGCGGATGGCAGCCGAGCCTTGTTGTAAGAGTGCCTTCATCATTCAGCCGATGTATCCCGCTTTGGTTGCCAAAGAGGAAGAGTCTGGGATGGTCTTGGTTGGCGCCGGTACGAGCGAGAGACAGAGCCGTTTGGAAGGCGAATGGCAGTTGGAGCAGCTCCGGTTCGACTTGTCCTCGACAAGCACCTTTACAAAGGGATCGCGGATCGCGGGGGCCGAGGGACGAACGAGTTGGCAGATGGACCGGCAGATGGATCGGCAGATGGATCGGCAGATGGATCGGCAGATGGATCGGCGGTTTGGCGACGGGCGGCGCAAAGGCCCAAGCCCTGACCGCGCATCGCCGAGAATCCGGGACGGCTGCGCACCACGTGCGAGCCCGCTGGATCCATCCACTCGGGGGCGGATCGATCCGGCATGCGCCCATTGGCCGAAGCTCCACGCACAGAACGGCCTGCATCCACGGAACACGGTCGCACCGACGTGCCACACAAGCGCCACGGTCGCACAGCGCACGGCGGTATACATATACAGCGCGCGTGGTCCGGTGCCACGATCTTGTCCCGCGTTGTGGTTGTATCCCGATGTTGCTGCTCCGCATCATCCGGTGCTCGCTCTGTATCATCCGGTCCGGCACCTTTGCAGCCCCCCGCCATGGATCACTCGGGGGTATCCAGTCGGATCGGGGCTGTGGCTGAGTTCCTTCAAGCCGCCCCGGTCGTTCTCCTTCAAGCCAACCAGCCCCGACCAAGGGCCTTGTATCCGCATCGCTATCGGCGACCACCCCGCCGCTGTTCAGGAGGTGCCACCGTCTGCCAGCCCCTCGCCCGTCAGCCTGGCTTGCTCCCGCCCCCTGCCCGGCCCACCGCAGCTGACCAGCACCATGTACAGCACAACGGCTCACCGTTGCATCGCCACCCCGTGGCCTTGTCATCTCGAGATCCATACATCACCAGCCCAAGGAGGCTGCCACGCATGCATGGCGGCAACAAGGGCAGAGGCGCTGTTGGTCATCCTCCATGCGGGACCAGTGCTGCCGCGGATGTGCCCGCGGGCGATCTGCATAAATAGCCCGGCGTCTGCTGCCCCGGTTTGCACACCATCAGCTCCTCAGCCCGCCTCTGTCTCTTGCCTCAAACACTGTTTTCGATCCTGCTCTCAGCAATCGCCCAAATGACCATCGCCCAGTCCCTCCTCTTCTTGCTCGCCGCCAGCTCCATGAGCGCTGTGTCGGTCGATGCCTTCTGCGGCTCGCATCCCCAGGACGCCGCTGCCGCCATGCTTGCCAACCAGGTACAACAAGCAAACGCATTCCCGCTCGCCTCTGCCGATATCGAAGGCCCACGTCGCCTCTAGCTTGGTCTTCAACCCTCACGGGGTGCCATTTGCACCGCGGACGTTAACGCATAACCATATTCTCCGGCTTGTGCTGCTCTGTCGGGTTACAATCGATCACCATCTAGCGCACTCAAAGATACATTGAGCAGAACTCGCTCCCCAAGGTAAGCATCGATCGCAGTTCAACTGAATTGCATGGCCGTCTTTGGATCGCCCTATCCATGGCTCGGCATGCATTGGACTGCTCGCGAGTATATGGGTTCTCACATCGCATTCCCGTCGAACGCAGATCTTTGCTGCCACCGGCAACGTCAACATCGATGTCTACTGGCATCTGGGCTCCAACGCCACTGCCACCTCCAACATCAGCAACAACGACATCCAGGTCGCCATGAACTACATGTCGGCCATCTACGCCAAGTTTACCACATTCCAGTTCACCGTCAAGGGCGTCGACACTTTCAACAATGTCTCGTGGTTCAATCCTCATGTTTGTACGTGTTTGATCACGACCGCTGCCCCGGATTGCATCGCGAGCTCGTCGCCGTGTGAAATACTCTCGTGAGCGTATTGGCTGGACAGCTCTGAACTGACTCGTCTCATCGATGTTCCTTCATACATCTCACAGCGACCACAAACGAGGAAGAGTATCTCCTTGGCGAGATGAAGGCGGCCCTCCGAAAGGGTGGTGCAAGCACTCTGAACATTTACACCGTTAGCGAGATTGCTCTTCCTGGAGCAAGCGACACCAACTTCCTTGGCCTTGCTGCCTTCCCCAGTGACTATGCTGCCCACCCTGGTCAGGACGGTGTCATCATGCGCGCCAGCGAAGTCAACAAGATCAACTCGACAACGCTGGCCCACGAAGTTGGACACTGTGAGTATCGGCACCTGCGATGCAATGTCCTGTTGTCACTCACATTGCCACCTGAGCGACTCGATCGTTGAGGGCCTCGTGCGGAATCGACAATCGTCAATTCGCTGCTCGTTATCGCCGCTACACTTTCTGACGCCTTGCTACCGCTCGCCGCTGGAAACCACAGGGCTGGGACTGTACCATACTTTCCAGGGTGGCTGCTCTGAGCCTGGAGACTACGTCAGTGACACTCCCCAACAGGCTGCTGTAAGTACACTTGGCTTCCCTGCTGCACGCTAGATCTCGATACTCGCGCCGCAGGTCTCATTCGGCCTGGGCTCTATACGGGATATGAGGAAGGGCGCCTTGCACCATGCCGAAACCTTCATCGAGATACCGGCCGATCGAAACAACCAACTCACCATCTCCCATCCTACCCAACAGGCCACCGACTCCAGCCTCTGCCCTCTCAACCAAGACACTTGCCCTCTTGACCCTGGACTGGACCCCGTCCGCAACTTCATGGACTACTCGATGGATTCGTGCCAGAACAACTTCACTCCCGGTCAAATCCAGCGCATGCAGGCTCAGTGGAACCTCTTCCGTGCCGACAACCGAACTCAGACCCAGCCTTCCAGCACCCCTACTCCTCGCAAGTCCGGTGCTGCCGCCACCACTGTCTCGGCCCTCTTGATCGGCACCGCCATCCTCGGCGCCCTCCAGTTCCTTGCTCTCTAGACGCCTCACCTCACTATTCGCAACTTCTATGATCTCTTGCAAGCCAATTGTACTTCACCAATTGTACTTCGCCAATTGCACTTCGCCAACCCAAGCCGAGCTTCAGCAATAATTTATGGTCGTATTTCTTCTCAGCATAGCATCGGTCCGTGCTATATAGTATGCTTGTAACGAAACGAGACAGTGCACCTTTGGTTTCTTCACATTCGCTGCCTGTTGTTTGGGGGAGCACAGTCTTGAATACATCTGGTCAATCTCCTTTGGTGATCCATTCCTACTTTTCCCTTGCTCCACGATGCATCGCCATTCTCAGAGGCAATCACAATGCCAGCCTCCTTGGTGAAGTGAGAATTCAAGACCTGAAGAACTCAACTGGGTGTTTCGTTTTTACATCGCACTGACTGGAAATGCAATCCACCTTTGAACCCAGCACCATCAAGCCCGCTGCTCTCACTCCGAATTGCCTGCCGTTTCCCGCCATCGCGTCGATGGATCTCTCTGCCTGATCATCCACCATCCCTGCTTGACCAGTAGCAGTGCTCATCATCCTCTCGTCTTGGGATATACCTGCAGACTGGCAACACCATCGTTCTCCCCGCTTGGCATCACCACCCTCATCCGCCTCGTGCCCACTCCATACACATCGGCTCAGCGCAAGTCGCTCTTTGCAACCAAACTACCACAACGAAATCCGGTGCAGCCTCCTCTCCCAGCGCGGCACCCTCATCCGATCAACCCGCATCGCCCATGTCTGCGCTTCTTGCCTTTGGATCAAACTCGCACGGGCAGCTCGGGATTGCTTCATCGAGCGATGCCCACTGTCCTGAGCCCGCCCTTGAAGACAGCTTCCTGATCTCGGCCGTTGCTGTATCACTCAGCGGCGGTGCAAATCATTCGGCTATGGTTCTTGACGACGGATCGCTCGTCACCTGGGGCGACAACTCTCAGGGCCAACTCGGTCGCCAACCGGGCAAGGCGTCCTCTCAAGCTGATCTTGTCCAAACGCAGCCGAGTCATCGATGGGCCAAGGTTCGCTGCGGGTGGAACCATACCGCTGCGCTGGACCAGGACGGCATCCTCTGGACATTCGGCGAGAATCGGTACGGCCAGTTGGGTTACGACACCGGCGGTGCCGAGTCGTCATGCACTGCAACATCAGTCCGTGGCCTGCCCGGGCCAGTTGTGGATGTGGACTGCGGGATCCGACACACCGTCGCCGTGCTGGAGAACGGCCAGGTCTGGGCATGGGGATGCAATCGATCTGGGCAGTTGGGGCAGCGTCAGAGCGACGCTGGCAACAGCAAATCAAACCTGGCTCCGTTCCAGCCTTTGCGCATTCAAGGCATCGACAACGGGGCGGCTGTCGCATGCGGCCAGAAACATACCATCATCTTGACCCTCGATGGGGAGATCTATGCATTGGGCTGGAACAGACATGGTCAGCTTGGACAGCAGCCATCGTCGATCAAGTCCACGGCAGTCCCCCGGCGCATCGACTTGCCTGAGGCTACAACCGACCCGGTGCGCCAGGTCTGCAGCGGATGGTCGCATAGCATGGCCCTGACGGCGTCCGGAGCGGTCTATGCCTGGGGCCGCAACGACCATGGCCAGCTGGGGATCAAGCACGACGAACTTGCTGCTCGGAGCTCAGGAGCGACAGCAAGCCAGCCGACACCGCTCTGCTGGAAGCCCGTGCGGATACCGCTGCAATGCGGCCGAGTCTCGTCGATCGTCTGCGGCTCTGAACATGTCCTGGCCGTCGACGAGGATGGGCGGTGTCATGCCTGGGGATGGAACGAGCACGGCAACTGTGGAAACGGAGCCACCCGGGACTGCGAACCGACGATCCTCGAGGGTATTGTGGGCCGGGTGAGTGTAGCTGGGTGCGGATGTGGCCACTCGCTGGTTTGCATCCGGTCTGCAGATCGCAGAGTTTGATGGTGGCAATATACGCATCTTCTCCTCGTCGCGACAGGCATTTGCAAGATACTCGATCCGGGCGTCCTTCTCGCGGGGTCGCAGCATCATCGACAAGCAGTCGAATTACATAGATCCCGCGATTGGAGGACCATCGATCGCATTGTCTGGCTGCCGGGCAGTGAGGGTTTCGATGCAGCACCTCGCCCCACAGCGGGCGATCGAGACGGTCGGCCTCCATCTGCTTGGGCAGTACTCAACCGACCCAGCGTCGCTATCCAACACAGCAAACACCCTCTTTTCAATTCTATTCTATTCGAGTCCGAGTCCTTGGCATTCCCCGGCCTTGTCCACTACAGCGAGCACTTTTAAGCACATCATCGATGAACACAACCAACCGCATTTCGTCTCTCGATCCAGCGGGCCCTTTCGGCGAAGCCATCCCAGCATCCCGCACGGCCCTGCCGGCCATTCCGTCGCTGCAGAACTCGACCCTGGTCGGTATCCCTCTTCTCTCCCTCAAGCCGGCCACTGCCCTGGCCTGCATCGTTCGCCTTGACCCGAGGTACCTGACCCGCACCGAGTTTCTTGCCCGGCGACTGGCTGCACTGCAAACCGGCAACGGCGGCATCGACATCGACAACGACGATGATGACGGGCTGGACCTGCTGCTGGACTTGCTGTCGCTACTGTGCCGGCATTTTCCCGGGACGACAGCGGGCCGTCGTGGCCGCTTCCACTTCCCACACCCACTGGAATCGTCGTGTGCCCTTTGCCTGGGCGCCGGCCACAACTTTCGGAGTTGCCAGGCCCGGAAAGTGGTGCTCTTCCTCCGGCAGTTCCCCGACCCTCTGCTCTCGGACGGCACCGCCCTGTCGCCTGATGCTTGCGACCAGATGCGCCGGTTCGCTGTCACCAGTCCTGTGCCTCTCGAACGGCTCGGGTCGCTGGCATCCGAGCCCTCCATCCGTGTCCCATTGGGTTTCGACTTGCTGGCGGACAGCACCGCTCGGCACGGCGTTCGCGAGCTTGTGATCGTCGGCGGCCAGGGCTCCATCGACGGGCACTCCTCATTCGGCGACAGTAACGCTGATACCGGTGATATCAGCGACCAGGACGACAGTTGCAACCAGCACTCGTGCGATCAGCGCATTGGCCCTCGTCTCCGCTACGAGTCCCGTCGCCCGCAGCTCGACCACCTTTCGCCCGAGCACATCCAGGACATTGCTGGTCTTCTCCGGGACTCGTCGCTCGATCGCCGCAATCCGAGAACTTTTGGACTGCCCAGATTCCGTGAATTGGCTGCCCCCCGTCCGCTGGCTAAGCTCAAGCTGCCCTATTGCATGATGCGGGATGTCGGTGCTCGCGAACTGGCCCGCATCTTGCAAGACCACCACAGCCTGGTCGCCCTCGATATCGCCTTCAACGGCCTCAGCGGCACCGGCATCAGGGACATCTGCGAAGCCCTTCGGGGGTCACCAACTCTCCAAAGTCTCATTCTGTGCGGCAACGTGGGGCGTGCCGCAATCGTCATGGAGGACCACTCACCTGCGGCCGAGAGCCTAGCGCACACGATAGTATCTCTCGCAGCTCTCAAAGAACTTGGTCTAGGGTGGATGGCCTGGGAGTGCAACGACTCGGATTTACTGTTGGCAGCCGTCGCTGTCCACGGCGGCCTTGATATCCTCGACTGGAGCGGCAATGAGATCACCACAATCGGAGCCGGATGGCTGAGCACGATACTCAACGCCGACATCGCTGAGACAAGCAAACTGCCAAACCCAGAGGGGGCTCCTGAAGCAACAGACGCTTGTTTCAGCTCCAATGTCCTTCAGGCCCTCCGGAGAACCAAGAACACCTTCGGAACTGACTCGACCCCCCTGGGACTGCGTGATATTGATCTGTCGTCCATCAGCGCCACAGAGGAGGCATGGAAAGCAATCAGCAATGCCCTGGCTTTCAGTCGATCGCTGCGGGTGCTTCGCTGCAAGGAAGCTCGCTATTCATGTTCGCTCTATCCAAAGTCCTTCTCCAGCTTCGCCGGCATCCCCCATCCAGCTGCAGCCACACACATCGCCGAAGGCTTGCGCATCAACACATCCATTCGTTTTCTGCACTGGGGTACTCTAGCAGACCTATTTACAAACTTCAAGTGCTCGCCGTCGATAGCAAGAATCATCCACTGTCTGTGGGCGCGTCGCTGCCGACTCTATCAACTGCGATTTGTCCAGGACGATTCTTCCCCAACGCTGCCAGACCTTGGCTCGACCCATAGTGGTGATCGGGACGATCGGAGCGATGACAACGGCAGTGTCGATGCTGATGTTTCTCAGAAACTCGCAGAGCTGGCCGCCTCGGTAAATCGCGGGGTATCACAGCTTTGGATCAAGGGCGATCTGTTTGCCACCGCCACAGAGCAGCTTCGATTCTTTTCGGCTCTCTCCGAGTCTGCCCAGGCAAACTCGAACCAAGTCTTGTCGCGACTCATTCTCGAGTCCTGCTCGATCGCAGACCAGCATGTCGCCATACTCTCGCGCGCGCTGACCCAGACGGCGCTCAGTCGCTCGCTTGTTCTTCTAGATCTGTCATCTAACCGCATCACGAGCAAGGGCTGCAAATCAATCGCCGCGGCATTGATGGCGAGCCAAGGCTTGCAATATTTGGTGCTGTCCAACAATCTGATCGACGACGGCGGCGCCCGCAGTCTGGCCAAGGTCTTTTGCGAGCCCAACTCCGACGGCATTTTCAACCAAAGCCTGCGCCACCTGGATCTGTCGTTCAACCCGACAATTGGTGACCTTGGCGCTGCTTCCCTCTTTGGGTCCCTGGCTCGGCAGAGCAGCTACCGTGGACTCCAGTCGCTGGTCATGGACGAGATACCAATGTCGGCTTTTGTGCTGACCTCGCTCAGTGAACTTCTGAAACACAACAATGTCCTCAAGTGTCTCTCTGCGACAAGGCTGCTTGATCCGCTACTGTCCACAGGTTCTATGCCCAGCGACACGGCCCAAGCGCTGCTGGCTGCGAGCGAGAAGAACAGGTGTCTTGAAGTGTTTCGGGTGGATTCGACCCACGCCGCCAACAGCCGCTCGGGAGCCGATCTGCACTTTGGCCGGATGCCACAGCGGCAACGGCAGCACCTCGCCTTAGCCCCACAGATGCGTGTTTCTTGGCCAGTGTTCCAGAGCATCGAGGCTGTCTGCAATCAAAACAAGGTGCGCTTCGAAAGGATGCGGGCACTGGCCATACGGCTGCTGAATGTCATTCGGACGCTGGTCTTTGTCGACCACACCCAGAGCCAGCCTCAGATCCATCTTCCGGGGGATGTCGTCTACGTCATCGCAGTCAAGCTGAATCTGGACTGCAACGGAAAGCCACTCCTCAACTCGCTGCAGCTCGCCTCGGTATTTTCATATGCCTCAAGTCGCAGTACGCTCCGGCATTGTCCCTGTCCTTCGACCTCGAACAGAGCCATATCTTCTGCCGAGACGCCGGCATCTACCGCTGAGATTCCTGCTTCACAGCCCGATGCCCCTGTGATGCCCTCAACGAAATCCAGCACATTGCGCCGTCAAGATCCACATCCTTGCGACGGACCCGCCCTTTTCAGCGGATCATGCTGTTTCAATGACGCTGACCTGTGCGTCGCCCCCGAGTGCGGTAGTGCCGGGCAGATTGATAGGAACACCTGGTGGAGTCGCATCCACGTCGGTGGTCCGTCGCTAGATCTTGGGGGGCGACAGGATCCGGGGCTGAGCCAGTTTCTCACCCAAACGTTTTGCGATTACATTCGGGACTGAGACCTGCTCGGCTGATACACGGCTATGCTCGCGGTGCCACCTGCATGTGCGCTTGCCACTTTCATGGTCCTTCCTGTCACGCAGCTCTGTTGATTGCCATGCTCACTCTATAGTGTGCAATCAGCTATGCAGCTCAAAGCGAAATGGAACGGGCTACACTGGAGCATCGTGTATTAAATGTCCATTCGCGGCCACAGCAAGGACCAGAAAATACAATTGATAGCTGCCACCAAGAGCCAGTCGTCAATCGCGTGACAATCATACTGTTGCCGATGGGCGATGATGTCGGATTTGCACTTGACAGCATCATCAGAGCCCAGCTTGGTGCGCGACTTGTCTCTCGAGACCCTCTACGAGTCTGACCGAGCAATCTTCTTCCGCGATGACGACGAGGAGGATGAGGGGCTTGTCACCGCCGATCCAGATCTCGATTTCGACTTGGGCGTCCCAGCGGCCGAGGCAGCAGTGGGTGTGGCGGCGTTGGAGTCTCCGGTACTGTTGCTGCCACTGGCAGCTCGCGATTTGCCCTTGGTCTTGGAGCTGGCCTTGGTCTTGGCCTTGGGCTTGGGTGAGAGGAGACTGGCATAGTGCGTCTGAATGTGCTTCTTGAGACGGTCGTGGTGGTCAGACGAAAGCTTGAATAGTTCGTCTCGCTGAACCGTGCCTGTATCCCCGTCCGAGTAGCGAACGGACACGATGTTCTGGAGGCGGTCGGAAGGCCACATCAGCAATTGTTGAGGGACAGGAAGAGGGTGCATCCAGAGACCAATGTGGCGAAAACAAGGCAGAGTAGCGATTCAAGGAGAGACACCAGTTGCACCGAGGGACTGAAAGCAAAGCAGACGTATAGAGACGAGGGGACCAGTCGCCGCGGATGCCCTGTCCCTCTCTGGTAAATACCTTGCTGATCTTGATGACGGTGCTTTCGTAGAACTCGGTTGAGAGTGGCGCATCGGGGGCCTCGCGGTAGAGCGCATAGACTCGATCGCCTGCTCGGAGAAGCTCTGCCAATACATTCGATTTGTAATTGACGATGCTGACGGGATGGACGTCCCAAGTGTCTTCGATGCTGCCGTCGTCAAGGGCCTCCGGGTCGGGGTCGACGACGACATAGGTCTGCAAAGGGAGGGAGTAAGCTTGCTTGCTTGTATGGGCCAAAGCTAAGCGCACGTTGATCTCCAAGCCACACGAGATCATGGTGATTCCGCCAAATCACATATTCGTCGCTGTGGGAGTCGTTGTTCACCTGTTTCTCGGCGTTGAGTCTCTTGATCTTGACAATGAAGCACTTGAGCCCTAGGTCGCTGTCTTCGTCCGATGGAATGGGCACGAACGCCGCAACAAGCGCACCTCTCTTGTGCACAGGCTCGCTCTCTTCCGTCTTGATGTTATTTGCGGGTGTCTTGGAGCCGGTGGGCGTGGACGGGGCCGACGCCGCGGAGGCAGGGGCTGGGTATGAGTCAAGTCCCTGCAACGTGCTTGGTTCTGTATGACTTGCCTGTGCTTCTGCTTCGGCAGTGGCTCCTTCGGAGGTGCTGGGTGCCTTGGACGCTGGTGGCTCTGTCGAGTCGTCTGAGAGCAAGGGTTTCTTGGGCAGCGGGGCATCGTTCGCAATCGTGTCGCCCTCACCAGCAGCCCAGCTGGATCGACTCCGTTTGGAAGGCCCCTGAGGCTGCAGCGAACTGGCGGTGAGTTCATCGGCCTTGGTCGAGTCGGCTGTCAACAGACTGTCGCCGCCCAGAGATTGGGGTTGCGGGCCAGCATCAGGCTGCATAGCAACGCTTGGAGCGCCAGGTTGGCTCAGAGACTGTACAATGAGAAGTTGATCATCTGTAGATCTTGAAGATTCCACCGGCTGCATGGCACTCTGGTCGCTTTGTTCTTGGTCGTAGCTGTCAATGTCCATATCGTCGTCCTGGGGCACATTATTGGGATCTGGGCGGTGTCGTAACAACCCGGTGAGAATGAGTGCATGCGAGGTAAATGCACTTGGAGGTATGACCTCAGTGAGTTCTTTTCCGTTCTGTGCTGAGCGACAGTGTTTTCAAGCTCACGAACCCTCGTGGATAGGACTGTCCTGGTTGCCTTGATTGTCAATGTCCTTGGGTTGTGGTTGTGGCTCCTTGGGTTCGGGCAAGTCGGAGGAAGCTAAAACATGCGAAGGCTCGATTATGGATGCATTCGGCTCTGGTTTTGCGGTATTCGGCTCTGATTTTGCAGTATTCGGCTCTGGTTTTGCAGTATTCGGCTTGGTATCATCGCCGCTGGATTGCGTGGATGTGTGGTGTTCGGGAGCTGGTTCGACCAGGGTCGGTGCTTCGGGTTTGGGTTGAGACGGGACCTGAGAGTTGCGATCGGGCCGGTTGTCTTGAGGCGAGGGATTGGCTTGTGTGCTGCGATCTAGGGCCGCCATTGATGAAATCCAGAGACTGTGTGTAAGTCCGTGAGCCGTTTGGTTGCCCTCCGCTCGATACGACGGTGCGAGCGATTAGTCCGAATATCGAACCACAGATAATGACCGACCTTGCCCTTCGTCACGCCATTTCGAGATGGCATCCTCGATTCGGACTCGGATGCGGTCCATGAAGTCTTTCGAATGGAGCATGGTTGTTGAGTTGGCAAAGGTGACGGCCTCAGCCAGGGGCTTGCTTCTGGTGATCAGCAATCAAGCGCCATGAGCATCGAGGGTGGTCAGAGAAAGCGGAATATACACTCGCCGCTGTATCAAGGGGGAGGGACACACCGGAATCGACATGGGAGTCTGTCGGTGATAGGGGTGAAGCAGTTGATACTCATGCATGTCCTCTCTGTAGTGAGGACAGGTCAGCTACCTTGTCGACTTGTCCATCAGCTCTCGGTGGATCTCGATCCTACTGTTGCCTGGCCGAATGGCCTCGATCTCGCTGGCGAGGAGGGATCGAATGCGTACGGTGAATTGGCTGCCCTCCTCAGACGACTGAAAGGCGTCCAGGAGCTCTTTCCGAAGTTCGTCAAAGATGCCGCGGCGCTTGAGAGAGAGGAGTAGATCATCGGGGGACGAGAGGGCAAAGGTGGGGCTCATTGCGGCGATGGAGATGAAATCTGAGACGGAGATGGAGACGGGATGCGTGCATCGAGGCCGTCTGGGCCGGGACAAAGCAGATCAGGACCAGGACGAAGCAGAGCGAGACCGGGATGCGGCTGGCACGAGACGGAGGTGCTGCAGATCTTGGCCAAGAGAGCGTTGCGGGCGGGGCTGTTGCGTTTGGGCTGATCAGGCAGACTTCGGAGTTCGGGTCGCCATTTGGGTTGCCATTTGGGTTGCCATTTGGGTTGCCATTTGGGTTGCCATTTGGTTCGCACCTGCACGATCGCTGCATCCGAAGCATGACGGTGATATCCTCGACCGGATGGACTCAAGCGCATCCCAATCACGGACGCTGCCGCTGTTCCTGGGGATGTCCTGCGATGGCCCGGGCATTTCATTCTTCTGTCGAGAGAGCCTTCTGTCGTTCGCCAGGCCCGATTCATCGCCTATCCCATCGTTTCTTCATCCGCCATCAACGCTGTCGATGGGCCCCCAGAGTCTCACGAGCATTCTGCAGCACAAGCTGGCTACCCGAGACTATCTCGGTGCGCATCGGCATTTCTCGTCTGAGAGTGGCCTGGGTATCGGCTCGCGTGGCTCATGGCCCATCTCTTGACTACTTGGACTGACCCCGAATCCTCTGACAGAGCATCACAAACTGAGTGTCTATCTCGAAGTAAGCTGCAGCCGGCGCATATCCGAGCAGTATGGCCCGAGCGGTGCCGTCCGAACAGTACGGCCTGAGATGAGCGACTGAGAGCGTGCTTTCGCAGGATGTTCTCATCAAACTACTGGAAGACCGTCCCGAGAAGCCCATGAACTACCTTTACGATTAGTACGTCTGATGCGCACACCAGCCCGGCGCCATGCCTCCTCTCCGTCACTATGGGCCCCATTTATTTGCGCGCTGGGATACTGACGATGGCTCGGGTGGTTCTCCAGTTTCGAGAGTGTGCGCCTTGGGACGAACATCTTGCTTCGCGACTTTGAATACGTCAAAGCAACGACCCGCAACCGCATTTCGTTTGCGCATCTCTTGGAAAGCATCCTCAACTCCAAAGCAGGTTCGGGTCCCTTGAAACGGATGGAGTTGATGCAGATGCAGGCTCGGATCTGCCGGTGAAAGCGCCTGCCAGCGATGCATCATCGCCCATCGTCTCGCCTCCCATCCTCTTGGGCGATTCGGGCTAATGGCGATACCTTTGGCTCACTCGCATCAAGATCGACATACGGCTCTCGAGCTCCACCAACTTGCTGAGCTGATCTGCACCGATTTTCCGGGCGAGATCGTCGAGAGGGCTGCCGAGATTGCGAGCTATTCTCTCGGGCTGTGCATCCCAGACCTCTGGCACCACCCATCGATGCAGCCGGACAAACAGACGGTTCAGCTGCCGATCCCCGAGTTCATCAAGGTGTTCAGGACATATTTTAGCTTTCTGGGTGAGCAGTGTGGTCGCGCCGCAACGCAGAATACTGAGCCGGGCAGCTGGCAAGAGGATTCGGATCGGGAAACAGTAACCCGAGACAGCCCAACGTCCGACAGAGTTCTTTGAGATGTGCGAGGAGATCTTGCGCGATACTCTGTCGACCTTCCACCAGAACAACCTCATGGCTGGTCGCCAGCACGTCAACAGCGACGATGTGTTCACGGTCGAGGACATCTCGATCCTGGAAGACATCTATGTCGACTATCTCAAACGAAGGCTATGCCGACTGGAAGGATTCAGGTGAGGCCGCTCGAATGGTCGTTGATCAGCAAGGCCGTCGTTGCTGGGGTTGGCAGAACAGGCACATCGTCTCACGACAGCCATCAGACGGCAAGAGCCGCGTGCGATCGTGGGTGCCGCCCCACAACGGCCACTTTTGACATTCAGCGCTGACAGTTGGTGAACATTCAGCGTGCTGGTTCTTCCGCACGAGCTCGCAGTCGATATTGTCCACAGGGCCTTCCAGACCGAGCGTGCTGCCCGGGTGCCTTCATACAGCAGCGCCTCGATCATCTACTTTCAGCTCACACGGGAGATCGTCGACAGCCACACAGTCCAGGCGCTGATGGAGCGGGCTGTGCCGATCGCCGCTCTGACCCATCGATGAGTGCCGTCGGCGAGATAGCCGCGGGACGGCCGTGGGACAAATGGCAGCTCCTCACTGCTCAACGGAGCGGAGGAGGCGAGCATTTGCAAGCCACGCGCGAGGAATGTTTCCGCACAGACGAACCACATTATAGGATGGAAACCACAAAATGAGGCAGATAAGGCGGTGGAACGAGTCCTTGATATTCCAGCTCCCAGCAAGAGCGAGAGCCCATGGACTGCGACGGATCGCAGCCGGTCAGCGCCCATGCCAAAGGAACTGGGTGAACGATGCAGGCGAAAGAGGGACGAAGAGCGGCGGAGGAATTTATAGGCCGCCTCCACTGCGCCACAGGCGTGATCGGGTCGAGTGCGGGTCGAGTGTGGTTTGGGTGGCGGTGTACGATCACGTGTCAGATTCCGTGCACAGCCCGGTGCTTGGTGCCAAGCAGGGCGGCCGAAACTCAAAAGACGGCCCTTTGCCATCGCAGCGGTCTGCTTGGCAGCCCCCCAGTCACTCTCATGGACATGTTATCTCCCAAAGCCCACCAGGAGGAGCCGCAAGACCGCTTTGTTCGGGACCCTCGCGGCTCAATGAGCCGGGCTGGGTACACCAATCTGCCCGATAGCCGACAGACGCTTGGCGAGCAACAGCAGCAGCAACAGCACCTTCCCCCTCATCCATACCAATACGGCCAGCCCAACCCGCAGCCGTACGACCAGGCCGTCCACCAGTATGCTCAGCAAGGCAACCAGTATATCCATCCAGGTAATCAGTATGCTCAGCAAGACAATCAGTATGCTCAGCAAGGCGGCCAGCACGGCCAGTTTTATTCCTATCCGCCCCCGCCCTTCTCGTCGCAGTCCGCGGCATTCGGCTTGGGCTCTGGCCACTCAGGGCCTGGGGCTGGGAAGCTGCCGCTGCCTGGCGGTGCTCCTCCTGTTATTGTGGCCGACCGCAAGTGGCAGGTACGAGTGCATTGCGGTTATTCCTGTATTCAGCTTGCATGAACACTGTCACTTTGGCTGCCCGTCCGGCTGACCGACATACAACCGACCCGCGGTGGCGGGAAACCTCTGTTTCAGGACCCGTGGGCCGTGGTCCTCTTTGTTCTCTGCCTCGGAGTCTTTATCTTTGCTGCATGTATCGGAATCCCCGTGGTCGTCTCGCAAGTCGGCTCTGGGGATTTCGGGATTGTTGTCGTTGATCTGGCTTACGTCATTGGCGTCGTGCTTGTGGTCTCTGTGGGCTTTGTCGCCATTTGGTTCGTCCTGCTGCAAAAGTACGTATTCACTGCCACAGCACACTCGGTGCCCCCTTTTCATGTCCCTATGGTCCGACCGATGTTGCGAAATCAGCCCCCCACTCGTCGAGACACGCCTGCTTCGACAACTCCATGGCCGAGACACTCATGTCGCATCCTTTTGGTTTGATTGTAACAGGTTCCCCCGGCAGATGATCAAGATTTCATATTGGGCTTTCTGCGCACTGCTTGTTGCCGCCGCCGTTTTGATGCTTTGTCAAAACGCACTGCCCGGCTACATCACCGGGTTTTTCTGCCTCGTCATAGCGGGCCTCTACGCTTGGTTCTACTTTTATCTGCGCACCAGGATTCCCTTTGCCTCGGTCTTGTAAGTCCGCAACAGCCCGGCAGCTTATCATGTCGGTTGATTTCGTGCTTCTGACTACAAACCATCTGGCCCGCACCCGACCACATAGGCTTGAAACCGTGACAAGGATCTCGAGCCAGTTCCCGGCCGCGATCCTGACTGGCTTGTTGGGTGTCATCCTTAGCCTGTGCTTCCAGTTCGTCTGGATCTTCACCTCGATTGGCATCTTTATATATGCTGCCAATGGTTGGAGCACAACCTCCAAGCAACCCCAGGGCTTTAGTCCTGGCGCCATCTTTGGCTTAATGATCGGCTTTGGTAAGGCTGTCTGGTCACGACGCACATAGGTATCGACATCTCAGAGCTTGCTCTCCCCCTGTGACTGCTCGCTGACACCCATTGCGGCTTTCAGTGTTTATACTCTATTGGACGCAACAAGTCATCTACAACACCGTCTATGTCATCTGCTCGGGCCTCTATGCTACTGTCTACTTTACCGGAACGCAGGTCCCCGGATCCACAAAGCTGCGTGTCGGCACGTCAAATCCGACAGCCAAATCGGCCGCGCGGGCCCTGACCACAAGCTTCGGTTCAATCTGCTTTGGATCCTTGCTGATTTCCATTCTGCAGACCCTGCGGTTCATATCTGGAGGCTCACAGTCCAACTCTCCCACCGACCTCAACTCTGGCGTGTCCTTCATTGGCTGCTGCTGCCAGTGTCTCTTCATGAGTATCGGCGATGTCATATGCTACTTCAACCGCGTAAGTCTGAGAGTCTTGTGCTTGAGATCTTGAAGGCAGCGTCGAGCCGATGCCAGATCCTTGTGTACCAATCCACTAAGAGGGACCAATGCTTTGCTCTGCTTTGCTTTGCTCCATGTAGTACGCCTTCACCCACATGGCCATCTATGGCACGGGTTACTGTGAGAGTGGCAAGGCGACCTGGGGCTTGTTTCAGGCACGCGGCATCGAAGTAGTAAGTGTTCTGCCACCTGCGTCCGGTCTGCGCTTCTTGTGTCTTTGGCTTTCAAACGAGCTGGCATGTGTCTGACTAACTGCTCGTCCTGGCTCTATTGATAACCGCAGCTTATCAACGACAACATCATCGGCCGTGTCATCGGCCTGGGCAGCTTCTCTGCTGCCGTCATCGGTTCCTTGACGGCCCTTGCTGCCGCTGTGATCAACAAAAACATCCCACAAAGCCCTGAAACGTTTATGATGCTCAGCAGCTATGGCATGGTAGTCGGCTTCACGAGTTTCTTCTCGATGATGTGTGTCATCAAAGCCGGTGTGTCGGCCACCTACGTATGCATCGCCGAGGACCCTGCAACGATGGAGAAGCTCAGACCCGAGCTCTTTGAGAGGCTCAGAGAGACCTGGCCCTCCATAACCTGGGGGCTTGGCCAAGCCTGATGGCCAGCCGTGTGGTCGCCTTTCGATCGGCCCTTGGTGGCAGGATCCGCACATACATCAAGCAGCTTGGTGTCGGTTCTTCAAAACACGAATACAGCGCGCTGAATAAACCATCGGACACCCGTTGCGATGACGACGACTACCACCATCCGCGCTGCGAATACACCTCTTCTTGATCACTCCACTATCAATCTCAGTTCTTGCCAGAAACGTGTGGCTCCGACTGCGCATGCGCCACATGGACACACAGCCAATCAGCAGCCTCCAGTTGGAGCTGCGCACGCGTGGCTTCTTGGCGCTGCCAGTCCGCACCCCTTCAAAACGGCCCGCTGTTCCCAGCCTCGGTCGTCATCGTTTCTCCACCATCGCCCCTCGCCCTTTGCACCGAGTCGTCCGTGGATTGCTGAAGGCATCTGGCAGCATGTCCAACTCAACGTGGTTTGCGCCGCTAAGTACATTCTCTGAGGCATTTGGTCAGCAAACGCCGCTCCACTCAAACCAATCGCGTCAGAGCTTGGTGAATGATCCCGCCGAGCTGTCGATCTTTGATCCTCCAATGCTCTCGCCGTCTCCATCGACGGCAGCGGCCTCGGACTCGCCAGCCTCGCCAGCCTCATCGCCGTCTCGATCCAGCTCCAACTCATCTCCAAGCGCCGACCTCGAGCTTCCCGACAGCCCACACACTCAGTCGGTCTCGTGCCCACCGACGCACCAAGACCTCCTTCCAGCCCTGCCGCTCAATGCCCTGTCGGCTCACGGCCCCTCTCGTCCAGCTGCGAACCCACCAACGAATCCGCCCACCAACCCGGTTCTGGCCAGCCGCTCCCGCTCCGCCGTCGATCGCTCCGAGATCCTCAAGGCTCGCATGGAGCGCAACCGCATCTCGGCCCACAACTCGCGCGAGAAGAAGCGCAAGCACGTCGAGGATCTCGAGTCGCAGAACTCGCTGCTTGTCGAGGAGAACAGGGCCGTCTGCAAGCGGGTCAAGCTCCTCGAGGACCAGAACTCGCAGCTGCACGACCAGCTGAGCGCCATGTCCAGCCAGGTCCGTGCGCTGCAGGACCAGCTCAGCGCATTGGCGTCGGCGATGCAGGCAGGTCCGGCCCCCAGCACCACCAACAGCAGCATGGAATGCAGCGACACCACCACCAACCACACCACCACCAACCACACCACCACCACCAACCACACCACCACCAACCACACCACAACCACCAACCACACAACCAACGACCCCGACATTCTGTCATCTGCCGATGCCGAATTGGCCACGCCGCCCCACGCCACCTCACATGCCTCCGTGGAGTTCCAGGACATGTTTGGTCTTTCCGACAGCCAGGATGTCCCGCTGTTCTCACAGGACGTCCCTCCGTCGCTGCTCGCGGGCTCCTGTCCCAGCGATCTGTTCCCGATGCATCTGGGTGATCTGGACCATCCCTTGTCGGTCGGACCGAGCTCGTACGATTCCGTTCCTCCGTCGAGCCACGCGCTGTGGTCGGTCGATCTGTTCCACCCGGCCGACCTGTCGTCGCCAAGTGACGGAAGCATTGCATCCGAGTTCCTGTCGCTCGACAACCTGAGTACTGACGGGGCCGACTTTCTCGCCTCGCTGTCGCCGCCAAGCGCCGCCGCTCTGTTCCCGCCCACCCACCAGCATGCCTCCACCAGCACCACCACCGCCATCGCAAGCACCGACCGTCTGCCATCGACACTTGCACTCGGTCCCACGGGTCTCCCTGTCCCGACCCAGGGGCTGTTGGCCTCGGGCTTGGCCCTGTCGCCGTTCTCATCGACAGTCACTCCTCCCGCAACCACGCCGACCTTCAGCCCACTGCTGGACCTGCTCACTCCTCCCCCAGACGTGCTCACTCCGGGGTCGCCGGCCGCCTTGCTGCCGTGCACTCCGTTCTCTTTGTTCTCGCACCCGTCGTCCACGACACTGCCATTTGCAGCACTGCCGCTTGCAGCACCAACCTACGCACCGTTCTCATTCTCACCGCAACCGCCCGCCACACTCTCCACGCCTCCACAGACAACCCTCTCGACAGCCGCTCTGGCTGTGACCCACTCACTCTCTCCCCTCTCTCCTCTCACAGGTGGACTTGGCGAGCCGACAGCGCTCCCAACACCCGAGTCTCTGCCATGGCCGTCCATGTGTCGTCAGCGTCCGCCGTCTGCGTGTCCGCCGCGTCCGTCGCAAGCTCCTCGCTCACCGCGCCGGTCCGTGCCGCCCCGGCCGCCGACTTCACAGCAACTGACCACGGTCGTGGATGTTGTGGCGGCGCATCTCTGTCCCGCAGGCCACTGCGCGCAGGGATGTGGTCGCCTGTGTCAGTGTCGGCGGTGCGGGGCCGATGGTCTCGCTGACGTTGCTCGTATTGGCCGTGCCGCCTCCCGGGGCCGCATCGCCCGTATCAGCGACCGACTCGGCGCCATCGGAACGAGCAGGGCCAGTGTGGTTGTCCATGGCGATGGATGCATGTTGAGCGACGGCGCGGCGCACGCAGATGTCACGGACGCCGATACCCACACTGACGACAATCACGACGACGACGACGACGACCACAGCGTCGACGGTCGTGGCTCTGACGGGGTGTCCCTGCCGCGGAGTCCACCCTGCTCTCCCGCCGAGGCAATGCTGGCGTGGATGTCTCGATCGCCCCCGGGCAGCTGGCCTGGTGCCCCTCCAGCCTCTCGCCTCCACTTGTGGACGGCGGCGACGTTGGGGTCGCTCTTGGCGGCGCTGGTGGGTCGGTCGTTGACTCTGGCCGGGGACTCGACAGCACCCCGGCCTGTGACGGCATCCCGTTCCTGTCGTCGGCTCTATTCCCAGCCAGCGACCACACCCTTGCCGTCCTCGGCCACATCCTCAACAACACCTTCAACACCACTCTCGACGACGCTCTCCGCAGCGTTCCCAACAACAACCTCCTCAGCACCCTTCTCATCAACAACATCAGCAACAACACCAACAACACCGACAGCGACATCAGCAACATCGACAACATCAGCAGCAGCGACCCTGTCTTTGGCAGCCTCGGTCTCGCCGTGGCACCTCATGGTGTCGATGGTGCAGATCTGGGTGTCGGTTCTGTCGCTGGTCTTTGCGGCAGCCGGTGAAGGGCGACCCAGCAACGGGCTGCCCGACGACGGCAGCAGCCTGGACCTGGCGATGTGGACCGACGGAATCATCCACGCCCTCCACACCTCCCTCTCGGCGCCGGCCCTCTCGACCATCCTCGTATCGCCTCCTCCGTGCCTCTCTCCGCTGACGGTGGTCCGGGCCATGCGGGTCCTCGAGGCAGCCGGCACACGCAGCATCCTGATCGGGTCTTGACGACACCCCGCAGGTCCAAGCAAGGCCCAAGTACAATCGCCAGCGATCGCTCGCACCCAGACTTCACTTCATGTACATATTTCATTCTCGCGAAGCTCGTGCGGACGCAGCAACCAGGCAACATCTCCAAGCTCCTCTGGCCCGCTGGACACATTGTCCCCGTCGATCTCTGGACGACAGCGACACAGCTCCAGCCAATGAAGCATCCTCGTTGGCTGGTCGCCCACACCACCACCACCACCACCACCACCACCAGCAGCAGCAGCACTTGCACCGCCGACCTTCACTTTTTGGATACACATCTGCCCGGACCCCCGACACGGTTGTGGTCGGCGGCCCGGCAGCGACACAATATAATCTATACCATTAAGATTCTCGGCCAAAGCTTCATCCAGCATAGATGACTTGCCCTCATCCATCTAAACGATGCACTGGGTCGCTTGATGCCGGAGGGCCCAGATCCCGCACCGTTCTCGATGGACCTTCATCACATTCGTTCATGATTGGATATGACGTCACTGTGGCTGACCTATATCATCCACGCTCCCCAACAGAGCCAGATCCAGACTTTCCTTCGTTCCTTGCATTATTTCGCTCGGATTGCCAGATACTGCTGTGTTTCCGAGGTCCAGGCCACCGTTCCAAGCGACGATGCCACCCGGAGGAATCGTTTATCGCATGAGCCTGCGTAGTGAATGCGAACCTGTGAGTTGATGTTCGTGGATATCCTTGGGATCATCCGACTGCCCGCGCACCCATATCCAAGCTGCGGTGGCAAAGCTGCCGTAATGCTAATAAACCCACTTCCACCCCGCTCAACAGGAGTGGATCGCCTACACCAAGACAAGCTCCAAGCGATTTACCATCAACATTACATTGCATATCGTCTACGTTTTCGATGTGACCGTCAACTTACTCTTGCGAGGCATGAGTCTCGGAGGTACACTTTGCCCACAGCCGAGCTGCTCTCTATGCACCAAGAGCACTGGATCTGCGGGTCCCATGATCCTTGCTGTGGCAGAGCGAGCCGATTTCACAGGCCATAATTGAGCCGTGTTGACACACCATGTTTGTCTCATTTTGCTCGTCCAGATATGCCGGGTTTGGCGGTCAGCTGCTTTACCATCCTCATAGAGCTGATACTGCTCCGGTCCCCAAACCTTCGGCAATATCTGGTTTACTCCCCGAATTTCGTGGCGCTATGCTCTGTTGCTTCGCTGGCATCCCTGGTCTTGGACGGCACCAGTATCGAGGGAGTTTCCCGAATCGTTTGGGAGACTTCCGGATACGCCGGCTTGGTCTTTGGCATATCGGCCATCACCAAACAGCCCACATCTTGGATCGTCGTCGAATTCGGCCTCTTTGTGATCGCGAGCGGCATTACTTGGTCGATTCTTGAGCCGAACGACTACTTTGGCATTCAAGGCATCACCATCACCTTTGACTACGTCAAGGTCATTGCCAGTGGAATCATGGCATCATTCATCGATGTAAGCACCCCTGTCCAAGCCGCTCCCACAGAAGCGCCGCCTCGGCTCTGCATCGTGCTTACCGTGTTGCCTCGGTTGTTCTTGATTCCAGAGCTCGATCAGCTGTGACGCATATCTCATGGCTAAACGCACACCATACTCACCGGAACACTGGGACACAGAGTTCGTCGATGACCTCCAGACCTATTTTTCGGAAAAGTCGATAACCTCTGGCGAGCACATCTTCCCGTTCTATCGTGCCAATCCGACCCGCCAAGACCAACAGCGTCCATCGTTGAGGGATCGGATTCGAGCCTTGTGGCACAGCTGGGTGGATCTGCGCTTCAGGAATCCGGCTCTGGAGTTGGAGTTTCGAGAGTACGTTAATCCTTATCGCGTGTTCAGGGTGCTCAAAACTCGTGGTGGAATGACGGCGCCTTTGCAGCCCTGGGTGCCCATGTGTAATTCCGCAAATCCAACTTGATTGCTTGACTCATCCAGAACCACCTTGCCTCCTGACTGCTTTCCATCGTCGCGGCGGAACCCGTGTCGATGTTGCAGACATCGAAACAAGCGGGCGATGCAGCAACATCTCATCACCACCCTGATCAATCTCCTGAGCGCCATTGTTCCGATTCTCCTCAGTTGGATCGACCCGAGCTCGGAAATTCCAAGCCCGGCGTGGAAAACTGGGGCCCAGATGATCTATTTTCCCGCTGTTCTGATCATCCCAAATCTACTGCTTCTGTTCAAGACAGTGCGGTCGTCCGCACGGGCGGTGCAGATGGTGATCCTGTTCATATCGATCTTGAACATCAGCGGATGGATCCTCAGCCATCTGGCAACGGTGTCAAACGGTATATCTGCCAACGTGCAAATGGTCACCTTTCACCGAAGCCTGACCAACGTCGTCATCGCCCTCTTTTCGGCCTCGGCTCAATCTGGTCTCCTGTCGACATTCTACCTTCCGCTACTCCCGATAATATCGATCGGCAACTTTCTACTGTTCCACTTCATCCAGCCAGTTTTCTTCCGCTACCAAATCAGTGCCATTCCGCAGTCCTGTTCGGTTGCTTACTTTGTTTGCATCGTAAGCGAGGCAGAGTCCCGGCGGGCGTTCTTGATCCGGAAGCTACAGCGGCCGTCGAGCCAGGTTTCGAAGAAGGAGGCTGAGGCTGCAGCAGAGTCGACAACGAGCATCAAGCGGTCTGCTTCGATGCCAGACAGCCCACACATCTGCTGATACCGCCGATCGAATGAGGGTATGTGATAGTCGATCCAGTCTGTGTCGAGTCAGAATACCATCCCAGCGGCTTGCAGGCCGCGAAGAGCAACGCCGAGTGAAAGACATGGATTTGCAGGGTCAATCAAGATCTGGTTTTATTTGTGATGCTGAGATATCAGTCGTCAAGGATGTTGCGAGCTGCCACCGCTTTGGGTCTGAAATGCGCTGTAGTAATCAACGAAATGCTCATCCTGCGGATCTTTCACCATCGAGCTACTACGAGGTGGTGGCGAGACTGATGGGCCACAAGGTGCAGGGGGCATTGCTGATGCATATCGAGTGCCTGTTCCTGGGACAGAGTTGTCCTGGTAATTTACCTCCAAAAAGTTTGATCTATGGTCTTGTGGGTCGCTCGATGCATGCTTTGATCCATAAATCATCGAATCGCTCGGCATTCGGTTTGGGGCCATAGGGGGATGGTCCTGTCGGAAATTGGTGGTGGATGCCCCATGGGTCAATGGACCCGAGTTTGAGTGGCTCTGTGTGTGGCCAATTGATGTCGGATGGATGACTGTCCCGTTTCTTTCTGGATCGACTGTATGATCCTGATATGATGTCGAGCCAGCACGAACATGAGTGATCGACGACGAAGCTCCGGTAACGTGAGGGCCGACCCTCGCTTCTTCAACGAATGGCCCATTGCGACTGTGTTGTTTGCCTGCGCCAGTTGGGGGGACTCCCGTCGGAGCGGGTGTGTTGGTCGGCCTGGAGGTGGGTTTCAGCTTGGCCTCCCAGTCAAACTCTGCCATTTCCTTCTGGAAATCTTGGACGGTTTTGTCAAGGTCTAGCTCCGTTTCTCCGCTGCTGGCTTTGAGCAGTCCAAGCACTTCGTCCAGAGTCTGCGGATTGGCTTGATGCTCCGGCGACTGCGACAGGTACTGCTGTTCCCTCTTGTAGGCATCGCGGACGGACTCGAGCTTCTTTTGCTTTGCGAGATTGACCACGCCGTTCTCGACGGCCTGCTGCTGGATCACCTGGAAGTCGTCGACGTCCAGGAAGGTCTCGTTTCTGACGACGACGCTGTGCTGGTGCAGGCATTGATTGCTCAGCGCAAGCAGCTGGAGCGACTGTGATCGGTGCGTTCGAATCTGCTCGATTTGAGTTTTGAGAGCCGCGATTGCGCTGCGGTGTTGGTCGATGAATGTCTGCTGGACGCTGATGGCAGACTGAATGTTTTCGCTCAGGGTGTCTTCTTCGACAACGTGGGTGCGCCACTTGATATACTTCTTCTCCAGAAAGTTCTTTCCATGCGAGCATGGAGTCGGCTTTGTGTTCAAAGTACGAGTCTTCGATGCAGGCGGCGAGGCTGGATGAGCCTCCGGTTTGATCACATACTGTCCGCTTGGGAGCACCCTAAAGTCCGTGCAGTCGATGTGGTTGCAAACCAAGGTGCCCTCGGGATAAAACTCTGCCGTCATTTCGAGCCGTCCGTTGTTCTGTCTTTTCAGATAACTGATTGTGTGCTCAACGGCACGAATGCCATCCTCGTGCTCCTTGATCTGCTTGTTCAGCGACTCTTCGGTGCCCTCGGAGGCGACCAGGCTCTGGATTTCCCTGTCAATGTACGTCCTCAGGGCCTCGAGCTGGGCAGTCACCCTGAAGTCCTTTGGGCTTCGTCCCCGGGCGACCCTGACCATTTTGCGGCATGCGATCGAGGATCTGTGCCACGAATCGTCAAACTGGAGAACCTCGCCTTCAGAGAACTCGACCTTGTCCTTGGCGAGGAGATAGCGATATGCCTCGTTGTCGATGATGAAGCTGTTGGTGTCGTCCAGGTGGATGTCCACGCCTGACTGGGACTTGATCTGGTCAAACAGCTGTCTCATGTTTGGAATGGTGTCGCCCACTCGGAAGGCTGTCGACCGGGCCTTGGTGAACAAGAACGCAATGTTCTCCACGGTGCCACGGTCCAGGTACTTGAACAGCTCCATGATGCAGAATCTGAACCAGACCGTGAGTCGGCTCTGGTTTGTGGGCAGCGCAATGACGAGCATGTGGATCTTGCCGACGCGGGTGACGCATCGGATGATGTTTTGCATGTTGAGTCTGTCAGTCTCGACGCCTCGCGAGTCGCCCATGCCTGGGGTGTCGATGATCCTGATTTTGGTTGGCAGGTTGTCTTCGTCGTATACACTGAACACGTACGACTGGGGATGCTGCGTTGTCGACTGTCCTTGCTTGTAGACTTCGTTGGCGTGCGCGGCTGGGCGAGGAACAAATGGCGGATCAGCACCATCGACGACTGCACAGAGTTATGGAGGTGCGGCACACTCACCGTGAGCAGGCACCTTCAAGGATTTATCGTCGGTCTTGATCTCGGTCGGCTTGCATGTTTCGGGGTCGTAGAGAACAAACTTTGTTGGCACGAGGGTCACAATCTCAGAGGAGGCACAGGCTTCTTCCAGAGATTTGAAACTGACGTAGTTGGCGACGGCGTTGATGAGGGTCGACTTGCCGACACCGGTCTCTCCCATGACCAGGATATTGACATCCTGGCCGTTCCAGGGCAGGTTCAGAAAGTCAGAGTCGTCGAATTGCTGATGGACAGCGGGCTTCTTGATCTGGGACTTTGACGAGTCTGCAATTGAATGGGGCTCTTGCCTATTCGGCTGATTCGGCTGATTCGGCAACTTGCTACTATTTTGCGGGGCAGGTAGTGCGGCTGGGGCAGACGGACTTTGATGAGGTCCAGGGTGTGGCAATGGTAGTGGTTTTGTGTCTCGAGTGCGATGAGGTGTACCTTGATTGTTAACGGCGCCTTGAGCACGCACGGCTGGGTTTCCACGCGAAGGAGTGGTTGAGTTGGTTGGAGGGAGATAGTTCAACTGAGATTTGCTCCGCTGAACACTGGTACCGCGCACGTTTGAATTCGATTGGATCTTGTTGGTGGCTCCAGTTGAGACAGGCGCACTCGCTCTGGCTGCCGACACACTGTTGATTTCTCTCTCGGAAGGCTGTGTACCCCCATAGAAATATTCGTCCAGATTCTTCAGGATATTTAACGCTTCCTCAGATGTTGCGGTGGCATGGCTCGAAACAGATGGACGCGACAAATCTGAGTATACAGTTCTCTCTGTCTCGAGTCGAAACTTGAGCTGGGGTAACTCTTGGTCTGAATAGCCTGCAGTGGGTGTTCGTGATCCCAGGAGGGTTTCCATGTACGAGACAGACGCAGAGTTCAGGATGGTTGCGTCTCTGATGTGGTTCTTCAATATCTCAAGATGGGCTTTGAGGTTGGACGCCCCTGTTTCTTGTCCCTGCTCGTGCGATGAATCAAGGATGGCGAGCTGGCCCTGCCCTTTGGAGAGGATTCGATGCACGTATATGAAGTAATGGATGTCTTGGAACGCTATGTGGGTGTCGGCAGCCAGATAGGCGGCAAGGGTGACACTCTGCTTCGGATTCCTCGACAAGGTTCCTGTGCCGGCGCTGGGCACAGCAATGCGGAAGAAATGCACGTTTTGCTTCGAAGAGTCGTCCAAAAACTCCACTTGGATCACGGGCCAGTTTCCACGCAGATTCATGATGCCATTGACTCTATCGAATGGTCGTGCAGCTGCCGACATTTGCTGGCCTACAACTGCGAAGAGCAGGCTATCGACTCGGTTTCTTGGCCAGCACAGCAGCAGCTGGGAGACCCAGTAGTCTGTGAAGGGAGATGGCGATTGTTGGATTACAACTACGGCCTTTCGAAAGCTGCTCTCTTTGGGAATGCGCCGGAGCTGCTCTTGAATGGGATGAATGGACTGGAGTCGAGGTGGCTCTTGCATAGCGAACATCTCGAAGTTGGCTGCCTTGGTCTCTGAGGAGTCGGTGCGATCTTTGGACTTGGAAAAGAACCCAGCTGATTCTGTTTCCGGGCAACGAGAGTGTGAGTGCGGAAGAAGAGCAGATGGGATGGCTCGGGCACTCAAGAGCGAGAACCATGACATGTGTGCTTACTCTTCTGCGGAGCGGGATGGAGGAGATCGCTGAGGATTCGAACGACCTTGTCGCTCTGCTCGCCAGTCAGGTCTGTGATGACCAGGATGCGATCGCTCTGGGGGGCTGTCATGTTTGCAGTGCGCTTGGGAGTGTGGGAGCAAGTAACCTGCTAGCCGAACGACTTGCGGTTGTCTCTGATATACCAAGACAGGATGCGCCGTGCGGATCGGTGATGCGGCTGCCCTCCTCCTCCGCCCGCCCGCCAGCAAGTGCCTCCCGAAAGGGTATCCCCAACACCAAAAATGGCCGTGCGCACCCCGTCGCAGGCCAATCGCATCGCCCGGGACATCGGCAGCCTGTGGCGCCGGTGTGCTGAAACGCCGTGCGACGAGATGCCAAAAGGCCGTCGATCGGTGCGACCCTGGTCCAGACACAGCCCTGGCTCGGCCGTGTCCCAGCGGGCTGTGCTGTAGCGCCAGGCTGCGCGGCCGTCGCACTGCAGCCTCCGCCCGGGGCACACAGCGTCGGCATCAATCCTGAAACACAAGCGGGCCCCACCCTGTGTGCCCATCGGCCCCGCACCCCCACGGACGGCGCATCGGGCCCACGCGCACATGAAACATGTGGCATCGTGCGACGTGGTACGCGAGGACGGCGTCGATTGGTGCGGCTTTGGTCTCAGATTCGATCACCCTTCGTGGGCCAGGGTGCCACAGGAGAACACAAGGATCGTCTGGCAGGGGCACCCAGCCAAGCGCAATGCCGGGTCGGCCAGTCTCAGCCCCGCCGTCGTGCCACAGAGCGCATGGTGTTCCCGCATCGTCCAGATTTGGTTTCGTTCGCGGCAAGGCGTGCGAGCCCAGCATCTGCCGGTCCTCCGTCAGCTTAGGGATTCTAAAATCGGGTGCCTCGACCCTGCCCCAAGAGCGCACTGCAGACACGCACGGTACTTGCCTTCAAACTCCAACGTCATCATGGTTGCTGCCAATATGCCGACGGTGGAGGTCATCGAGCACCATGTAATCAGCCCGTATCCGAGCCAACCGTATTCCGGCCCCAGGCGGGAGATTGTGCTCTTGATCCTCGGCGAGACAGGAGTCGGAAAATCGACCTTCATCAACGCCCTGCCCAACTACTGGTTCTTCAATAGCATCGACGAGATCCGAGAAGACCAAATCATCAATCTCATTCCAACGAGCTTCCACGTATTTGAGCCCGGGGCCCTCACGAAGGGAAAGCTGATCGAGTCGGGACAACTCTCGTTCCGATCCAACGTCCGTAGGTCATCCGCTCCAGCAATGGTGGCGAATGCAATGTTGTGTGCATCGACTCGGTGGTGCGTGCAGACGGTTATGTGAACGTGCCTATCCCCTGAGCCAGCAGTCCACTTTGACTCAGATTCCGCATGGAAGAACGAAGTCCGGGGCCAGGGCCAGTCATCGACTCAGTCCCCACACACCTACGTGCTCGACACCGAGCTCAGCAACGGAGAGCCTGTGACGGTCAAGTTCATCGACACTCCTGGCATGGGCGACACCCGAGGCGTCGAGCAGGACAAGAAAAACATGGACAACATCATCCAGTACATTGCCAACTACGAGAAAATCCACGGCATCCTCATTCTCCTGAAGCCCAACCAGAGCCGCCTGACAACGTTCTTCCGATTCTGTGTCATGGAGCTGCTGCGGAGCTTGCACCGCGAGTGCGTCAAGAACATGGTCTTCCTCTTCACCAACGCCCAGAGCACCAACTTCCGCCCTGGAGACACCATGGGCTCCCTCTTGCCCCTCCTTGAGCAGGTATCCAAGGATTCTGGAGTCAAAATCTCCATCACCCGTGACAGCGTGTTCATGGTCGACAATGAAGCCTATCGGTATCTGCTGTTCCGAAACAAGGTTGCGGTCGAGGAGCACGAGCGGGAAAAATACCACCAGTCGTGGGACAAGTCTACCATCACCTGCCGAAGTGTCCTCGATACGATATCACGGCTGGCCCCTCACGAAACCCACCAAACTGCGACTCTCTACCAAGTCCGAAGCCAAGTGCTTGAGCTCTGCCGGCCCTTGGGTGACGCCGCGGCCATGATCGTCACCAACAAGGGCATCATCGCAGCCCAGCGCGAAGTCCTTAAGGCCGCAGAACAGAAAATCGAGAAGCTCGACGAAATCCTGAACGCCAAGTTTGACGTTCCGGTCAAGCGTCCTTTGAGCCCAAACCACCGAATAACCGTGTGCATAAACCTTAGCTGTGTTCAGCACTACCAAGATGACTCTGGAAATACCTTCACCAAGCATATCACCAGATGCCATGACCCTTGCCATCTGTATCAAGTCGTTTGCCAGGTCATAGGCGACCCGATTCTGGAGCATTGCGCCGCCATGCGGAACGGCGATTGCAGGGGCTGCGGCCATAGCTTCCGCGAGCACATGCACACTGACTGGGAGCTTGCCTTCGAAACCAAGCCCATCATCAACGTGAAGTTGCAGGAGGAGATTCAGGAAAAGCGAAGCAATGTGGCCAAAATCGAGCGCTTGATTCAGGAGCTGGAGGCCCATCAAGCATTCCTCTCGCAGGAAGAACAGCGGATCATGGAAATCAGCGCCAAATTTGCAGTGTTCGTGAAGCACAACGGCATCGTTCTCTACAACGACGCCATGCCCGACTATCTCGACCACCTCATAAAAGATACCCAACAATCGTCCGCGGGCACAGCCGAAGCACGCAAAGAAAAGATCAAAGGACTCGAGAGGCTCAAATTGATATACGACGCCGAGCGCAGGCTTCTTGTTGAAGGAATCAGCAACGACAGCTCAGAGCCGCCAAGTGTGAACGAAATCCGAGCGTTGATGAGCCAGCTTGGTGACTTGCAGTTCTCTGGCCAGTTTTTCAAGAGCTTCAGCTCACCGAACGACGCGACGCACATCGGGTCGAACAACGGGGCGAATATCAAGGCGAGCAATGGAACGCACATCGGAGCGAACGGCGGCGGTGTTCCCATGCAGTACTCGACGTCAGAGCCGACTCCTTCCCGGCCATCAATCAGTGCCATAAATGCTCCTCAAGCCCATCTGCCCACCCCGGCAATAAGGCCCCTGGCGCCATACACCCCTATTTACGATAAACCCAGGGTCGGTGTCAAAGAATTCTTCTCCAAGTTCAAGTTTTCACGCTCCTAGACAGAGCCTCGTACTCTTCGGCTCTCCCAAGTTCCTGCTCTCACGGCTTGGCGTCTCATAAACACACCAGCGGGTGCTGATATCTATTCCAGCCACAAATACAGTCGGTCCAGAAAGAAACGGGACAGTTCCTTCCTGGCTTCAGATCTCTGAACTCGGGTGATGAGACGCTCATCTGCCGCTCCGGGCGGATGACGGACCCTGGTCGGGCGCTTTCGATGTCCGTGAGTAGTATTCCGACCCTTGATGCTTCCCAACACTGTCAGTCGCACCGAGACTCGCTTGGCGGCGGACTGCCGCGGTTTCACCCCAGGCTCGACCCAACGCTGTGCTTTGTCAGGCCGCTGTGCGATCCCATGCCATCCGGATCTCGAAGCAGCGCTCGATCTGATGTCTGGCCAATCGGAGGAGGTCAAGTCGACTCCTTGTGTTTCATCTTTGACCCATTCCCGGCGGTGTGGCTCGGTCACAGCGACGTCTGGGGTGCACATGTTTCAGATACGGTGGCACATGTCGTCGCAGTCGCTGGCGGGAGCTCATGCTGTGGGACCTCTCGGGACCCGGGCTGACACTTTCCGAGTCCCATGGCCAGTCAAGGTGCGAGCGCTGCGACAGAAGCAAGACTCGATCACTAGTCCTCGCAAGAAGCGGCAACAAGATAGATGGCATGGCCAAGCAAGTCACACAGAGACCCACATTTGGGAGTTTGCAGCGACAAGACAGCCGCCTCACCCGACAGAAATGGCCATGAGACAGCTGCCCAAAGACTGCCCAGAGGAACCTCGTCGCTCTAGCTGCTGTCCGGCATCCTCACCACGAGCTCCGTAGCGTATCCCGGCATGGCATCGAAGCGCATCGACGGGTTTCGCTCAGTATTCTCGCCCTCGCCCTCAACCTCGGCGCCGCACCATGCACCCGCCTCCGAACCCGTGATCCTGGTCTTTGGCGAGACGGGCGTTGGAAAGTCGACGTTCATCAATGCACTGGCAAACTACCTGAGCTTTTCCGACATCGACAGCGTTGATCAAGGCAATATGAAGATCATGATCCCGACGCAGTTCTCGCTGCACGACTTTGAGGCCACGGGACACGGGACGATGTTCAAATCAGGCAATCTCACACTCAAGTCGACCCACGGTAGGCTCGCATAAGATCCTCGGCGATTTGTTGTGTTGAACAAGCAGTCGCAGTCGCATTTTGCCTCGCACTGCCCCTCAGTATTGACTAACCGCCCGGGTCTCTGGCCAGAATCGACGACCGACAATGAACAGCACATTGTCGGACGATCCTCAACACAAAGCCCCCGCACCTACATCCTGGAGACGCAGCTCGATTCGGGTCGGCATGTGTCCATCAGAATCATCGACACCCCCGGACTGGGCGACACCCGGGGCTTTGACCAAGACCGACGCAACGTCGAAAACATCATCGGCTATCTCTCCCACTACGACAACATCAGTGCTGTGTTTCTTCTGCTCAAGTCCGACGTGACCCGGACGACGATTCCGTTCAAGTTTTGTTTCAAGGAGCTGCTCAAGAACCTGCACAAGCGCTGTGCAAACAATGTTATGTTCATGCTCACGCATTCACGAAGCTCCTTTTTCCGGAATGGCGACACGATTTCCAGCTTGACTGCGCTGCTGGAGGAGATCAAGCGGGAGTCCGGGGTCGAGATTCCGATTGCGAATAACGTCTTCATGATCGACAACGAGGCGTTCCGCTTCCTGGTTGCCAAACACAAGATGGAGTTTTCGGACACTGAGCGAAACCAGTTCCGCTCCTCGTGGGAGAAATCGACCAAGACATCCCGGAAGCTGATCCAAGCCATTGCCGAGATTGAGCCCTGCGAGACCGAAAGCTCCGTGTTCCTCCTGAGCACTCGGCGCTGCTTCATAAAGCTGTGCAAGTTCTCGGCCCATGTCACCAAACTGGAGGAAGCCACAGAGAAGGTGATCAGAGAGCAACGGTCTCTCCTGGAGTCGACCCGGGCCGATATTGCCGAGGCCAAGCGCACCCTGACGACGACCCTCAACATCCCCGTCAAGTACAAGCTGTCCCACTCGATGACCGTCTGCACCAACAAGAGCTGCACCAAGGTGATGCAGGACCAGAGCGGACAGAGCATCATCGACTATGTCGTCAAGTGCAATCCTCGCTGCACCCTGGCGGACATACACTTGCAGAGTATAGGAGACCCGAGACTGCGCTTCAGCCCCATCATGGTGCGCGAGCAGTGTCGAACGTGCTCGCACTCCTTCCGAGAGCACATGAACATTGACTGGGATGTCCGATATGAATCAAGAGAGATCGCCAGTCCTTCGGCACAGCGACAGCTAGCCAAGGCGCAGGCGAAAGAGCACGCCATCAGCAAAGCCATCCAGACGCTGGAGGAGTCGCTGCGGGAAATCCAAGCCGCAGACGAGAGCATTAGGAAGGTCGGCCGTCGACTCGCCAGCTACTTGACGGAGCACAGCATCAGTCCCCTTCAACACCTCGCTGCTTGAGTATCTCGAGATCCTGAGCAAGGACGCACAAGCCTCGGGCATGAGCGGCGCCTCTCTTGGCCAATCAAGTGAGAGCTTCAAAGATCTGGAGACCGACAAGTTGATCCACGAGGCCGAGAAGAAGATGGTGCTGGCGGTTCAAGAGAGGAGCGAGGCCGTGCCCTCGAGGGACGAGATTGAGCGACTGATGGGCGAGCTGTCCAAGATTCGCTACTCCAACACCGAGGGAGTGGCAGGGCTTTCACGAGCCTTTGGCGCAATATCTGTTTCGGGGAACTCGGGCGGCTCACGATTCCACGCTCTCGCTTTCCGGCCCGTAGTTAAATAGGATGGTGGTTGCTCACATCAGGGTGCGCCAACAAGTGCAGCGATGTTTGAATATAGATAAAATGGAGGATGGAATCAGTCCTGCCTGGATGATGGAATCAGTCCTGCATGGATGATGGAATCAATCCTGCCTGGATGATATTCTCATGTTGATCATATGGAACACTCTCTGCGGTGCTGTGGGTACAGCCAGCATCAATCCCGAACTGCGCTCTTGCATCAAGTTCCAAGGGTGCGATGAGTCATGGGAGCGAGCCTCAAGCACATTTCTGTCAGCCCCGAGGCCACTCCCCACTCGACGGATGAAAGAATACAGGATGTGGAATGTCTCGATTGCGCTGATTTGTATTGGCGATCTATAGAGTGCCCGGGGCTTACTGCCTGATGGGGGGGGGTTTAAACGGAGTCATAGCGCTGCAAAGCGGCAACCAAATTTAAGATCGAGTTGAAGAATATCGAAGAAACCATCTGCGCTTGCCATAGAAAGTGAAGATCGGAGAGGATTGATTGTGTTTACCCCCCGACATAGAGACAAAGAAGAGCTGGATAATTCATAGGAGTGCCAGAGGATGGGTCAGATTCGCCGAAAGCAGGGAGGAGTGTGCCGGGCAAGGCGAAGGGTCAGCTCAGTCATAGTTGAGCAGGCTTATGCCAATCTCTCCTCCTTCACGCCGGGGATAAAGTTACGAGAGACAGCGGTACTCTCTCCATGATTGAGGATGGCAAGGCTTGGGACAACCGGCGGCCGGTAGCTGCTCGGAACGGAGTTAATGCCCTCCGATTGGTTGATGGACTCGTTGATTCTCGGAGAGACATGATTTGCGGTCGAGTGAACAACGTTAGGGCGATCTAGGCGCTCCAAATCATGGGTGTTGTTTTGGGGAGGATAGTGGGTGTCCGGCTGGTAAGGGCCATCAACGTAGTTGCTTTGCGGGTAATCGCGAGGTTGGTCGATATTGGCGGGATTGGTTAGGGTCGTTGTTGACAGCTCTGTTTTGTTCAGCTTGAGCTTCAGCATCGGCCTCACGCTGGCGTCTCGCTTCAAGCTCCTTATCCTTGTTGAAGTGGCGGACACCAAAAGCGAGCAGAGCGATCGCTGCCAAGAAAGCGCTGGTTCCGACGAGGGGGGCCCAGACATTGGGGGCGGGATTGGCGTTCAGGATAGTGCCGGACGAACCCGTGGCTGTGGCATTAGGGGCGCCAGTTCCGGAAGCACCACCGATGACACCGCCCGAGACACCGCCCGAGACACCGCCCGAGACACCGGTTCCGACCGCACCAGAGCCAGAGAGGGCGGTTGCGGTTCCGGAGATGGCGGTGGCGGTTGCGGTAAGGGTGGCATGGGAGTCACCGCCGCCGGACTGAGTGGCATCTATGTCGTCGATTAGGACAGAGTTAGGAATGCTCCAGCAGCACACGATGTGCGCACGATTACTTACCCCAGGTGGCGGTGGGGGTCGGGGTAGGAGAGGTAAAGGCGCTGTGCGCCTCGACGACCAGTCCGCGCTTCAGGTGGACGGGCTGGGGAGCGGCGTTGGTAGCGACCAGGGCCATGGCCAAGACGGTGAAGGTGTTGAGCAAGCGCATGTTTGGGAGGTTATCGAGACAGAGAGCCTGTGGGAAGCGGGCAAAGAACAGCGGCAGCAGTGACGGGTCAGCACAGGCATGGACCGGCGGTTGGGCTGATAGCGCCAAGGATGTGATGCAGCCAAGGACGTGATGCAGCCAAGTTTGACATACTGATTCAACTTGACCGTAGCAGTGGAACCCCAGCTGAGAAGGAGGAATGCGACAGGAGATCTAAGCAGCCGAGGAACCGGGGAGGAGCCCAGGTTTAAATATTCGGAGACGAGTACTCTGCCGCGAAAGCCGCCTCTGGCTGGGCTGCGTGGTTGTGCCGTCGCTTGGACGGGTGGCGCCCGGGGGGATATACTTTTTCGGCAGGCACCCGATGGCGGTGCGACGACGGTGCGACTGGCTGCTTGTGGACGGCCCTTGGTCGCAGCGCAAGCGACATGGATCCACAGCCGTCAAGGCAGCGACAAGCAGCCCTTGTTGGGACAGCGCGACGCTTGTTGGATGAAACGCCGGGATCCAAGCAACCATTCCATCGCTTTCCCAGAAGCAAATGTCGACACAGCATCCGTGGACACGATGCGCAAGTCTTCGCTGTCGTTGCTGCCAGGGGCCTTGCTCGCTCATGGGCCTTGCTCAGCCGTGGGCAGCCCAACGGGCCAGAGGCGAATATTGCGCAATGCGCGTGGCGTAACCCCCGCCGAGGCTGCTTGACACTGCAATGTTGTATCGATCTCGGGCAGCCCCTCGCAAGTACGCCAGTTCGCTGGCGCTCTCTGTGCCGCCGCTGCCCGGCATGCACTCCAAGGCAGGGACATGGTCATGTCTGCGTCTCCTCTGGTAGTCTGGCAATGATCTCTTGTCGGCTGCGATGGCGAACACAGCGCATCGGTCGAGTTGACTCCCGTGTCGCATGGCCTAGCATGCGATACTACTATTTCCCTGCCTCTCCCTTTCCTTGGTGGGCGACTTGACGTGATACCAGTGGCAAATCGCCGAGATACACAGCCGGTTGAACAAAACAGCGCTTTGCATCACGCACATGGCATTCCATAGATACAGCGACACGACGATGGATGTTTGGGACATCCAACCAAACCGAGGTGCGCTATCCGCTCCACATATCGCAAGGCTCCTCGGGCAAGCTGCCGAAACACACATTCTTGGAGTCTGGTCTCCACAGGAAACCGGACGTGTCGGCGCTGGGTGTCGAGTTGTGCGGTCCTTCACAGAGGCAGATCACCGAAACAGCAGAAGCCACCAGGCGATCGCCAGCTAGCGCCTCGGAGATGGTTCTTCCTGGCAGCCCCGCTTCGGACACTCCCAGCGATGCTTCTTGATTCTGCGGGCTGGTGCACGGGATCGCTGCGACCAGGGCCAGGCCGGCTCGCTGCCCAGAATGGCAGTTTGTGGCACGGCAGCTGGCCCGGGCGCGGCAACAAGGCACTCACCGCCACATTGATACCGGCCATCCCAATCGCGGTGGAGGCGGTGCTGGAGAATATGTTGGGTCCGCGCGTTGGTGCACCACCAGGTTCTGCTGCGATGATACCGGGTATCATCGCGCCGGGGATTGCAGATAAATGCCAGGGTGTGCCCTCCCCCCCCCCAGCGGTCTCCAACCACTCCACCACTCTCGACCTTCCCTCCAGCTCCGGCTGCCTGATTCTCGCTTGCCAGCTAGTGTTACCCCCATGTTCGGAAAAAAGAACCAAACGAAAGCCGAGCTGCAATCGGGCGAGAATCCATTGCAGAACAGCGCCTCCGGGTCAAACCCGCAACAGTCTTCCAAGATCGTCGAGCGACGTCCATGGAGGGTTGGTGTTGCTGCCGTCGCTCTGTTCTGCAGCCGTTGCAGCGACCTGTCCAGCCGGTCCGAAGCCAGCCATCTAACGCCTTCCTCGTCTATCCGGCCAACGACCGATCCAGGATCTCTGGGCCGCCGCTCTGTTCCTTGCAGGCTTGGGTGCCTTCGTCTATGCGGCCTACCTGGGCATTCCAAACACCATCGCTTCGCTCCAGAACCCAGGCAGCCCGACAAATACGGTGTTCACTGCAGGGGTCAGCTTCTGGCAGGTTATTCATCCCATGATCACCATGCTGGCGACTGCCCTTGGCGCGACGCTTCTTGCGGTCGGTCTGATTCAGGCGTATGTATCCCAATGTTCCCTTGGCCGTATGCATTCGCCCTGGCGCTCTGGTCGGTGCTCGGTTCTTGTGTGGATGACTGGCTCACAAACACCGGTCCGCTACTACAATCCAGGATCCCCCGGTTCATGATGAACCTCTTCTATGGCGTCTTCTGCGTCTTTATTATCCTGATTGGTGCCTATGTGATCTCTTACGGCGGCGTCAGGAACATAGTTTCCGGCTGCGTGGTGATCATCCTTGCGGGGCTGTACGTTTGGGGTTCCTTGAGCTTCTATGAAACTAGCGAAGGTGTCGCCAACTTGTGAGTACATCCAACCCCGGCTGATTGATGCATGGACCTCCAAAGCCCAGCGAGCGGGTATTCAGCTGCTTGGGTCTGGTACGCTGTGCTCTGCCTCCAGCCATGGCTTGTGCCGACCATCTCATCCCGCTTTGGTCTTGCTCATCATCGCAGCTACAAGGCCTCATCGTATATCACTCGACAGTTCCCGGCCACGATCTTTGCTTCCTTCCTCGGCATGATCATCTCCCTGTTCTTCATTGTGACATGGCTGGCCACATCGTACGGCATCACGAACATTGTTCTGAACAAATACTTCACCGTCGACCCAAGCTCTGGCCAAATCGTGCAGTCCAACAACACCATGCTGATCTCCGTGCTGGTTGGCCTTGGTAAGGCTGCGACATACTGATTTGTGCAAATGGAAGGGGTACAGACCTGCAGACACTAACATGCGGCGTACCCATCCATCACACAACCGAATCAACACTGGACAATCCACGCCATCCCCATGCCTCCCCCGCTCACGAACAGCCCTGATACTCTTCTGGACCCTCCAAGTGATCCAGAACGTTGTCTATGTGACTTGCTCGGGGCTCCTGGCTCTCGTTTTCTACCAGGGAACCCTCGATGCCTCTGGGAAAATCCACATCCCGACACAACTCCCCACCCTCAGAGCCGCCGGCCGAGCCCTAACCAGCAGCTTTGGCTCGATCTGCTTTGGCTCTCTCCTGATCTCAATCATCCAGACCCTCCGCTATCTGGCAAACATTGCACAAAACATGGGTGACGATAACGGCGACAACTTCATCCTGGCCCTGATCCGGTGTTGCCTGATATGTATTCTGGTGATTCTGCAGGATATCCTCTACTACTTCAACCACGTGAGTAGCTCCGCACGAACGACTCTCTGTCTCAGCATGTCCATCGGCATTGGAGGCAGCCGTGCATCCAACTGTCGGGCGAGCTCGTCAAGCTTTGAGCATGTCCGAACCGCCACAAAAAACAGCAAGTCGACTGACGCTTTCGCTTCCTCCCCTGCTGCACTCGTTGCAAAGTTTGCCTTTGCCCATGTGGCCGTCTACGGAGACAGCTTCTGTCAGGCTGCCAAGTCAACATGGCGTCTCCTCGAGAGCGAGGGACTTGGACCGGTGAGTCTTGCTCTGCGAACGCTCGGCGCACCAGAGCCAATGTAGTCGCAGCCACTGCCAGCGATGATGCAACCATCCGTCGCTTCGGCTACAGCGACCTTCCCTCCAGGTCTGCACTTTCCCACTGACGCTTCACGTTCCTGCTCCTTCTCTTCCATCCTTTCTGAAATACCAAACAACATTTCACTGCCAGGTCATCGTCGATAACCTGGTTGACTCTGTCGTCGTTCTCGGTGGAGTGACCGTCGGCCTCATCACGGGCCTGGCCGCGATTGCTAGCATCGAGAGCGACAAGTCCATTCCCCAGACCAACGTCCACTACATCACCTACTGCTCAATCGGCTTTGCCCTCGGCGCCTACTGCTTCTTCTCCATGATGACCTTCATGCTCTCTGCCGTCTCAACGACGATCGTGTGCTATGCGGATTCGTCGACCGCAGTCTCCAGGATTCTTCCCCGAATCTCCACCAGTTGGCTGTAGATCTCTCTCCCAAAAATGACACGATGCACCTCATGGGCGGAGGGTTTGATTTACCTTAATTATTGTATCTTATAAATATCCATTGCTTTGACCCTCCCTCCTCGGTTATTTTCCCCGGATACTGTTGTAAACTGCCATTGGATCACCATGGCCTTTGATACACGACCCCGCAGCCTTCACTTCGGAGGCTGTCGAGGTGATCAGCATTTGCTGCAGCCGGGTTTATCGGACCCACACTATCTTGCATGTTCGATGATAATTGCGCAGCATCTCATCTTGTTCTTGGAACGCTGTAAGTACGTCTTGATCTCAAAGTCACGAATACGAATGCCAGCACCGCCAAGGGCCGAACAAACTCCCTCGCCCGATCTCATACGCTCGCCGACATGCTGCACCCAGTCATTCTCCCATACGCACGGAGAGCACCCACGATCAGGCGGCTCTCATCCCTCTACCACCGTCGCCTCGTGAGCCGAGAAATCTCCCGCTGGACCTTTTGAACAGCCGGATGCAAGTCGTTATGATACAGGCGCTTGTAGATCGAATACGCCTCCCGGAAGTTGCGAAGGGCCTCGTTATGGTTGCCGCGCCTGTCGTTCAAGACAGCGATAGTTTCGACCGTCCGAGCGACCTCGTAGTGCTCCCAAGTGTCATAGACTCTGACAAAGATGTCGAGACACTCCTGTAAGCAGTCCAGGGCGTCGTCCAGGAAGCCCTGCTTCCACAGCACAGTTCCGATGCTGGCAAGCGATTTTGCAATGTCGAGGTGGTCGCGGGTTTCATGGATGGTCTCAAATATGCCAACGGCCACTCGGAAGTGCTCCAGAGCGACATCAAGGTCACCTTGTGACTTGGAAACGAGTCCGAGCGACACATGCGCTTTGGCAACGGACAGATGCTCGACCGTGCCGTTGAGCTCGGTGTGGATCGCAAGCTCCTCGCTGAAGAATCTATGTGCGTCAGCAAACTGCTCTTGGTTCCTGGCTTTGTGGCCCATGGTGGCAAGCAGACGGGCAACATCGACGTGAACCCGAGTTCCGAGCGCCTTGGCTTTCAGATCCAGTTCCTCCTGCAGCTGCTCGAGCGAGTGCCCGTCCACGCTTTGGTCGCGACCAAGCTTGCTGAGCTCGATACGGATCGATGCAACCGTCGGATGGTCGGGAGTTTCGTAGAGCTTCAGGGCCACATCGAGTGCCTGCTGGAAATAGCCATGGGCGGCGTTGTCGCGGCCTTGTCGCTTGGCAATCTTCCCCATCTTCACCAAGGTCGTGGACACCTCAGGGAGCTTGTCGGAGCCAGAGACTTTGCGAAATATGTCGACTTCCTCCTGGAAGTATTGGAGTGCGTCGTCGTGATGATCTTGGCGCTCGGCGTTGTTGCCCATAGCCATGAGGGTCCTGGCCACTTGGAGGTGCTGGCGGGTGCCAAAGAGCTTGATCTGGATCCGGAGAGCATCGGCATAGTACTTTGATGCCTCGTCAAAGCGCCGCTGTATACTCAGTAGGTTGCCGAGCCCCACCATCGAGAGCGCAACATCGGGCTGCTCGTGCGTTCCGTAGAGCTTGGTGTAGATATCAAGCTGCGCGTGGATGTGACCGTAGGCCTCGTCGATCCGGCCCTGGCTCTTGGCGACGTTGCCCAAGCCCATGAGGGCGACAGCGACATTTGGATGCTCACGGGTGCCATAGATGGACATGAAGATGTCATATGCCTCCTGGTAGTAGGCTCTGGCATCGTCCAGCTGTCGCTGGGCTCTCTTGGTTTCGCCGAGGCTGTAGAGCACATGGGCCACATCCGAGTGCATTCTGGTGCCAAAGGTTTGGATGTTGATTCGGAGTGCCTCCTGGTAGTATCGAAGAGAATCGTCCAGGCGACCCTGGCGATACGAGACAAAGCCGAGAGAAAATAGCACGGTCGCGATCTGCGGATGGTCTCGCGTTCCAAAGATTCTGGTTTTGACGGCTACGGCTTCTTCGTAGAGAGCCACGGCCTCGTCGTAGCGCCCCTGGTCTTTGGCCAGGATGCCCATCCAATAGAGGATCTCGGAGACGCTGGGGTGGTCGCGCGTGCCATATATCTTGGTGTTGATGTCGAGCGACCCCTGGTAGTACCGGCGGGCATCTTCGTATTGACCCAGCTTGGCGGCTGCAAAGCCCATGTTTTGGAGGATCATGGCAGTAAGAGGGGAAGCGTGGGCTGCGTGGTCGTTTCGGACTATTCCAAGTGCCTCTTGGTAGCGGCGGAAGGCCTCGTCAAAGCGATTTTGGGTGCTGAGGGTCGAACCGATGTGATAGATGATGTCGGCTACAACCTGGGTCTGCCGAGTCTTGCGAACCTTGGTTTCGATTTCGATGGCTTCTTCGTAATGCTGTATGGCGGCATCGAAACGGAATTCCATTTCATCGAGGGTTGCCTTCTCCAATAATATTTCCGAAACGTCAGAGTGCTCGCGGGTTCCATGGACTTTGATAGTGATGTCTAATGCTTCTTGAAGCAGCGCGTTGGCGGCATCGTATCGACTCTGGGCGCTCTCGAGATTGGCAAGCTCGACGATTGTGGCTGCAACACCGAGATCTTCTCGTGTGCCGCAGAGCCTGACCTGGATATCCAAAGCCTCTTGATGGTACTGGATTGCCTCCTCGTAGCGGCCCTGGCTCGCTGCGGTCTTACCAATGCCGCCAAGAATATGGGCGACAAAGAGTTGATCTCTAGTCCCATAGTATTGTATGGACCGCTCCAGGTTTTGCTGGTGGGTTCGCATGGCCTTGGAGTACAGGGCACGCTTTTGTGCCAGGAGGGCTATCTGAAGTTTGATGGAGCCGTGCAGCTCCTTTGTATGCACTTCCGGAATCGCCATGCAGGCATACTGCTCCAAGTGATCCGAGAGCGGGAGGGACTGCAGGTCCAGCGACTCCGTGAGCGCCAAGAGGGATTTGCCGGTGGCTTCTTCGATATCGTCAATATTGAAATCACTGCGATGCTTGATCAAATCATGAGCAACCTTCTGGATCAAGGCGTGGGTGTGGAACATATCGTTGGCACCACCTCGAAGGAAGCCGCTCTCGCAAAGGACGTGCGTCAGGGTTGACGCTGGGAGGAAAGGCTGCAGTTAGACGGGTTGTCGATAGGCAAGTACATCTCGCAGCAAGGAACGCTTCCACACTTACGGGCTGTAGAGAGCTTCATTTCCTCGGCAATGGATTTGAGAAGCTCAGAGGAAATGGCATCCGGACCCAGCAGAGTGACGGCCCCAAACATCTTGCACGCCTCGGCGCCATCTTCTCCTCGCCTCATCAGAGCCTCAATTGCAAGATGGACGACAGCGCCGAGGGAAGATCGGTTGCTGTCTTCACCATTCTTGTCCCGGAGAATGTCTTCAAAGTTCGTCTCAATGTCGTCGAGCAGACTGCCGCCACACTCGGCATAGCTGCGGAGCGCTTGAATGACCAAGGGATAGCCATCGACTTTGGCGATGAGACTCTGCAGCTTTGTTTTGGCTTCGTCAGAGTCGAGCTTTGCAGCAAGCGTGGGTGTGGTCGAGACCAGGTACTCGAGAGCCACATGGCTGGGCCATGACGAAAGCCTGAGCGGATCCTGCTGGAACTCGGGGAGGTTTGCACTCATGGCATTGAGCAAGGCGCCGTCGGGAAGAAGCGGAAGCCGAGTCGTCACGATCACATCGCCGCCGAACCCGACCGACTTGGAGTGCTCAAACACAGAATCGGCCACGCTGATGTCATCGACATTGTCGATGATGAGAAGATAGTTGCGGTTGCTGGCGAGGAACCTCGAGGCGTGTTCTTTGATGTCGCTAGATTGCATGTCTGGGAAGATACCCATGAGGCTGTCGATGGCCGTAGATTCGCTGGCACAGTTGATCCAGAAGACTTGGCTGTACTGCGGTTTGGTGCCGATGGTCTCGGCTTGGATGGCGAGAAGGTCGTCCTTGTTGCTCACATTGAGAGTACCCATCATGAAATGAACGATCTGGCTGGCCAGGACGGACTTGCCCATACCACCCATGCCGGAGATGACGGCGCGGCCAGTCAGGGTGAGCTGCTTGAGCAAGGTGTCCAAGTGAGTGGGATCGACTCGGAAGTTGGAGTCGCAGAAGACAGTGTCGAGGACCCGGCTGGTGCTATCATCCACTTGAACCGGATGGACGAGATTGAGGAGATGGTAAACTCGTTTGTGCATCTGGTCGGGACGAAAGCCATATGGCTGCAGCTGGTTCATTCTGGTGAGGGTCTGTTTGAGAGGGGCAAAGGCAGGGTCGTCGGGGAGGGACACCATGTTCGGCAAGACGGGAGTGAAGCCATCGACACCATCCTTGGTTTCCTTGGTGGCGATTCCGAGGGGAAGGACAGGCAGAGCGGGATTGGCATCCTTGAGATCGAGGGCGGTCTTGATTTCGAGGACGGCGCTGTCCTCTTGGCTTGAGAGGACCTTGTCCTTCATCAGGTCCATCGAGGCTTTGCTGAGGAGCAGGAAGACGGCCTTGCTGGTGGGGAGGGCACTGATAGAACTGGCTGGAGGGTCGTTGGGATTGTTGAGGCAGTCGACATCGTGGAAGACGGAAAGGGGTTTGCCATATCGACGAAGGGCGACTGAGGTGAGCACCTCCTTCAGAGCCTGGACAGTGTCGGCATCAGTCTGGGCTTGGTATGAGAGGAACAGGTCGTGGTCCGTACCGTGGATATGACAGGAATGAGGCTGGCTGGGTGCGGTGGAGAGCATCGGTGGCAGCCGCAGCAGCAACAAAACACTGGTTGAGCAAGGATCGATCAATGAGAGAGACCCGAGATCGAAGGGAAAGCGATCTGAATCTTGATATAATGTCTCGACAGAGGAGGACGAGGCCAGAGCGCTTGGAGCTCCGCCCAGTCGGAGTGAAGGCGCGCATGACACAACCCGCGCTGGCGGTGCATTGCGCTGGGGTGCATCGGGGATGATGCAGGCGGATGCAGTCCGCTGTGTGCCGGCGGGTCTGGGGATGGGTGGTTTGAACGAAGGTTCAAGTTTGGGATATCACGATGACAATGCGATCCACAGACTCCCGCCGCCCGTGGGTTGCGGATCACTTGGTCATGGTTTGGAGCATAGCGGATACTAGCGGCAGCCAAGATATGAGGATTGGGACACCCTGTTTCCATGAAAGTTCACCGTTTGTGAGGAATTCATCGACAAAAGCGATTATTGATGGGCTTGAGGAACCCCAGACAGCTAGTGCTGGTGGTGTATCCCATGATCTGCTGCTCATCCACTCCTGGAGCATACTTCGCGATCCAGGACCGGAGACGGAGATGGCTCGGCTGCTGCATCCATGGCTGCCGCTGTGGGTGGTTGATGGGTGAATGTGATCGGTCAGAGCGAGCAGCCAGCACCGTCCGTGGATATCTCGCAGGCAAGGCGTCGTTTGCTGACCGCTCTGGAACCTTGAGTGTGGAGTGGAGCTTCGTTGATCGTCCGTTGACGCTGTGCACTTGGAGCCGGTGGATCTCGAAGGATGGCCATCACAGATGAGAGCTGTATGTTGCCATCAGAGAGTCGCAGCCAGAAGCACACCAGGTTGCTGGTTGATTGTGTGCACAGTGTTGACGACAAGTGGATGGCGAGTGAGTCGACGGAATGGGTGGCGTTCGGGCGAGAGATGAAATGGCCTCTGTCCTCCTCTTTCCCTCCAAATCTCCTCAGCCTCCATCGCCCCAAGCGACAGGACAGCATCCTCGTCCACGATACCAGGCCGATCTCGCTCATACACCCACCCCGCGAGGCGTTATTGACATGGATCCAGGGGGCGCCTTCGACGAGTTCCTCCAGCAAAGCGACCTTGTTCGATACAAGAATGTCATCCTGGAGAACGAATACGACACGGTCGAGCTGGTGAGCAGAGGCAACATGGATGTCGCTCTGCGCCCCTGCCGATCAGCCAACTGCTCCTGACAATCGGCCATGTGTTCCAGCTTCTCGCCCTCAGTGTGGATGACATGAAGGAGATCGGAATGAAGCCAGGGGCTATCAAGAAGCTGCAAAGGGCCCAAGCGGCACATGCCTCCAACCCGCCGACTGTTGCCATCCAGCCTGACCCTCACCTTGCAGCAGCAAATACACCACCGACCATCATCATGCAGCCTCGAGACTACACTCCAGCGACTCCGACTGCAGAGTGGAAGTGCCAGTTGGAATATGACATTCACGATGTGTTCATCAGGTGGGCGAGCCATCGCATTTCTCATCGGACCCACTCGCCACCAACTGACTCCTCACACCCGTCGCAGCTATCGAGTCAGCAGTGACACCGTTAATGCCATGGCCCTGCATGGAGCCCTGTCGGCCAACAGTCGGGGCGAGACAGCAGCCCATATATATCTCGACAGCCTCTGCCTTTGTGACGGCGCTGACTGGGAGCAGGGTTTCATCAACGGGCTGTATCGATCGAATGTGATTGTCTTGTTGCTGTCGGAGGAGGGTCTGAAACGCACCTTCGAGGCCCACCTCAAGCCAGACAACCAGTTGCTCGAGGTAACGAGCGAGCCGACAGCATCGACGCTGGAGGGTGGGCCAGTCCAATCTCACTCACTCTCGCCCTCACTCCCTCCACAGATCCAGCACGCTCTCAAGAGAATGAAGGATGAGGACACCACCGGCCAGCATGTTGTCATCCAGCCAATCTTCATGTGGTCGAAGCGACATGTTGATGGCGAGGATCTATCCAAGAAATACTTTCCCAATACGAGCGTCTTTCCTCGTTATCCTCCGATCCACAACAAGAGCCCACTGGTCGACGGACTTCCGATGACCATCCAGCAGACGTTCAGCGACTTGATGAAGCTCCAGGCTCTCGATGCTGCTGATGAAAATGCTCTCAAGAGGTAACAGTCACTCGCCATGCCGACTGATCATCATATCCAAACCTGAACAACCTGAACGCTCACTCACTCACTCACTCACTCACTCACTCACTCACTCACTCACTCACTCATTCACTCACTCACTCACTCACTCATCCACTCACTCATTCACCCATCCACCAAACTCAGGCTTGTCCCCAATATCCGAAACCTGATCACCAAGACCAAGACGGCAGCAGTCCAAGGAGCAACATACCACAAGGATAGTCCCATCCAACTCACCAAAGAACAGAACTCGCTCCTGCGATCCCTCCTCGATCCCATCGACTCGACTCTGGACAGACGTGCACTCGAGGATCTGTATGTCGAGGGAACCCGCCAGTGGCTCTTCGACCAAACCACCAACTGGGTCAACCAGGACACCACCGACACTGTCCTGTGGGTCAATGCCGTTGCTGGAGTGGGCAAATCTGTCGCTGCTGCCCAGATCGCCAACATCCTCACAGCCACCAACCAGCTGGTGTCGGCGCTGTTCCTCAAATACAATGACATCCGCAAGAGCGATCCACGAGTGGTGTTGAACACCATCGCATACGGTCTGTGCAAGTGGCACTCGCCGATCGGCCGCAAGCTCCTCGATGCTGGCCACACCAAGGACGACCTCGACAAGATGAGCATCCCTGATCTGTTCAAGGCCGTGATTGCTGATCCACTCGAAGCCATCGGCGACTACAGACCCAAGGGATCGGTGATGATCCTGGTGGATGCACTCGACGAGTGCTCTCCGCGCGATCAGCTGCTCAGTCTGCTTGCCGTGCGGTTTATCGAACTGAACAAGACCCGTCCGTGGCTCAAGTTGCTGATGACATCCCGACCCGAGGAGGACATCAAGGCAGCATTCGATGGAGTCCCGACCAAGACGATCGAACCCTCGAGCGAGGAAAACATCCGTGATCTCGAGGTGTTCATCCACCACCGACTGCGAGTGTATGGCACTCTCACTGACTCGGACCGCACCGAGGCAGTCGCCATCCTGCTGGACCAGTCCAAGACATTCGTGTGGATCAACCTGATCCTCAACACCGTCGATTCAGCATCCAGAGACGGCCCAGTGACACTCGCCACGATCAAGGACATCAACGACAGCGCCGCCGATGTCGGGCAGTTGTACAACAAGACATTCGCCAAGATCCACTCGCAATCGAGCCACCCGGCCGAGCTGGTCACGGTGGTGTCGGCGATCGCCACGGCCCAGTCGATCCTGACCCCGCAGATCATCGCCGATGTGTTTGGACTCGAGATCGGCGTCGTTCGCGAGTGTCTCACGAGCCTCACTCTGGTCCTCGATCCTGGCGCCAATGGACTGGGTCCCCGAGACAGCCAGTCCACCAACACCGAGGTCAAGTTCAACCACAAGTCGGTGGCGGACTATCTCCTCGGCGATGCATCGACTGGCCATCCGTGGCATGTATCGAAAGAGTTCCACACGGTGTTTGCCAATAGATGTCTCGGTGTGATCCTCTCGCACAAGCCAGTGATCAATATTTGCGAGATCTTCGACTTTCACGACAATATCGCCGACCTCGAGGACAAGGTCGCAGCCAAGATCACACCGTCGCAGCGATACAGCGTCGCCCACTGGATCACACACTTTGTGTGGTGTGTGGAAGGAGTGGCCGAGTCGAGTCCGGTGTGGCAGTCGGTCGAGATGGTCGATGTGGCTGTGGTGCTCACTCGGTTCGTCAAAACTCATGTGTTCTTCTGGCTCGAGTGTGGGTCGCTCACACATGTGGTCAAGCCGATCATCGAGCAACTGGCTGTGCTGCGAGGAGTGATCGCCAAGGCACCCAGCACCATCGTCGACGACACCACGAAGGAACTGGTCAAGGACATGTATCGATTCATCCGCGAGTTTGCCGACCCGATCATTGCGAGTGCACCACAGGTGTACAACTCGGGGTATGCATTCACACCAAAGGAGACGGCGATCTACAAGACATATGCCGACCAGCTCGAGGACAAGATCCCGTTCCTGGTCACGGCTGGTCCAGCACCCACCTGGGATCCGTGTGAGATGACACTCACTGGTCACTCGAGCCAAGTGAACTCTGTGGCGATCTCACCCAATGGCAAGTGGTTCATATCAGGCTCGAACGACAAGACCATCAAGGTGTGGGATGCCATCACAGGCCAAGCAGTCCTCACCATCGATGGCCACAACGACGAGGTTGCGTGTGTTGCACTCTCGTCCGACGGCAAGCTGATTGCCTCTGGCTCGTGGGACAACATGATCAAGATCTGGGATGCCACCACTGGCGAGCTGAAGCGGACGATCAAAGGATACAGCGACGCTGTGCGATCGATCTCGTTCTTTCCTGACAGTGCCTCGATTGTGTCTGGATCCAACGACAAGTCAGTCCGTGTTTGGGACGTTTCCACTGGCCGACTGTGTCTGTCGATGGACAAGCACGGCGATGAAGTTCACTCTGTGGCTGTTTCAGCGGACGGGTCCACGATTGTGTCTGGTTCGAGCGACAAACGCATCATGGTCTGGGATGCCACCACGGGTCGGTTGAAGCAGACCATTGCGAGAGGCAGTGACTGCGACGATGATTTTGACGATGATTTTGACGATGACGATGAGATGGATGATGACGATGACGATGATTTTGATTATGAGGACGACGAGATGGATGACGGCGGCAACGTGGTCAACAGTGTTGCTGTGTCGGCCAATGGTCAAGTGATTGTGTCTGGCTTCGGCGATGGCTCGATCGAGATCCGGGAGTCATCCACAGGCGAGCGAATCACACTCGATGGACACAGCAGAGATGTGACCTCTGTTCAGATCTCATCCGATGGCAGGACCATTGTCTCTGGCTCGTGGGACAACACCATCAAGATCTGGGACGCAGAATCGGGCCGGCTGAAGCAGACTCTCGAGGGCCACAGCAACTGGGTGAACTGTGTGGCGATATCGGTGGATGGCGCAATGGTTGTGTCGGCCTCCAGCGACGAGTCGATCAAGCTGTGGGATGTCGACACAAGCGGCATTCTGCCAAACAAAGCCACCAGCCAAACCACCAACTCAACCACCAGCCAAACCACCAACTCAACCACCAGCCAAACCACCATCGAGCACACTGCCGATGTGAGTGCTGTGGCGGTTTCTGGTGACGGCCAGTTGATCGCATCAGGGTCCAGCGACAAGACCATCAAGATCTGGGACGGACACAGTGGCCAGTTGATCCAGACTCTCGAGGGCCATGACACCGGTGTCAAGTCGATCAACCTGTCCTTGGACGGTGACTTGCTCGAGTCCACTGACTGGCAAGACAACCGCACACTGTGGATCAGACACAACGGATGCTTTGTCCAGTCAGAAGTCTCGGGCGAGGAACTCCTGAAAGTCTCCACAGATCCACTGGCACTCTCGAGTGTGTGGGAGAAGGTTGACATCCCGCAGTGGATACGGCAAGGAGATCAGATGTGCAAGGTTCCACATGGAATGTACGAGTGGAGTTGTCGCCAAACCAGCACTCACGGGACACTGATCATGATGAATCGACGACCACTGGTGATCCAGGTGAGTCATGGCTTTGGGTCGCACTCGATTGATCACCTTGATGGCAAACTGATCGGGTCGACTCTGCACACAGACACACTTCAGTCATGGTTGCTTCCTTGAGGCTCGGGGAAACGACGGAGATCTGAGCAAGGCGCTTGAGTGTTTCAGGATCTCTGCAGATTGGGGTGAATCGGAGGCACAGATGCGGGTTGGATTGTGGTTTGAACAAGGTCGTGGGGCCGACAGCGATCAAGTTGCAGCAAGACATTGGTTCAATCGAGCAGCACAGAAGGGGCATCCCGACGGACAATTCCATCTCGGACGCTGCTTGGAGAATGGGATCGGTGGATCGATCGATCTCAGTGGAGCCGTCACTTGGTATCAGAAGGCTGTTGATCAAGGTCATGCAATCGCTGCAACGAGCTATTTCGAATTATCACAGCGACAATCTAATGCTGGAAATGTCGATGCTCAGTATCACCTTGGTCGATGTCATGAACATGGAATCGGAACATCGGTTGATACTACTCAAGCACTGAGTTGGTACCAGAAGTCTGTTGATCAAGGCCATGCAAGCGCCTCAAAGAACTATTTCGAATTATCGCAACTGCAATCCAACAAATGGGATCGTGAAGCCCAGCTCCACCTTGGTCGATGTTTTGAACATGGAATCGGAACATCGGTTGATACTACTCAAGCACTGAGTTGGTATCAGAAGTCTGCTGATCATGGTCATCCTGGTGCTCAGTATCACCTTGGTCGATGTCATGAACATGGAATCGGAACATCAGTTGATACTTCTCAAGCACTGGGTTGGTATCAGAAGTCTGTTGATCAAGGCCACGCAAGCGCCTCAAAGAACTATTTCGAATTATCGCAACTGCAATCCAACAAATGGGATCGTGAAGCCCAGTTCCACCTTGGTCGATGTTATGAACATGGAATCGGAACATCAGTTGATACTTCTCAAGCACTGGGTTGGTACCAGAAGGCTGTTGATCAAGGCCACGCAAGCGCCTCAAAGAACTATTTCGAATTATCGCAACTGCAATCCAACAAATGGGATCGTGAAGCCCAGCTCCACCTTGGTCGATGTTTTGAACATGGAATCGGAACATCGGTTGATACTACTCAAGCACTGAGTTGGTATCAGAAGTCTGCTGATCATGGTCATCCTGGTGCTCAGTATCACCTTGGTCGATGTTTTGAACATGGAATCGGAACATCAGTTGATACTTCTCAAGCACTGGGTTGGTACCAGAAGGCTGTTGATCAAGGCCATGCAAGTGCAGCAAAGAACTATTTCGAATTATTACAGCGACAATCTGACGAGAGAAATGTCGATGCTCAGTATCACCTTGGTCGGTGTTTTGAATATGCAATCGGAACACCAATTGATCCTGTGCAAGCTTTGACTTGGTATCAGAAGGCTGCCGATCGAGGTCATGCCAACGCCGCAACGAGTTATTTCGAATTATCACAGCGACAATCTAATGCTGGAAATGTCGATGCACAGCTCCACCTTGGTCGTTGTCATGAACATGGAATCGGAACATCGGTTGATACTACTCGAGCACTGGGTTGGTACCAGAAGTCTGCTGATCATGGCCATCCTGGTGCTCAATTCCACCTTGGTCGATGTCATGAACATGGAATCGGAACATCGGTTGATACTACTCGAGCACTGGGTTGGTATCAGAAGTCTGCTGATCAAGGCCATGCAAGTGCAGGGAAGAACTATTTCGAATTATCGCAACTGCAATCAAACAAAGGGGATCGTGAAGCCCAGTTCCACCTCGGTCGATGTCATGAATATGGAATCGGAACATCGATTGATACTGCTCGAGCCATGACTTACTACAAGTGGGCTGCTGACCAGGGACACGATGAATCCAGCCTCAGCCAAACATTCCTTCACGCCTGGGCTTGCTTCCTTGGTCTTGGTTTACCACAGAGTGACTCCGATGCTTTCAACTCCTGGCAAGATATCCACGACCACTCCAATGATCCAATCCACAAACCCATCGCCACTCACATGCTTGGCTGGATGTTCTATCTTGGCCGAGGTACCGAACGAGATCAGCGGAAGGGAATCCAACTCATTCGCGACAATCAGTCGAATATCTTCCCACTTGGAGAGAACAATGGTCTCGCGGTACGACGTGCTTCATTCACAACACCTTACTCTCCTGCTGTGCGGAAGTTTGCCGAGTTATGCCAACTTGGATCCACACACGATTGGCTCTGCAATCATCTGTTTGCCGTCTCCCTTGCCCAAGGCTTCGGAATCGCCAAGGATGTTTCAATGGCAGCAAGTATCTTCGAGCAACTCGCCAAAGATGGTCACAGTGACAGCCAGGTTTGGATTGGAGCGTGTTATTATTATGGCTGTGGTGTTCCCAAAAATGACCCAAAGGCTTTCGAGTGGTTCTCGAAGTCAGCCGATCAAAACAACTCATATGGACAGTGGATGATGGGTCGATGCTCTTTATGGGGATATGGAGTCCGAAGTGACCCCGCTGCAGCCATATCATGGTTCCAGAGATCGGCCGATCAAGGCAATAGATACGGACAGACATTTTTGGGACAATGCTACGAAAATTCTTTGGGTGTCACCAGGGACATTGACAAAGCCATTGAATGGTACCGCAAAGCTGCTGAGCAGGGATATCAAATTGCTCAGGGTCGGCTGGAAGTGCTCCTCAGATAGTATCGTCCCGTACCCAGCTTCAAAACCCTTCATCGCCTTGAACCCTGTTGTCCTCGAATAGGTTGCGCTGCATATCGATATTCACGTTCTCATACTAGTAACTCACTGGATCACGGCTCTATTTTGCGTTCTCTGCTGACCAGTAATGATAATATGATGGGTGCTGGTCGCTCTGCCGTGTTACACTTTGGCCAATCCAGACTCATCAAGAGATTCGATTGACTCGGATCGTCGTTGTGAGTGGTGGTGGTTGATAGTCGTCTAGTCTTGAGACGGTAGTGCTTTCCTCGTGCGTTCTTCGTTCTTGCATGAATCTATCATGGAGTAGTGACTCCAGAACGACATGCACCAGCATCATCATTTGCACTGCTGACTCGATACAATTGATTATAGAATCCGTGAACAAATGGACAGCTGGCTATCATGCAAGGCAGGAGGTAATCCATGCTTCAGAGCAGGCATCGATTTATTCTGCTCACGTTGTGAAACGGCAGCGTTGGCGGTGTCACAACAGGTATCTTGAATCGCAATACCAAGAAGCGTTACAAGCAATGAGCGCAACTGAAATTCGATGGTCGCTGATGCGGCTAAAGTATCAGTCCAGCCGACGCTGGCTACAACCCAGGAACAAAACAGGATACCAGCCCCTTCTGGCACTCAGTTCTTCCAGGCCTGTTCGATCATGCTCTCGTCGTACCAAGCTGGGACGCAGAGACGAGCAAGGCCCTGGTGCACCTGGATCAGGATTGGCGCCAGGTCGACTTCTTCGCCGCTGACATCGACGATACCCCTGCGACCATCGTTTGACTTCCATCGGCGGCGTTCCCCAGGCTCCAGCACAATTGCGCTGCATTTGCGCGAGATAAACTCCTTCTGATGGAGATACTTGCCGCTCTCGCCCTCGAGCAGGGCCGAGAGATAGGCGCTCTTGTTGCGGCTGTGGCAGATATTGACATCCAAAAGTCCGTCGCTGAGCTTGGCACGCGGACCGGCCATGAAGTCGCAGGCAATGAAGGGATAGTTGACGGCGGAGACGTTGGTGATGTCTTCGTCAATGTACTCTGTCCAGACGGTCGTGGCTTCAATCGTGACCCGGGGCCCGTGCTGGCTGTGATCCGAGAGCACCGAGGATGGAACAGGCGGGATGTTGGAGGTCCTCTTGTCGCCGTCGGGGGACAGCAGCCAGAGCTTGCATCCGGTGCTGCGGAGGTACAGCAGTCGCACGATGGCGCCGACATAGTTGCGGAGGATGCCCATCCAGCGATACTGCTCCGACTCAATATCCAGGTCTGCAAGTAGACCAAAGAGCAGCTCCAGATGACTGTAGCGGGTTTTGTTGTTTTGGGTGTACGAGATGATGTCGAGGCTTCGGATGCTGTTCTGGATGATATTGAGGGACTGGATCTCGGGGCTGTGGGCACCGATGTTGGAGCTCATCCCATTAGAGGTGCCTAGATGTCCAACAGGAGATGAGTCGATGAGACGGCAATCTGGCAAGAAGCGAGGCACAGCTCTGCAACCGGGCTGGAATTGGTGTCCCCGTCCCTCATCCGGTGATTGATGGTGTAGAACGGTTCGGGTAAACTGCAAGGCCTCATCGGCTATGGGTATGACACTCACCGGCTCCAATGTAGCCCAGGGGCAGCTTGGTGGCAACCTCCTGCCAGTCGGGGCGATCAAATAGGCCCTCCACGACCTCATGGAAGAGGCCATCGCCGCTCACAGTCACCATGGCGCGGTACTTTGTATAGTCGATCGTTCGGGCGCTGGTGGTGGCGCTTCCCTTGGCCGTGGTCGCTGGAGAAGCACAGAGACCGTCGAGCAGAGGGGAGCAAGCGAAGAGCTTGGTGAGTGAAGGGATACAGGGAACAAACCGACAAAGTAGGGTGCTGGTGATCAAGCCGGGCACACTGGCAGAGGCACACATCCTGCTCGATAGATGCGGCCGTCGGAGAGTTTGAATCAAGCAGCGAAACATGAACAGGTCTGGTACGCGAATGGACTTACTTTGGACTTCGTAAGGCACGCCGGCGAGCTGAAAGATGGGCTGGCAGCGAGCATTCCAAACAGTAAGAGCACTCTTTGTTCCTCCGAACGGGTTGATCAGAACAAAGATGGGTCTGGGGTCTGTGCAGAACCGGGTTAGAAGACATCACGGAGCGACCAAGGGCTGCAGCGAGGGCATCTCAACGCTGTCCCGTTTGCGAGAAGTAGAGGCGGCGTGGGTGTCGAGGAGCCGCGCGGGCTGCTTTCGTACCTCGAAGGATCCTTTCGTCGACGATGAGGCGCTTGAGGGTCTGGAAGGTTTCCTGGGTGTGCGCCTTGTCGGAGCTCTTCATCGACAGAGCCACATAGGAAAACGAGTCGCTGCGCTTCTGCCCATGCGGGAACAGAAAATGGATCGAGAACGAGTCGGTGGGCTCTGTGGCGATGTTCTGGAGGCTCTGGGCGATGGTCGGGTTGTGGACAGGCGGGGCCTGGTCGTAGGTGATGCCGAGGGAGCAGTTGAGCGGCAGATAGGTCACGGCCAGGGCTGCGAGTTGCGGATGGCAAAGTTCGAGATGCCAGTACGGTTACGACCCGGAGAGAGAGCGAGAGATCCAGACCGTTCGAGAGGTCAGAAGGAGAAGCATGGATGGAATGGCAGACACAGGAGCATGTTAGTTAGCGTGACCAACACGATCCGAGAGTCAAGGCCAAGGGCGATACTGAAAAAGGGAGAATGCCAGCCCGAGTTGCCGGACAACGCTGGAAGGTTCAGTGAGGCACGGCTCGAGACGCAGCACGGCGATGCTGGATGAGAGGCCCCGTATCCAACGGCACAGGACAAACGAATCGATATGCCGACACGGTGCACGATCCCCGGGCACGCAAGGAGCCAGGCAGCCGGCCGACCGGAGATGCGGAGATGCGGGATGCATACCAGCAGCCGACTCTTCGTCGCCGCCCTTGTAGACAGCGCTCAGCTCGTCGGGGTGAATGTCCTGGGCATACAGGAACGACGGAACGGCATAGAGCGGCTTGGCCAGAACCGGCGTTTGCAGCCTGAGCTGGGTGTTGTTGTGAGAAACGGACACACGGACATCCGGGACTAGCGAGCCGGCGACTTGGAGGGAGAAAGTGGCAGACATGGCGAAGCTGGGAGGGGAAAGCGGGCGGACGGGCGAGAGAGAGAGAGTCGGCAGCGGCCGATGGAAACCCGGCGAGGAGAAGCCTGGGCCGCGCGGTGATGGAAGGAGGCACGTCGGGCTGGTCCCTCGGCCGCGTGATACGGGTGGTTTGCCGAAACAAGAATATCGTGCGAGGACGGCGGGCAGATCGCCGGGAGCAATGGAGGATGCGCCTGTGGTGCGCTGGCGGGGCAGCGCGGACGCCAGCAACCAACATGGACAGGAATCCACCGCATGGGCAGCACACCGGGGTCATGAGATCGCAAACATATCATCCCATTCCATCGACGACACCCGCTTGCGATTCAAACAAGGGCCACCCACCGCGCCGGGCATGTGCCGAAACGCCTGGATGGTGTCGCAACACAGCCCCGTAAGACACTGCGCGGCGCCCCTCTCTGGCAGGATGTGGATGCGGCTCTGATACAATAATCCTCTCGTCTCAAGACAACATCCCTTTCTTTGGTTCCGCCGTGTTCCATGCATTAAATACAAAGGAAAAGAGTCGGCTTAAGCACGAACGACTTGCCAGACACGGATAAGGTTGTCAGTGTAGCCAGAGAAGAGAGTCTGGCCATCAGCAGACCAAGCAAGGGAGACACACTGGGGGATGGAGGCCTTCTTGGAGGTGGTGGTGAACTCGGGCTGGAGGTCGCAGACAACGGACTTGTTCTCGAGGTCCCAGATCTTGATGCCAGAGGCGGTAGCAGCGCAGAGCCAGTAGCGGTTGGGCGAGAAGACAAGGGCGTTGATGGTGTCTCCGGCATCGAGGGAGTAGAGGTGCTTGCCCTCGTTGAGATCCCAGAGCATGGTAACACCGTCGCGGCCACCGGAGGCGCAGAGGGAGCCATCGGGGGAGATGGTGATCTGGCTGATGTAGCCGGTGTGGCCGTAGTGGTTGGTCTTGACCTGGCACTTCTGGAGATCCCAGACCTGCGTTCGCGCATATGCGCATTCGGAAAGGGAGAAGCACATATCATCCGTTAGCAGCCGTCCTAGTGGCAGTCGATGCGGACACAGCTCCCGACATTTGGGCGGCGCGCGGGCGATTGCATCAGTGGTTTGGTGATTGTTTGTCTCATAGCACGTATGTACTCTGAAGTAGCAAATATTAATGAAGCATCATTTGAATGCCCGCGCGATTGCGTGACCGTCGCTGCGGTCGCCGTATCTCGGCCATTACCTTGACGAGCTTGTCCCAGCCAGCGGAAACGATGACGGGGTTGGCGGGGTTGGGAGAGAAGCGGACGCAAGAGACCCACTCAGAGTGGCCTTCGGTGGGGCTAAGGTTGAGCTTGCATTCACCGAGGGTGTTCCAGAGCTTGATGGTCTTGTCGCGGGAGCCAGAGACGATCTGGCGGTTGTCAGGGGAGAACGAGACGGAGAGGACATCGTTCTCGTGGCCGACGAAGCGGCGGGTGGTCTTGCCGCTGTTCAGGTCCCAGAGACGGAGGGTCTTGTCTGTGCACAGGCGGTGTCAGGGAACGGCAATTGATCTCTGCATCAGATGTCTTGTTGTGGCTTGGTTGTTGGCACGCCAGCAATCTCGGCTCGCTGTACACCAGGAGGACATCTCGAGCGAATACCTACCCCAGGAGGCAGAGAGGGCGAACTGGCCATCAGAGGAGATGACAACGTCCTGGACGAAGTGGTTGTGGCCAGTGAGGGCCTTGCGGGGGACACCGAACTGGGTCTCATCACGGGTCAGGTGCCAGACGATGATGGTCTTGTCTGCGGGGGGGAGAGAATTACGGTCGCATCAGCTCCCTGCACGGCCGCTGCGATGAACCTGGATCCGCCAGATGTGGGATGGACGGAGGGAGTGGCGGCATCGATATACGGCCGTGATGCGGTGTTGGATCGGGTAGATGGGCGGCGTCGTGCGATGTCGTAGATTGAACAGCATCGGGTGGTCGGATCGCAGGTGTGCGGGCGCACTTTGGTCGTCGCTGATAGACGTTGCTGTGTCGAACGCAAGCGTGCTCGTCGGGCGACGTGGATGTCGGCGCTCCGAATCGTCCAGATGTGTCCCGTCCATAGTCGACACCAGATTCATCCGTCCATCCATCCATCCATCCATCCGTCCATCCGTCCATCCATCCATCCATCCATCTGTGTGCCAGCGCCGGGGCTGGGGTCGAGTGGTTGTGGTGCGCGGATGACAAGCTTTCGGAATCACCCAAGGCACTTACCGCGGGAGGCGGACAGGAGCATATCGGGGGCCTCGGGGGTGGTGGCGATGGCAGTGACCCAGCCGCTGTGTCCTGTTGCGTATCGGTTGCAGTGTCGAACGTAGAGACCCGTTGCAAGAGCGTCAGTAACAATCGCTGCTCCGATATCCAACGATCGCCAAGGCGTACAACAATCCCGCCCATCGTGTCTGATGCACCCACACGCACGATGCCTTCGCCCTCGGCCAGATCGTGCGGTGCAGACATGCGGAACGGTGGCCTAACCGACGAGAGTTCCACGGTGAATGAGAGTGTCAGCCATTGTGTTCTAGCTTCTGCGAATCGGAGCAGATCCCAAAGAGATATCAAGTGCTCTTCAAAAGGGAGGAAGGAAGGAGGAAAAAGAAATGCCGCTCTCCTGCAGTTTTCGTCCTGGTGCTCGCCTGGCAGGACACAGATGGGTCACGTGTGGCTGTGGCACGCCAGCAGCGAGAGCCGGCGAGAGCGGGTGTGCGCGCGAGAGCCTGCGAGGACGCGCGGGCGAGTCTGCGAGAGCGGCCGCAGCGAGAAGCTCGGTTCTGTGCAGATGCAGCTGCCACGGAAACACATCCGCCCCGGCACTGGATCTCTTTGGCGTTCATGGCAACGCCAGCATCCCGCCTCTGCTCTTGCTGCTGGGCCAAACCAGATCAGCGTCGGTATCGCAGCCATGCATCCTCCCGAGTCTGTCGGTCTGCCGTCTGCATGATGGACCCCTGCATACTCGACCTGCCATCCCAGTAACCCCGTTCTTCCCGTTTGTCTCTCTCCGCCAGCCGTCCTGGTCTGGAATCGAATCTTGGATAGTGTCTGCACGCCATCCCCAGTGCATCGCAGCATAGAGTCATAGCCATGGCCGATTCGTTTGACCTTTTTGGCGATACCTCGCCCGACGACCAGGCCCTGCTGGCATCGAGGAGTCAGTCCCTTGGCCAGGCTCGCCAGGCAATCCTCGCCAAGCCCATTCGATCCGCCGAGGAACGTCGGCGCCGCTATGTCAATTGGGAGGGCCGCAAGACCAACTGGACAGTGCTCCCGGCTGTCTGGTCCAGTGCAGAGTGCGACCACATCCTCGAAGCCATCCAGGACATTGCCGACCGCGAAGGCTGGGAGAGCGACCGGCACTCGGCCTTCCCGACGACGGACCTGCCGCTCACGAGATTCCCAGAAGCGCTCCAGGAGTTTGTGCGGTCTTCCCTGACCGAACGTGTGCTACATACCAGCGGATCGACCCTGGGGTTTGAGCACGGCGACTTGGCCTTTGTCGACTTGTTTTTCGGTGAGTCTGGCCAACAGTGGGAATGACGGTATTGAGTCGGGCTGGTGCCGAGAGCGATGCTGAGAGCGACTCCGAGAGCGACTCCGAGGACGCGATGGTGAAAATCACCAAGAATCATATTGGTCGTGGCCGCAACAATCCGCAACGTTCTGTAACGATCTGTAACGATCTGCAACGGTGGGCATGTTCCTGAACTAACATTATGACTGCCGCGGCATCCTCCATCCTGCCAGTCCGCTACGAAGCCAGCGGCCAGAGAATGCTGTCCCCGCACACCGATGGCTGTCTGCTCTCTTTCAACGTTCTGCTCAACTCGCCGAATGAGTTCGAAGGAGGCGGCACGACAGTCTTCCCAAGCACCGCCTCGACATCGGATGCAGTCCCGCAGCCACAAACGATCCACATCCGGCGCGGCGACTGTCTCCTACACGACTCCAAGATCATGCATTCTGGCAACGAGGTCACCCACGGCCAGCGCATCATATGTGTTGGCTTTGTCGATACCCAGCGAGATGGCCATGCAAGAAAAGTGCCGGGGCAGACGCACTCTGGCCGGATGTCCGGCATGTTGGAGCATTCATCATCATCACCTGCCCGGCCAGGAACGACGGGTTGAAACCGTTTCCGTGGGTTGATATCGTATCGGCCGTGCCCGTCACAGCCATGCGAGCTCCGATCGATTCCTCCCTTCAGCCAGGCGATCGATCGACGGCATTGTCAATTTGCATGGGGGTGCTTCGATCCAAGCAGACTCTGTATCGCTGGCCGCACTGTGGCTGGCCGGGCCGATCCGGCAGCTGCGCACACACAATAGAGCGTGGCTGCAACCAGCCGCCTGGATCCAGCCACCGGATCCAGCCGAGCCACACACACACACCACATGTCTCTGGAGAGAAAATTTTCTGCATCCAACATTCGGATTGCCTCCGTCGCTCAGATCGCCACGGCGCCCACAACACCCATCGAGCGAGACCGCTTGCCGACACCATCGCCGCCGACTCCACCGCATAGCCGATCCACCACCATGAGCGCCACGTCATCAGTGATCCGCGGCCTGCTGCGAGGCAACCGAAGGAAGCCCCTGACGAGCAAGGAGGGCAACAAGAACTACTACAAAGGAAGCGGCTCCGGCAACATGGGCCGACACACCACCCAAGGTAGACCTGCCGCCAACAACAGCGGCTCGCAGGCCTGGCGGGAGGAGGCCTCGGGAGAGAGAGAGAGAGAGAGAGAGGGATAATCGCCGGTGCACCCAGACGAACTGCTCGATGCAGAGCCAAACCTCAAGCCGGTTGTCCATGGTCGGCTGGCTTCCTCGACGACTGTGAGGGTGCCGACGCCTCCTCCGTCGCAGGATCCGTCGCAGGATCCATTGCAGGATCTATGGCAGGGTCTATGGCAGGATCCATCTTAGAATGTATTGCAGGATCCGTCGCAGGATCCGCCGTGGAGCAACACTGCCCGCTTTTGGCCATTCCAGTTGACGATTGAGCCGCAATGCTGCCCAACTCCGGCTGGCACAGACCCAGTCTCGCCGCCGAATACCGCCGCTCACCAGCCTGCGTCTCTGTTTCTCTGGAAACACATCTACCAGGTGGATTCATTGTCGAGTCGTGGAAGCGCCGCACGTTCGCTGTCCCCGAGGGTCTGGCAACCAGCGAGGTAGGATCGCGCATGGGATAGGATCGATCGGATCCTCATCGGCATATGCCAGAAGCCCAGCCTTTCCATCGGCCGTCACCATCAATGTGCGATTCTCACCAGTCCCCTTGCCTCGCTGCTGTAGCTCAAGCCCTATGTCGCCCCCTCGGTAGACCGATATCCCCAGCGACGCACCCTGCGCGTCAAGGACTACTTTGACCCTGATCTGGCTCCCGAAGGCATCGACCCGGAGGTTCTCGAGCGATGCCGACAAACCGTTGCCCGGATGGACCTGTACAAGGCCAAGCGATCGCCCGAGTCGCATTCTGAATAAAGTATTTAATGATGCACTGTCGCCTCGCCCGACGCCCGACCGTCTCCAGGAGGCCTGGTCATCCAAACACCCGTCTGCAATGATGCCCCTGCCGTCTTGGTCAAGTTGCTTCCAAGGGAGTGCATATCGGCCATGGCGAGAAAGGTTGTGGGTCCAAGCGACGCTATATCGGCCAAAGCAGGCCGTTCTGGTGAGGCTTCTGTCGAGCAAGTTGTGTCCTCGGTCATCTGGTCGATCGGCCTCGGTGGCTCGCCGCCGGCACATTCGCCGACGGCGTGCAGACCTCCGAATCACAACCCCGGTCGGCAAATGTCCCGGCCGATGGAGTTCTGGCTCCAACAGAGGCCTCTCTTCCTGCATCCGACGCAAACCGACTTATCGCCGATGCCGTCTCGCGCATATCCATGCACCCTGGCTGCCCTCTGACCGATGTACTGTATCGCCGGTGCTCACCTTGGCCCGGCTCGTCTATTGCTGCGAGCGGGTGGTATTGTGTGGCTGTCCATCTGGGGCGCACTGGCCGATTCAGCTCCCACCGTGCATCGCTCCTGGTGCTCACCGGCACTAAATCGCTGTCTGTCGCCTCATCGACCGTCGATGTCAGAACACCGCCATCCCCAGCAAGACCACCGAAATAGTGCCACCATCTCAGCCGCCGCCGCCGCACTCTCTCCGGAGACCCAAGCAGAAGAACAGCCAAAAGGCCCGGTCCTACTCACTCCCAACACTCTCGTCGGTAGCGTCGGTGAAGGAAGGGCCCCTGTCGTTCACCTCCAAGTTCCCTCGCGACGTGAGCACCAACTGCTCTCTCGCCATTGCAGGTCCTCGCGTCTGGAAGCCAACGACCGACCAACCGCCTGTCTCGCCTCCGTCGCCATCGCCGTCACCACTGCCGTTGTTATCGGCAGCAGCGCTCGCGACCACATCGACACATCTACAAACACAATCGTTCCTGTCCAAGCTGTCGAACCAGGGCACTCGGCGGGATCTCGGCGCTCGGGATACCATGCGCTCCGAGTCAGAGAAGATCAAGACTTCCAAGCTGATCGCACAGGTTTCTTCGCACCACGATGCGTTCCTCGAAAAGGTGGGTCCAGCAGCATTCCCACGGTCCGACGAGAGCCATCGCTGTGAGCGAGGCCATCCACAATACCCCTGGACATCCTCGCCCGAGCCACATCGCTCATTAACTGCAGCTCGATTATCTTTCACATCTGAGCGCACCACGCACACACATCGCATCCCACCCACACTGCATCCCACCCACACTGCATCCCACCCACATCGCATCGCATCGCATCTCACATATTCACATTGCTCGTCCATGCTGAACTAATGCTCATATTGTACTACAAATCGACACCATCCAAATCGACGAAACCCTCAAATCACCGATCCCAATCGCGTCGTCTCCATTGCATGTACTCGCACCCACCCCCCACGGACTCACCCGCTGCCCGCCTCAGCTCGCCGCCAAGGTTGGAACGGTAACCAGGGACGGCAGCGTCATTCCGCTGGCCACCGTGGCCTCTCTCCCTCCCACCATAAAGCTGAAGCATCGGCTGCCGCAGTCCAACAGCATGCCCCTGATCGAATCCAACCCGGGCGCAGTTGCAGAAGCGGATCCCTCTGGGAACCTCGCCTCCGCGTCCAAGAAGAGCACTCAGCACGTTGCAGATGATCGCACCCGTGCTCCGACAAATGCGCCTGTGCTGCAGAGCAAGCCCGGGCGGCCATACATCAGCCCTCGGTACTTGGTCCTCCAGAAAATCAAGCCCCTCAGTCGCAAGCGTGCGCGCTACAAAAAGGCAAACTCGATGGGGACGCTTGCAGTCGACGCCGTGGTCGACTTCAGTCCAAATGAAGATGCCAAGAATGGCGACGGCGTCGAAGTATGTGTGCTTGAGACTGGCCATGTCGTCGATCTGGTGGATAGCGACCCCGGAGTGAGTCGGCTCAACAAAGATGCCCAGCAGCCGTCCCAGGGCGGTGTTGGACGCAAGGGCACGGACTTGGCTGTACAGGGTACTTCAGGCGTGCTCGACGTCCAGCCAAAGAAGACCAAGCAGCACGGCAAGCCCAGCCCAGCGCCAAATGGATCAACCGAGGCGCTCAACGGATCCGACGCCTGCGATCTTGCCGCCCAATCGACTAGCGAGACCGGCAGTCTTATCACGATGCAGCAACTCGATCCGGAGCTGGAGGCAGGCTTTGGTGACGGGGATCCGGATCTGGACGACTCGTTTGAGATGGGCTCGCCTTACCGCGACTCCAGCCCGGAAGCTGGGCTTGGCTCCCGGGTCAGCTCGCATCCTGTCATCCTGGCAGCCGACCCTGTATCGGAGAGGTTGCTGGACCTTGATCTGCAGCCCGACAGCTCAGCACACGATGCAGATGTTTCCGGATCAGCTCTTGACGCTGTAGACAGCGGCGACCGCGAGGACATGTCACTTGGAGCATCATCCGCCGACACCAATGGCCTTTACACCGGATCCAAGACGAGAACAGACGCCAGCGCAAGCCAAGACAATAACGGAGACAGCGACCACTCCGATGCAAGCACAAGGCTCATTGGCACGTTGGACGTAGCCTCGATGGAGACACTTGTCAACGGATCGAGCGACGACCTGCTGAAGCCATCCCCAGATGAAAGCCGTACGGGGCAAGCCGAGGAACGCAGGATGCAGGAGGATAAGCAACCGGCATCGGATCTTCCGGTCGACCTCGATACTTTGGCTCGCGGCGACGGGCCGGGCGAGGGCTTGGTTGCTGTCCAAAGTGCATCTGCGAATCCTGTCAAGATCAAGCAACTACTCTCAAACAAGAAGCGAGACGAAGTCTCGGCAGGTCTCCCGTCAGTCAGCTCGTCCCCAATATTGACCACGACACAAGTCAGTGACCGCTTCAACAAGAAGCGAGGTTTTATTCAGCCCACACTCAAGGAAATCAGCTTGGTGCAGCAGATTCAGGTCATCAAGACCTGGGACGCGCTGATCATGCGTGGGATTGCCGATACCGTCTCTACCATTCTACTAGACCGCACCTCCGCCTCGGGCACCAGGAAAAGTACCCCTGTGGTCGCCCCACCAAAGCACCTGGAGGATGCCAGCTCCAGCAGGATGGCTGCCCATTACAGCTGGGCGGACATCCTCGACCAGTCCGGCCCAGCACCGGTCGCCCCGTTTCAGCTCAGCGAGTACGATCTCGTCACGACCGACTGCTTCAGCGTTCGTTTCCCGGCTCTCACTCACCGATCCTTGGATCAGTCCAGCTGCGAAAGAACCAACCAGACGCTCGCCGCTGCGGCCGCCAAGCTACTGCAGACCACCCAGGAGCCCCAAGGTCCCGGCTTGGGATCGCTCCCCCGGTCCCACAGCAGCGCCAAGCCCAGTTACTTTGGCCCATACTCTCCGCATCTGGGCGGCGCTGCAGCCGCACAAGCAAGTATCCTCAGAAGCGGCGAGAACTGGAAGCCGCCATTCGGGCCGCTCGTGCCTCCGTCGTCGATGCACTACCCGTACATGCGAAACCTGCCTCCATCCATACCCGCCTCCAAGGCATCGATCGCCCTCGGGATACAAAAACTGCGATGCGAGCAGCAGCGCCACAGCGAAGAAGAGACTCTTCGGAAGCTCCAGCTCTACCGGTTCCAGCTCCAGCAGCTCAAGCAGCTCCAGAAGATGCAGCAGCTCCAGAAGGCCCGGGAAGGCGCATCGCAAATGCAAGACGCCCAGCAGCTCAGCAAGATCTATGCATCCATAGGACTGACCGGGCCGGCACTGGACCAGCCCCAGAACACAAGCATCTCGAACGAGATTGAGAATCTGGAGGAAAAGTACGTGGTTGAGATGCAGCGGCAGGAGATCCAGCGCCGCAAGCAACAGCAGGATACTCGCATCCAGCTCCGGGGACTACAACTCCAGCACGAGACTCCGTCAAGCGCCCATCGTCGAGATGGTGCGCCGCTCTACCAAGACCTTCAGCAGCTCCAGCAGCACTTTAGTAGCCCCGAGCTGTCGAGGATGCCACACGCCGAGTCCCTCCATCGCCGCTCCAAGCCTCGGATGGCGACCTATACCATCTCGGCCCCGTCGCTGGGTCTAGGGAGTGGCGGCGATTCCCCATCGCATTCTGGACCGATGAGGACTCACGATGGCGACCACCGCCGGCTCTTACCGCCAATCGAACTATCAGCACAGTCGCCCCATCGACAGGCTTCGCCGCCATCGATCCCAGGCAGTACGGCGGCCCAAGGATGGTCCGCCTCGGACTCGCCTCTGGACGACTCGCCAGGATACAGTCATCTGGCTGCGTCAAAGAAGATTCTGAACCTCGAGGTCAAGCTGGGCGGACTCGGGCCGGACCGTGAGAGCGACGAGTATGTGGCCAAGGTGAGTGCCGGCGCAAGAAAGCCTGGGCATGTGGTCCAAGGGACACCGCTTTACTTGAATCGCTGGGCAGGAGAGAATGTGCTTCGCTACCCAGTTTGATGATACCCACATCGAATCTCTCTCTGAATCTCGCTTTCCGCTCCCCTGGCCCAACGCACAGCTCGAAAAATGGAATCGGCAGAAGCAGTATGCCGCCTCGGTGAGAGCCCTGGCAATGTCTCAGCTGCGCAAGAACATGATCAAGCAGCACCAGCCCTTCCATCCCACCATGATCGAGCAAACACACCCGGCCCACGGATCTCCGAACGGCAGCATCGAGCTTGTCACCCAAGGAAACCAGTCTGTCGCAGAGGCCCTTGATGAGGCTGGAGAGCCAGGGCCGGGTGTGGGTCCCAAGCCGGCGATTGGGAGTGCCACACCAAAGAAGCCGCACCCGATGTATGTCGGCAAGCACCCGTCGGTGGACGAAATCGAAGGCGCCGCACAACGGCGAGAGAAGGTGGGTGCTCGGTGTCGTTGTATCTGAGGCCGAGGTCATCGGCATGATGCATGTGGATGTGGATGTGGATGTCGTGCCCGGACCACCCCGCTCTCATGTGTCTGCGCTGTCTGGATGACAGGCCTGTCGACAATACTTTGATACAATCTCTGTCCATCCTTTGATGCAATCTCTGTCCGTCCTTTGATGCAATCTCTGGCTGCTACTGATCGTCGCGCGATCGACAGATGCTTCAGTATGCGTCAACCATCAAGAAGCCTGCCATGTCGATCAACTCCTCAACCGCAACGCTGGTGGCGAACGACACCTCTCGCAGCGACAGTCGGCCCAGCCCCAAGAGTCTTGAGGCTCTCGAGCAGGAACACTTGAACGACATGCAATCGGCCGAGAGCATCCGGCGGCAGCTGAACCTGTAATGCCGTGCTTGGGTGGCGGACATCCAGCCCTGAATATATGGCAGTCAAGACGGAAAGAGGCGAGGACGGCATCTGGAAGCCCGCAACCAGCCGGAGCACTCCTGGAGGCTGTCGCAGCTGGTCCCCCTGTCGACCGAATCTTCGACGATATCCCGGTCGTGGCCGAGCAGAGGGCTCACCCGAAACTGGCTCAGCACAACTCACCCAGATGACCGCACACCCTTTCCTGTTCGAGTGAAGGGTCGCATGGGTCGTATTGGATTCGAGTGAAGGTGTCGGTGCGCCTACAGCTTTCACAAACATGCAAGAGATACAGGTGGAGGCAGAGGCAAAATACGACTGCTTGGAAGCGCACAATGGTCTGGACCGGAAGCGAGTAATCATGATGACTTGCTCCACCCTATCGCATGGTACAGAAACAGAAACACAGACATTGATGCCGGGGTCAGCGAGCAATAGAAGCCAGGAGCAGCAGGATGGAAGGCAACGCCAGAAAGCAAGCCAGCCGAGTCCAAAGCCTGCCGTCATCGTCGATCGGTCGTCCCGCTGCTGAAGGGAAGGACGGGAAAGGCGCTTGTTTAACTCGGGTCGTCAGCATAGTCAGGGCTTGCAGGCTTGGGCGGCACAACGATCCAAAAGGTATAGTATGCCGAGTAGAACGAAACACACGAAAAGATGGAAAAGAACGAAAAGATGGAGAAAACGGATGCAAACGAGCAGATGGAGAACATCGAGTAGATGGAGCAGATGGAGCCCTGCGAGACAAGCGAAAAGTAGCTAAACTGGCTCACAACAGATACCCGCGAAAACTGTGAAAAGACGGCAAAGTCGGCCATCTGGGCTGCAAACTGGAAGCTTGGGGCCGGCACCGCCGACAGGTAGACGCCGATGCTGATCGAGGTCAACAGGAAGACGGGCAGGACAATGTACTTGAGCGCCAGCTCGAGGCGGCTGGAGGTCGCTGGAGCCTCGAATCCTGACACAAACTCAGACCGGGACTCGGATAGAACCGAGGCGATGGTCTGATCGTCCGAGCCGGTTATTTTGGATTTGAGGCGGTGCGGACAAACACCCCACCGCAGCTGGTCCAGGGTGTGGTCGTTGGGGCTGTCGCAGTAGGCACAAGACTTTGGCAACAGCGCTGAGTACTGCTCACGGGTGGCCAGGTCTTGATCGGCGTCCTGCAGGGACGGAGTTGCGACCATCAAAACCTCATCGTAACTGGGCGGCAGCTGGTTGTTCATGGGTCAGGATGCTGTGTGAACTGGTGTGGATTGGGTTGGTTGATGGGTTGGTTGATGAGTCGGCACAGAATCGGCGACAGCGGGCTTTGGGCGATGCGAGGATGGGCGGACGGCCTGATGCCAGAGATGCAATCCACCAAGAGGCAGAGCGCGGCGCTGGCGGTGTGCTGGGAGCGAGGTCGTCTCGTCGGACGATGGGCGATCAAGGCGATGGGCAATCGAGACGATGGATGATCAAGGCGGTGGAAGATCAAGACCGAGAGGCATGCGCTTGGGCTTGCCAAGAGGGTGGCCGTGCAGTGGGCAGCACGAGCAATGGGGTGTATGGACCTTGGCTTGCTCGGCACGAACGGATAACGCTTTATTCGACACGACAGGATAGCATCAAGAGAATATGTATCCGATGCAGTGCATCCTAGTGCATTGCAGGGCAGGAAAGGGATACCCGATGCACGGATACATGCCCCGGATGGGGAGCGACATACAACATGTCCGAGATTCGGCAACAGGGAAGCACCGCCAAGCACAGAGACAAGCGCAACGACAAGCACAGCGACAAGCGCAACGACAAGCGCAACGGCTCTACTCCTCCTTCTTGTTGAAGCGCTTTCGCACCGACGAGATCATCTTGTAGAACCAGAACAGGTTCAGCGAGTTGAGAACCACGTTGGCGATACAGTAGAGCCCGGCGATGAAGATCGGAACCTGGCTCCAGTGGACGATGATGTCGCCTGGCGGTGGACGAGGGCCGAGAAAACGGGTTGAGCACGGCGATCTGCAGGGACATTCGGTCGATCCAACGAAGCACCATTCGGTCTATCCAGCACAGCCGAGCCGCACTGAGCCGAGCCCGGCACAGGCAGGCCAAGGCAGAATGCTTACCCCAGAACAGATACGACATGGACAGGCCAAAGACGATCCGGGCAAAGAAAAACACCGCAAGCAGGACGATGCCGTTGATCCACTGGAGCCGGCTGCCCGTGAGGCCAACCTTGTCGCAGAACCAGTGGACGTTCAGGAACGGGGTGCTGTTGGCCAGGCCATCGACACGGCCAACCCACCGACACGGCCAACCCATCGACACACCACAAGGAAGAGCGCAGGTTGTCAGTGTCGTGGTCGTCGATATCGCCGTTGTGCATATGTGCCCAGAACGTACCTCAGCTCAAACATCAAGAATACGCCGCCGTAAAAGTTGAGGACAGGTCTCTGCGTGGGGCAAGCACACCGGGATCAGCACTGGGCCGCAGCGGCAGAGCAGTCGACAAGCGTTGCCTCGGATTGCTGAATGAGACGTCGACCGAGCTGTATCGCAGCGAGCCATCATTGCAGCGAGCCATCACCGCCTGACACTCACGAACGACACTCACGAACGACACTCACGAACGACACTCACGAACGATGCTCCATAGGCAAGCAGACAGGCCACGCCGTGCACAAGCATGGCTCCTCCGGCGTTCTGGATGTTGGCCAAGATGATCAGCGAGTCCCAAAGGAAGTATCTGCGATATCAATTCCAGAGCCATGCGACGCTGGTCAGCCAAACCAATCCAATGCAATCGGAGCAAGGGGGGATGCTCGCGGACAAGTGTTGATCTTTGCTGTCTGCTCGAGTGCTCTTGGTGGCTGCGTCAACGACTGCGTCAATGACTGCAGCAATTGATCGGCCGCGCCCAATGCCTCCAAACTCACCCGCAGGCAATCGCTAGGACGGTGCCGGAATACCAGCTGTTGGCAAACACTCGGTCTTGCTGCAGCGCAGGATCGAAGAGCATCGGGAGCGCCAGACACACGATCGTGCTTGAGAACGACAGCGTCACCCAGTGGATGCACCAGTCCTTGCGCTTGTATCCTCGCAGAGTGCGGTACGCCGACGAAAAGTGGAACGAGAGCGGGAAGGCCGAGAGGTAGATCAAATGGCAGACCACGGTCGTCGTCAGGAAGGTGGCAACATGCTCGGACGCCTTCGGCAGGCCCAGGGCCTCGAAGAAGGCCGGGAAGAGCGGCGTGTGATAGATCTGGGTCCACGAGAGCGCCGACATGGCTGAATGGAGCAGAGCCGTTGGATGCGATCGCAAGCCGATTGATTGATCGACAGACGGCTTTTGAGCGTCGGCAGATGAGCAGAGCGAGGGGGGCGCTGAGCACGTGTCGGGCGCGTGGCAAACCGGGTCTGGGTCGTTTTGGGGCTGTTGTCGTGCCTGGGGTGCCTGGGATGCCCGGCTCACAGACAGGCCGATGCATCCAGCTCGCACAGATGGCGATCGCCAGAGCGCAGATGGCTGCCTCGCTCTATCGGGGTGCAGTGTATAGATATTGTGCAGAGAGACAAATGGCTGTGCAGGGGCTGGCCGTTCAGTCCCACACGCCCTCCCATTCGATGTTGTCAAAGACGCCCTCATACCAGGAGAAATCCGGTGCTGGATTAGAATCCGCTCCTTCCGTCCCCCGCGTCTGAGATGCGAGCAGCCGGACTTGCTCGTTCGTGCTGAAGTACGGCCCTGTGGCACCGGTCACGGCCCAGATCCGGGCCTGAAGCCAGCTCGCAATGACAGCACGGCAGCCAAAAGCTGTTAGAGTCTCCAGGGTCGAGCAGAAGCCTTGGGCGATCTGGATGAGTCCGTCGGGTCCAATGTCGTTGCGATCGAGGCCGAGCTCCTTCAGCGGCCATGGGGACAGCGCCCGGCCGGAGTCGCTGGTGGGATAGGGCCGTCCTCGCGCATGCAAAATAGCCAGTGCTGGATCTGTGAGGCTGCAGTCCCGCAGAATCAGCCTGCGGATGCTGTTGAACCGCTGCACGATCATCTGGACAACATGGCCGTCAATGCAGTTTTGCTGCGAGAGATCGAGGTCACTGAGGGTATCGCAGCATTCCGAGTGTTGAAAGAGATCCAGGTATCCCGCCGCGGTGAACATCCGGCATCCGGCGAACGACAGCGTTGCCAGCTGCGAGAAGTGAGGGACCAAGTGCCGCAGCGACACATCCGAGAGTGTGCTGCAGTACTCGAGCACAAAACCCTCGAGATTCATTGCAGAGGGCTGCCTGCTCCAATGCTGGCCCGTCGATAGCGATGGCCCAGGCGAAGGGCTGGGCGGCTGGGACTGGCGGAGCGACGAGGCAGACTTTCCCGGATTCGAGTCGTCCCGATGGCTATGCGATTGCTCGGGCTCGAGAAGAAAGGCGCCGTCGAGCAGGCCGTTGACTCGATCGAGAGACAGCAGCCTTAATGTCGTCCGGCACTTTGTCATGAAGCTCCGGACCAGGGCGAGGCTCTCCTCCTCAGAGCTTGCTCGGACCCCGCGCAGATCCAGCTGCTCCAGCGGCCAGCAGAGCGCCTCGACAAAGTCTTCCAGAAACTGGCTGTCGAGCGTGCCGCAGTGATAGAGCGAAAGGGATCGCAGGCGATGACAGCTGCGAGCAAGGCCGGGCAAGAATGTGCCGGAGAGTCCGGGGATGCCGCTGAGGTCGAGGGTAGTCAAGTTCGGGCAGCGAGCCAACTGGCCCAGATGGGCATCGGTGATCTGGGGCGATTTGGATGCGTCGGGGTAAGTACCAGCCGCAGATAAGCAGCAGTCAGAGATCGGAGGCAGGTGCAGTTTAGGCAGACTCACCATGAGACTGTGTCGAAAGTCGGCTGTGCTCAGGTTCGGCAGAGGGACAGTCTGCAGCAGCGCCATGATTGCGTTGGATGCCTGGATATTTCGCCCATGGACAGTATACGATATAAGTATGCAGGCACAATGTGCCATATTCAAGGTGTTGGGTGAGTTTCCGGGGGGCCATCCAGGCAATGTGCAGTGCGGGCAGTGGTATGGAGAGGCCGGCATAGAGCATATTGCTCGCCCACCTCATTTGCGGGCCTGAATCGCTCAAAGGCCAGGAACCGGACATGCACCAGGGGCCCGCTGCGGGACGGCCGTGTTGAGTCGTCTGCGGACTCGCCATAGGTCTCGACCAGCAACTGGAGCAGTTCGACCGAGGTTGGGACAAAGCGGTGCCAGAGCCGAGGGCTGATCTGGTGGTAGAGCCTTTGGCATGTTTGAGCGAGCCGGGACTGCGAGCGAGGAGAGAGGCCGCCGATGATCAGGGCCAGAAGCTCGGGTGGAAGGCCGCCGAGGAGCAACTGGCTGGTCTCGGGCCCGTCGGCCGCCAGCACCGACGATGGATTGCAGTGGACAGTCATGTCTGCACGGATATTGATGGGGGTGAGAGTACACCAACCCAAGATTTGCGAAGGCGAATCGCCTTTTGAGCTGCGCCTCGCTTTTTGGGTATGAGACGGATCCCAAGTACACTTTATTCAGAAAAAAACGGGACAATATAGCCGTTTCCATGAACATGTAGTATGTGCTGTGCTTGCGTCAAGCAAAGCCACAAGGAATAAAACAGATCACTTTGGCAGCCTCCGAGTGAAGACCGCCGGTCGCTCTCCGATCTCCACAATCGACCTGCACACTGCGATCATGTTGCGCGCCGCATTGACGTCGCGATTCCACACTGTCCGGCAGCTGGGATTCTTGCAGCTCCTGACAAAGTGGGAATTCGCAACGCTGGGCGCATCGAGTCCTTCCAACCGAACTGGCTCCAGGCACCTGGAGCACACTTGCGAGGTGTTGAACTCGTTCGTTGAGGCCACCTTGACGCTTCCATGATGGTGATTGGGACGGCGTCGGTGGTGCTCGAATTGCTCAAAGTACTGAGCAAACCGCTGCCTCCGAGGGCTGGATGCATAGCCCTTGCCTTGACGCCATGACGCATTGCCAAAGGCGATCACCACATCGGTCCGTATCGGGGCGTGCTTCAGGACGGCCTTGCACATCCTGTCGACGGCCACTTGGCGCCTCTTGTGGCCCGTGAAGCGATGGTGACGGGCCTTCTTGCCAAGGTGGAAGTCGAGCTGCACTCGCAGCTCCGGTCGCAGGACATGGGTGAGATGGACCTTGAAAGCCTCCGAGGACGACACCTTGGGCGAGGGGGTGGTCGACATCCAGGTCTCGATGCTGAGTCGATACTTCATGGTGTTGTGCCACTTGGTGTTGGACGTATGGCCACACATGTGCTGGTAGTGGGCATTGGAGAACGAGACTACCTCGTCTTGGTGGCCCGGTGCTTGGATGACCGCCGTGAAGATGGAGCCGACTCCAGGATCGATGCCAATCCAAGTGGTGCCACCGGGGTCTGGGTCACCGATGTGGGCCTGGATACGCTGCTCGGCAGTCGGAGGAGACTCGGAGGTCTCGGTGCGATCGGTTCGAGGCACAAACTTGACGAGACCGATGGTGCATCCAATGCCATCGGTGCTGATCTCGTAGTTGAACAGCTTCTTGTCCCTGACCCGCTCTTGGAAGAGGGAATTACGCAGCTTGAAGCAACTGCGCCAGAGACGATCCTGGTTGTTGATGCCGTCATCACCTTCTTCCTTGAGCTTGTCCCGGGTGAGTCTAAGACGATGTTCGGTGTCAAGGAGATTCCAAAGAGTGACCGTGTCGATCTTGACATACTTGGCCCTTGCAGTGCATAGAGGAACTATCGTGCACACGGCCGGAGGAGTGTCGAGAGCGAGCTGCTTGAGGCACCACTTGATCCTGGCGGCCAGCTTGTTGATCTTGGCCTTGGTGGTGCCGAGCTCAGACTTGGCCGTGGTGAATCGCTTGTCGTCGGAGGGAATGCCTTGGGTAGTGAGCTCGTCCAGCTTGGCCTGGCGCTGCAGCTCGGTGACTCGGAGGGCGGGCATGTCACAGTCGATCCACTTGTGGACATTGTCGACCATCTTGTCTCGGGCGAGGATTCTCACATGGTGTGAGAGGCGATGGAGGGCCCGGAAGCGGTCCTGGTCGTTGCTGTACCGAAACTCGTCCAGGACGTGGCCAAAGTCTGGATAGAGGAACTCGAGATCGGCCTTGGGTGGAGTCGGCCCTGGTTTCTCGAAGAGCTCGAGACAAGCCTCGATGGCTTCGTGCTTGTGCTTGTTGGCTGGGAAGACGGCAGCGCAGAAGCGGCGAAGGAGTCGCCAGTAGGCCAGGTTGAGGTGGGTGGTGCAGTTGGTGGCATAGGCATTGACAGACAGGGTGAGAAGCTGACTGTGAGCACCATCAGGCAGACGAGGGGCCGGAGGCAGGTCTGCGTGCCGAGTGGTCTGATAGTCGCGAAAGGAAGCGACCAGATGCTCGTTGTATTTCTCATTGTCCCCGGTCGGGGAGAGGGCACCGTCCTGGACGATCTTGAAGCATTGGCGGATGAAAGCAGGGGTGGACTTGGAGATGACGGGGACGGGAAGATCCTGCTCGATGCACCGGAGGATATGGAGGTTGAGCAGCCTGGATGCCTCGAACTGGATCTGGGTCATGGCCTCGACGGTGGCCTGGATCTTGTCGCGGAGAGCGGGATTGAGACAACAGCCATCATCGTCTGCTTGAAGCAGCTGAACTGAGGGGCGGATGACCTTCCATCCACGAGTGGGACGACAGAACTCTTGAGGGGCCGGTATTTGGGACACCTGTTGGTGTTGCTTCGCTGATGATCGGTGCCATCGCACTTGGGACATCGCTTGACAGGACCAGATGAGGGACCAGGCTCGGTGGGATCGACATCCATTGGATCTGCAGAAGCAGTGGTGGTGAGCGACGGAGCAACAGACGACCAAGCATGCGTGGGGTCAGAATACGAACCAGAGACAGGCTCCGACTGTGACTTGGCTTTCTTGGGCCTGGGTGGCCGAGGCTGGCCATCACCGGCACCCTTGCGCTTCGGAGGCATGGGGGCAGAGGATGCTGGATGCCTGCCAGTGGCACTGGTCAGAACAGAGACTTTTTTTATCGTACAATAGCGCGATGATCCGATCAAGGCGAGATGAGGGAAGAAAGCAGCAGGACGAAGGTGTGGCATTTATACCCGAGAGCAGGAGCCCGTCTTTGCGGGCTGGTTGGGAAGCGACCCTGTTCAAAAATCGCCGAGAGGTTCAAGACAGGGATGTGAACGTGAGAACGGCGGCGTGATTGGAGGGAACTCAACCCCAAATCGGTGGGGACTCAACCCCAAAGAAGTTCTCGATGGGATTGAAGTCGGGCGAGGCAGGTGGGGTGAAGATCACTGACCATCCTCGGCGATCGATGCAGCACACCAGAGTGGTTGATGGCAAATGCAGCCGAGACGGACTTGTGTTTCATGTGATTGCGCTGGCGAAGCGGAGCACCCTTCGGTGAGTATCCGTAAAGAGGGAAAATGGATCTCCTGATCCCTGTCTCATCGACAAAAACGAATCGTCGTGGGTCGATGGAGCGGACCTGGTCCCTGAACTGTGCCACTCGCTCATCCAGTCGCTTGGACTTGTAGAGGTGTGTTGCCCTCTTGTGTGAGAGACCTGCTCGGTGGATGGCAGTGTGGCAGAGTGAGAGTGATACTTTCCTCTGGAGGATGGACTCGAGCTTGCATCGCAACACAGGACCAGTCTGGAACGGGTCCTGTTCAATCAGGGTGCGAATGACTGGACATGCCTGCTCAAAGAAAGTGGATCTGCGAGCTGGGACTCGGGATGGGTCATCCAGCTTGCATCCTCGGTGCCATCGATGGATGGTGCTCTTGGATACACTGAATATGGAGGCGACCTTACGCAGGCTATGGATGAGGGCGTAGCATCGCAATGCGGCGGTGCGAAAGTCGGATGTGTGGCGAATGGTCATGGCCAGCGCGCGATAACATTGGGTAACAAAATATTCGATGAATGGTCAAAAACCCGGGTGTCCCGTTTTTTATTGGATTGCCTGTAACCCCATTGCTCCCTCAACCCGAAGGAGATCTATATTGTTGCCCTGTCCAGCTTATTATATGCATCCGAATGCCAGTAGATGATTGACAGCGCTTGCTTGAGAGGCAGCGGGACTGGCCAACATGAGCTGTGCGTTGGACCGCCGACACGAAGTGCTGCTGTGGCGAACTGGTAGACTGCGAGCCGCTTGGCGATGGGCGAGATGAGACAACCGCTATATTCCAAAATGCATCTAGTTACGGTGGGCTGCAGTCATTGAGAGGCAAAGTGGGTGCCTTTGGCTGCTTCACTGGCGAGACGATCGGCGCTGCCATTGGGCTTTGGAGAAGAGGCAGTCCCGGCCTCGTCGTTTGGAGCCGACATTTCGTGGCCAGACCGGGAGCGTCTCCGCGGCGAGAGAGAGCGACGATCTGCATGGCTGCCGGAATGGTCCGACGGGCTTGCTCTGCTGTGGCTGGGAGCGACACTGGCATGGGGGTGAGTGGTTGGAGAGGTGGGCCCTTCGGCATCTTCGCCCTGCTTCTTGTCGAGCTTGTTCGACGCTCGCTTGGTGGTCCGGTCGCTCGGCGGCTTGCCGGGATATCCGTATCGACATCTGTGGCTCCGGTAGGTCCCCTCCCGCTGCAGCATGTATCCGTCGGGATGTTCAGAGCACCGAAAGCACCGGCAGATCCGATATCCTGGCGGGATAATGCCTTGAGTGAGCAGCGATTGTGCCTGCCGCCAGAGCAGATCTGGATCCGCTATCGGCGCGGCCTCAGCAGGCGGGTGCTGGGCGATTACTGGCGGAGGAGGGTCCGAGAATTGGACGGGAGAACATGAGCCGGTGTCCTGTGGCATCACGAACGGCATTGGATGCTGGAACGTGGGTTGGATGGGTTGGACGTGGATGGGGTGCGGGTTGGCCGCAATGACCGGCGAGACCAGAAACGGAAGTGGGTACGGGATGGCGAGGGACATGGGCGAGTGCTGGAGCGGCTGGATGGGCTGGAAGAAATGCGGCTGGTATATGCTTGTGGGCGGAATGTAGTTTGCAGACGACTCTGGTGGTTGGTCGTCGGCTGGGGCCAGCGGCGACGGGAGGTTGGCCGGCAAGCTGTTCATGACAGCAGGCGACGGTCCAGGGCAATCGATTTGCGGTGATGCTGGCCAGGACGACGGCTTTCGGCCCGAGGGTGGTCCAGAGCGACGGCTTCGGGGGGGGGCAGATGACAGTACAGACGGTGCAGACGACAGTGCAGACGACAGTGCAACCGATGGTGCACTGGCCAAAGCGATCGACTCCATGAAGGAAAAGAGAAATGCGGTGAGGGCGCTTCTCGGCGAGAGCAGGCGGCAGCGAGACGCGCCTCCAGGCCGGCCTCGGTGCGCTCTCGCTGCCGAGCGAGACCGCCATCACCCAGAGCCAAACCCAGAGCCAAACCCAGACTCGAGCAGCACCGCACCCAGACCCCATCTCCCCTCGCTCCTCCGTCGCAACCATGGCCCAGACCCCGTCCTGGTTCATCCCCGAAGCCAACATCACCAACTGGTCGGCCGGCCCTTTCTCAGCCGGCGGCTTCGGCGAGGTCTTCAAGGCAGACTACTTTGGCTCCCCCGTCGCAGTCAAGCAGCTCTATCGCAGCTTCAGCCAGAGCGAGCTCCTCGACTTTCGGCGCGAAATCAGCATCTGGTATGGCCTGAACCACCAGCACATCCTACCCCTGTTCGGAGCCTGTGACCGAGGCACCACAGGCGGCGCCATCCGGCCCTTCATGGTCTCGCCTTTCATGAGGAACGGAAGCCTTCACGCCTATGTCGCCAGCACGTCTCAGCCCCCCAGCTCGCTTGACTCGAGGCTTGCACTCCTCTTCCAAGTCGCCTCCGGAATGGCATATCTCCACGACAAAAACATCGTCCACGGCGACCTCAAGCCTCAGAATATCCTCCTCGACCACGGCATGCAGGCCGTAGTTGCCGACTTTGGCATGTCTCGGACAAGGCGCAGCTCCATGAGTGCTGGTCGAGGCCAGCCAAGCGGCGGCACCCTGGACTACATGGCACCCGAGATGTTGGATGACGAAAACCCGGCCGACTCGAGCAAGCATACCGACGTCTATGCCTTTGGTACCACCATGTACGAAGTCCTCAACAGCGGCAAGCCCATCTGGACCACCCAGAGCGGCCAGCCGATGAGGGATATTGTCATCGTTCTGCAAGTCACCAGTGGAAATCGACCCAGGCGGCTGCCCGACATTCCCGACAACGTCTGGTCTCTGATCGAGCGGTGCTGGCATCAAGACCCAGCGCAGAGACCGACTCTCCCAGAGATCCTTGCGTCGCTGGCGGCATACCGGGACGTGCCCGTCCCTGCCCCCGCCAGGACCTTGCCGTTGGAGTCTGAGCCGCCGAATGGTACCGCTGGTATCAGCGCGAACACAAACGGTATCAACGGCGGCACTTATGAAGCCAGCACCAGCAGCAACAGCAACGACCGCAGCAGCATACACGACACCAGGAACCACATCCCAGAGTCAAACAGACAACCTCCGTCGACGGGCAGCAGCGAGCCAACGATCCAGACCGGTCCCGCGCCGCCGCCGTTCGAGCTGAGCGCTGAGCTGTTCCCTGACGTCCCTCACGATATCCTTCAGCGGGTCCAGAGAGGCGATGCCGCTGCGGGTATACAGGCGGCCAAGTGCATTTCCGAGGGCAAGGCAGCTTCCGACCCGGCTTGGACTCAGGCCGCCCGGTTCTTCCAGTGGGCAGCCGAAGCGGGCAGTCTGGAGGCGGCATATTATCTTGGGTGGCTGTCGCTGACGGGCATCGGCATCCAACAGAGCCTTGCCGATGCGAGTGCCAACTGGAGCAAGGTCCGAGCCCAGTCGACCGACCCTATCCACAAGCCGATTGCGACACATATGCTGGGCTGGCTCCACTACCTTGGCCTTGACGTGGCCCAGGACACCAGGCGAGGGCTTGAGCTCATCCGCGAGAGCCGAACCGACGACTTTAGGCTCGGCGAACACGAATGCTTCTATCCAGTGCTGGAATCGTGCAGCAGCCAAGCCGCCGTCGAGTTCTTCAACCAGTGCCGACTTGGATCGGAGCGTTTCTGGCTCTGCAAGCATCTCGTCGCGTTCTGTTATTCGGGCGGCACCGGCACTGCCAAGGACAACCGCACGGCCGCGAAGCTCTTGGAGCCGCTCGCCCGCAGCGGCCACAGCGTCAGCCAGAACCTGCTGGGCGAGTACTTCCGCGCTGGATATGGCGTCGGCGCGAACGACGCGACGGCCGCCCGATGGTTCCGGCTGGCGGCCGACCAAGGAGATTCGTACGGACAGTGGATGCTTGGGTTCTGTTGCCTGAACGGCTACGGCGTGCCCAAGGATAGTTCGGCGGCCGTGGCACTGTTCCGCAAATCTGCCGAACAGGGCAACAGCTACGGGCAGCTCTATCTGGCCAATCGCTACTCGGACGGCAACGGAGTGGCCCGGAACACCGAGACAGCCGTCGAATGGCTTCGCAAATCAGCCAACCTGGGCAACGACTTTGCGAGGCAGAGGCTGGAAGCACTTGCGAATCTGAATGGCTGCAGATAGCAGGAAGGATGTGTACTCAACCAGCCGGAAGCTAACAGCGTTTCCATAATGAAACGGGACACCCCGTTTTGAGCCATGACAGGGTTTTTTCTGTGACCTGAATACACCCACCCACTCATTGCAATCATGGCCAAACACAGCACCCTCGATTTTCGCATCGCTGCACTGCGACCGGTGGTCTTCACTCGGAGGTTGCCAAAGTGATCTGTTCTATTTCTTATGGCATAGTTGGACGCATGCCATCGCATACCACGCTGACAAATGGGTTGCAGAGTCTACACCCCCTCAGTCTGCTTATGAAGTGATTGGTGGATCTGCAGACAGCAGCGCCATCCCGACCAGATATACACGTTCACTCTTTGCAAGCAGGACCATGAGCCTGTATCCACTCAGGGCCACTCCAAGAACAGTCCTGAAGATGGTCTCAGTCGTGAATGTACTTCATTGCCTTCGACAGCCATCGATGCGCAACATCACATATCGCACATTTGTGGCTCTGCATCATGCTTGGTCAAATACAGGGTGGCCGGTAGGGAGCCACAGCGTGTTTTATATTATCTTGAGATGGAAGAGAGATTCTGCCTTCAGCAACGAAAAGGAACAAGCGAGCGATAGGGTGAGAGAAAGAGAGAAAGAGAGAAAGAGAGAAAGAGAGAAAGAGAGAAAGAGAGAAAGAGAGCGTGCGCGACCAAGTGAAAGATGAAAAGCAGGAGGGGTGCAAAACTGCGCCGTGGCCATCGCAAGATTGTTCCACATACCAGAACAAGGACGGAAGAGTGAGATCTCAAATATGGGAGAAAGAGGAAGAACAACATGAAAAATGAAATGAAATGAAAATGGAAAAAAAAAGGGGAGGGAGCAAAAGGTTGGAAGGCATCGGTGAGAAGGTGAGTGGCTGTGGAGAAAGTGAATGAGGGGGAGGGGAGGAGTTTGTCCAGTCAGATGAAACCTCGAAGACGAGTGCAGGATTTCCGACACAGGACATGATCGGGGGGCGGGATAATGAGGGGGAGAGGCGGGGGACGACAGCATTGGCATCAGCAAAGCAAACAAAGCGCCTTCACAACAGGGCTCGCAGAAGGAGGCCTCAAACATCTACAGGGACATCTACGACATGACATTGAGTGGCAGGAGCCAGCACCGACAGTGCGGTGCCCGGCATCGAGAGCCAACGGGAAGTTCATCCAAACAGCGGCAGCAATAACAGGAACCCTCCTCAAAACCACCACCACCACCACCAGCAGCAACATTGGCGCGCCATCAGGGATCGTGCCAGAGCAAACTGGATGCTTGTGCACGACACGATCGCTGCTCCGTTCAGTGGTCGCTCTTGAGGCTCGACAGACTCGATATGCTGGCTCGGCGAGACTGCAGCACGCCTAGCGGGACGTCGTCCTCGTCCTCATCATCATCGTTGGCCGAGGATATCGGCAGCATGTTTCCCACCGGCGGCGCCGCCACTGCCATTGGCGAATAAGGATCTCCGCGGTTGGACGGATAGGGATGCTGGACGTATCCGGGTCCTGAGCGTCCGCTGTGCTGCCAGGCCATGTTGACGGCACCAGCGGCACCAGTGCTTGGTGACACTGGCGGCTGCTCAGTGGCGCTGGATGACGACGAGGGCGACTGGAACAAGAACTGGTGCATGGCAGAGTGGTCCGGGGAGCTACGTCCAGGCGTGCGGTGGCCAGGAGCCCCCGATGCGCCGTTGGCGGCGGAGGCGCCATTGCCGATGTTTGGGGACGACAACGATGATGGCGATGCCGATGCCGATGATGCCAGCTGCTGGTGGTTGAACGGCCCCATGCCCATCGAGAATTTGCTGTGCTTGGAGGACTGCAGCACCATCGACTCGTTGGCATAGTTGGCAGGCATCTGGATAGGAGGTGGCGGCGGCGCGCCGATGTGCACAGAGCCGGGGTGCATCGGTGACAGCGACGATGACAGCGACGGCGCCGATAAGGAAGAGGGGCCGCCTCGGTCGCCGACATTATTGGGGTTCATGGACGACTTGCGCGGCTGCCCTCTGGTCTTCTTGCCCTTCTTGCGAGCGCGCGGGCCACGGGGATCGCGGCTGAGGGTGACATCGGCATGGACGGCCAGGATGTACAGCATGAAGTTGGTGATGAGGACCTGGTGGACGAGCGGGCGACGCAGCTGCGCTAGTTTGCTGTGGGACATGCGGTAAATGTACTTTTCGACGTGTGGGGCGAACCGCGGCTTGCCATCGATGATGATGCCCTCGGGATCGATGTTCTCGACATTGACCCACTGCGAATCCTGCGGGTATGGGTTGTAGTCCGAGTCGGTTGGCGCACCCGAGGCAGCGACATGAGTCTCGGGCTTGGCCTTGGACTTGGCCTTGGACTTTTTGCCAGACTGCTTCCGGCTCTTGGTTTTCTTGCCTTCCTTGGAGTCCTTGGAGTCCTTGGACTCTTTGACGTCCTTGCTCTTGGAGCCCAGGATGCCGCTCAGCCACGTCCACTTGGGCTTGGCCTCTGGGGATGGCGTGGGTGCCGACGAAAGCCGCGGCGGCGCAACCACCAAGGGACTGGTGGGCTGGGTGCGACCCTCCATCAGCAGGGTGACTTTTTGCGAGGTCGAATCGGATGGACCCGGTCCGTGGAGCGACGACGATGACGATGATGACGACGATGACGATGACGCCGCCGGCGACTCGACAGTCGAGAGACTGTCTTCGTAGTAGGCAGAGTCCTCGAGCAGACTGTTGATGACGCTGAGCGAGTCCTCCTCGGGCTCCACAGACACAGTCTCGAAGGAAGGAGACGAGGGGCTGTCGGAGGGACTATCGGCAAGCATCTCAGATTTCGAGCTGATGGAGATAAAGCTGGAGGCGTCGGACTCGGGCACCCTGTCCGACTCGACGGCAACGGCGATGGTTGTGGCCACATCAGCCCTGTCGCTATCAACGGCAGGGACGGTGGAGATCGCTGTGATGCCACCGAGCTCGTCAGGCTTGGGGCTGGAAGCGACCTGGGCGGCTGCCTCGTCCGAAGATTCCATGATGACCTCGATGCTGATAACCTCATCGGCGGGCTTGGGTCGATTGAGCGACTTGCGCACCCGTTTGCCGGTCTTGCTACGGGACAGTCCGGATGACTCGGAGGAACCGTCGCCCTCGGCGGACGGCTTGCTGGCAGAGGACTTTTTCTTCTGGGAAAGCTTGCTGCGGCGAAGTGGAGCCATACCCTTGAAAGCCGGGCGGGCGGCACTGGTGGAGGACACGGTGGTGCCCTCGACGGTCTTGGCACGATGTACCTTGGGGTTCCGGGGCGACTTGGACTCTGGAACGCCGGCGGCCAGAGATGCAGCGGCATCCGGATCGGACTCGGGCGACTTTGCCCTGTCGTCGGTATCGGGGATCTCGTGGGCGTTCTCTGGGGTGATCGAGATGTGCCGCTCGACAAACGATTTTGCTCGGCGGACAGGGCCGCGGTTCTTGCTCTTGCGCAGAACAAGCGGGCCTTCGCCGACCTGGTTAGCGAGCCACGACTGGATCGCCGGGTCCTCGAGCAGCGAGTCGGAGCCCGCAAAGGGACTGGCCCCGGCCTCGGTGTTGAGGTGGCCGGGGACCCAGAGGACGTTCAGGGACGAATCAGCCTCGATCGTGCGGCTGGATCCGGAGAGCGAGAGGACGGTCTTGGTCTCGGGAGAGAGCAGCGGACTCACTCCCGCAGGAGCATCTTTGCTCTGCAGCCCCGCAGCCTCGGGAGGCGGCAGGATCAGACTCGGCAGGAAAACGTCGACGCTGGCCGACAGCTGGGCCTTGGCCCTCGAGCGGGTGGAGACTCTGCGGAGAGATGTGCCGGATCCTGACGTGGGCGACGATGACTCTGGCTTGGGGTCGTCTGCCGTCTTGCTCTGGGCTGTACTGCCCTCGGGGGTATCGACGAGCTCGGTGGGAGTGGTTTCGGACTCGCCCTCGGCTTCCTGGATGGGCGAAAGCAGCACGCTGCCGACGCTCAGATCTCCGGAAGACCGAGACGGGTGCATGCCGAGCGAGGACAGGCCCAGCTGGGTCTGGATTGGGGCGAGGCTGGGTCGGTTTCGGTGGTGCTGGTCCGAGTCGGCAAAGGTCGGGGACGAGCTGAGGCGGCGGAGGTTGGACGAGATTCTCGGGGGCTCAGCCAGAGCGGGATCAAGAGATTCTGTCAAAGGCGGGAGGTGGTTTGGGATGCAGTGTTCGTTCGAGGACGGAGGCTTCTTGTGGGAGGTGGAGAGGCGAGAGGACCGCCGCACGGGCTCGTCGAAGGCGTTGTCGGCGTTCTTGTAGCCATCGGAGACATGGGCCAGGTCATCCGGCGAGGCTGAGGTCTGGGTCGAAGCCGATGGACTGGCGCCAGGGACTTGGACCGAGGAGGTCTGCGAGCTCGGCGGATAGGGGTGGTGAGCGCCCGAAGGAGCGTGGCTGACCATCATGCGCATCTCACTTCCGGGCTCCCACGAGTAGGCCATCTGCGACGAGTCGGAGGAGCTGCCCGAGTAGACGCCGGAAAAGTCCTTCCGGTCCGAGGGCCTGAAGTGCATATGGGTGGGCGAGATGTCGATCGGGGCGGACGGCGGCGCACTGGTAGAGGCGATAGCGGGGGTCGAGGACGAAGCAGCATGAGCAGCCGACGGGTCGTGGTGCTGGGCGGCATACCCCCACTGATGAGGGTGAGACGTGGGCAGGTCCGTGCTGTCGCTCGGCGACTCGATGATGTAGTTGTTGAGGGTCGATTCGGAGACGGAACGCTTGGCGGGGTCTTTGTGGGTATAGCCGTCGGAGTGGTCCGCGAAGACGGGCTCTTGGACATGGGACGTTTTCCGGTTGAGTCCCCGAAAGGCTCGAGCCAGGCCGCTCTCGGGGCCCCACAGCTTGTCGGAGATGGTCCGGATGGAGGAAGTGGACTGTTTGGAGACGGTGGAGCCGATACTGCTCGCATCCGAGTCGCGCTTTGACCGTTTGAAGCCCAGGAACTTTCTGTCAGCCATGTCGATGGAGGCGACGGCGATGAATGAAATGAATGGGTGGATGGATTGCGTGTGATTCTGTATGAACGATTCGGATCAGTTCAGATCGGGTCGGACCCGGTTGGGGCGAGGCAGGAACGATCGGGGACGATCGGGAAAGGGTGGATGGACAGAAAAGTCAGAAATAATTGACAGGAGGTGACAGTCGCTTTGGGAGACGTGTGGACAGGGACGAGCCAGAGGAGGAGTCGGCCCAGCAGAGCGTTGGAGTGGGAGGCGTCTGGCCGTGTGGCTTTACAACAGGATACCGATGGCAGGAGGACGAGACGGCCCATCCGGGAAGAGCGAGACAAACTGACACTCACCGAGATATAAATATCGATCCGCAGTTGATCAGAGCCGAGTTGGATCTACAACTGGATGTACCAGAAGCGGGAAACTGATGGGGAAAGACGAGGAAGACACAACCGAACAGAGTGAGCGAGTGGGGGACAATCGGCCAGAGGAGCCAAGGAGCGACGGACCGGTGCCGGTGCCGGTGCCGGTGCGGATGACCCGATGAGCGAGACCAGAGGTTGGTGGCCAGGAGTGATGAAGAGGCGACATATGAGATGGCAAAGAGACGACGGGTGGCGAGCCGAGTGGCGAACCAAGTGGCGACCGACAAGCCAGTCTAACCAAGACTCTCCAGACTGGCGACGCTATCGGGAATGGCCGGCAAAGCCAGGTTGGCCAAACGGAGCAGCGACGATGGTCAAGCAAACGCACCTTGCACGATATGAAGCCTTTCTGTTGAGGACCGGAGGGGAGGAGCGAATGCAGCAATGCCGAGCCGAATAGAAAGAAGACGATGGAGGCGGCTACGGCCAAGACGACTGCATGGACCAAGAGGATGAAGACGAAGGCGGGAGGGAGATGGCGGCGACGGAGGAGAGCCAGACCAAGAGGATGGCGAGACCGATAGTCAGACCAAAGAGTCAGTGAGGGGACGAGATGAGGAAGGGAAGAGAAATAGAAGAGACCAACAGGGTGAGGAAGTTTGATCCCGAGACCGAGGCTGGACAGCAGCAACAGCAAAGACGATGAGGCAAGAGGAGGGGAGAAGAAGAGCAGCCGACGCAGCACACAGCCCGGGTGGTCGATGGGAGAGAGAGATTGCGAACGAGGGACTGGCAGACGAGCCCGTCGAGATCGGCGAAACGACGGAATGTGCACCGTTGGTGGGCACAGACGCAAAAACAAAAAACACCGTCGACCGCCCTTCAGACCGAGCACAGGCCCTTACTTTGCTCGAGGCGAGCGGGTATCGTGAACGGGAGAGCAATGGGATGGCCTGGGAGCTTGTCCAGATGCGCTTGCTTGCAGGACGAGCGATTGCCTGCAGGCCGGGTGATTGCTCGATTTGCTTGCTTGATTTGCTTGCTTGATTTGCTTGCTTGATTTGCTTTGCTTTGGCTGCTTGTCGAGCGATTGCTTGCCGAAGTGTGTGTCGGGTGATGTCGGCTGTTGTTTGGGCGTTCCCGTGGGTGGATGGGCCTGTGGGGGCCGAAACTGGCGTGCTATTTTGGTCGCACCGAGGAGCGAGGAGCGTAGCGAGGGCCGGCACAGTGTGGCGGCAGAGGCAGCGAGAGCGTTCTCGGCGAGGAGCAGATGCTGCTATTTTGGGAATGGCGCCGGTGCGGTGCAAGTTGGGATCAGAGCGAGCGAGCGATCAAGCCAGCAAGCAAGCAAGCGCTGGCGGGAATGCGGAGACCGGCGACAGATCGATCGAGCAGGGCGGGGGGCGGTGTGGCTGGAGTGAGATGGCCGTGGCGATCAGCGACAAGAGCGACGATGGAGCCTGAAAACAGCAGCAGCAGCGGTGGTGGTGGGTCGTCCTTTTGGCTGGTCGCTTTGGCTGCTCGCTTTGGCTGGTCGATCCGGGCTGGTGAACTGCCACAGCCCGCTCGGTGGCGGCGCACAGCGCCACAGCTCAGGTGTGGCTGTGGCTGTACCTGCATCGCCCCACGGTCGCGCCTCGATCCCAGATCTGTCGTTGTGGTTCGCATCGACTCTCCTCCGCGACGCCTGGCAGCATCTGGCAGAGCGCCTTGTGTTTCCCGCCTGGAATGCCGCCGCACTGCCTGGCCGTCCATCGGCCGCACTGAAGCGCCCTCGCTCTGCCGTCTCCCAGCGCCGCTCCTTGGCGCTCACCCAGGCGTCCGAGGGCACCCGCCGAAACTTGGGCTCAGGGATTTGACTTTCTTCCGCATCACACTCTCTCCTGCACACGATCGCGCCACTCCCTCTCCGCAGCGCTGCAGCAGATCGTCGAGTCGAGTCTCGGGTCTCGTGAGCTGGAGATGCGAGGTGCATCTTTATGGAGCAAATGGATCTGGGGGCTTTCGTCTCTGTTGTGCGACTTGATTTCCCGCAACAATCCGAAACTATATTCAACCCTTTGTACAGCAAGTTCACTCTACAAAACGAGGACGTCGAGAGCTTACTCCTTGACAACGTTGCCCTGCGGTGGAGGGTGGCGAGTGTGTTTGGATGAGCTCAACGATGCATTTGCCGCCACCGATGCCCCTCTCTCACCAAGCAGTGCACTGGCACAACATCATGGCCGTCCAGACGATGACCATGCTTCGTCGACACTCGCCGCGTCAGTCGCCTGCATGATCGAGTCGCGCTTCCGCAACACCAGCAGCTTGGCTCACATCATCCTTACCTTCTCAGAGACGTAGAGACCGTCCAGGAACTTACGGATATCCTTGTTCTTGACGAGAACGGAGGTGTGGATATCGGCGGCTGCACAGCATAAAGGATACATCCGTGTGGTCAGCAAAGCCCCTATTCACTCGACCAAACTACATACCAGATCATTTGGGAACGGGTTCCCCGACTGAGCCTGGCTGCGAGCCATCACACCCGCCCCGAGCCAGCCATCGACCCCTCGCTCGCTACTCACCAGACTGGGAGACGTTCTGGATGTCGTTTCCGACGAGGACGATCTCATCCTTCTGGGCGGTGGACAGAGTGACGGTAACACCATCACGCATGGCGATGCGGCGGACAATCTTCTCGCCCAGGAAGTTGCGGATCTCAACAGTCTTGCTGCTGTCAGCAATGTTGACGTTGATGGGGAAATGGGCATAGACGAAGCGCATCTTGTACTCGAAGCCCTGTGCCATTCACCCGAGGCAAAGTCAGCATCAGCAGTCTGCAGCGCAACAACCACTCTTGCTAGCTCCCTCGCAGTGTCGGCCGACTGCCACTGGCCGTGCTCCGTATCAATCCTACCTTGGTGACACCAGTGATCATGTTCTCGATGTGAGAGCAGATAGTGCGGATGCAGGCAACGTGCTTGCGGGCACCGTGCCAGACCTTGACGTTGATGGTGTTGGCGGTGGGGCGGGTGATCTCCATGTTCACGTGCTTGAACTCCTTCTGGAGAGCGCCGCGGGGGCCCTTAACGCGGACGGCGCGAGCCTTGACGTCGAGCTTAACTGTTGGGAGTGGAGCGTCGAAAGCGGCAGTTAGTTTCGTCGATGGTCGGTGGATCAATCGGCTGCGGCACAGGTCGAAGCGAGCGACGCCGGATACTGACCACCCTCGGGGATGGTGATGTCCTGTTCTTGAGAAATGAACTTCATTTTGAACTACTAGGGTTTCCAGCCTGCACGCAAGAGCACACGCATTCCAACGTTAGCCACATTGAACACGGCTGCGTGTGATACGATCGTCGCTCGAGCGGCGACCGCTGTTGCAGGAAAGCAGGCTCGATCCAGCAGGTTCGGGCAGACAGGCAGGATTCGCAGACGACGGATCGGAGGGTGTCGAGACAGAGCCGAACGATGGCCGACGAGATGTGGATTTGTTGCGGTGGAGCCTTCCGGTGACGGACAGCATGGATCGCTCATCGTAACGGAATCCGGTCGCTGCAGAGCCGATCGAGATGGAGCGATGAATACTGTCTGTGCCGGAGGATGTTGTCGACCAACTCGACTCGACTCGATCGCTGGGGATGGGGCCACAAGCCACGGCGCTGCATGTCCAATGGCGCGAAAGATTCCCCGCCGGTGGTGTCGTCAAAGGCTTCGGCGGTGACGGCCCGGAGGAGAAGTGCCGGCATTCGCTCTTGATAGGGGGACCACAAGTCCATTCCGAGAGGTCGGTCGAGTCCGTATCATCCATCCATCCATCCGTCCATCGGTTCGTTCATCCATCCATCCATCCATCCATCCATCCATCCATCCATCCATCCATCCATCTGTCATATCCTGCCTGTCTTGCGCCGTATATGTTCCGTCGTCGTATCGCGGTCTCTGGGTGCGTTTCGTCCACACAGCAGCGCCCACTAACCAATAATGCTTGTCGGCCACAGGAAAAGTCAAGAGGGAAGAAAGCAAATGGCTGCTGGCTGTGGCCTCTCTTAGTGTACGTTGTTGCTGCCCCTGTGTGGCTGCTGACACAGAACGCCACGTGACTGCGCGTCGCAAGAAAAACCAGCCTACTCGCGGACAGCCACACTGCGGCCGGCCCTGGCCACGATGTGGCTGGAACTGGCCAGAATGTGGCTGCTACTGGCCAGCTGGAGGCCAGCCAAGAGTCGAAACTGGGATCTGGAGATCGCAGAGCAGCTTTTCAATGTCGACTGCCGGGTCCAGCGTGTGTCGTGGATGCAGCAGATGCAGTGGACGCAGTGGACGCAGTGCATTTGCCTATTCATGAGCCTGCACTGCAGTCGTGGGTGACAGACGCTGGGCGATTCATGGTCGGGCCAAAGCCGATATGCGGCCGTGCCGGACAGCAGCTCAAGCACAACCACAAGCAAATGCCCATCTGTCCACAGCCATCGCACGCGAGACTCGGCTTTCAGGGGACACGGCGCGTTACAAACTTGAAGTAACATGTATTTCGATGCTGGAAGAAGCCTCGCAACAAAGAGAAAGCCAGTCCGGGCCTTCCGAGCAACCTGCTGAACGATCTCCTGCATTCACGACATAAACCAAGCCTTTCTTCTGCATCCGCGCTCCACCCGCCGCCGGATTACCACCACTCCTCCTCGGTCCGAACCAGCACATTGACGCACATGGTCTTGACAACACCAGTGGCTCCTGCTTCCGTAAATCGATGAGCGGCAATCTCCCTCAGACATACATCACAACCGTCCCCGGCATCGACATTGGCGGGGGAGTCGGGTCGACACGCCAGTCCATGTCTGGCCAGACCTGCTTCAGGGTCGCAAAGAGCTCCGGCTGCATGGCCTCGAGGGTCTGCGGGTCCTCGGCAATGCAGACCAGGGTGGCACTGGATCCGCTGCTCAAGACCATCGTCACGGAGTTGTAGCTGTAGATGCAGGTGACGACCCCGAGCGCCACGCACAGGCCAACGGCTGCAGGTGTGTTGGCAAGGCTGGGACTGACTTTGCCAATGATGTATCCCGCCGCACCTCCGAGCAGCGCCATGAAGAAGCCGCCCATGCTCATCGTCATGTCGACCAAGCAGTCGTTGATAAGCTGGGCGGTGGCAGAGGAAGAATGCGATGTCGTTGGGTGCGATGTCGTCGGATGCGATTAGATACGGCAACAGGCCCGCACAGTCAGCATCTGGGACTGTGCCTCTCGCTCCTGGGTCCTCGCTCGCCGGAACTGGACGAGGTGTTGTCAAGCCCGATCGACTACTGGCACTCACCACTTCGAGTCCACGCTGCTTGAAGAGCTGCCAGGTTGACTTTCCTGCTTCAAGATAGCTCTTGCCGTAGATGGCGATCTCGGTGAAGGCATACTGCTGTATCGTGAGCGACTGTGCGATGCACTCAACATGTCCATCGAACCATAGCCCTTCACCCGTAGCGAGACCCCCACCACGGCATCCCAGTTAGCGACTACTCACGCGGTTAAAGTAGTTCATGAGATCCTCCATGACCTTCAGGATGCAGTCCAGGCAGCACAGTATGAACCAAGCGCCAACCCCGGCATCCGACCGACTGACCGCATCCTTGGCATTGTTGATCATATATCGCAGCAACTGCATGAGCGCAATCAAGAGCGACCCAAAGCAGATCGACCCAAAGCTCGTGGTCATGGCCCGCTTGGCGGCCTTCCAAGTTGGGTTGGGCACGGCCAGGACAATGTTGGAAACTCCGGGGGCAGCCACGCCCATAAAATACACCGTGGCAAAGAGCCCGGCGCAGGTTACATGCACCACGTTGTTGATGACCTGGGAGGTCCAGTAGTAGATGAACACTAGATCGAGCGTGGAAATTCGCAAAGATCAGCAGCAGCAGCAGCAGCAGCAGCATACGCAATAGCAGCCACGGCCGAAGCAGCCTGGTGCAAAGTACTGAAGCCAAGCACAGCGTCGGTGGAAATAGCAGTGGCATCCCCAGATGCTTTCGCAAATTGCCAAACACAAAGTCGGATGAACGGGCGGCCATGTCCGCATTCGCGCAAGTCCCGGAAGAAGTCTCATCGCGTTTCTCTCGCCCAGCCTTGATCTTACCCAGGAGCAGCACCAGCAGCGAAAAGTAGGTGTTTCGAGCGCTGGCGGAGAGGGCTGCATTGTCTTCGATCATTGTCACAAATCCAGCCATGGTCAGCACCCAGACGACGCCAAAGGCCAAGGCCACTGCAGTGCCGACGATTGACACAGCGACCACGCTGGGGAACTGCTTGACGATCCTGGTGCTCGACTTGAGACTGTCGCAAGGGTTGGATATGGCAGCCACACCAAGGCAATGGAAAAATTAGTCACGGCCGTCGATAATAGGGTTACGCAGTCATGGAAACACACAATCAGCCAACTGTCCGGCACCTGTCGTCCACCAGTACCACTCCAATGCCGGGGCTTACATGGCAGCCGTGACAGGGATTTTGTTTCCCCGCAGTGCGAAAAAGACCCAGATCACCATGATGCCGTCCAGAACCACCAAGGTAATGGCGAGGCCGCCCAGCCCGGGTTGATGAGAAAGGAACAGAGCCAGCGCCATAAGCGCCATCATCGCCACGGGGAACCAAAAGGCCGCCTTGATCATCTGGATGGTGTATCTGGGACGACGGCATCGAGAGGATCAGCCACCGGCACCACATCACTCACCGGCAGCGATGCAAGCGGGCCATCTTGACTCCGCTGTACAATCAAATTCACAGTTCAACCTCCTGGGCACGGGCCCAAGAGAGCAGCGAACCCACCTATTGACCAACCAGAGCCAGAAGATTGTAAAGACAATGCTGATGGCGAGCAGCACCACAAAGGCGATGGCGATGGCAGCCAGATCAATTGGTGGGCTGGGATCGCTGGTGGTATTGAAGGAGGCATGGCGAACGTTGGAAGGAATAGAAACGGCTGCCATGACAACAAAGCCGGCGAAGGTTACGGCGTAAACCACCGCCGCCCAGACATCCTGCAGGGTGGAGTGTCGAGCGGTGTTAGCGGAGCATCTGGACCAGCCGATTCCCACACTTCGCTCTCTCTTTCTCTCACCGCCCGTTTCAGGCCCCTGAGCCGTCGTGGGAGCCACTCGGCCATCTCGGGAGCGATCGGTTCTGCAAATCATTCAAAGTATATGGGGAATCACCTGGTACTTTGGACTGGTGTTGATGACGGGCACTCGACTTGCCGCTGCCGTACCGTCCGGTAGCCCTCCACCACCACCGGCGATCCCAGGCCCGCCTTGACCGACATAGCCGAATGGCGACTCGTCCTTGAGCTTGTGGAACGACATTTGTCTGTGACGGTTGTGCTCTGGTTGATGAAGATACCGTTTCGAGTCGATGGCTTGGATAGCAAAGATCCGGTGCGCACTCCCAAGCGGATGAAGCTCTCCTGTCCACCGCCCAGCTTGACCTCGGCCTCGCTTTTTGAGGGACTGGGCCGGCCGCAGTTCCGAGTTACTCTGTATTGCAGGTACAGCTTTTGTCGGATCCTGCCGCCGACGAAACACGCAAATGTGTGTTTTCTAGACATTCCAGCGACCTATGACTGGTCGGCTACTTTGCTGTGCTTGATCAGAGTGTCCGAGGGCATACTCGAAGGGCCGGCACTCGCCGAGTCACTTTGACAACAGAAACTCGCTTGACATATCGTATTGGAGGCGAGCGAGTGATTGGATGATGCACATGTGCATCTGCTGCCCCATTCTCATTGTCTTGTCTCCATGCTTGGAGAGCCGATGTGCATGGAACTGATTTGGAGCCAGATGACTGCACTCCGTCAGCCAAGGCCTCAGTCAGTTGGCCACTCAGTAGTTCGCTTCGTCTACACCCTGCAACTAGCTCCATCGGAAGCCGGCGGAGTGCTGTCTCGACCGGATCAGATACGGTCGATTGCTGCGCGAGCAACTGATGACGGCAGGTCGGCTTTGGGTATGAGTCAGGCTACAGCCTTCTCAGAGATGAAACTCAGGGAAGCAACGGCGCTACGGGTGGTGCGCTCTGCTTCAAGATAGAATGCTTTCAAGCGATGGTTGCCGATGCCTTGCATTTCGGTGCATTCTGCTATTCTGTAGTACTCAAGACCACGCCGGATAATGACATGCCATCTTTTCTAGTTCCGAATGCACATCCATCAATCTCCATAAACGACCAACGATCGAACGCACAGCAAGTGAATCGCTCAACCAGAATAGCTGGCTGGCGAGAAAGCACGGAGCCGTCCAAATGGTCTGCTCTATCACATGACGGTGCTCACAATCAGCAACAGGCAGTGGCTACCACGCAAAGGAACGCAAACGAGCATTGTCCTGTTCCGCTGTATTGCTTTACCAAAGAATGCCAACAACACGAATGCACCATAGCCTGAAAACAGAGGCCTGGTGGAGGAAGAGGTTGAACTAGAAAGAGAAGCGAAACTGGAAATCGAGTCGAGTCCAGTCCACAAAACACACATTGCTGCTCGATCGACAAACTCCAGCAGATACCCAACACACACCCACAAACCAAGTGCCACTTCCACAGCAGACACATGAACCACTCGCCCTCTATCCATTGTATCGATGAAATCCTCACAAACTGTGGGATACCGCCAAAGCAAACATCTCATTGGACCCTGATCTCGCTCGTATCCTCGACCTCGGTCCTATGCACGGCCCTGACCTTGAGCTTATCCTTGTCCTTGCCCTTGGTCGCCAACTCTGCTGTCCCAATGTGCCAGCTTGCCCTCGTTCACATCGAAACAGGCTGATGAATGCCCCAGTTGATGCCGGGCCACGACTCTGCCATGCGCTCGAACAGTTCAGGCTTCAGGCGCTGCATCGTGCCCGGATCCTCGGCAATACACACAAAGGTGGTGGCTACACCCGAGATGATCACGCTCATCATCACGTAGAAGCAGTTGATGTTGACGACGAAACCAAGGACGCAGTACGTTGCGATCGTGGAGCTGTTGTAGGCAAAGTCGTTGCCGTCCAAGTAGATGATCAAGAAGCCCAGGGCAGCGCCGATGAGGCCGACGATGACGCCGCCGATGGTGATGACGTTGTGAATCAGGTTGTCGTTGATGACCTGAGCCCGCGGGTGGAGAATACAATCGCCCGTGAGGATCGCCAGAGTCAGCACCATGCAGCAATACCAAGTCCAATTGATGCAGGTGATGGTAAAATGCAATCTAGTATCACCGACTGACTCTCTGTCGCTGCTCTGGTCACTCACCGCCTGGAGTCCGCGGTCCTTGATCAAAGCCATCGTCGACTTTCCAGCATCGCAGTAGTCCTTGCCATACATGGCGACTTGGGTAAAGGCGTACTGTGAATGGCATCGTTAGTCGCTCGGCCAGCTGGAAGAAAACCCTGTCGAGCCGTCAAATTCCATCGGCCCAGTCCAAGCTCATGCTGCCCAATCTAGTTCCACTCTACTTCGTCGTGTTGCATCCGAAGCAAGCGCACTGAGCCCGAATCAAAAAAAATCGCTGCAACTCGCCACACTCCTTACTCCCTCTATCCACAACATGTGCACGCACGCAAGGAGCGGGGATACACGTGTCACTTACCAAGTTGAAATACTCCAGAATGTCTCGAATGCAGGTGAGCAGACACTCAAGACAGCAGCAGATCAGCATCAGCATAAAGTTGCCGTCCCGTGCGGCGCCGCTCTTCGAAGATCGTGCGAGATAGCGGAGTAGATCCAGGATGGCAATCAGGAGCGAGCCGAAGCAAATGGATCCGAAACTGGTGGTCAGGGCTCGACGAGCAGCCTTGGCCGTGGGGTTGGTGACGGGAACGATGAAGCGAAGCGAGTCGCCCTCTTGAGTGCCGGTGAAGTACACCGTTGCGTAGAGGCCAGCACAGGTGACATGAATAGTGTTTTTGATGATCTCGTGCGTCCAGAAGAGCATAAACACTGTCGATGTTTGGGGGAGAGGACAAAATCGAGCAGAATGGCGGAGTGAGCGATCTCTGTTGCGACTTGAGAGCGTTGGTGCGGCTGTACTTACAAAGCGTGACAAAGGAAGCGATCATATAGCCTGTGGCATGTGGGTTCATGACTTGGGTTCCGTCAGGCTGGTTGATGGGAGGGTAGTTCTGGAGAATGAGGATGATCAGCCCATAGAGGGTGATGAACCACACGATTTGGTAGATGATGCTGATGATCATGCCAACAAAGCCAGAGAAGATCATGGCTGGGAACTGTCGTGTGATACTGGCGGCCAGTTCCAGCCTTCGGGTTGGCGCAACGGAAGGAGCAGCAGCAGCATCAGTGTCAGTGGCCATGACGTCAGTATCGCTGCAGACTCATCCGTCCGTTCAGCGGACGGTGCGCTGGTCTCGACCGAATCAAAGCAGGAATGCAGGCAACCTCGTCCAGACTCGGTGCAGCCATCAATCCCGACCCATCCAGCGCGCAAGAAACAAGTATGCCTGGCAGGCAGCCTGCCCTCTCTGACCCGCAGTGCAAAACGTACATGACCGAGGCAAACGGGATCTTGGATCGAATCGCCACGTATGCCCAGGCATACAGGAGACCAAACACGATAAAGATAACGCCGGGGGCAATCGAGCCGCCAATCAGGAACAAGACCCCGGCCACGATTGCCAAGCCACACCAGGACCAGTACGAGAGCTTGATCATTTGGCGCGGGTAACTTGGACGGACGCATCGCGAAGAAAGTGTCGTGGGGAACAAGAGTCAGCGACGGTGGGCGAAAGTGCAGCGACATCGAGGTGGACTACCAGATAGCCAATGGTGCGAGAACGCGGCGGAGCGAGTACCGAGCTCCTCGAGTGTCGGCGGCCATATCAGGCCGTGTCCTAACCCAACATATCATGCTGAATCCAAGAATCCAATACATCACGCTTGGATCCGAGGATCCAATACATCATGCTAGGGCCCAGACGACAAAAGCTGCGCGCAGTACCTTTGCATCAACAGGAACCACAAAAGCCCCAGCAGGGTCGACGAGGCAATGAACACGAGGATTGGATAGATGGCCGCGATCAAGGTTGCCGGACCCGAGTTGTTGCTGTAGAAGTTGCTTGGCGCAAACGAGTTGTTTGACAAGAATGCTGGAAAGCCTCTGTAAATGGCGTAGATGTAGGCAAGAGAGCAGATGACGTAGAGGACGGTGGCCCAAACATCCTGCGGATATCGGGTCAGCATGGCGCAGCGTAGGCACAACAGGGGGTGAGCAGTTCTGCTTTTGAGGGCGATGCGGCCAATCTTGGCTTCCATCGAGCACCTCTGCGCGTCAGGGGGGGGGGAAGATGCTGGGAAGCCATTCGGTTCACGCAGCCCTGGTGCCCTCACCACAAAACCCGACGCGACTCGTCATCTTGGACCCTCTCGGCTGCGTTGCGTGTTGGGGGAGGAAACGCCTGCTCGGCATCTGCTTCGTCTTCCCCCCCCCTCTGGCCGCTCTGTATCCGCTCCATGAAGACCGCGCGCGTACCTTATATTCCGGAGTCGCGTTCATCTGGGGCGGCTTGGCCGGCGGCAGGATGTACTTGACGGGCTCGGGCGAGTTGAGAGCCGCGTTGGACGAATCGATGGCCATGGCCGGGGACGAGACCGCACCTGGATTCGACATCGGGTTGAGGTCTGCGGGCTGGTACATGGGAGGTGGAGGCTCGGGACCACCCATGGGTGCTTGATACGGGTTGTATCCAGTTGCGCCCCCATACTGCTGGTATCCAGCCTTCTCAGACCCGGGCTGCGCTACGGGAGGTGGAGCCGAGTAGGGGGTAGTGTACGAGTAGGTCGCCGGGGAGGGCGATGCCTGGGAGTAAGGCGCGCCATAGGGTGCCTGCGGGGGTCCTTGAGGCTGCGGGAAAGGGACGGGAGCGTTTCCGGCAGGATAGGGAGGCTGTTGGTACTGCTGCTGGTACTGCGGATGCGACGAATAAGCGGGCTGCGCGTAAGCCGACTGAGGATACTGAGGCTGGCCGCCGGCACCATACGGATCTGGGTACTGGCTGGGCGGAGGCCTGTTTGGCTGGTAGTTTTGGTTGTTGGAGTACATGGTGGCTGGCTCGCACGCACGCGCTGAAGCGAATAGCACGAAGCGATGGATGACAGCAAAGAAGGAGCAGGGGCGACGGGAAATGGGCTCGCCGGCGAGGACTGGCAGACAGGGCGGGGGCGATCCAAACTGGGCGCGATGGCGGGTTGACAGCAAGGGGCAAAATGCTCCGATCAGGGGGAGGGAACCGGATACAGTGATTGCAAGGGGGCGACCGGATCCGGCTGAAGAAAGGGAACCCTAATCGGCTATGTTTCTGAAACAACTATATTCTCAAACATGTTTTGGGGTTACTCGAAAAGAAAAAAGGTACACTTGGAGGCGTCGAGGGTGACGGTTGGCTCGCTCACACGCGCTGGATGGGCCAGGAAATGTCGGGCCAGGTGGCTCTCAGTCTCTCAAAGAGCTCGGGCTTGAGCTTCTCCATCGTCGCGGGCTCGTCGGCAATGCACACAAAGGTGGCCGAGACACCCGAGGTGACGACACTCATCATGGAGTAGAAGCACGAGGCGCCGAGGAGGAAGCCAACGACGCAGTAGGCGATGTAGTAGCCGGTGGTCTGGGGAATGGTCTTGTCAATGTCGACGATGAAGAAGGCAACGAGGGCGCTCAGGACGCCGACACAGAGGCCGCCGAGGCTAATGACGTTGTCCACCAGGTTGTCGTTGATGATCTGCAAGAGGACACAAGACCGGTCGCATAAGAACCCGCAGTCAAACAAGGCGGCAGCCAGCCATATTGTGGAATGGGAGAGAGGAGATTCAGATGCAAAACTGGCAAAGCGACACTCACCGCCTCGAAGCCACGCTCCACAAACAGGTTCCAAGTGGATTTGGCAGCTTCGCAGTAGTTCTTTCCGTAGATAGCAACTTGGGTGAACGCGTACTGAGGAAGATCAAGAAAGTAGGTGAGCGGCGAGCGGTTGCTAAACGCTGGAGGATGGACACGGCTGAGCAGACGGGCCAATGCCCGTGTTGTTGCTGGCGCTCCAGCATCAGAAACGAATGCAGCTACAAGGGAGAGGCAAACACATACGTGGTTGAAGTAGTTGAGGATGTCCTCCAGACAAGCCAGGATGCACTGGATGCAGCACATCAAAAGGCAGAGAATCCAGTTGCCGTCCTGGGCAGCGTCGCGCTCGGCCATGCGAGCAAGGTATCGGAGCGTCTGGATGATGGCAATCAGCAGCGAGCCGTAGCAGACCGAGCCAAAGCTGGTGGTGAGCGCATAGCCGGCCGCCCTCATGGTGGGATGCGGAACAGGGACGTGGATCTTCTTGGATCCGGGAATCTCGGTGCCGGTAAAGTAGACGGTTGCAAAGAGGCCCGAGCAGGTGACGTGGACGGTGTTCTGGACGACCTGGAGAGTCCAGTAGAGCATGAACACTGGACAGGGCAGAGAGCGGCGGGTAGGTCGGAGTTGTGTAAGCGCGGAGAATCGAGGGCAGATGAAATATGCGTAGAGCCCAGCCGAGTCTGGCGAACCAGCACTCCATGGCGACCTAGATGCGCCGCATATTTGGCGCAGCCTAGCAATCAGCGATCAACCTACCGAACACAATGCCGATGCCGGCGTAGGTGGCGATGCCGCCGGTGTTGACTTGGCCCGTGGATGTAGTGACGGTCGAGTTGGAGTTGGACAGAATCAAGTTGATGCCATAGACGGTGATGAACCAGACAATCATAAAGCCAATGGTGATGACCATGCCGATGAAGCCTGCCAGAATTGTGGCCGGGAACTGGCGAGAGATCGAAGTGGTGGTCTCAAGCCTGGGTGGGCGGACCAAACAAAGGACGGGTGAGCCGAGCGGCTACAGCAGCGACAGACAGATACACAAGAGCCGCACCAAGAGGAAGGACGCAGGTTGTGTCTCTCTGCTCGTCAGGTTCTGCCCGACAAGTTGCTGCATGCGATCGCTTACATGATCGAGGCGAACGGAATCTTGTATCGGATGACCACGTACGACCAGGCATACAAGGCCGCAACCAAGAGGATCACGACGCCAATGACGATGTTGGTTGTTCCGCCAAGGATGATGACGTAGACACCGGTGGCGACGAGCATCAAGCACGAGGCCCAGTACGAGATCTTGATCATCTGGCGGGGGAATCTGAAGGCAGAGAGAGAACGATTGAGGATGCAGCATCAAGAAACCAGGGGGGTGGGCTGGTGTGTTGCCATGGGGGCGAGGTTGATGGATGGATGTGGATGTGGATGTGGATGTGGATGTGGATGTGGATGTGGATGTGGATGTGGATGTGGATGTGGATGTGGATGTGGATGTGGATGTGGATGTGGATGTGGATGTGGATGTGGATGTGGATGTGGATGTGGATGTGGATGTGGATGTGGATGTGGGCCCCACAGAGTACAAAGCAACTCTGCATGGGCTGTATGGATCATGACGTTCGCCGATGCATCCGGCCACTGCGGCTGGCACAGCCGCAGTGGTGACTACCCCTCTGTCCAGCCAGCCAGTCGCTGCACAGCCACCCTCTCCAAAGGAAAGAGGCTGGATACTTACGCCTGGATCAGGATGAACCACAGGAAGGTGAGGACAACCGAAACGGCCAGCAGAATGGCGATGGGATAGGCGATTTGAGAGGCGGTGAGGGCCAGCGTGAAGCCCCGCGCCGAGGTGACTTGGCCGGGTTGGAACGACGCCAGCGTCTTGGGGACGCCCAGGTAGGCGGCATAGGCAAAGGCGGCCAGACAGAGAATGAACAGCAGGGCGGCCCACAGGTCCTACAGAGGCACACAGCAACGCAGAGGCAGACGAATCAGTCGAGAACGCAGAGCCATGGCCTGCTTGGGACAGACAAAGCCCCGGGCCGGCGACGACGCATATGCGAGCGGGATCACATACATTCCATCGGCGGGTCTCGACGATTTTGGAGGGCAACGGCGATCCGGCGGTGGTGTATTTGGGGTTGATGAGAGGTGCATGGGTGGACTCGTAGCCCGAGTGATAGACGGGCGGTGCATTCGAGCCCGGGGAGTAGCTCTGCTGCGGGGGGTATCCCTGGTTTGAGTATCCCTGGTTGGAGTATCCCTGGTTGGGGTATCCCTGGTTGGGATAGCCCTGGTTGGGCTGCTGCGAGTTGTAAAAGTTGGACATGGCGATCGGCCGTGGAGGAGCAAACAGCAGCAGCGAAGGGGCAGGCGGGCAGGCGGGCTTTTTGTAGCGCCAAGAAGACATGCGGCTGACGTGTCCGCGCAACGCCCTTTGCGCCGCCACCGAAACTCTGCGCGGCTGTCCACGTGCTGGTGGTGGTGCGGGCGCGTCTGGCCGTGTTCTGGCTGTGTTCTGGCTGTGTTCTGGCTGTGTTCAGGCCGACGAGGGGCAAATGCTGTCGGATGAATGGGGTTCGCACTGTCGGATGAATGGGGTTCGCACTGTCGGATGAATGGGGTTCGTGCGGGTTCTTGGCGGATGGAAAGAGAGAGGGGGGAGAATATCAAGCAATCCGGTGATGCCGCCTCTCTGCGACTGTCGTCTGGAACATGCTGGACCACGACCCGCATTGGACCGCAGCGCGGAAAGACGGACATTCGGAGCGAGGACAGAGTATCCGCCAACGGACATTCGTACGGATGAGATGGTGCGTGTTTGCCGACGACGTTGCCCGGCAAGGACAGCAGGGGACGGACACAGCAAGAAGAGCAAAAGAACCAAAGTCGGCCGAGGGAGTAATGAGGCCAGAATAGACCACTTATGCAATGCGAACACGGTCGATGCAACGGGGTCAGCGCAGCAGGACCAACGGACGCAGCGTTTACAACTTGGCTTGCTCGCCCATGCGCTGCTTCATGGCCTGGGCGACCGAGAATGCCATGCTGTAGACCGTGATCATCGGGCTGGAGAGAGACGAGTCGGGCTCCGTTAATCGCGGCTGATTCCGCATATGCACCCAACACACTTGAATGCACCTGGTCCACTGGATACATCATCCATACCACCATCACCCGCAGGCGGGTACTTACTTGACCCCGCTGGCCGTAGGGAACAGGCTCGTGTCGCCGACCCAGAGGTTCTGCACCTCCCAGGTCTCACCCGTCGGCTGCACAGCTCCGAGGTCTGGCCGGCCCGCCATGACACAGCTGCCCATTTGGTGGGCACTCAGCAGCGAGCCATTCAGGTTGCGGAAGCCCCTGGCATGCACCTGTCGAGTCCAGGCACGGAACCGCTCGCTACCAATCTCCGCCTGGACATCGATCGGCCCGTCGCCCTCAACCCGATACGGCGAGGTGCCAGTCTGGTCGATGAGGATCTCGCGCGCCCCGGCCGCAAGCAGGACCTCGGCCGAGGTCTGCACGCCCATTGCCAGGGTGTCCGAGTCGAAGCGGCCCAGGCGGTAGCGGATCACCGGGTTGCCATCGGTGTCGAGCGAGACACTGCCCTGCGAGTCCTTGTCGCGAGCAAGCACAATCATGCTGCTCATGTTGGGGAACCTGAGCATCCCGAGCTTCGAGTCCAGAGGCCCGTTCCAAGGACAGCCCAACGAGGCAATGCTGGTGTGCGAGGCTGGCACCTCCAGCTTGGCGCCGTAGTGCTTCCCGTCTCGGTCTGCAATCTGATTCGACAGCGCCGTCATGATCGACCCTTCGAACATCTTGACCGGCTCGGGGAACACTCCCACGACCGCGTGGACGGGATGCAGATGAAGCTTGGACCCAATGTGCCGGTTCTTGAGTCCCGACCGCAGCAGCAGCGCCGGGGTGTGGATGCTGCCGCAGGAAGAGACGACATGCTTGGCCTTGACCCGAAGCTGCGTCTGGCCCGAGTGAAGCCATCCCGAGACGCCGACCGCCTTTCCGTTCTCAATCAGTACTCGTTCGACAAAGCACGACTGTACAAAGCGGGCTCCATGGCGCTCGGCATCCCGCAGCCAACTGGCGTCGCTACTCTGCTTGGTCTCGGAGGGACAGCCAAAGAAGCACGACCCGCACGAGTGCGGCTTGTGGCCTGTGTTTTGCGGGATCGAGTCACAGTGGTATCCCAGGCGGCGGCAGCCATCGAGCAGGATTTGGTTCCCTGAGTTGTGTTGGATGGAGTCGATTCCCACGCCCATCCGCTCGAGCACAGTGTCGATGCCTTGCTGAAACTCGTTCGTGAGCAAGTGGGGTAGATGGAATCGTTCGCTCCACTCCTCGAGCAGATGCTTGGGTGGAACGAGAGAAGCCGACCTGGAACAGGAATCTGTCAGCATTGAAAGGTCTATTGCCCGATCGCCTCCCCAGATCAGATCAGGGCAGCAAGTTATTCAACGAGCAGGCTCTCTCACATACTCGACTCGACTCGACATTGCTCGTACGCTCAACCCTCCGATGCAGGCACAAATCCTCTCCCTCCTCTGGCTACTGCCTACCGCCAGCCTTGACTGCACTCACCAGTTGATCCGGCTCCCGCCGCCCCAGGTCGACCCGGCGACGATGGTGATGCTCCCGTCTTCGCTCTGGCAGAGCACCGCATTCTCGCAGAACTGCTGGAGAGATTCGCCCTCGACCAGGGACAGCTTGGTTGGGTGCACGTAGCTTCCCTTCTCGAGAACAACGACCCTGTGACCGGCCTGGGCGAGCTGAGCGGCTGTCGAGCGTGCGAGTGCCGCGATGAGCAGGATGAAGATGATGGAGGAGAACGTCAGGTGCTGCACGGACCTCGATGTGAATCTTGGATATCACATCTGCAGATCGACGGCGGCAATGGCGGAAGATCCAGCCCCGCGCTCTAACACCCTGTCGACTAACGATGCAGTAAACCAGACAAGATGCCAGAGAGGATGCGGCCAGGCTTGCTCACCGATAATGCCTCCGCCGCAACCGCTGCCGACGATCACCACGTCCGCCTCGAGCTCGACAAGGTTTTCAGGATTGCCCACATCAAACTCCAAGAACCGCGTCGGCGGCTGGAACGTGCTGGCGTCCAGCGGACGGTCAGGAATGTTGGGGCCAGGGTACCCGAGCAAGTCCCAGGTGGGGTTCCAGGCCGCAAACTGGGCCAGGCCCGAGCTGACGCCGGGATGAGGGCATGCATAGAACGGAACCATCGCGAGCTTCTTGAAGACATGAAAGATCTTGCGGGTGAGGGGCAAGACTGAGTGCTTCATTCGGAGCAGGCCCTGGGCACGTTGCGCCGACGACCACTCCGGGAAGCTGAAGAGGCACGTCCGCGGATCGGACCAGCCCATGAGGATGCCGGTGCCGGCGCTGGTGGAGAGAAGGTCCAGGGCCAGCAGCAATTCGTTGTAGACCGAGTGGGTGAGGCCCTCCTGGACCCAACGGACGACATTGTCGGTCAGGGCCGGAGTGAAGGTGAGCTGGGCAAACTGGACCAGGGCCGGAATCTGGGCATCGAACGGCACAGAGTCGGCCGGGGCGTGGGCGACGCTGGGTGCATCTGTGGGTGCATCTGTGGGTGCATCTGTGGGTGCATCTGCGGACAGTCGGGCGCGGTGTAAACGTTCGAGATCTGCCCGGTATTGCTCGATGAGCCGCTGGGTGTCCTGCTCCGACAAGGTCGCCGCAAAGGTGCCGAGGAGGGCGGAGAGAACACGGAACTGGCGCTCAGAGAGAGGCTTCTTGGGCTGGAATGTTTTTGACATGGTCGCGGGTTTCGTCGGATGGGAGTGCAAGATGGGGGGGGAGGGAGGGCTTGGGCCAAGACGGCAGGTTTCCAAGGCCTGGTCATGGGACGACACCGCACGGTGCACCAGAGCGCCAGAACGGGATTTCAGCTGATCGGAGCCACCCAAGCGAGAGTCGGCGGCTTGGGGATGGCAATGCCTGGATGGACTCGTCACCCGATGGATGCGAGTGGCTCAATGATAAAAGTGCTCAATGGAGTGGAGATATCAATTATATTGTGTCGCTGCCGGGCCGCCGACCACAACCGTGTCAGGGTCCGGGCAGATGTGTATCCAAAAAGTGAAGGTCGGCGGTGCAAGTGCTGCTGCTGCTGGTGGTGGTGGTGGTGGTGGTGGTGTGGGCGACCAGCCAACGAGGATGCTTCATTGGCTGGAGCTGTGTCGCTGTCGTCCAGAGATCGACGGGGACAATGTGTCCAGCGGGCCAGAGGAGCTTGGAGATGTTGCCTGGTTGCTGCGTCCGCACGAGCTTCGCGAGAATGAAATATGTACATGAAGTGAAGTCTGGGTGCGAGCGATCGCTGGCGATTGTACTTGGGCCTTGCTTGGACCTGCGGGGTGTCGTCAAGACCCGATCAGGATGCTGCGTGTGCCGGCTGCCTCGAGGACCCGCATGGCCCGGACCACCGTCAGCGGAGAGAGGCACGGAGGAGGCGATACGAGGATGGTCGAGAGGGCCGGCGCCGAGAGGGAGGTGTGGAGGGCGTGGATGATTCCGTCGGTCCACATCGCCAGGTCCAGGCTGCTGCCGTCGTCGGGCAGCCCGTTGCTGGGTCGCCCTTCACCGGCTGCCGCAAAGACCAGCGACAGAACCGACACCCAGATCTGCACCATCGACACCATGAGGTGCCACGGCGAGACCGAGGCTGCCAAAGACAGGGTCGCTGCTGCTGATGTTGTCGATGTTGCTGATGTCGCTGTCGGTGTTGTTGGTGTTGTTGCTGATGTTGTTGATGAGAAGGGTGCTGAGGAGGTTGTTGTTGGGAACGCTGCGGAGAGCGTCGTCGAGAGTGGTGTTGAAGGTGTTGTTGAGGATGTGGCCGAGGACGGCAAGGGTGTGGTCGCTGGCTGGGAATAGAGCCGACGACAGGAACGGGATGCCGTCACAGGCCGGGGTGCTGTCGAGTCCCCGGCCAGAGTCAACGACCGACCCACCAGCGCCGCCAAGAGCGACCCCAACGTCGCCGCCGTCCACAAGTGGAGGCGAGAGGCTGGAGGGGCACCAGGCCAGCTGCCCGGGGGCGATCGAGACATCCACGCCAGCATTGCCTCGGCGGGAGAGCAGGGTGGACTCCGCGGCAGGGACACCCCGTCAGAGCCACGACCGTCGACGCTGTGGTCGTCGTCGTCGTCGTCGTGATTGTCGTCAGTGTGGGTATCGGCGTCCGTGACATCTGCGTGCGCCGCGCCGTCGCTCAACATGCATCCATCGCCATGGACAACCACACTGGCCCTGCTCGTTCCGATGGCGCCGAGTCGGTCGCTGATACGGGCGATGCGGCCCCGGGAGGCGGCACGGCCAATACGAGCAACGTCAGCGAGACCATCGGCCCCGCACCGCCGACACTGACACAGGCGACCACATCCCTGCGCGCAGTGGCCTGCGGGACAGAGATGCGCCGCCACAACATCCACGACCGTGGTCAGTTGCTGTGAAGTCGGCGGCCGGGGCGGCACGGACCGGCGCGGTGAGCGAGGAGCTTGCGACGGACGCGGCGGACACGCAGACGGCGGACGCTGACGACACATGGACGGCCATGGCAGAGACTCGGGTGTTGGGAGCGCTGTCGGCTCGCCAAGTCCACCTGTGAGAGGAGAGAGGGGAGAGAGTGAGTGGGTCACAGCCAGAGCGGCTGTCGAGAGGGTTGTCTGTGGAGGCGTGGAGAGTGTGGCGGGCGGTTGCGGTGAGAATGAGAACGGTGCGTAGGTTGGTGCTGCAAGCGGCAGTGCTGCAAATGGCAGTGTCGTGGACGACGGGTGCGAGAACGAAGAGAACGGAGTGCACGGCAGCAAGGCGGCCGGCGACCCCGGAGTGAGCACGTCTGGGGGAGGAGTGAGCAGGTCCAGCAGTGGGCTGAAGGTCGGCGTGGTTGCGGGAGGAGTGACTGTCGATGAGAACGGCGACAGGGCCAAGCCCGAGGCCAACAGCCCCTGGGTCGGGACAGGGAGACCCGTGGGACCGAGTGCAAGTGTCGATGGCAGACGGTCGGTGCTTGCGATGGCGGTGGTGGTGCTGGTGGAGGCATGCTGGTGGGTGGGCGGGAACAGAGCGGCGGCGCTTGGCGGCGACAGCGAGGCGAGAAAGTCGGCCCCGTCAGTACTCAGGTTGTCGAGCGACAGGAACTCGGATGCAATGCTTCCGTCACTTGGCGACGACAGGTCGGCCGGGTGGAACAGATCGACCGACCACAGCGCGTGGCTCGACGGAGGAACGGAATCGTACGAGCTCGGTCCGACCGACAAGGGATGGTCCAGATCACCCAGATGCATCGGGAACAGATCGCTGGGACAGGAGCCCGCGAGCAGCGACGGAGGGACGTCCTGTGAGAACAGCGGGACATCCTGGCTGTCGGAAAGACCAAACATGTCCTGGAACTCCACGGAGGCATGTGAGGTGGCGTGGGGCGGCGTGGCCAATTCGGCATCGGCAGATGACAGAATGTCGGGGTCGTTGGTTGTGTGGTTGGTGGTTGTGGTGTGGTTGGTGGTGGTGTGGTTGGTGGTGGTGTGGTTGGTGGTGGTGTGGTTGGTGGTGGTGTCGCTGCATTCCATGCTGCTGTTGGTGGTGCTGGGGGCCGGACCTGCCTGCATCGCCGACGCCAATGCGCTGAGCTGGTCCTGCAGCGCACGGACCTGGCTGGACATGGCGCTCAGCTGGTCGTGCAGCTGCGAGTTCTGGTCCTCGAGGAGCTTGACCCGCTTGCAGACGGCCCTGTTCTCCTCGACAAGCAGCGAGTTCTGCGACTCGAGATCCTCGACGTGCTTGCGCTTCTTCTCGCGCGAGTTGTGGGCCGAGATGCGGTTGCGCTCCATGCGAGCCTTGAGGATCTCGGAGCGATCGACGGCGGAGCGGGAGCGGCTGGCCAGAACCGGGTTGGTGGGCGGATTCGTTGGTGGGTTCGCAGCTGGACGAGAGGGGCCGTGAGCCGACAGGGCATTGAGCGGCAGGGCTGGAAGGAGGTCTTGGTGCGTCGGTGGGCACGAGACCGACTGAGTGTGTGGGCTGTCGGGAAGCTCGAGGTCGGCGCTTGGAGATGAGTTGGAGCTGGATCGAGACGGCGATGAGGCTGGCGAGGCTGGCGAGTCCGAGGCCGCTGCCGTCGATGGAGACGGCGAGAGCATTGGAGGATCAAAGAGCATGAAGTCGTGCGACGACAGGAGCGACTGGACCCACGGGCCAAAGCCCGGGTGCGCTGACGGGTCGGCAGTGCCAGTTGGCGTTGGTGTTGGTGTTGGCGGCATCGCGGATGGATGACTCTGCTGTTGCGCTGGCGGTTTCGCACAGCAGCGGAAGTGTATGGGCGTGATCTAGCGTTCTGGTGAGTATATCGGGGCTCTGGATGATGCCCTCGTTGCTGCCCTCGTTGCTGGTCTCGCTGGTGAGGCAGCTCGTTGAAGCGGTGCGCTGTCGCTGCTGCCGAGATCAGGGTGAAGTCGGCACCAGAAACAGCGGAGAGCGGCCGTATTTCAGATGGGGAAGGACGTGCGCAGCTCCAACTGGAGGCCGGCGATTGGCTGGCGGATGCGCAGCACAATGCCAAGCCCTCGCTCGGCGGCGTCTCGGCGACACCTCGCTGGGCTGCGCCTCTCTCGGCTGCGCGGATGGTGGCGGGTCGTTGCAGCCACACTCGAATCACTTCGAATTGCTTCGATGCTCAACCAACAACAGCCGCAATGATATTCATACAGAATGATGGCAGTAACATTTGCACAAAATACAAGAACAATCCAATGGCAGTCCTACGGCAATCTCAACGGCAGTCCCGATGGCAGTTCCAACGGCAATCCCAATGGAAATTGCACTTTCAGCACCATCATCGGCGCTGCTCAGTCCCAGTCCGGGTCCCACCCGTGCCCCGCCACCGCCATGCCCCGCGACCGCCACCATGGACTTCCATAGGACACCACAAGCTCATCTCCGGCCCGCACCGGTTCGCCAAGCACCCAGCAGCCCATCCGCAGGTTGCCCGAGGCAGTGTCGCGATAGGCGTCGAAACATACATTGGGCCGGCACGCGATCCCGCGAAAGTCGTTGATGAATCGGGCCTCGTTGCCGGCGTCCTTGGCGTCGATCGAGTACATTCCAAACAGATGCAGATCGTAGTCCGAGTGTGGTCGGGCTGCTGCACCGCCGTCGTTGTCGCTGTCGTCGTCTTCCTCGACGTAGAGTTCTCCGACATAGTCCATCACGAAGCTGTGTGGCGGCAGATCGTGGGCCGCAAACAGTCCATATCCGTTCTGCGCATGGATTGGATGGCCAGCGTCGTCGATCTTGCGGATCTCGACTCTGGGATGGGGCCCATCCATGTCCTCGCCGGCGTACTTGATGAGCTCGCCTTCTTCTTTGGCATCGAATCCGGGCGGATCACTTTGGCCGTCGACAGATGCTGAGTAGCAGAATGGCCAGCCGGTCTTGAGGAACCCGGGGACGCTTGGGCTCCAACGCGAGCGGGCGATGAACTGGGCCCCGGCGGGCCATCCTCTGGGCACGGTGAGTCCATCAGCCGGCCCGCCTCGGCGCCGATTGCCGAAGGAAGCCATGTCGGTCTTGGCGTGTCGCTGCGATCGCAAGTGTCTGATTGCTGTCGGCGCTGCGTTTGTGCCGGGGGCGGCGATCGGAGCAGATGTCCGGTTGTGGGCCTTCCAGCCGAGAGCGGGGCTTGGCGGGTGGCGACGCGGCGGATGTGCTCCGAGTATTTGAAGCCATCGGGCCGAACATTCTCCAGACTTCATCGCCATCTCGATCTCGTCCCCTGCACCACATCGCCATCTCGATCTCCAAACACCGCTGCGACCCGCTCTCCAAGCCTCGGCCAACCACCATGAATCCATCGCCCGAATATCCCGTCAGCGACTCGCCCGACCCCTCGTCCATCACCGAAGAGGCCTCGACCAGCGCTTCCCCGAACGGCAAGCAGCTTAGCCGCGCTGCCCTGCGGATGGTCATGATCAACATCATCGCACCGATTGTCATCTATGCCGTCGCTGTCCTGTACCTCTCCGTTATCGTTTCGCTCATTCTCTCGGGCCTGCCTCCGCTGCTCGAGTCGCTCTACCACGTCATCCGGGAGCGCCAGATTGATCTGATCGCCGTCAACATGGTCCTCTCCATTGTCATCTCGGTCGTCGTTGTCGTCGTAACCTCGGACCCACGCCTGCTTCTCGTCAAGGACTCGATCAACACCGTCCTGCTGGGCATCCTCTTTGGCGCCTCCGTCTTGTTCAAGCAGAACCTGATCTGGCGCTACAACGTCCAGTGGAACAGCCACAACCCCAAGGAGCTCGAGCGGCTCAATACAATCTGGGAGACCAAGCCTGCTGTCCGCAGGGTCACCAACATCATGTCGCTGGTGTACGGCGTCAGCTTCTGCATCGAAGCCGGCATCCGCGTCGTCTTGATCTATACGATCCCGCTGAACATCATGGTCTATGTCTCCCCACTGTTGTTGCTCCTGTGCTTTGCCCTGGTCGGCCTTTGGTCGTACTTTTTCGTTCGCTGGGCTCGCGCAAAGAACCAGTCGCAGTCGGCCGAGGCTCAGCCCCTGGATCCCGGATTGAAGTGAGCTGCTCGCATCACTTCACAGCCAGGACGAGGTTTCGCGGCTGGATCCAAAAGGGTTTCCCTCCTCCGGTCCGATGTCTCATCCGATCCCCGGATTTTGGTTCTTGCTCCCCCGGTTCTTGCGACACCCCTCCGCCTCCAGAGCTCCAATGCACTGTTCATCACGCCGCAGTCCCATCATACCTTCTCCCTCCCACTACAGCTTTCGCGCTTGCTTCATTAGTGGCCTACCCATGCTCTTACCGCTGAGTTAGAGAGATGAGACACTACTCGCCTACACGAATATCCGCTCACATCTTGTCCTTGTCGATTTTGGAATCGGGGCTGGACTTTGGTGGCTTGCAATATAGTTTCTGAACTGAACCAGGTGCTGGGGTGCTCGGATGGTGTGATGGGAGCTCCCGGCCATGTTCCCTGTGGGTACGATCCTCTGGGAAGCTCCTTCTGGTACGAATCGTGGACTCTGGGACTTTGACGGTGCAGAGGCATGCACACCAAGTTCGCGAGTGAGACGGCATTCGCATCGCAAGGTGTTCTGCGTTGCAGATCTGAGTCCATCCGAGGCAGAGTGCACGAGCCATCCCCAGGACTCGAGCAGCGAACTCACTCGTCCGTATCCCATCGGCCAGCTGGTCCGGCCTCGGCACTCTCGGGTCCTCGTGCAATCCCACGAGCTCTTCATGGGCCCACCAGCACAAGGCAGGCTATGAACGAAGTATCTCACCAGACCTCCCCATCTTGCCTCTTGCCCACAGCTGCCATCGACGCCCTTTCGCCTTTTTTGCTCCTTTCGCCGCCGAGACTGCCGTCAACCACAACAGCAAACCGTCTGGTCCACATTGAACTGAGCCTCTCAGCTGCACTTGACCTGTCCGGTCTGCCCTCACCTCAAGAGACAGCACATCTTGGGCGCTCACCTCGTCCTTGTATCTGTCCCTCGTGAAAGCCAGATGGCCCCATAGCACCGGCGGCGCTCTGTACTCTGTTTTCAGCGACCGGACAGGAAGTGAGCTCCTCACAACCATTCGCTCGCCCCGGATGACAGAGGCATGACGCTGACAACCGCTTCCCGTCACCATGTGGTCATGGATTGTTTGTGACCGCAACTTGTGGGTGGTAATCTGTCGCAGACATGCGCTGTGTGGACTGGTGTTCGTCGTGAGCAGGCCCACTCCAGCTCTGGAGCATGAGAACGGACGGAGGCGTGCGGAGAAGGAGAAACTGGGCTGTGCTGTCGCCAGGAGGCGGCGAGGACAGAGCGAAATTGTCTTGACGACGTCGCTGGCAGTACTTCCGTCAGCGAAAATGGATGAGCGTGCTCGAGGACGACCTCGGGGATATATAAATGGGGTGTTGGGTCGACCCTCCAGCCAAGAGTCACATCCAGGCGAGCAGTCTCCCAGACAACAACAGCCAACCTCGACCCACTGCTCTCATCCACTCTCCACTTCAATCCCCGTGCCATGAGAATCTTTGCCAAGGTCTTTGCCTTCCTCCTTTCGGCTGGCTTCGTCTTCGGTGCCCCGATGGGAGCCAGCTCTGGCGGTATCCTCGACCTCATCCTGGACAACACCCTCGGCCCTCTGATTGCCCCCATCACGGGTCTGGAGTGTGGCATCCAGGCCATCACGGCGGTTGCCACTGTCTGCGAGGTGAGCAATCAAGCGCGCCTCGGATTCATTCGTTAGATCACCAGGGCCCAGCTTGCTAACTCGCCTCCTGTCCTGTCCCACGGCCCACCATCTACTCTGATTTGGTCCAATCTATAGCAATGCAAGTTCAACCCCTTCGACGTTGCTGGTGTGATCATCCAGGTCGTCACCACCCTGGACTTTTCCGAAGACAGCATCAAGAGCATTGAAGGCAAGATCAACAAGATCATCCTCGGCTTCACCAACGAGCTGTGTGCTGACCCCAACTGCTACAAGACTCTCGAGGCCCAAGCCCTCGCTGTCTATGACAAGGTAATAACCTCGCCCCCCCCCCATGAATCCGAAGGGCTCGAGATCATGACCTGAGAAGGCGCTTGGCTCAAGAAGTACTTGAACAGGGTCGCATGCTATCTGGCTCTGCTGATTCAGCCTTGCATGGCGGCTTCAGTCGGACCAGGATGCTCTCGTGCAATCCTTCATTCAATACTGACTCTGTCTTTGTGCTGAAACGACTACCATAAACCTCCAGTGCTCCAAGCTGGTCGAGGAGTTTGTCCCCGAGATTGTCGGTATCGATGACGCTGTCTTCAAGTCCCTCCTGCCCACTCTCTTGCTGCCCGATCACAACCCCCTCTGCATCAAGGATCCCTCCACCAACTGCTATTGCGGCATCGAAATCCTCGAGAACTTTGAAAAGGTCATGCTGCCTTCCTACTGGCAGGGCACCTTTGACCCCAACCAGCTCTCGATCTGCTCTAGGTGGGTGTCGAGACTCGATTTAGTGGTTCTGCGCCCCCTACTGTTGCTGGTGGTGGTTTTGATTTGCGAAGAGTGTGCAGGCTGAGCGACGAATCATCTTGTTGACACTTGCCTGTACCATCCAACTCCTCCAGCTGCTTCGACTCTGCCATCCTCTCGCTCGGCAACAGCACCCTCACCCAAAACTTCAACAACAAGTGCCCCAACGTCGTCCCCATCCCTATCTAAGCGGCAGAGCGTCCTCGTATCCTTCAATGTCTATCTGGATCTATATCGCTCGACCATCGACTCCCTCCATAGATATGGCCCGTCTCCAACCTTCCCGAATTTCTATGTGAACCCACCCCACTCGTCGTGTTGCAAAACCAAAGAACAGCCCGCTATGACTTTGTACGTGCCCTATGATTGAATCTAAAATGAATATACATCGTTCTCGAAGTGAAATCAGCAGGCCCTATTTGAACCACCCTCTCTGGATGGATGGATGGATGGATCAATGAATGGATGGATGGGATTCACACATCCATAATCCATAATCCATAATCCATAATCCATAATCCATAATCCATAATCCATAATCCATAATCCATAATCCATAATCCATAACCGCCCTCCATCATATCCTCGTTTTCTGCGGCAGCCACATGTCCCAAGACACGTTTCTGGTGATTCCTTGTGCCCCAATCCGATTTGGCGACCAGCGGCGTGGCACAGACCGGCCGCACGTCCTCCCTTGGCTTGCCCTGGCTGCTCGCGGACCACGTTCGCAATCAGGAGCCGGTGTGCAATCAACCATGCGGGCGGCGGCCGAGGGCATGCAGGGTCCAGAAACGACCAATCGTTTCCGAAAGCAGCGTCCGCTTGCGTTTTTGGATTGAATGCCCCTCAAAACCAAGGCCGCCCTCCTCGCTTCGTTCTGCGAACATTCCGTTTTCTCCGCGCTCTTGGCCTCTTGCTGAACTCCGTCGAACCACCCACCATCGCTCCCAAACCCTCCGGACCCGCGTCGTCCCAGCAATCCACCATGAGTACCGCATCGAACCAGCAGGCGGCCCTGTTTGGCAGCTCCAGCGCCGACAACGATCCCGAGAATCGCCAAAAGATGCGACGGGCCATCATCCAGCTCGTCGGCATCAACATCATCGCCCCCGTCGTCATCAACTTGGTCGTCATGCGCTTTGCTCCACCCATCGTGTCCATGGCGCTCTCGGGTGTGCCTTCGCTCCTGGCGGCGCTATACCGCATTGTGATCCACCGGCAGCTGGATATTATCGCTGCTTTTGTGGTCGTATCCATCGCCATCTCGATCACCGTCGTTGCGCTCAACACCGACCCGCGCTGGCTCCTCCTGAAGGACTCGATCGAGCACTTTGTCCTTGGCCTCGTCTTCATCGTCTCGATTTGGTTCAAGCAAAACCTGCTCTGGCGCTATAACGTTCAATGGCGCGGCACCGACCCGGCTGCACTCGAGCGGCTCAAGACCATGTGGGAGACCCGTCCGGCCATCCGCAAGGTCACGAACGTCATGTCGCTGGTCTATGGCATCGGGTTCTGCGTCGAGGCCGCCATCCGAGTCGGGCTCATCTTTGTTCTCCCCACAAACGTCATGTCGATTGTTTCGCCTCTCCTTGGACTGGGCTTTTTGATCCTGGCCGCTGTCTGGACCCGTCACTTCATTCGCCGGCTGAGGGAAAAGTACCACAACGGACAATTGGCTGCTCCAACCCAGGCCCAGCCCGTCGCTGCCGCTGCGGCTGTCGTTGTTCCAAGCCAGCAGCAGCCCCCAGCCGCCGGCGTTGAGGTAGCCCCGTCCCAAGGAGCTTGAGCACTCGACAAGCGGTCGCCGAGAAGCGAACTGGCTGGCAAGCCGGTGGCCCGGTGGAAATAGACCTCGATACTCTCATCATTTTGCGCCGTATGCCTGGATCTGTACCCAGCAAGGTCGATCCCAGCTATGAGCCGGGCGACTCAGACCCGCCAGTCCGAGAGAAAGTGCACAGATCTCGCTCTTCCACACCGCATCGCCGCTGGGATTGTGGCATCGCAGTGCGTCTCCAGAACCCGGAAAGGTGCCACGCAGGACCCCATGGCCAGGGTGTCTGCTTCGTTTTGGCCGTTTCATTGTCCAGGCGCCGACCTGCCAGCCAGTCCCTGCCCGGCCCCTCGATCATTCCATTGCTCCATCTCGTGGCTGCCGATCCGTTCTATCGGCCGATCTGCTCTGCCCCTGCGAGTCTGACACTGCAGCCATCTCTCTTCCCGGCACCATCCATTGGCTTTGGCGACCGCTTGTCGAGTCCACCGCGCACGATTCACTGCCATGGAGACTCTATCTGCTCTGCTCGGCCCGATCTACTCGGCTCCGCTCTGGCCCGACTTTTTCAGCTCGATCGGCCTCCCTCGGCTCGCATACCATTTCACCACGCTGCTCACAAGCGCCATCTGCTGCCATGCCATCTTCCTGGTGTCGTTTCCGATCTCCCGGACCTTCTTTGCTTCCTATCGCGCTTTGAGGGGATACTCGGTCATCAACTGGCCGATCCACTGCGTCTCGATGGCCTTTTCGACCACCATCCTGATGCTGGCGGCGCCGATGCTCCTGGACCAGGAGCTCCGCCATGATCGAGTCTTTGGCAACAACTCCTATTCGGGAACAGTCCTGGCGATAGCCTGCGGGTACAGCTCCGTCTCTGTTCTCCTCGGACATCCTCGCCGCTGCTTGGTCGCTCTTGGCTGAAGAATGCCGTGCAATTGGTCGACCGAAGTGATCAAGCTGGCGATGAATTAACAGGCCCACGGCTCCCTGCCCTTCCCTCTGGCAGATACTTTCTCTGGGACTCGCTCATCGTGCTGTCGTACGTCCACGAGGCCGGCGTCGGCTTTGTCATCCACGGCTTTTCCTGCCTTCTCACCTACGTGACGTCCTTTGTAAGTCCAGGACCATTTGCCAGCCCAGACGATCGGTTTGCTGATGCTGATGCTGATGCTGATGCTGATGCTGATGCTGATGCTGATGCTGATGCTGATGCTGATGCTGATGCTGATGCTGATGCTGATGCTGATCAAATCGCACGCTGGGGCTGTTGCTGGCATCGGGCGGATGGATGCGAGCAAGAGCCAAGATCGCGTCCGAATCCACCAAGACGCAACTGGGAGGCTCTCACCGGTGCGGGGAAGGGAGCTGTGCGCGCTGACCGATCTGTTCTCTGGTTTGCAGAGACCCGTTTTGAATTTTTACGGTGCCGTCTTTCTGATGTTTGAACTGAGGTACAATCTCTGAAGCCGGGGAGAGGCGCCTGTGCAAGCTGTGGTTGCAAATGCACCATCGGGGGCCCATGGTTCTGGCTTGATGGCAGGATTGGCAGTCAAGATCGACAGAGCGCAAGACCTCGCCATGTCTTCTGGTCAACCGATCCGCTGCTATGCTGTCCGGACGATCATCATCTGACCTCATCTGGCCTCATCTGGCCTCGCCTTGTCCCTCCTCAGCACCCCGTTCCTGAATGTGCACTGGTTCTGCGACAAGATGAACCTCAGCGGAAGCCGCATCCAGTGGATCAACGGCATCGTTCTGCTGCTGACCTTCTTTGGCGGCCGCATCGTCTTTGGCCTCACCATGTCGTACTGTTTCTGGGGTAGGTCGTTCTTCAAGCTCAGCACCGATGCATGCATGTGGGAAACGTGTGGAGAGTACTCAATATCAAGCGGCGAGGCCGCTGGGCGGCATTTACTGCAACAAAGACGGTCCTCGGGGCCGGAGACATGGTGATGGTTGTGTATCAGGATGGGTATCAGGATGGGTATCAGGATGGGTATCAGGATGGGTATCAGGATGGGTATCAGGATGTGCGCTTCGCCCGTTGTCGCTCACAATCCCCTCGTGTTCCAATCGACCGCCGGGTCTGCATTATCCACGGGCCTGCGTCATCCACGGGCCAGTCGACATGCTCGCCGAGTGGGATCGCGTGCCCTTGGTTGTCTCGGGAATCTACTGCGTCTCCAACATTGTCCTCAACATCCTGAACATCTTCTGGTTCCACAAGATGATATCTGCTGTCCGCAAGCGGTTCATCGACGACAAGCCCCACAAGGAATAGAGGACCGGGCGCCATCAAACGCGAATGGGCAGCATACTGCCGCACAAATCGGCGGCCGTGATGATGCATGGATGATGGAGGGATGGGCATGGCTTGAGCGCGAGCGACATGAACCGAGGCGCTCTGTTTGGTTCGCTCGAGAGCCTTCTTCTGGATCGTCAATGAACAGAATGCGTTTCCAAGTATGTGCAAGAACACCACTTGTCTGCCGGGTTTACCTGTCCAGTGAGTGTGGCTGTGGCATCACAGCATCGAACAGCAACGAATGGCAGCTGTGTCCTGGAATCTCCACGGACAGCAAGCATCCGGAGGAGCTGCCACGCAATTCAGAGCGATATTCAGAGCGATTCAGGACAATTGAGGGCTTGGAACGACGATCCGATTGCCCGGCATGGCAATAAGCAAGCTCATATCCAGCGACTGGCCATCCGATCATATATTGGAACAAGACGTGGGGTGTCGCTCTTGCGGCGTACTAGAAGCCCCAAGAAGCACTGTTCCGTGCTTGCATGCACAAAACTGTGGCCAATAGTCAGCGTGGGATGGACAGGAAGAGTAGATAGTCCCGACGGATGGGAAGGTGAGGGAGGGAGAGATGTGACTGCCACTGGGAGCTCAGGCCAGCCCAGTTTAGGTCAGGTCAGGTCAGGTCAGGTCAGGTCAGGTCAGGTCAGGTCAGGTCAGGTCGGTTCCGTTCAGCCAGGGTCAGCAGCTTCGACGGAAGGTATGCAGTCCCAGAGAGCCAGCTGTGCCCGGCGTGATGGTGCCCCAGTTGGACGAGATGATGAAGGGTAGATACGGATGCCAGCTGACGTCGCGCGTGCAGATGTTTGGGTCGCTGGTGGGATCGAACGATGAGTACGGGTCGTGGTGGGGCTCATGCAGCCGCCGGAATCGCTTTGGTATCGCCGAGAACACATGCACCGGCTTCGAGGTGCTGGTATCATGAGAGTCAAAGATGTGGATTCTGCCGTTGGACGAGCCCGTGTAGATGAACCTGTGGTCGCCATCGTTGGTGCCGTCGAGTTGCAGGAAGAGGCAGTGGACCGAGAGGCACCAGAGCCGACAAATCACCGACATGCAAATCGGCAGTGCATCGAGCACACCAAACCATGCATGGGTTAGTTAGTGCAAGCGGCGTCCCACTTCGGCAGGCCATCAGAAAATGCGGTCTGGCGATACCGAGTCAACAAACGCGAGTGATATTCAGCCTGAGACTACTGCTTTAGAATGAGTGCGTCGGTCCTTCACGAGCCACGGAACAACAGACAACAGTGACTGACCTTTGTCCTGTGGTGTGAAGAGGCGAAAAGTAGCACCGAATCAAGGTGTGGAGGACACGGTGGCCCATGTATGTTGCAACGGAGCAATCCATGGGATGCTTGCGGCTTCCTGGAACAAAGCGGTATCCATGCCAGCGATAGTCAAACCCGGATCTGATGGAAGGGATAGTACACGAAGTAAAATGATGGTGTCATTGAAGTGTGAGCATGCCCCCCTCCCCCCGGAAATCGACAGACATGGTCTGCGGCGACCGTCAGTCGGGGCGACTCGAATTGGTCGTATTGCTTGCCGCAGGCGATCTTACCTGGTTTCGATCTTGCAAGCTCTCACTGCAGATTCGCCTGTGTGCATTTTCCTGGAGAAGCCGTCGACAACATAGTGTTAGCTGGCGATTGGGAAATGGCGCATACCATCAGCCTATTGCTGCATTCTTCCGTTCTGGGTCGAAGACGATGGCGACTTTCAAGCAGATATACCGAATGTCCCACAGTCGGAGGGTCTAACGAGCCAATAGGCGATCGGTTAGCCGAAATCCGGATCGCAGTTGCTGAGGGGAGGGGGGATTGTGCATACGAACACCAGCCAAGACGCTCGAGACGACAGAGTGAACGTACTTGGTCCTTGCCGTTGGAGATGCAGTTACGGCCATCATTTTTGGAGGAAACGAAGGTGATGCCTTCAGAGTGTCCAGACAGAACACCACATGTATCCGACGAGAACATGCGACGGTCCCTGCACGTAGGCCAGCGGCGGGGGGGGGAGCAGTTATAGACCGGTGAAGCCAGGCCCAGCGCCACTGTGGTAAACTGGCGTCGACAGATTTAAGCATGCTGCATGAAAGGGACCTACCAAACTTTGACAAAGGTGTCGTCCGAGCCGGAGAAGATGACATTCGGCGCCGTCGCATCTGCGAAGCAAACTGGGGTGGTGGCGGCGGTGTTGCCGGAGCACGTGAGCTGTCGCAACATAACCCAGCAGAGCTTTGGCGTTATGGGCATCCGGGCCCGTGCCTCTTTACAGAAACATACCCGAATTGATATCCGAACTGTGTGCCATGTACTCGTTGACCTTCCTCTGGGACTGGAGATCGTAAACTGTTCCATGCCGATGTGCGCCGATTTTGGACAAGCATTGAGTATCCGCCTCGCCGCCTGAGCTACATCAATCGCTGGAGCGGATGCGTGCATGAGCCGAGGAGTCAACTCACCGATGATGGTGCCGGAGTTGGTGCCCACGACAATCTCTCGGCTGTCGTGCGAGAAGCGAACGGACCAGATCTATTGAACCACAGGATCGAAAAGGAAGTCAGCCAGACGACCGCAGTTCCAAGCCCAGCCCAGCACAGTCCAGCCACGATACCGATCCATTCGAGAGCACCGGCTGGGGGGCTGGGAATCCGCTGCGAGTCGAGCGGAGATGGGTTGTCTTGGGACTGCGCCGCATCGACTGGTGGAGAACACAAGACTCACACCCAGCCCAAAGTCTTCGCTGAGCTTGATTGGAATGCTCTGCTGTTCGGATCCGTCGACATGAGCCAGATAGATGACTGGGGTGATGGAGGAGTGCGCCAGAAACCGGTTGTCGGTGGTCATGGCGCAGTCTGGAAAGCGAGCACAGTTTCAGCGGAGCGGAAGGAGAGCATGTTTTGGCTTGGCCGTGTCACGAGTCGATGAGCCCCTAGTTCATGAAGGCGTACCAGTGATGGTCCAGCGAAATTGACCGCCGCGAATTGCCTTGTGTTTGGTAAAGCCCATGTTGCCATCCACTTTGTAGATATGAACCATGTTGTTGTGGGTGGCAGAGTAGAACAGCGAGCCGTCATCTGGAATGGAGAGGTGGCGCGAGGAAGGATCAGGAACACGGACGACAGGCAAGTTTGCCGATGCGGCAAGGGCAGAGTCGATGGCGATGCTGGGGCGAGTCCAAGAGCCGACGGTGCCCAGCGATGCAGGCCTAGGCCGATCAAGGCAGACAGGCGTGTGGGGCGTAATCCATGCACGCGCACGACGCTGCCAGGATTTCAAATGCAACAAGCCCGGCGGAAAAAGGGGGAGGCCAGCCGCCGGAATTGCAGAGATGCCGTACCGGAAAACTGCCCAGAGTAGACTCGGGAGCTGGACTCTTGGAGCGGACCGAGCGAGCTGGTGGGAATCAGTCTCTGTGCAGACAGCAGTTGCGGCGGTTGGTACGGGGAGGAGCAAAGGTCAGGAAAGTCCACCGAGGCAAGAATAAAGCAGCCGGTGCATGGGCAGCGGAACGGCTTTTGAGCCACGAACCTGCCCGATGGCGCTCGTCCTTGCGACGCCCAGGAGCTCACGCTGCTTGAGCAGCGACGTGAGCGAGAGCGACAGCGACTCGGAGAGGTCCAGAGTGAGAGGCCGCAGAGGGGCATCGTTGGCACGGCTGTGGTTGAGAGTGTCTTCTTCGGGCGGCTCGCCGGACAGCGGGGCGGACTGGATGCCGAGCCGCAGTCTCAGCTCGTAGAGCGCCTCCATGGTCGTCAGCCCATCCTCGACTTCGGATCCATCATCATCATCATCGTCATCGTCGCTGTCGTCGTCGTCGTCATCATCATCATATTCGCCGTCGTCGTCGTCGTCGTCGTCGTCGTCGTCGTCGTTGTCGTCGCCATCGTTGTCATCGCCATCACCATCGTTGTCGACATAAATGTCAATATACTCGATCTCGCCGACGCCATCCTCATCGAGCTCTTCTTCGTCAATGCCGTCTACGTCAATATCATCGTCGTCAACATCATCCTCGTCGATGTCCTCAACCCCATCGAACCAGTCGCCATCGTCGTCGTCATCGCTGTCGTGGGCTGGCTCGGCGCGCTCGTCGATGTGTCTGGAGTGGGCAGGAGATGATGCCGTGCTGGCCTCGCCGTTATCTGGATCGGCATCTTCACTGCCCGCATCGCTGGAGCTTCTGTTGTAGAGGACAGCTATTGGTCTGCGTTGGCTATGGGCGAGGGCTTGGGCATGGTGGCTGAGCGCCGTTAGCTGCTGCTGCTCGTCGGCGTGGAGGGACTCGGACTGAGGAGCCTGGATCTGCGCGCTCCTGAACCCAGTCGCCGCGGAATGGCCAGATCCGCTCGATCTGCAAGGGGCGATGGGCGGATCGCTGGTGGAGCCCTCTGACAGTGGGTCTTGCAGCGCATGGCCCGCGGACTCGTTGGGCGGCGTGCGGTGGTCCTTGGACATGGCGGTTGCGATGAGGGTGCCCTGTGGCAAGGCGAGCTGTGCAGCCCAGAGCGGAGGAAAGCCGGCGGGGCGGCACATGAGAGCGGCGGCTCGATCCGCACTGGAGCCGCACTGGACTCGCCCTGGATCCGCCCTGGATTGGAGAGCTGCTGCGCACGGGCCAGTGGGCCCAATGCGCGGTTGCTGTGCGCAAAAGGCGGCGCGGGACGCGATTGGGCGGGCACCGACAACGCCCTTTGCGAGCGACGGCGGCTTTCTTTTGGGCGAGGGCACGGCCGCAATGTCCTTTTGAAGAAGGCATGGGGGCCTTGCCTGCATGGGCCGTCCCGGTGTGCGACCATGGCCTCGTCGGCCTCGGATGTGATTGGGATTGCGTCGCTGCGCTGGCCGTCCCGGCCGGATCCGGTGTCTCTCGATCCCGATGCTGCGGGGGAGGGGAATCGCCGTTGTGGTCGTCCGTGTTGCCTTTAAAGGTCGGTGCATCTCGCACCGGCGACCGACGCTTGCCAGAAAACCAACCCTCCCGCACCAGCGACCGACACTTGCCAGAAAACCAACCCTCCCGCACCAGCGACCGACACTTGCCAGAAAACCAACCCTCCCGCACCAGCGACCGACACTTGCCAGAAACCCAAGCATCTCGCATCGCAAACCAACCCTCGTCTCGCTCCTCCCCGGTCGCTGGATCCTCACCCCGTCCGAGCCCCCTGCCAGCCTTCTCTGGACACAAACGCAAGCCCAGCCGCTCGTCTCCTTCTCCCGCAAGCCCCCGGCTCCCTCAACTTTCACCAACAGCATCTGGCCGTCTGCTCCCTACCGCTATGAGCTGGAGACTCGTTTCGTTCCTGCGTCCCCGCATGGTGTCCGGCCCCTCGCAGTGGCTCCTGCACTCTGCGCGGCCGCTCGCCCGCATCGGCACCACATCGCTCTCCCGAATGTCGTTCGTAACCAGCACCGGCGCTGCTGTCGGTGCCGGCGCTGTTTCCTCGTCAGCCACCCAGCCAAGCACCAGCGCCGTATCCCCATCGGGAGAGGAGGCCGAGGTCGTTCAGCACGCTGTCGTCAGTACCTTTGATCTGTTTTCGATTGGCATCGGGCCGTCGTCCTCACACACCGGTAAGCACAGGGGAGGCAGTGCCGCTGCACCGAGCAGGCGGCATCGCAGCGCTGTGTTCCAAGCGGATATGTTGTGTCAAGATCATCTGGCAATGTCCGTTGCTCGCCATATTGACCTCTCAGCCACTGTCGTTTCCGTTCAATATTTCGCAAACCATTCGATACCCAGTCGGTCCAATGAGAGCCGCCAAGATGTTTGTCGACGATCTGTCGCACTGCAGTGAGTATCGCATACGAGCCCCAGGATGCATCGCTCGGCCGATTGTCCAGACCGACGGGCGGCATCCTGATCCGGGGCTGCTCTCTTGGTGATCCAGATGCCCTGGAAACCGTCACCAAGATCAGAGTGGATCTGTACGGATCGCTGGCGCTCACCGGGGTTGGCCATGGAACCCCGCTGGCTATCTTGGTAAGCCTCGAGTGCCGACGTCTTCCACGATATGCACAGCTGGTTTTGTTGCGCCATGGTTTCTGACTCTGCGGAACCGCTCTGGGACAACTAGATGGGCTTGGAGGGCGAATCGCCGGACATGGTCGACGCCAAGTCCATCACTCGTCGGGTCAAGAACATCTACAACAAAAACACCCTGCACCTTGGCGGAACCCACCGGGTCGCCTTCCACCCGCACCAAGAGCTCGTGTTCCGTATGTGATCGATCGCCCGACAGCACTTTCATGAGTCCGAGGAAGGAAAGGAGCGTTTGTCCACCGGGCAAAGCTCACAACCAGCGAGCCACGATATCATTGCAGAGGGAAAGCAGATCTGCCGTCCAGCCGTTCTGGCAACCTGACTGTCATTCTCGCTGGATATGCACAGATTATCGTGAATCGCTGCCCCAGCATCCGAACGGCATGCGCTTCACGGCCTTTGACAAGAACGGCGACATGGTAGGGCCAAGTCGTGTGGGATTCGGGTGGCGGTTTTGCCTTGAATCCGAGTGCTGAGCTGCTGTAGCACGTATGCAGGCATTCCGAGTCTGTTGCTCCTTCATCCTGTTGACTGTGCTGATTGCGCCGATCCGATTCGGATAGGTTGCCACGAACGAGTTCTTCTCGATCGGTGGAGGCTTTGTCGTCAACGAGCGCACAAAGATTGCCGCCAACTTCTTCTACAAGGACATGAACGGCGAGGAGCACTACGCCGAAACATCGGGATCCGAGAACTCGTCGGTGCTGAGCCGAGTCCAGTCCAAGCACGTCGTCGCTGCCTTGCCCTTCCACAATGCCGAGAGCCTGCTCAAGATTTGCGAGGCTCAGAATCTCACCATCGCCCAAGTGGTCTACAAGAACGAACTCCAGGTGAGCACGATGAGACGGAGAGAGGGATGCATACGATCCGGGGGGGAGGCGGAATGTGGAGCCACACAGATTATCCTCAGTGTGCTCGGCACTGCAAGCTGGAGTGCTGACGAGACCTGCGTGTCGATCAGTGGCGCTCGTCCGAAGAAATCCAGAAGCAGACCCTGGAGATCTGGAACGTCATGAACCAGAGCATCAACAACGGTATTCTTGCTCCGGAAGAGACCCTGCCCAACCAACTCAATGTCCGCAGACGAGCTCCTGCGCTCCATCAGAAGCTCATGCGAGGGTGAGTAGTGCGAGCCTCCTCTGCCGCTCGACATTAGCGACCCGCAGAGAGCAGTTCGTAATTTGGACGTGATGGCGAGATGCAGCCCTTATTCGTGCGCTTTACCAACTCTGTTTGATCGCGTTGCTGCAGCTTTGCCGAGTATGTCGGCGTCAACAGTTCGGCCGTTCCCACCGGCAACGGCACACTTGGCTCCGCGGCTGTCGAAAACATCAGCAACCAAGTTCGCCCACGAGGACAAAACACCTTCAAGAGAAGCCTGCCGGCACTCGATTGGATCTCGCTTTACGCCATTGCTGTGAATGAAGGTTTGTGCACAATGCCGAACAGGGTCGCTGACCTCATGGACTCGGGCGTTTTGCGTGATGGCGCAGTCACTTGAATGGAGTTTTACTGACGAGAGACCTCAATTGCCGACTGACTGTCTTGCTCTGCCAACTTGCTTGATTTACTTGGCGCGACCAACTTGCCTGGTTTACTTGGCTCAACCAACCTGCTCAACCAACCTGCTCAACCAACCTGCTCAACCAACCTGCTCAACCAACCTGCTCGGTCACTTGACTCGATCGTCGATCAGAAAACGCTGCTGGCGGTGCGTATTTGTGCCTCGCTGGTGGCTTGCGAGCTCGTTACAGCCTTGGCGACTCCAGCCTCGCCGATGCATTGGAGGCAGCCCTGCATTTCATGCGTTCTCAGTCACTCACCTGCCATGATCTCTGCGATTGTCTCTGGCAGGACGAGTTGTCACCGCCCCCACCAACGGAGCCGCAGGCACCATTCCGGCGGTGCTCAAATACTACCTCGAGTTCATCTGCCCATCTCCTGCCCAGGCCGAGAAGGACATTATTGAGTTTCTCCTGACGGCTGCGGCGATCGGTATGCTCTATAAGCGCGGAGCCTCCATCTCGGCCGCGGAGATGGGATGCCAAGGAGAAGTTGGCGTTGCATGCTCGATGGCTGCCGCCGCCTTCACAGCCGTGATGGGTGGAACTGCACAGCAGGTCGAGAACGCGGCTGAAATCGGCATGGAGGTATGGGCAAAGCTGGCTGAAACGTCACGAACGACGGGTGGAGTCTGCGCCAGCGTCGTTTGAGAGAGGGCGGAGGCAAGTCTGGGGTTACAATGGGCAGCCGAGTCTCAGACAAGCGAGGTCGTGAGGCGAGCATGACAGGGCACCATCTTGTCGCAACCGGCCAGAGCCAGATATCTCGCGGTGTTGTGTTGTAGTGCCCGACACATGGGAAGCGCTGGACTAACGACGATCTCGTTCAACACGCCAGCACAACCTCGGTCTCACCTGCGACCCGCCCCAGGGACTCGTCGTCATTCCCTGCATTGAGCGCAACGCACTCGCCGCTGTCAAGGCTGTCACTGCCGCGCAGCTGGCGCTCAACGGCGACGGCCACCACCGAGTCACTCTCGACCAAGTTATCGCAACGATGCGGGAAACCGGACACGACATGATGAGCAAGTACAAGGAGACCAGTGAAGGTGGTCTTGCGGTAAGCCGACTTTGAGCTGCAGCCGTGGTCGACACCGTCACGGTGACGATACTTCTTCTAGCACCCAATGGCGCCGAACTTGGAGGAGGATCCTGCATTCAATTGCAGCATGAGGCGATAGACTGCCTCCGCTGCTTGCTGGGACTGCGCTAACGATGGACGGTGGCGTTGCAGGTCAATGTGCCCGTATGCTGAGGGCCGCAAGCAGACACCGCGGCAAGGATCGCCGCATGACCTCGTATCCCAACGACTGGGCCGTGCTTCATCTCGAGTACGTTCAAAGAGCCTCGATAGCAAGCCGGTGTGGGGCCGCCGGTCTTGCATTGGTACAGGAGCCTTGAGGCGACCACAACCGACAAGGAAGGCGCAGAGCATGCCATGTCGACGGCGACGGGCGACACCAACGACATCCACAGAGACAGGAGGCCCTGAGGCTGAATAAATGGCGCGTCTATATATGCTGGCTCCGTTGCGTTGGACAGGGACTGTTGGCAGATGGATGTGCTGGTCCAATTCCATCGCAGTCGCCGTGGCTTCGATGGTGCGAGCGGAGATGGCGGATCGGAATGCTGTGTCGGAGATGGAATCTGGCTCGATCCAGGCTGCCACGTGCTTTGCATGTGACTGCGCCGCATGGGCCTGCCGGAACGGGACTGCGCGGATGCGGCGTGGGTGTCTGGGGAACCAGCCCCTTGCTGGGCGGAGCACGCGCTGGGCGGCGTGCTGCACAGCGCGGCACTGGGACTGTGTGGCGGGGTGCTGTCTGTGCTGCGTGGCGGCACAAGCCACACAGCCGCGTGCGCAGCGGGGGGCGGGTCCCGTGGCGGGCATTGTTTGTGTTCTGTGTCTGTTGCCATCGACCCCGGCTGTGTCACCGCGGTCTCGCTCGCGCCTCTCGCCTGTCTCTCGCCCGCTCTCGCCCGCCTCTCGCCCCTCGCCTGCTTTTCTTCTCATTTGAAATCGCCTTTGCCGTCCGCCCGTCTGGCCCCGCCGTCCTTCTCTCCATCGCCGCTGCCCTCTCTTTTTGCCTCTGCTCGGCCTCGGACTGCTTTCCACCCCCGTCTCCATCTCTATCTCCATCACTTACCGATTCTCCTTTCCTCAATCTCCACGATCTCTCCACAATCTCTCCACACGCTGCCACAGCGCCCATCGCCCATCGCCAGGAATATAACAAGCTCGCAAGAGGAACTCGCTCGTCGCTCTTCGGTTTTGTTCACTTCCTCTCCCTACCGCGAATAAAAAAAAAACGCCGCTCAAGCGCTATTCACTGGTTCTCCGTCTTGCTGTGAAGTCGGTATCCAAACGAGCTGCTGGTCTTTGGTTTTGGAAAGGCGTTGTCGGTGTGGACGTATCGTTGGCTTCCACAATCACTCCTTCAAGGGCACCGCTCTCTCTCTCCTCGGCAACCCTGCCATCTGCTCTTCTGGCCCCCCCCCCATCTTTGAACGACTTCAAGCCTCCATTTCCATCGCCCTTTTGCCTGGGTCTGCCATTTTCACCCCGCCTCCTCTGTCTGCTTGTCGGCTCGTGCTGATCAGGTTTTCTATTGACCCGGCGGCCCTCCCCTTCGTTTTTTCTGCCTATTGATTCCCCGCTCGTTCACAAAACCTCGTTCCTCAGATCGCCCGCTTGGGTCTTGCTCCCCCCCATTTTCTGCTCAACCAGAACCTCGCACCGGTGCTTGCGACCGCTCTCACACCCACATACCTTCCAGCAACCACACTCGCTCACCACGCACAACCGCCATGAACGACACAATCGAACAAATCCGCCAAGAGTACCGAGCCTCGCTCGCCGACCTGACCATCAACTCCCGGCCCATCATCACCCATCTGACCATCATTGCTCGCGAAAATGCCCATGCTGCGCCTGGCATCGTCCAAGCGATCGAGGCTCAAATCCAGAATGTAAGTACTGGCTGAAGGGCTCAGCAGCAGCACGGTGACTCGTCATCGTCGCACTCGATGCCATTTAGGCTTGTACTCGATGTCATTCAGCTCTGCTCTGCTCTGCCTTGCGCCCCTCTGATCATATCGCTGTCTGCGCCAAACCTCCGCTCCCTCCTTCTCGCCACCCTATAGGCTCGACCAAGGTTCAAGCTGCCGGCGCTGTACCTGATGGACTCAATCTGCAAGAACCATCCTGAGCGCTATGCCGAGCTGTTCTCCCACAATCTCGCTCGGTCATTCATCTCATCCTACGAGGTCATGGATCTTGCCGACCGCGAGAAGATGCGTCGGCTCTTCAGCACCTGGCGCCAGCCTGCAAAGCCCATCTTCCCCCTCAACGTGCTTGCCCAGATCGACAACTACCTGCGGCACAGCAGCTCAAACGGCATGCCGCGCGGCCCTCAGCCGCCCCAAGATCCCCGCATGGTACGTGACTCAGCCGGTACCAGATTCCAGCCGCAAGGCATCCACGTCAATCCGCACTACATGGTAGGGAGCTGCTGTCACGCAGAACAAACCGAGCGGATAGAGTGTTCTGTGTCTGTGTCGGTGGACATCCCCTCTGGGTCAGCAATTAACTGCGTATATCGTCCAACCAGCCCGGACGACACGACAACGCCCCTCCCTCCCGTCACCGGTATGTATCCCGATGCTCGTTCGGAAGCAGTCGTCACACCGTGGCCGTCACCAGAGCCAAGTCCTAATCCAGAAACTCGCTATTGCTCTGTATGCAGCGATGCACGCCCGGCTCCGTACCCGAACCCTGGATTCGACGCTAGACCCAACCCGGTAAGTGGCCATCTTTGTTGTCCTTTCCTTTCTTCCCCGGTCCGGTGTGCGCCGGGTACTCCCCTTGGAGTCCCTTTCCCCCCCTTGCTATCCCGTAAATCAATAAACGACGAGAAGCAATAATTCACGAAAGGAAGAGCCTCATAAACGGGCTTGCTCTGAGTCTCGCCGATCAAAGGCAGTGCGGGTGCTCGTTGCCGATACCCATGGTTTAACTCGAATCAGACTGTATATCGTGCAATGACACCCTGCGCATACCTCTTGGACTCGAACGACCTCGCCGGCTTCGTGCCAGCCTGTTGCCGTTTTGTTTTGTTTTGACTGCTTAGCCTTCTATACTCTCAATCTTTGCCTTGACATTGATGCTTGCTTGAGTGCCTGTTTCATCTCCTTGCGCTCGTACCGCATTTGATATTGCGTTGGCCCTTCTCAGCACTTGAGCTCTCTGTGTTGGGGCAATTTCTCCTTGATCTTTGAATCACATCCCGCTTTGAGGTGTCGGTTGCTCCTGATCGGCTCCATCCGTGCCCTTCAAATGCCCCGATCGCCCATCCCCTGATTGTCTTTGAATGAGAATGCCGTCGTTATCTCAGTGTCTCCCCTGCTGCAGCCCTGCTTTGCGGCAGCTAACTGTATCACATCAAGATATTCATCATGCATCTCTGTCTTTCCGTTCACCATCCGTGTCTACTTGTCCGCGTGTCTGTCTCCCGATACACTGTCTCTCGGTCCGGGCTCGATTCGCTCGATTCGCTCGATCGGCGTTTCGCTGGTTCTTGCATCGGCATTGCGGACGGCCGAACGCACTCGCTTGCAAAAACGAATCTGCTCGATGTTCCCGGAATGAATCCTGGACTCTGCCACAAACACCAACCGGATCCGTCCAAACGGCACGCAATTCGACACCTGCCCCTCCAACCCCAACCCTGCACAAACAACTACTCCCAACTTGCAAACAGAATCCCCGCGGTGCCCCGCCAATGCCCATGCCCATGCCCGTGCCCGTGCCCTCGCCCCAGAACGGCCCCGTTGATCCCATGCAAATGGCATGGTTGCCGGGCCAAGGAGCCCTGCTCCAGGATATCAGTCGACTGCTGGAGACCAAGCAGCAGTATGCCCTCATGAATCCCATGGATTCACTGAATAATACACAGATTCAGCTTCTGACCGAGGTAGGCTATGCGTTTGCCTCCCTGGTGGATGCTCCAAGTGAACGGGCGTCCTCACACCCGACACATCCGTGGGAACCCGGACCTCAATCACTTTGCGCGGTGTCCTCCCACGATGCTCGGTCTTCTGGAGAAAGCAGAACTTTGGATTTCTTTCAACCTAGAACCCAGCACTACCCGTTTGCTTGGCGATCTCAAGTGTGGGAAAGAAAGAGCACATGTAGTAGTCTAACTGCTGTCCGTCCTGGTCCCGACTCCCTTCCCTTCCCTCCCGACAATTTAGCTTCTGCGATACGTCGAGTCTGCGCCGCTTTCGCCAATGGCAGTCGCAGACATTGCCGAGAGGCTGCGGCAACTCAACCTGATGGATGTACGGCCAGGCGCAAGCACCATGGTCCCGGCGCCCGACTCGATGCCTGTGCCGATTCCTGGCCCTGGCCCCGTTCCTGTTCCAGCCCCTGCGCCAATGCCCATACCCATGCCCGTCCCTGCCCCCGTTCCTGTCGCCATTCCCGCTCCAACTCCATCATGGGCGCCCAACTCGGCTAGAAATCGACCTGTTCTCACGTCCGACCAGCTACCGAAACTAGATCTGAGAAGCGAAGTAATCGCCCAGTAAGCGTCGCGGCATGAGTCAACGATGGTGATTGAGGGTTGATCGTCGTATCATCGCCGGTCGCATGCCGGTGGTGTACCCTCTGCCCTGTGCTCTTGTCCTGAATACTGACGGTATCTCTCACCACTCCTCCCCCACCGATCTTGCCATTCCCGAAGACGCATCCCAGGTGCCGCGGACATCATTTACGATGCACTGGAGCTTCAATGCAAGCAGTGTGGACTTCGATACCCACGCAATCCGGCCTCGAAAGAGAAAATGGATCTCCACCTCGACTGGCATTTCAGACAAAACCGCCGTGCCAAAGAAAAGGGCAAGAAGTCTGTCTCGCGGGACTGGTACCTCGGTGAACAGGACTGGCTGGACGAGCGAGATGTACCCATCAAAACCAATGGTATGACTCGACCAAGGAGCCGCGTGCGAGGGCCGAGACGGCAAAGGCAGTGGCGATGGGAGACCCGTGGCGCTTCATGATTGTCGTCCGCCGCCAGGCTTCTGGCAGCTGCAGACGAGCGGCTGCCCAATGTACTCACATTCCGTCGTTCACCGGGTTTGTTTCTTTCATCCGGCTCAATACTACAGTCCAGTCCTTCTTCTTCCCGACGGAGAAGCAGGAAGACGTCAAACCCGAAGAGATCGTCAACATCCCTGCGCTCGGCGACGACGAGTTCTGCACTGTGTGCAAAGAGAAGCTCGAAAAAGTCTGGGACGACGAGCAGGAACTGTGGATGCTCAAGGATGCCATGCGCAAGGACGACAAGGTCGGTATCGGCGGCGCTTTGTTTGTTTTTTTCGGTTGCTCTGGAGATGGGGAGCGATACGATCTGCCGAATGAGAGCGATATGATCTGCCGACTGGGAGCGATATGATCTGCTGAATGAGAGCGACTTCAGCCAACTTGACCCGTCAGCCGGCTCACACAATCTGTGTTCAACATCCATCTCCCTGTGATTCGCGGCCATCAACAGGTCTACCATCCCTCGTGTTTCCATGAGGCAGCTTCGTCATCAGGGTCCCGAACACCCCCTCCGGAACCCATAGCGACAGGAGCCTCAAGCACCACCGCCAATGCGGCCGACATCGGTCCCGCCAAGAAGCGCAAGCTCGAGGACGAGGCAGATCCGTCATCTCGCAAATCGCCGATGCTGGGCCAAGCGCCTGGTGGCGCAGCGTCCTTTTCGGGGGCCGAAAGCACGCCCCTGGTGCCAAATCTGGCGGGCCTGTCATCGCTGCTTGCTGGCCTGGAGCCCTCAAGCGCGCCAGCATCGACAGCTGTGATGACCAGCATCACAACGGACCAATGAGATTGTCCCGCATGCTCTCTCCCTCCGCACCAATCATGAGTCCCCACGTGTTTGTTTGCCCCCATGCATGAGCACGCGCCGTTGCCACCCGCGTCTACTGGTTTCCTGCCTCCCCCACCGCTCGGCACATGTCCCCGGGCTGTGCCAAGCCTCTCTCGCTTGCACACCAGCCACTCTCGCACCCCCTTCTCGCTTCTCTGTGATGCTCCACCCTTCTCGCCCACTTTTGCCCCTCGACCTTCTCCCGGTCTATAAATAGCCCTGCATGTCTGAGCCTATGTTGAACACCAGTTCGAACAAAACTTGTTCTTTGGTGTTCGGGGCTAAAAGCTAATAAAGCTCATACCAAGCACTTGGTCTTCGTCCTTGCGCTTGTTCACTCCTCACACTTTGTTCGAACTCTCTTCTACTGATACCACCTGCTTGGTATCTTCCGCTCCTAGCCCCGCCCCTTTCCTAGTCCTGTCCGAACCTCAAGCACACTTGTGTCTGAGCCCTCTTCGCTCTCCTGTTCTTGAACCTCCTCGCTTTTTTTTTTCCCAGTCCCAGTCCCAGTCCCGCCATGGATCCTGCCCTCGTGGACCGCCTCCGTGCCTTGGAGGCCGAGCTCGCCGAGCTCCGGACAGCTCGCGATGCTCCTGCCGCTGGGTACAGCGTGCAGATGCCGGACCGTTACGACGGTAACCGGCAAGGGTTCCGGGCATTCGTAAATCAGTGCAAACTGTATATACGAATGCAGCCCCACCGGTTCCCTGCTGACCCGATTAAGGTCGGATTCGTCATTAGTCTGCTCACTGGACCGGCTCTCCAGTGGGCGACTCCGATGCTTGAGATGGGTGATCCCCGACTCAACTCTTTTGGCGATTTCCTAGAACGCTTTTCCAAAGTGTTTGACGACCCTGATCGGGCCAGGACTGCCGAGTCAGTGATCACCACACTGTCTCAGGGCAACCGCCCGTGCGCAGTCTATGCATCCGAGTTCCTTCGTATTGCCGCCGATACGACTTGGAACGACGGTGCAAAGATCTCGTTCTTCCGACTTGGCTTGTCGGATGATGTCAGAGACGAACTTTCGCGAGTTCGCCCTCTGCCACGAGATCTGGAGGAGTACATCGAGCTTTGTAACGAGCTCGATGCACGAATCCGCGAGCGCCGTCAAGAGCGCCGAAGCACGCCTGCCCGCTACCGGTCTTCCCAGTTCGCCTTTGGTTCCGCCTCCGCTGCCGTTCCCGCCATCGCTCCCGCGCCCGTCCTCGCTCCGCCGCACCCCTCCTACATTGTTTCCGAGCCCATGCAAGTGGACTCTGCCGTCTCTGGACCCCTGACCGCCGAGGAGAAACAACGCCGCCGCCGCTTTGGACTCTGCCTGTACTGTGGCAAGAAGGGCCACTTGGTACGAAACTGCCCCGTCAAGTTTGGATCTACCAGAGCTACCGGACCGCCCCCTGGACCTCCCGGCCCGAGGATCATCCGCACCATCGTTTACGAGGATGGAGAAGTGCAAGACTTCAGTTCGGGAAACGACCAGGCCCGGTTCTAAGTGAAGGCCTTGAACCGGAGCCGTGCCCACCGCCTTCCGAAAGTGAAGACATTGGTAAGGTGCCTTTGGTAAGTACTGGGGAAGCAGTGATGTGCGGACAGCTTCGCCTTGCCTCTGGACCGGCGGACACTCTCAGCTCTGGCATAGTACCCGTGGCACCTCTGGTGTCACTGGGAACTGCACCTCATCCACAGGTGCAAATACCTGAGCTGTCCTGCCAACCCTCGGCAAAGTTAACTGTCTGTGCTAGCCGCAACCCTGGTGCCGAAGCTGGTACCGAACCAAAGTCTTGTGTTTCGTCTGTTCGTCGTTGCTCGTTGGTTGTTCCCGTCGCTGTTCGTCTTCCTTCTGGTGATTCTCTGTCGTGCGAAGGACTTGTCGATTCTGGTGCCTCTGGCAACTTTATCGACGAGGACTTTGTTGCTCGACACTCTGTCCCCACCTGCTCCAAGGCTTCGCCCTTGGCAGTGGAAGGCGTGGATGGTAAGCCGCTGTCGTCTGGCCCCATCCTCCGCGAGACTGCTCCACTCGAGGTGATTCTCGGGGACGTCTCGCAACGCCTTCGGTTCGATGTGATCAGGTCTCCACATCAACCACTTATCCTTGGCTTTCCTTGGTTGCGCACCGCCGAGCCCAAGATTGTCTGGTCTCGCGGTCTTCTTTGTCTCCCTCCTTCTGTTGATTCCGACCCCTCTCCATGCACCTCTTCCCTTTCGTCTTGTAAAATTCCTTCCAATGTCACTCCCCTTCTTGATGATTCCACTCCTTTGATTGATCTAAGCTCCTCTCCTACGCTCCCACCTTCGTCTTCCCCTTCTTGTCTTGTTCCTCCCGAACCCCTTCGCTCTTCCCAAACCCCTTCTCCTGCTGTCAGTTCTCTTTCCCTCCTTGATGTACCTCCTCCTGTTGTTTGTTCTTCGGACATTGTTCAGAATAAAGTAACCGTCGAACATTATTCTGACCTTGTCCACGCCCCTCCTCTCAGCTCGGACGCTCCTCTCCGCGTCTGCAGCATTGATTACCGCTCGATGCGCGAGTCTCTGGATGCATGCAGGCATGGAACGCAACCCCTGACCATCTTTCAGGTCCATGTCCTGCCCACTGACGAGCCGAGCACTGCGACTGTCGAAGTGCCTGCGGAGTACAAGGACTTCCTGTCTGTTTTCTCTAAACAGGAAGCTGACTCCTTGCCTCCGCATCGCCCTTACGACTGCCCCATTGACTTGGAGCCGGGCAAGTCGCCAAAGTTCGGGCCTCTGTACTCACTGTCCGAGCCCGAACTTCACGCTCTGCGTGACTATCTCGACGAGAATCTTGCCAAGGGATTCGTTCGTCCTTCGTCGTCCCCAGCAGGCTCGCCAATCCTCTTCGTCAAGAAGAAGGACGGCTCACTTCGTCTTTGCGTTGACTACCGCGCACTGAACGGTATCACGGTAAAGAACCGTTACCCTTTACCGCTGATCGGCGAGCTGCTGGACCGACTTCGAGGCGCGAAGGTGTTCACTAAGCTGGACCTTCGTGGAGCCTACAATCTGCTGCGCATCCGCTCCGGGGACGAGTGGAAGACAGCTTTCCGTACTCGATATGGGCACTTCGAGTACTTGGTGATGCCCTTTGGGCTCACCAACGCGCCAGCGACGTTCCAGCACTTCATCAACGACGTCCTGCGCACCGAGTTGGACCAGTTCGCAATTGCGTATCTTGACGATATCTTGATCTACAGTGCTGACCCGTCGCAGCATGTAGAGCACGTCAAGCAGGTCCTCTCGAAGCTCCGAGCTGCAAAGCTGTATTGCAAGCTGGAGAAGTGCGAGTTCTCCAAAACCTCGGTCTCGTTCCTTGGTTTCATGGTCTCGCCCGAGGGCATCGGTATGGAGCGATCCAAGCTCTCTGCGATCTTGGATTGGCCCATACCGCGCAACATCTCGGATCTTCGATCCTTTGTCGGGTTTGCGAACTTCTATCGACGCTTCATCGATGGATACGCAAAGATCGCGGGGCCCATGACTCGGCTCTTCCGGAAGACGCATGGCTTCCAGTGGTCCCGCGAAGCCGATAAAGCATTCAGATCCTTGAAGGATGCCTTCGTTTCGGAGCCCGTTCTGGTGCATCCGGACCCATCCAAGCCGTTCGTCTGTGAGGACCACGACAAGCAACGACACTGGACGACCAGGTGCTTGGCGAACAACGATAAGCTATATTACGACTTATCAGATAACAACAAGTGTTGTTCGAACTGCAGATACAAAATGGGTGCAAGAAAGGAGGGGCTTTATAGCCAAGAGGGAAACCGAAGGGCGAAAGTGGGCGAGAGGGGTGGAGCGACAAACGAGGGACGAGATGGGGGTGCGAGGGAGGCGGAGCTGCTAGAGAGAGGGGCGAAGCACAGCGCAGTCGGAGGCGAAGTAAGAGTCATCGGCGCCAGCCAATCAGGGAATACACGCCAAGACAAACAAACATGACTCACGGTGCATCACGCGCAGCAGTCCACACGTGTTCCCAACGTGCATGATCATCACATCATCCCCTCCCCAAACTACGGCCACTCCTGCGAACAATAAGTCCAGGCTTGTCGGGGTACCGGCGGTGGAAGTCGGCTATCTTGTCGGGAGCGTTAACGTAGTTGGCGGGCTCCCAGCTGCGATGATCAGTCGAGTAGCCCTTCCAATCAACGAAATAGCTCAACTTACCGCGGACCAGCTTGGAGTCGAGGATCTCCTGGACTTCATACTCCAAGTGGTCGTCGACGCGGACTGGCGGAGGAGGGTCTTGGATGCGGCCGGGGAGGGTGTTCGACTTGTGGGGCTCAAGGAGGGAGACATGGAACACCGGATGGATCTTGAGATCCTTGGGAAGGTCGAGGCGGAAGGCGAGGGAACCGATGGCTTCGACGATCTTGTAGGGTCCGATGCGCTGGTAGTCCAACTTCTTGCTTGGACGGGTGGTCTTGATGTTGCGTGTTAGGACCCAGACTTGATCGCCAGGAGCGAACTTGGGAGCGTCGGACTTGTGGGCATCCGCAAAGCGCTTGTAGTCCGCCTTGGCCTTCTCGAGGTTCTCCTTCAGCAACGCCAAGTTGTGCTGAAGGTGTTCGACTCGGTCGGTCGCGGAGGGGACATCGAGGCTGGAAGGAAGGACCGGAGACTCGAATCGAGGGTTGAAGCCGTAAGTCGCCAGGAACGGGGAGGCCTTGGTCGAGGTGTGCTCGAGGTTGTTGTATGAGAACTCGGCGAGCGGGAGCAGCATCGCCCAGTCATCCTGCTGGTACGAGGTGTAGCAGCGGAGATGCTGGTTGATGACTTGGTTGACCCGCTCAGTCTGTCCATCGGTTTGGGGGTGGAACGCCGTGGACAGACTGGTCTTGATGCCGAGTTCTGAGCACAGGGCCTGCCAGAACCGCGAGGTGAACTGGCTTCCTCGGTCCGAGACGATGTTGTCCGGGAGACCGTGGAGACGGAAG